ATGTTAGCTTTTAAATCCCTTAATTCTAATAGGTAGTAGTATTATTTCTAGGCGTAGCTAGCCTCTACTATAGCCTTAGGAGAGCGTACTATCTACTATTTCTAACTAGGCTAGTACCTCTTTATTTCTATATAGTAGATTATATTTTTCTACTATTTCTAGTAATATTAGATATCCTATTACACTAGGGTCTATTAAAGCTTTTACTTAGAATCCTCTAATTATAATCTATTTTATTATTTATAGTTTTATAGTGCCTTTAGCTTCCGCCCTATAAGTCTTTAGAATGCCTACACTAGCTTAGCTCCCTACCTAGTGGTATACTAGTTTTTTAATTACTCTTATTCTTAGTTATATATACCTTTATAGTGGTATTATTTATATAGTAAATAGTTAGTCCTTAGTTATTAGAGTACTATCCTAAAGGGGTTTAATACCTTTCCCCTTAGGTATTATACTTTAGACCTTACTTTTAAGGTATCCCTTAGGTATTCTATTATTACTCTCCTCTATTATTAGCTTACTATAAGTATATATAGGTATTCTAATTCCTTATCTATCTCTTTATGCTATTAATAGCCCCTTATTTTACACTCCTAGTATAGTATAAACTTATAGTTTAGATTTAATAGATCTATTACTATAGATTCCTTCTTACTAAAGTATCTAAAGTATTCTTACCTTCTATAGTCTATTTATTCTTAGGTTTCTACGTAGTCTATGTCTTTTTACTTTAAACACGTATCTACGTATTTATATTATAGGGTTTTATTATATTAATTAGGGCCCTTAGGCTAATTACCTATTAAGTATTTCTAGTTCTAATAGATAGGGTAGCTATCTATATAGTATACCTTCTATACTAGGGGTCTATAGTCCCTTTTCTAGATATTAAATTAGTGTATGTAATAGTTCCTATCTAGGCACTTATTTTTTTCTAACCTATAGTATTTTCTATCTCTTTAGTTTTCTTATACCTAGCTCCTTCTATTCTAGTAGTAGAAATAGTCTATTATATAGTATTACTAGAACTCTTTCTATATATATACGTTAACTATTTTAAGTTACTAGGTAGGGTTCTATAGCTTCCCCTAATAGGTTACTACCTATTTATATATTTAGTATATATCTAGTTCTATAATCTTTATTTTTACGTAGTACTACCTAGCTTAGTGCCTAAGTTCTCTATAGACCTAGTATTACTACTTAGTTACCCTATATACTACTATTTCTTCCTTAGTAACTTAGTAGCCGTCTTTATCTAGATACCCTTTAGAATTAGTTAGTTAGGTTTCCTAAGATTCCTCCTTAGAATCTAGTATTATAGTATTATTAGGTACTTTACCTAATTCTAGTATCTCTAGTAGTAGCGTTGCTATAGCTATCTTAATTATATTAGCTTTTTTACCTTATTTCTTATAGTTAGGGTAGTTAGCTTTAAAATACCCTTACTTTCTATAACTTAGGTAAGCCTTATCCTTAAAGCGTTATTAGTAGATTTTATCCTACTTCTTTTACTATAGGGTATATTCCCTTTTAGTTTATACTTTATCCCTTATTATTATATTACTATTTTTATTCTATTTATCCCTATAGTTATACCTCCTTTAAGTATTAGCTCTCTAGTGGTACGTAGGCTTAGTTACTTTCTACTTTTTCTAGTTTTACTTATATAGGTAATTATTTATATATATAGCTAGTTCTATTAGTACTCCTAGGTTATTAGGTTCTATATAGTATATAAGGCCGTCCTTTACTAACTTTTTTAGACTATTATAGAATACTAATTAGAGTAGTGTGTTATCCTAGTCTATTTTAGCTTAAAGTTATTTAAATATTAAGGTATACTTACCTATTAATATAGTTTATTTTAGCCTTTAGATCTATTACTTAGCCTACTTTACTTTATTAACTTTACTAAATATAATAGTTATCTATTCTTAGAATAACTTCTAATCTTTAAAGACTAGTTTAGTGTCCTCCTAATATTTCTTAATATTATCCTTATTTTCTATATAATTATCTACTAGGGGTTATATCTATCTAGCGGCCTATCCTACTATATATATTCTAGTAGCTAGTATTTAGTCTTATTCTTTACCTATAGTGGCTTTATAAGAGTAATTATATAGCTCTATATTAGTAAGGAATAGTTTTAACTTTTCTTAGTCTCTATTAAAGAGTTTTAGGACTTTAAACGTTCCTTTAATTAGGGTAGTAACTATTACCTACCCCTAGAACTATCCTATTAATTATGCTAGTTACTCTTAGAGTTATTAAATCTAATTAGCCTAGTTAGTTATAACTATGGCTACATTAGTTATAGGCCTAAAAGTAGAACTTCTAGCCGCCGCCCTTAACACTTATAAGCTAGTTAGTATTACTATTATATCTTATACCTTTAGGTAGTTAAAGTGTTATAAGGGGTTTCTACGTACCTAACCTAGGTTAGATCTTATAGGTATTTAGTGGACGAGAGTAGATAAATAATAATAAGAAAGTAAAAGAATATTCTAACCTTACTATAGAAGGTAAGGTAATAATTATATAAAAAGACTAATAGATCTTAGTGTAGAAGATATACTCTAATTTTAACTATAGAATTTTAACTATAAAGAATAGAAAAGATTCTAAAGTCTCTTTAGACTATATACTATTCTTTATTATCTAGGAGATCCTATCTAGACTCTAAAGTTCTAGGACCTCCTAAGGTCCCTAGGGCCTTTAAGGTCCCTAGGGTCTCCTACTTATACTAGGCCTTATTACGTAATAGATAATATAAGTTACCTATCTAGCTAGCCTATAGGGCTTAATCTAGCTTACCTCTACTATTAATATTCTAAGTATAATCCTTTCTACTTGCCTTACTTAGTCCTACTATAATTATAATATTATATTAGCTCTAAGAATTTTATTATATAAATAGAGTTAATAGAAATAGAAGTTAGAAGGTATTATAGCCACCTACTAGATTAATAGATATAGGGCTTATGCTTATATAATAGTAACTAAGGGATACGTTATTTAAGAATAAATTTAAGAAGAAGAGGAATAATATTAGAATCTAGACCTAAGTAAGGGTTAGGACCTTATTTTATATTATAATAATACTTACTATTAGCTTATCTAGGTAGAGTATATATTTTAACTATATTACTAAGTACTAAGAGGATATTATATAACTAATAGTTAATAAGTAGTAGTTAACTATTAGATATATAACTAATAGTTAATAAGTAATAGTTAACTACTACCTAAACTAAGTATATAGGAGTATAAGTATAAAGACCTTATATTTATATTTAATTTAAGTTTTAATCTATTATTTAGATTTACTTAGGCTACCCTTATTAACTTATTATACTTTATAAGATACTTCTATATTAATAAGAACCTTTTTATTATAAGGGGTTTCTACGTACCTAACCTAGGTTGTACCTTATAGGTATTTAGTAGACGAGAGTAGATAAATAATAATAAGAAAGTAAAAGAATATTCTAACCTTACTATAGAAGGTAAGGTAATAATTATATAAGAAGACTAATAGATCTTAATATAGAAGATATACTCTAATTTTAACTATAGAATTTTAACTATAAAAAATAGGAAAGATTCTAAAGTTCCTTTAGACTATATACTATTCTTTATTATCTAGAAGATTCTATCTAGACTCTAAGGTCTTAGAACCTTCTAAGGTCCCTAGGGTCTTTAAGATCCCTAAAGTCTTCTACTTATACTAGACCTTATTATATAATAGATAATATAAGCTACCTATCTAGCTAGCCTATAGGGCTTAATCTAGCTTACCTCTATTACTAATATTCTAAGTATAATTCTCCCTACTTACCTTACTTAGTCCTACTATAATTATAATACTTTTCTTCTTCCCTTAGTAAGTCTTACCTAAGAACTAATCTTAACCTATTTAGAATTAGCTACCCTCTCTAGATTTAATAGCTATTAGAATCTAGAGTCTATTCTTAATAGGTCTATATTTATTATAATATTATTATAAGGCTATTACTAGCTAAGGCGAGCTTTTCTATATAATATATTAACGCTAGTTACTTAAAAGTCTATTTAGGATAGGTATTCTATTAGAGGTATATAGGAGTGTATATATATAAGGATAAAAGCCTAGATTAATTAAGTACTAATAGGTCTAGTATAAAAGAATATAGAAAAGCTACTAAACTACCTAGAAATCTCTAGCCTTTTTATTTTATATCTATATACTATAATAAACTACTAAGGTCTCTAGCTTATTTCTATTATACTAAATACTTAAGGTAGGTCTAAAAGGTATATATATAGGTAGCTTAGTCTAATAAATCTAATATAGGTTTAAAGTAGATAAGTAATAGCTATTACTATATAGAATTTAATAAGGGTCTAAATTAGAGTATAGTTAGTAAGAGTAGTTAAGGTTACTAACTTATTATAGCCAGAGCTTAAATATTTAAATATAGTATTATAAACTTAAGTAGGTAATATTTTAACTATATATCTTATTACTAAGGCCTTCTTTTTAGTAATTAAAAAGTAGCTAGTTTAATAGTATATATTAAAATCTTTAACTAGAACTTATAATAGAGATAGTCTAATATAAGTATATAAAAATATCTAATAATTTATAGTAATAACTTATATTCTTATAGTATATAAAATTAATCTTATACTAAATATACTATAACTATCCCTTAGATACTTTACTAAAGCTATATAGTCTAGCCCTAGCCTCTAATTAGCCCTAGAGTTTGCTAGAGTTTACTAGACTTTAATAAGTTAGCGCACCTTAGCGGAGCGTCTGACCACGTGAGATAACGACTACCATCGCTCACCGCGTTAGACTGTGCAAGCAATACTGGCGCGACCACAAGCTAATACTATCGCTTTTCCCAGGCTTTCACATTTTAACACTCGGTCTTTTTGCACTGACCTACAATCCTAATATGTCACTACCCCCATGCAGACGTTTCTAGGCTCCAAAACACCCTGCTATGGCTCTCCCTCACGCTGCCGCTCGATCTGATATTCTCATCATCGGCGCCGGCATATTTGGCACTAGTACAGCGTATCATCTCTCCCTCGAAAACGCCGACCCCAGCTCGATAACTGTCCTCGACCGCTCGCCCTTCCCGCCTCACCATGCCGCATCCACCGACATCAACAAGATTGTGCGCGCAGACTACAGCACACCGTTCTATATGGACCTCGCATATGAGGCCATTCATGCATGGAAGACTTGGCCTGTCCTCCAGGGAAAGGACGGTCAGCGCTTCTTTCACGAGAGCGGGTGGGTGATGTTGAGCGACAAGGGGAGCGATCTTGCGGAGCGAATACGGGCAAATCTTCGAGCGCGGGGAAGCGATTCGACAAGCGACATAGAGATTGATGGCAATCTCAGGGAGAGGTGGGATGGTTTGCTACGGGAGACAAGTTTCGATGACCCAAAGATTGAGAAGGGTTATTGGAATCCTGAGGCTGGATGGGCAGACGCTGGGGATGCTGTGGCGATGATGATGGAGGATGCAGTGGGTAGGGGCGTCAAGTATGAATGCGGCGATGTCGAATTGCTGTTATTAAGTGAGAATGGAATTAAAGGTGTACAGACTCAAGACGGCAAGATCTACGAGGCGGACAAGATACTACTTGCTACTGGTGCTTGGACGTCTCAGCTACTGTGTGAAGTCGAGGGCATCCTAAACATAAAAGATCGCGATACGATCGAGAAGCAAGTCACGGCTGCTGGAGTCTGCGTCGTGCATTATGGGTTAAATGACGAGGAGTACGAGAGGCTCAAGGATATGCCAGTGATCGTATATGGAGACAGAGGAGAGGTGCTACCGCCTCCGAATGGAAGCCGCATGTTGAAATTTACTAATGCGCGATCGTTCACGAATACGATTAGGACCGCGGACCGGCATCGGCTCTCGATACCTCCTGAGACGACACAGACCAACGTCTCATCTCATCTACAATCCGAGACCTTGGAATCTATCGTGTCCAAAACCATCCCAAGTTTTGCATCGCGAGACCCAGAATACTGGCGTCTGTGCTGGGACGCCATCACTCCCTCGCAGGACCAACTCATCACACAACATCCACACCCTCAGCTCAACAATCTTTATCTAGCTGTAGGTGGCAGTTTCCATAGCTGGAAGTTCTTGCCTACTGTCGGCAAATATGTAGTGAACGTGCTGAATGGCATAAGCAATGGGGAAGAGAAAGATGGGCGATGGGGTTGGAAGGATGAAAACACTCCGGGACGCGGTGCGCATGAGAAAGTTGTGCCTAAGCGCGAACTGAACGAGCTGAACATTGGTACTCCATCCTGATCTCGCTCATCGGTATCACAATCACAAATAGATGACGTCATTGGGCTGCACCTCATTGCAGCTGGCAGGACAAGGCATGACCGCAGTTGCTTATATGTTGCAAGATGCAGACGACATGAGGATGGCTTGGTGAGCGGCGTATTCGGCGTATTTTGCTGCTCACCTCACACGGCACACACGTGTTCATTGAATCAAGTGTGGGGCCAGTTAAACTTTCATACCATTGGCACCGGCTTCTTTTCAACATCTGTCCACCTTCGACTGCTCGTTCACAATACCTCCATCATCAAACAGCATCAGACCCTCATAATGGCGTCGCAATCCCTGACCTCACATCTCCTTTCCCTTAATCAAGACCAATTCAACCGCGCAACACAATCGCGCTTCCTGGCTCGAGCCGCTTCCGGCACCCTGTCCAAACCGCTTATCTCACACTGGCTCGCAAATGACCGCCTCTATATGCAAGGCTACATCCGGCTCACCGGAGAACTTCTGCGAATCATCAAGATGCCATCGAAGCCGACGCCAAGTAAGTCCGCTGGATCCGTAGATCCTCGCCTGGTCGATTGGCTTGTCGATGCAATCGTCAATATTAGGCGAGAAGAGCGATTCTTCATGGACGTAGCAGAGCGATATGACCTTGACGTTGATCTGACCGAGAGTAATGGCGAGAGCATCAAAGAGGAGAAGAAGATTGAGGGACTCAGGAGATTCGAAAAGTTGTTCGATAGCTTGACTACAGGCCAGTCGTCTGAACCGGTGTTGCCGTGGCTGGAAGGGGTGGTACTGTTTTGGGCCACTGAGAAGGTCTATTTTGAAGCGTGGAGCTGGGCGAAGAAGCAAGCGGAAGGTTCAACAGGGAAGAGCAATGCGTCGGATGCGGATGGGGGAGCAATGAGGAAGGAGTTCATCCCAAATTGGACAAATGATGAGTTCATCAACTTTGTGGACACTTTGGAGAAGATCTTGAACGATGGTGTGCAGGATGCGATACGCGGCGATGGAGGCGTGAGAAAGCAGATTGAGGAGCGGGCGGAACAGGTGTGGCAGCAATTATTGGATGCTGAAGAAGCCTTCTGGCCCAGAGTCGACTAGATTGGCTAGATCGTGAGTATACTATGTGCCCCTCTCCTTCTAGGGCGGGGTAAGATATTGACCAGAGTGAATAGAACAAGACCATAGCTTCATGGCAGAGAATTTATCGAATAAGCCGTGTACTGTCAAAACTTCGCGGAAGTGTCAAGTGTACCAGTCCTTGTACAGCTAGCAAGACGGAGCCTGTTCGCGCCCCGCCTGCAATTTCAGAGGGCATGTACTAACTCGATCGACGAGCGATGCTTAGCAAGGAATGGTCGTTGAAAGACTTCCCGAGCTCGGAGACATTAGTAGATCCTCAGGAACAAGAGCGCAAATCAAGAACACTTCGATAAGATTAGCGACCAATACGAACAGGTGAAGGATGAAGACAGGGGCCTTGCATCCGGTGCCCAGAAAAAGACGGAACGCAGGCAATTTGTGAATGGACAAATGCACTGGCAAATTCAAAGCCTGGCCATTCAACAACAAGCAAAGTCTCGTGAAGCCGTGCTGGCGCGTGCAGCGATGGAAAACGCTGCCGCTCATCAGGTATGGCATGCATCTCAAGCTCCAAACTCAGACATGGTGAGCAAAGAGGATGAGGAATTTTGTGCAACTCTCGTGCACCCCACGCCAGCAAATTGTTCTAGCGTGGTAAGGTCGGACCCCCGCGAGTATCATTGGGTTCGAATTTCCCATCATGGAGTTCCAAAGTCAGTGACCTTGTCCTAGAAATCCTTGAAATCACGTGACTAGAGAAACAACCCCCAAGCAATGTAAGGCAGGTAGGCTTTGACACACTCGGGATAGCTCGAAAACGCTCGCCATCCGTGCTTCGCCGGTCTCTTCAACGTGGAAGGGCGGTTGGGCCCTGGGAAATCCCTTGCTCGCATACACAGTGGTGACGGCTGAAAAGACCAGGCGTAACCCCTCGAAGACTGAGCCAAGATGACCGCCTATATGGTGAGCCTACGCCCCAATATTCGGTGTTGTACGCCCACTGTGGTCGGAACTAGCGAATTGAAATACAACCTACCCTTGTAGCTCTTTCCCGTCCATACGACTTAGTCTCCAGATCTACAATTGACACTGGCATGTCTCTCCCAAAAGGGCAGAACAGCCGTTTAGCCCGCTTCTCCAGATACCACGGGGACACCTGCTATGTATAAGCTACCGCAAGAACTCGTTGATCACATCAGCAGCTATCTTGAGCTCAAGGATCTCTCAAGTACACTCACGGTGTCGCTAGAGTTTCAGGTCGCAGCTGAAAAACATTCCGGCACATTTGACGAATTTAAATTAAGTCAGAAAAATGCGACCCAGTTTGCCGACACATATGGAGGGCGACGCTTCGACTACTTTCAGCACTTGAGCTTTAGAACGGCTCTTCCTCCAGCAGAGGCAGAGATGACTGGGGTGCTGAACCGGAAGGTCACCCGGCTCGCGACACCTAAGAATGTTTATGAACGGCAGATAAATCCTTCTTGAAGCAGGTCAAATTCCTGTTTTCGAGTACCAAGAACGTAGAAGACGTTGCAAATACTAGCTACAGACCCGGGAAGATCAAATTGACGGTTCACGTTCCAATTCAATACGTTGATCGAGCAAATTACGCTATCCAACGTGCGTACGTTAGCTGGAGGGTCCATCTGCTCCATCCCAACGCTCTTCCTGATCTTGCATCCTCCGTACGCGGACTTAATCCCTCTGATGCTAGTCATCGACCGATCTTAGTAGTGCCAGGTTGTGGAGCATAACATTCAGCGTCGCTGGCGCTGCATTGTACGCTTGTCGTCCACAAAGTCTCCCAATCGTTTAAGGAATCTCAACGTCTAAGGATCGATGCTAGTGGCCCCATTCCTCTGTACTTCCATCGCAGTTTCGACCTGCTCCTCGATCGATCGTATGCTAACCGTTTGCTTCGTCCTCTCCTGCTCGAGCAGAGCCAAATTCTGCTTTGCTGCCTCTATGTCGTCATTCAGATGCTGGAGTCGCTGTTGCATCGGGCCCAGCCTTTTCCTTCCGTTGCGCTCGAGGGCTTGTGCATCTTCCATTTTCCTGATGAAGTCCAGGGTCACTTGAGAACCTGAAATCGATGTGTTCTATTGAAGGTCAGAAGTGATAAATAAGTAACAGCCATTTTGGTGCTCACCTTGTTGCGATCTTCGTGTGACAGCGATCCTACTAGCAAGGTACGAATCGGAAGATCCAATCCTCCCAGTAAGGTTGCCAACGCCGGAGTCCTAGACGGGTGTTGTGAAGCATAAGGCAACTCTAATAAAGAAGGGAGAAGCCTTAAGCTAAGAACAGAATCTCTCAACTTAATACAATAAATATCAGTGGAGCATAGTAGGTTGGATGTTCAACACTTACGCTGCCTTAGTTAGCAAAGTTAGTAGAACTGCTGTCAAGCGCCGGAGTAGGAACTCCATTCTAGGCTTCCAACATAGCTGGATCTCGATTTATAGAAGAGAGTAGCCTCGAATAAGCTAAAGTCCCTAGAGAAGCGCTGTGGATAGAAGGCAGAAGGCGGCACACTCGGACGAGATCCTCCCCAAATCTCTTCCCAAACTCGATGTTGTTTCCACCCACCGCGCCCTTGTACACGAGCGCGGTCTTTAGAATCGTAGTTAGTTGCGAGCGGGACTTAATCGCAGTTAATAGAATCCAGGCGTCGAATCTCACCAGGCCATGCTCCCTAAGCTCATCAATCTCATCTAATGTATATCATCCTTTTTCCATTAAGTACGACATTAGCTTCAAGATGCGCTCGTCCTGATTGTTGTGCACTAGACAGGCATATAGTCGCTCGCCATCAGCGAGGATCGTAGCAAGTGGGACTTTGTATGCAAGTCCGTCGAAACCTTTGAGACAGATCTCGTCGAGCCAATCATCATCATCATGCGGGACCAAGTTGAAACCATCAAGGAATGGGAAAAGTCTATCGAGACATGTCGAAGACTTAGGCTCATGAGGGTCATTAGATTTGACTCCTCCCTCGTCCATAGCTTGCCGAATCGCGGCCAGCAACGGGACACGTCCTGACGTGTCGAAGATAGCCCGTTGCATTCTTAGGTGCTCCAGTGTGTACTTCGAGAGCTCAGGTAGCTGTATTTGTTTGGTGCCTTTGAAATTGAACAGATCTGCGAGGGATTGCGGCTTTCTTGACGGTCTGTGAGGGCGTTGCTCCATCCACTTTCCTGTGCGCAACGGAAAATCGGTAATGATGGGCGTGGTGGGTGTGCTGAGTGTGGGAAAGAGGCTGGCGTCAGGTCTGTAGCAAAGATTTCTTATCGGCGTAACAGAATTAACGGTGCTTGACGCGTTTGTAGATAATAGAGAAGAGCGTGCAAGTGAAGGAAGGAGCGCAACCCGACAAAGGCGGTGAGTTACAAACGCGATTGCTGCGGCTAAGTGAGGTGAAGGCAGCAGAACGTGAGTGCTAGCTTAGCTAGAGTATTAGACAATATAATTGTGTGAACTCACTCCTAGGCGACAGGGATGATCCTTAGGCGATAACAATATCTCCTAATAAAGAGTCCGAGAAATGGTTCTACGACGTACATACAAGGACTACCTATGGTAACATAACATGTAACTAAATTACTACTATGAAGACGGCGCTAGAAGATAGAAGAGAGGGTAATACAGATATACTATTAAGATTCTGGGGAGGTATAGAACAGAGCGCGCATGGCATATAGATTAAGCATGTCTAGCTTGCCATTTTGCAGTTGGATTGGCCAGGACATGACTCGACAAGTTTGTGTCTTTCTAGAACTTCCCTCTAAGTCTTTTATAAGCTCAAGCCCTTTGACGACAGGATTTTCTACACCCTCTGTGACGCTACTAGAAATTACCTCGACAGGTGTGTGAAAACCGGGAAGAAAGACCCAGCCATAACTCGCTTTGCAGCCTCGACAGGTGCTGTTGCATTGAACGAATATTCATTGACAGCATGAATAACTGCCAGTCCGGCACTTCCGCTTCGTGATCCAACTTATTCAGCTGCACCTGGGCATGGTATGGATGCCCGTCGCTCCTCGCGCCCTGGCCCGAGCAGTAGCTCAGCAAGATTCCCGGTTGGGGACACGTCCCCTGCCTCTGATAAGTCATCACCTTCAGCTCACGAGTGGTTTTCCCCGGCCGCTTATCCATTGCTGTGTCCTGATGGAGAAGTGAGTTCGTAGTGAGGACGGGGTTAGAGACGTGATAGACCATCTCATACTGAAAGAGGTCAGAAAATTGCTTCTTGAGGTGGGTTAGTCGTACCGTTTCAACATAGCGTAGCCTGTCATACCTTGCAGTGTCTATCATACTCTGGAGTGGCCCTCCCCGCCACGACTCAGTCAATTCTACTCCTCGTGGTCATCCTCTTGTTCGACAATTCTCAAGCCCCAGCAATATTTGGTACCACGGACGCTGACCTCCTCGTTTGGATGTGGAATGTTAAACATCATCTTTCTGGTATCGGCATGTTTCTCCCTGAATAGTGTATGCAAATCCTGCCTTGCTTGAAGGTAAGCTCGTTGCGCCCGAGTATCTTCATACGTAGTAACCATGACAGTAAGCGCAGCCAATGATGTGAAGTAGACAGTTCACAACGATATCGATGCCAGCTTGATACATAGACCCGTGTCTTTAGAAACGATATAGACTCTTTTATCTCTACTCGTCTTCCTCAGCTGGCAAGCCAACCATCTCGAGCGAGTCCTTCCACAGCCTCTTCGCTAGATCCTCGTCGTAAACATATGGCTCGTGTCCGCCCCATTCTGTTGCCTTAGTCGAGCCTGCTTTCCACGACACTTGCAGGTCTTCCAGATACCTCCCACCTTTGCCTTCGAGGCTTTTCCCTACGGCAGCCCAGACTTGCGTGGCAGCCCCTTGGGTTGTGTTCTTGTACAGCTTCGCGATTTCCGCGTCGGCTTTGTTCATACGCCCTTCTAAGCCCTCTGCGCCTCCCTCTTGATGCCGCGAGATACCCGTTTCGAATATGATGCCAGGATGGACGCTCCAGGCGTGAAGGCCTTGCGCACCGTAGCGCCGCTCGATCTCATTTGCCATTAGGATGTTGGCTGTCTTGCTTTGCCCGTACGAACGGAAGGGCGTATAGATGCCTCCCTTGAGTTTATAGTTATCTGGGAAGATGCTGCTGTTGCGATGGCCTGCTGAGCTCAGCGAGACTACGCGCGATTGGTATTTTGGGGCAGATGCGGCTTGGAGTGCGGGTTGAAGTAGCTTAAAGAGCAGGAAGTGTGCTAAGTGATTGGTGGCAAATTGCAGCTCGTGATCTTGGGCACTGCGCTGTTCTGGACAAGCCATGACGCCTGCATTGGTCCTAATTGAAATCATATTAGTTGCCTGGGTGCTTTGATTCATTATTGGATTGTAGCTTACATCAGAACATTCAACTTTGGACATTCTTCGAGAAAAGACTCCGCTCCTCGGCGAACTGAGTCAAGGTCTGATAAATCCATCACTACCACGCCAACTTCTGGATACGATTCATCGTCTGTCGAAATCTTCTTCGCACACTCCCGACCCTTCTCAAATGTTCTAGCAGTAATCCACACTTTGGCGCCGGTCTTGCGGAGCACTCTCGCTGCTTCTGTTCCCAGACCAGCAGTACCGCCAGTGATTAGGATTTTCTTTCCCGTCAGCTTGCCATTAAGGTCATCGTCCTTTAAAACCTGCTCAGCTGTGGGTCTCTGGTCTCCTGGTCCGTTCGGTGGGATGTGTAACGAGACGTATCGGTCCATAGCAGCAGATGGCAGAGTATTCAAAGTTCGCCAGTACCCGGATATAGGAGAACAGATATCCGCTCTTCGGGAAAATGCAATTGCAATACAGTATATTTTCTATCATTTTATACTTGTTTGATCGATGACATGCTGAACGGAAGTAAGTGTACTACATCCGTTGGAAGTCTTGGTAGGCAGCACCGTAGTGTGGCACAGCATAGGTTTACCCACATTATAGAGCATCGTAAGCAGGCCCAGAACTATTGGCACTTTGAGTATTCCATTGGCATGACACAAGTCTCGGTACAACGAGATAGGAGCGGTGTTTGTGTGGTACCCTGCGTGCCTGCTACGATATTGTGAACGCGCGAACTGTTATCTCCTAACTCCGAACCTACATCCCTCATTCCAACCACCAAACCCTGTCGCGCATGCTCGGTGATATCCAATCTTAATTTAAGAGACTCCGAAAGCTTTCGGATCTATCATGCTAAGCCGAATAGTTGTGTCTTCTGCGGTCGACCTTGTCATTCTAAATGTTCCCGAGCTCCCTCTGTGGATGGCGTACCACGCCAGACAGATCGACAAGATCGAGTAAATAGTGTTCCGCAGCTGACTCCTCTCATTAAAGTCGTAATTTCTATACATCACAACTCACTGTCATATACTTAACCAAAGAAATCCAGGTACAAATTGGCGACCAACATGTATGTACATGAATTGCCCTCTTCCGTACACGCCGGCGTCATACATTACGCGTTTGGCTGTCGCAGGACTCCATCAGCACCATTCCAAAGCTCGGATAGACCAATACCACCCCACAATCACCTCCTCACTCCCACCTCGCCTCTCCCCATGATCCGCCATCCCTCTTTATCCCGTCCTCGCTATCCTCCGCGGTTTTTCTCAGCGTAACCCTAACCCAAATGACCCACTCCCACCCCGCCACGACCTCCGCATTCTCCCAAGCCACTATGTCATCCTCTACAGGATAGAGCCACTTGCCATCCTTCACCCCAACCTCAGTAACATCCCATGGCACTGCCCCACCATCCTCGCCAATCTCATCGTCTGGGATGTCGGAGACTCCAAGGTCGGAGTCAATGGGGGTAAAATCGAGGAGCCCAGCGACACGTAGCTCAAAAGTTGTACACGGCGTGAATATCATGGAGCAGAACCGTTTGGAAGGCATCTTGCGGGTGTAGAAGCCGATGGCGTGCCGCCCATCTGCATAGTAGTTCGGCAAGAAGAGTATAGTAATATCTTGGTCGCCCGGCAAGACGACCCACGTTGTCGCCATATCCAGGAATGGCATATCTTCCTCCTCAACAGGTGGAAATTTTGGTGGAAGTGTTTGAGGACCTACGTTCGGCAGATGCGTGAGGTTAGAGCTGAAATCCATGAAGGGTAGGTTTTTCTCGGCGAGGCGGATGATGGCGAGGGGAATGAGAGGATTGTAGGTATGCGCTTTGTAGATTGGCTGCGTGTACTCCTTGATATGGTTGGGAAGCGTCCTGTAATTGAATTGCGGATCTGATGGCCCTAAATCAAGCGTCTGCGGTGCGGTGTTCGGGAGAGGGTCACCGGGCGGGGCGTTGGGCGGCGCGGCGTGTCTGTATGTGTTGAAATCCACAGACACATTTTTGTACTGTGCGGCGTAGCGACGTGCGAAGTATAGGTAGTGCTCAAATCCTGTACGCGAGTTCCGACCTCCTGGAGCAGACTCGACGGAATTGACGACGCAATCTTGGAAGGAGTCGAGAGGCTTTATGCCGCCGCTAGGGGTCTTCTGCTCAGCAGTACCCGGATCGCGACCAGTAACTGGGGAAGCGGAGGAAATGTAGATGGCTTCGCGAACCGAAGAGGGTTGCGCAGGGCGTAGAGCGCTGACGGGTCGGCGCTGGGATTGAGGCTGCGGTCGAGAGCGCTTGATTGGACGTTCGGCGGCGTCATAACTGGTGGCAGTACGCTTAAGCGCGGACATGATGAATACTCGTGGGTTACCTGCAAAGAGCGATGGACTCGCCGGTACCCCTGGAAAGCGTATTTGCAGAGGCAATCGCTTTGATATAAAAAGCGGAAGGGGCTAACTGTAAGTGTAGAATGCGGGTGAGTAGATGCGAGTGAAAAATGTAGATGGGGTGTACAAGGGGGAAAGTTGAGAAACGACCAAGTGCGGGCATGAGATCACAATTTTGTTTGCAGCGGAGCACTTGTGCGCGATGTGTGGAGAGAAGGTGAAAGGTGAGGCTTCACCCACGGTCTGTGCGTTCATCGCTACCAGCTGTTCACCTATTGTGCACTCCCAACAATGATATTCGGAGTTCTACCTACCTAAGAGTCTTCATTCAGACTCTGACTCCGTGTCCTGCCCCAGGACTAGCGAGATTTTATCGTCATCGTCCTCTTCGCTGTCTTCTTCTGCCGGTTTCTCCGCCGTTGTTGGTGGAACTGCCGACGTGACTGATACAGGAGGGGCCACGGATATCGATGCAGCTGGCAGATCTGAGACCACTGCGGGTGCCTCTAATCCTGGAGCTACGATAGTTGTCGGCATCGCTATCGAAGGCTGTCTAGGCAAGGTTGAAACGTGCGGCTCCTTAGGTACCTCGCTCACCTTCACTCGCTTTGGAGGCGCGAGAGAAGCACCGTCCTCCTGAGGTCGCTTACCGACCGCGTTTGCACGCTCGAGGATTTCGGCTGAGCGGTCGTTTGACTCGACAGCAGTCGTGGCTGTGGCGCCCATATCAACTGCCTCTGCCATCACAATATCGCCCCCACTGACTCCTGACGTAGCTACTGTACCCAATAAAGTGTCCAGCTCATTGCCCACAAATTCGTCGTCCCCTTCAACATCCTCCAGCATTTGTTCCTTCTCGTCCCCTTCCACATCCTCTGACTCATATGTGCGCATACGAATGACTGGCATTCGGGGTCTTATCAAAGCCTCCACCTCTTTCTCGCCAGATTGGCTTCGCGCTAGGAATGGCAAGATACTGGCGGCTGGCTTCCCGAACTTCTTGCTGGGTGGCGGGTTGAGCACGCTAGCCATCATTGCATCCTTGTCCCGTACAAGAATAGCGGTACGATCCATGCGAGCTCTTAGGGAGTCCGATAAATGTTGTGGCCGTATGTGGGTGAAAGCAGCCGGCAGTAGGGTATAGGCGGCAGCATGTAGGCCCGCGAAGTCGCCAGAGACATTGTGCGCCTTTGGGGCCTTCAGGAACGCGTCAGCGTTCGTCGTTGCTTGCGTGTTCCCGTTCGTCTTTACGTTTGCTGCAGATTGTTTCGCTTGAGCGGCGTTCTGTTCTAATGGAAGTATGTCATCGCAGCATCTACGGATCATGTCACCAAGTGAATCGATCGAGGATTTGGGTAGCGCGACGCCTGATCGCCGCAGCAGTTCAGCGACAGCTGAATAACAAGCCGTGCGGACTTCCGGAGCGTTTCTCTCGGCGGCGAACACCCAAACCATCTGATCAAGCATCGCAGCATCAATCGCGACAGTGCTGGTGTCGCTGCGATGCGTGAGAGCCAGGAGTATATCGATAGCTGCCACGTGAATATTTGGTAAGATAAGCCAAAGATTCTCGCGCTCTTCCTTGCTGACCTGGTTGTTGAACTTGATCGCGTTGAGAAACCCCTGGCCCTTCGCTGACGGTATCGTAAGGGATAACAGTCGAGTAAGAAGGACCACCACTGCTCCAATATTGACATTGACAGGAATCGTGGTCGGGCAAAGAATGTAAGTCTTGATCAACTCGAGCAGACCGAGCAGGCGTTCGCCACCTGCGAAAATACCCGACCATGGCGGCAGAGACATAGGATCGGTGTTTATATCTTGAACCTCATCGTCTAGCGTATGCCCATTTGTAGTTGTCGCATCGCGTGACGAAGATTTAAAATCCTCCACGACTGCGCGAAACACCTTGTCACTGACGCGATGCGCATTGTCAATGGTCTTTTTGAAGGACACTTGCCATTCCTCGGCCGTGGCTCCCTTCGGCGCGCTGCATGGTATTTGGGTATAGAGACGTCGAGCAGCCTCCGAGACCGCAAGGGTTACGTCTGGCCTGATTCCTGTTGCTTGCTCTGGGCCGAGCTTGCTGGATGGGGTTGGCGCTATTGTCTGGCCGAGAAGCTGCTGGATTTGCTTGAGGTGAGAACGAAAAGTGGTTGGGTGTCGTGGGAGTAGCCGATCGAAGCTTTCTATAATCGTCTCCAGAAGGGCCGGCGAGGTTCTCGATGCTGCAATTTGTAGAGCTGACTGTATGAAGGGTGATAAAGATGGTGTCGTGATCTCACGGACGAGGGTAGGATAGTCCCGGGTGAGGAAGAAAATACGCGTTAGAGTAATGATGCATAATTGCTTCGAAGAGAACGGATCCGGTTTGGTCAGTATCCCTAGAAGTCCTCGGACCCATGGCAAGCTCTTCTGCAGCGTTTCCCAACCTCCGACCTCAATAGTCGACTTGATGAGAACAATTGCGGCCCATCTTCCTTGGATCGTCCGATCTTGGAGTAATGTAGATAGGAGTGTTCGATACCTGTGAACTGCTACTGAGGCCTCAGATGCGGTCTTAGAGGAAGAGGCCTGGGCGGAAGAGAGCAGTGTCCTGCAGCTAGCCAGAGACGCAGCTATGGCAGGCACATGTTGAGGAAGCTGCGATGTGTTCGTCGACGAGATGCGAAACGTCACCGCGCGCAGGGTCGCCAACTCAGTTGCCATGGCCGCCATTCGTTTCCTCCGCTTTTTGCAACCTTCGACGATGCGAATTGTTCGAAGCGTACCTGGATCGACGGTGAACTTTTTTTGGATGGCTCGCGCTAGTTCGCCGCCAAGCGACAGGGGTTTGTCGGCTACATTCACAGCGCCGCGCGGGACAACGTGTGTTGAGTGGCTTGGGTATTTGCAGTGTTGCAGTCATCTTTTCCCGGTATCCCTCCCTCGAACATGAATTTGCGAGTCCTCTTGCTCTGCCTGTCGCGATAGGCGTATTGCTACCACAATGGGTGTATGTTGCCCCCGTTCGACTGTGACTTGAGACCCCCCTCGGGCGACGTCATCTCCGCAATCTAGCTCACACTGCAGCAGAACCACCCAGAGAGCGACAAGGCTCTGCGCTACATCTCCCAGCTCGACGATGCTCGCTGTGCCGGACGGTGGAGCGACGTCCCCGAGCTGTGCAGGAAGGTCGAGAAACATGCGCCGCACCGACAATGTCAGCAGCCCACACTTCAACTCTTGCCGTAGCTAACAGCGCCGTAGGTCTCACCAAGACAGCGCGCGCCGAAGCGCAGATAGCCAGATACAGCACCCAGAGACCTTCGACCGCCTCCTCGACCGCATCGTCCGGCCTGTCCACCATCATACCAACACTGCTCACCGCCATCGACGAGGAGGGAGACCATGTGCAGGATGCATTCCAGGCCACCGTCTGTCTGGCATGGCTGCATTATGTGCTCGAGGAGCCCGGACTGGCCATCGCACGGCTGCCCAAAGACATCGCGGCAGTCGCGACCAAGATGCAGGAAACATCGCCGACCAATTGGACACAGGCGTGCATTGTCAAGGGCGCCTTCCTCAAAGGCTCGTCGCACGAGAAGACTGGCTCCATAGAGGAAGCCGTCACCTCCTTTGCATCAGTTCTACCGTGGCTGTCATCGAAGCCCATCGCAAATGAGACGCCCCAGTTCAAAATGTGGACCGAGCACCTTCTCGTGCGCCTCTGCCACTTGTCCGATCAGTCTTCGGATGCAGCCAGCCATACGGATCTCACAGATGCTCTTCAAGCGTTTCGATTCTGGGCCAAGTATTGGGAGACTACAGCAAAAAGTGGTGGGACTGAAGGCGCAAGTGCGGCCAGATACCGACGCCAAGCGTGGAAGGCATACTACGACACCCTATCTGCCATTCTGCGCCATGACGTGCCTTACGATTCCGAATCTGTTTCCGCGGAGCCTGCGACGGAGAAGTCCCCGGTGCTACCACGCACCAGGCTGCAGCAGCGTGCAGAGCTGAAGAAGGTCGAGACAATTTACGAAAGCTTGCTACTGAAGGAGACCCATTTCCCGAAAGCCAGCGAAAGTAACATTGAGATCGAACAATGGGTTGACTCCGCTATCGACAATTGGCGGGTTTTCTGTGGACCAAATTGGACAGATGCAGACCTAGGTGCTGGTGGAAAGGAAGCTGTGGGCAGGTGCATGTTGGATGTAGGTCATCCGCCAATCAAACTAAGGAGAGAGACTCACCTTTGCGCAGATCCTCTACAGAGCAGCCACGAAAACGTATCATTCCACTCAGATCCTGCGTCACCTCTTCGCTGTCCACGCCTCCCTCGCTGATTTTGACCTTGCATTTAAAGCGTACGATTCATACGTCGAAATTATTACTCGGGGCAAAGACCGTGCGGAGAAGACTGGAGAACGGGATGCGGGGATCGACGACGATAGCACTGTACTGAGGACGTCCGCCGAAGCTATCAGAGTTCTATGCCGTTTTGGCTCACGTGAAGAGTCTAAGAAAGCTCTGGAGATTGGCGAAACGATCGAGAAGTGGCTAGAACAAAGTGAGCATACCGGTCTGTCCGTATCTGACGCAGGCTCCACAAGATCAATCGAGACGATTGTAGAGCCCCGGTCTCTTGCTATTGCATACTCTGGAATAGCCATCAGCTTGGCACAATGGGCACGCTTCACATTCGAAGCGGATGCTCGCGCTCGTATACAAGCTAAAGCTGTCTCCTACCTTAGGAAATCACTCGCGCCGAAACTAGAGGAACCGAACAACCTTGAGGCTCTGTATGCGCTAGCTCTGGTCCTAGCGGAGATGAGGGACATACCTGGGTCGATCAAAGCTGTTAAGACAGCTCTCTCTCCTGCGACGAAGACCAAGACGTTTATGAGCGCGGATGGCGTCATTAATGCTGGTCATACAACTGAGTTCGGACGCGAGCGGAAATTGATCCCCTTTTGGCACCTACTAGCGCTCCTCTTGACTGCGAGATCGGATTTCTCTGCTGCAGAGCAGGCCTGCGAAGCGGCTTTTGAACAATTTGGAGATCCCACCATCTTGTTCGGAAGAGATGACACTGAAGGTTATCGCAGCGAGCATCTGAATGAAGTCAATGGCAAGAGTGAGCGAAGTGTTGGTATTGTTGACCGGATGGAACGTTTCGAGAAAACCGCAGTTCTCGAGATCAAAATGACGCAGCTAGCGCTCGTGGAGGTTGTGGATGGCTCTACCCCCGCAGTAGACGGATGTGATGAGCTTCTCGCTCTATACGCACGACTCTTTGGCGATCCAGCTGCCGAGAAGATTCCACCGAAACCGGCTACAATAGCGCCTCCAAAGAGCTCAGCTGGCACCATTCGAGGGAGCATCTTCCGATCAAAGGGGTCTGTCAAGAGCCCACTGAAGAACCATACCGCCCGTCATTCATCCGTCGCAAGTTCCAATGCGTCAGCGGCCGTCACTCAAACTTCTCAAGCACCCACAATCCAAGTCACCGACGAGAATTCAAATGGAACTGTAAAAGAACACCATCATCATCATCATATTCTACCTCACAGACACCACGACGATCACTCAGGTGTCCAAAGAAGTCCGAGCAAGCTGCAAAAAAGGAGTGCCAACAGCTTGCGCAGAAGATCCGAACTAGATGGGCAACGAGAACCCGAAGTACCCCAACTGCCAGATGGTGTTGCCGATAGTACACCTGCTCGGAGCAGCACTGTACGCAGTAGGTCCGCCCGGCGTTCTTCTGTCTCGAGCTCGAATCGTAAGTCAGTCGAAAGCAACGACCGCTCGCTGCGACCAATAGCACACAACATGCCGCCCACGGAGGAGCCTCCGCCTTCTGGTCACCTCACTCAGCCGCCTAAGCAAGATACAAGGTTACCTGCACCTCTCCCGAACCCAGGCTTCATCCCGCCGGAGCCACACTTCTCCAAGATTCAGGAGCGCCGGCAAAAGGTCTCTTTGCTGACCTCAATATGGCTTTTCATTTGCGGGCTTTACACGCGAGCTGACATGTATGACGACGCCAACGATGCTGTTACTGAAGCCCAAAAGCTCGTAGAAGCCTTCGAGGGTGAGGTAGCTCAAGAATCCTCGACTAGTAAAGCCTTCGCAGCAAGGGGATGGGGTGGCGGTAAGAGCATAGAAGAACTCTGGGCCGACGTTTACGCTGCGGTAAGCTGCTGTACCCTTTTTTTAATCCAGTATCTAACAAATCTCTACAGCGTGGAGAACTGCTCTCAGCCCGAGGTCTCAAACATGATGCGCGCGACGAATTCGAACGAGCTGTTCAGCATTTCCCCGATCATCCAGAAGCCATTGTCGGGCTCTCCAATATCTTGCTTGACATATACTGCAAGATCATTTCATTGGAGCGGACATCCAATCTGGGAGGTCCCGCGCCTTCGGCGCCGCAGTCTATCCCTTCAAGCGCGAACTCGTCAGATTCGCCAACAGCACATCTAACGGCCCATACGCCCTCTGCCGAGAATCAGCTGTCGCCGCCTGAGCTCACCCGCCTCGCTGCCCGAGACCGTGCCTTCGGTCTCCTTTCGACTTTAACAAAACGCGGTGCGGGATGGGACTACTCCGAGGCATGGTATGCGCTGGCCCGCGCATACGAGGAAAGTGGCCAACTCGACAAGACGAAAGAGGTGCTGTGGTGGTGTGTGGAACTTGAAGATACGCATCCTACCAGAAGCTGGCACAATGTAACTTTGGGTGGGTTCGTGTTGTAGCGTTTTTGCTTTGCCTTGCTTTGAGCAAGTGTACATACTTAGCAGCCCTTGATACCCGGGGAGCAATTATTCCAGTGATTCAGAAAACACACATGAGTGATGTATCAAGGATTTGGTTCCTTCCGTTTGTTGAGTAAACGAATGGTTGGGTCGTACCTCCGATACGAAGAGGAATCGTTTCATTACCATTCGCTCTTACGAGCAATGTACATGGGCCTTTTCCTCTTCAACCTCGGAACCAACTTCTATCTCTCTCCCCTCCTATCTCATCATTTCCAACCTGTTACATAACCACACAGGCCTGTATTCCCCGTAATTCTCCCCACACCGACGGTCGTCATGCGCCACCACGGTTCCGCTTGTTTATACGCCTATTTACCTGCCCGGTCTCACGCTGGTGAGAAAACTCGTCACCTGCGTTTTCCCGACCTTGTAACCTTCACCAGAGTTTCGAAGTCACGCTTTAGGCCTATATGGGACGCGACTTCCTCTTTCGAATCCGATCCGCAAATCAAGTACAAGTCGACGCCGAAGAGTTCCGATACGACGATAGCAACATGGGCAATCGAAGAGTCGAGGGGACGGATAGCGAGAACGACGTGGAGGCATGGTTGGAGACCGTGAATATCGAGGTGGACCTCGAGGAGACTCGACAGAAGATCGCGACTGAAGCACCCTCCACCCCGCAAACGAAGCCTTTGTGCCTCCAGCGATGCGTAGCACAGTTTTGCGAGGAGGTCTCGCCAACCGACACGAACTTTTCGTCCGATATCGTATTCGACTCCCCCATTACCCCAAGCTGCAACGCTACACTGAACCGTCGATGGGAGACCGACACCGAGGCTTCCAGCCTCGATGACGAAGACGAGGCGCGTATACGAAAGGAGATTCTCAGCAGCGTGGAACAGCTCGACAGTAAAGATGTCGAGAGCACAGTTCAATCCACTCAAACCTCTACTCAAGGCCTGATTACGTCGCCCGACGACCCTCTCCTCGACTTGGTCTCCCCAGATCTGACGTCAAACCTGGTTCCGCCTCCTGGACCACCCCTCGACTTCGACCCTGAAGCAACCCACCTCGTCTGTCTGTCCTCCTGTCTCCAGTGCGTTCTGTCCGGCCTTCACTGCTCCCGAACCCTGCCCTCATGTTCGCGCTGCATACGCAACGGAAACCGTGACCTTTGCCTCGTACAGCGCAAGCGGCTTCACGTAGAGGTCTTCGGCGAGGATGATAGCGTGGACACGGACCCTGTTCTATTAAAGGTAGAAGGCGACGGCATCGAGAAGTACGACAAGAAACTCAAACTGCAGGACGAGGTATGTGTTTCCTTTCAGGCTCGTTCCATTGAAGATGTGCTTGTGCTAATTGTGTGTCAAGCTGCTTAAGGTGTGGATGAAGCAACAGGAGCGCGGCAATTGGGTCATTCCGGCCAACGACGGCATCACGGGGGACTGGAAGACTACCGTTCTGAGAAATGCGATTGTGCATCCTGGCGAGGGGAAGGGGCCGTTGGCATATCACCGTATGCGAATCGCCGAGTGGCATGAAAATGCGAAGCGTGGGAGAGTCTGAGGGAAGGCAGAGCGGGGGCCGTGGGGAGTGAATTTAGGATCTGTCTGGAAAGATGATACCCAAGTTTCTTGATTATTGCATCACCGCGTTGGAGGTTTGGATCATCTTGCGATATGGATGAGCATTTTCTATACTCTATCGTTTAGGCGTGATGGAGTATCTGATTTAACAATTTCAAGCCGCACATATCCAAAGCATGTTTTGCTTCGAGAGCATTTTGTCTTGTCAAACAGCCCAATCCTTGCAGTCCATATGCTTAGAATTTATAACTTCGCCTTCCCACCCTCTCCCCACCCTTCCAACCCCATCTCACTCGTCATCAAGATCGCCGTATCCCTCAGCGCCGGCACCCGGTACTTGTGATTAACATCCTGGTACTCTTTATCCGCCAGCATATCCGCGAAATGTAGTATACTAGGATAGTGCGCAAGGGCTATCTCATCCCAGCCCACTCCATCCTGTGCTTCTTTCGCTCGTGCGGTACCATTGACATGCGTTACACCACCTACAATCTTCGCGTTTCCGCCGTGTGAAGAGCCGATAGATGAGGCGAAGGCCTTGCCATATTCGAGGTACGATGATTTCATGTCAGGGCGAAAGGAGAGGAGGTTGAACATGGAGACTGCGCCTTTGGCTTCTGGGGCGTCGGCGGTGGAGAAAGTCCGGATCCAGTCTTTTAGCTCGGCGGAGAGTTCAAGATTCTGCGCGGACGATGTAGTCTGCTTCGCCTCCAGTGCGTCATTGTTGAGCTGCGGCACGCTGCCTGGCTCAGGCTGCAGCATTTTGTGGTTTTTAGCTGCAAAATCTTGAGTCAGACGGGAGGGCACGCCAGCTGTGATCCTCCATGTGTGCAGGATGAGTGGTTGCAATGACGCCGCCAAGGCATCTGTACCGGGCAGTATGATGAGGAAGTCCCAATGGATGTTCCGCGCGAGAAGGTGCTCCGTGGAGAATGTCGACGGAAGGATGATCCACCGGATTACGCGGGACAACACGAGTGGTGAGAGTTTTGCAGATTTGAGCGCTGAGAGGAAGGATTGCTGCGCGTTGGAGTGGGCGGGATCGAGAGCGACGAGGTGAAGGGTGCAAAGAGGCATTTTTGTGTTGATCGTTATTTTGAGGAATTTTAGATTGTGAAAATTGAATAGGTATACGTAATTGCGTGTTGGAGGCAAATGGTAGTAGACAACATAGATGCAGAAGAGATGATGTAAGGTGGTTGGGGTAAATGCCGAGGTACAAGCACCAGTTGACCATACCACACACGCTAGTCACTCGTTGTCCTGCTCATCTTGCTCCATTTCATCACCACCTCTATCTTTTTCTTCCTCTGTCGGCCCAACTGTAGGGAACGATAAATGTTTCCAGTCCTCGATCTTAGAGGCCGTTAGCATTCGTCTACCAGAGTGCTGCTGTACAACTCACCTCCTCAATAATGCTTCTTAATCTATCCCTAATGCTTTCCACGGCGTAGCTTCCAAGTAGTAAACGCAAAGGCGGATAACTGCAATGTCCCAATTGCCATACCAACTCTGCGCTCTTTACCGCGCTCACAGGTTGACGATCGTTCAGCCATTGTATCATCCGCTTCGCATGACCAGCTGGACTCGTCGCAGTGTTATATGGCTCGCTCAGCTTCTCCTTCACGAAGAAATGTCCGTAACGTTTTGGTTTGGGTGGACCGTCTGGGCCAGGATTCTCACCGCCCACTACAATATCATCTGGCTCGTCCAGCCGCACATGCCCAGGCTCCACTAGTGTAGCTTTTATGTTGAAGCAGTCCACCTCGTAGAGCATGGACTCGATGAGGCCTTCGACGGCGTACTTGGTCGCGCAGTAAGGCCCGAGACCCGGGACGCCAAGGGCGCCGGATGTAGAGGAGAAAATAAGGTAGCGGCCAGAGTTTTGCGCGCGAAAGTGCGGGAGGGAGAGCTGGATGATGTGCAGGGTGCCGAGGAAGTTTGTGTTGAATTGATTGCGGAGGTCATAATCATCTTGGTCTTCGCATGCGCCAATCACGCCTGAGGGGCTTAATGTTTGCTATGGCGGATGAAAGAATGGAGACATACCATATCCGGTGCAACTGCGAAGCAAAGATTAGCTTGATAGTAAAACCCAGGTTGAGAAAATTGAAACGTACTTTGCAATGACATCGATGTGTCCCCAGTGCTCAATGCTCTTTCTTATAACATGATCTACCGTCTCCCTCACCCGCACGTCGCACAACATGCCCACACAGTTCTTCTCTTGCTCCCACTTCTCCATCTGCCCCATTGTGTTCTCCTGAGTCCACCCTACCGCCGTGCACCTGTCACCGTGCGATAGCAACGCTCGAACCAGTGAGCGGCCCATATGGCCTGTTGCGCCAAAAACCTACATTCGCGCCATCAGCGACAGCACCGCTAACAGAAACGTCAGACCCACGATCCATGATGCCTGCTTTGGGGGACTCTGTTCGGAGGGAGGGTCGGAACCAGCAGGAAGCTTCAAATTCGGGTGGTGCGACGCAGCAGCTGGCGACAGGCTTTGGCTGGCTGTATCGATGTCCATTGCGGAAGGAAGCCAGGACTGGGGCAGGCCGAAGGCGTTCCTGGAGGCGGGGATGTGGGGAGCTTGTGGGGCCAATCGGAGGCCATGGTTCGAGCAGCATCGCCGTCCCGCAGAGCCTCAACCTGTGCCTTTCAAGATTGCTGTAGTTGCAGGGTCGCAAAGAAGGCTTCCCGGGTAATTCGTCGTCCGGACGATTACAAAGTGTGAGGGAGTGCAGTCGTCTTGTATTCTGACTTGATGCTGTTGTCTCAAAAGAGCAGCTCTCTCTGATGATCGATGAGGAAACGTATGCCTTCGACGAAAAGCTGGCTAGGGACGGTATGCTGTCGATTCATAAAGTTGCTGACCAGTATGAACAAGACGACAAAGATATCGAGCAAGAGCGGTGACTGTAGGAAGAAGTGATGGCCGAGGATCAGAAAGGCCTGCACCCGATATCTGCTCCGTATGGACCGAATAACCCTGATAGTGCCCGGATCGCGAGCCATGGCGCATCAACAGATTCCAGCGTTGTCGGTTTCAAGGACCTGGGTGCGGTCGAAGATGTCGGCAGGGGTTGGCTTTGAAGATGAGTTGTTCAGTGTACTTCGTAAAGCTCAGGTAGAGGCCTTATCGATATCGGCTGTTTTAAGGTTCGCACCCCTGTCACTTTCCATTCCGCATCATTCAAGCATCGAGGTCCATTGACGATCCGTGTTCAGTTTCCAACGCAACACGATACCATGAAGAGATAGCTACCAAGGACATCAATTGCCCAGTCGCGACAATGGCCCAACAGCCCACCTCCCTACCGCAGCCCGCAACCCAGGGTTCCACGTACGTCCCAGCCCACCTACCCCTCCAGCCAGACCTTAACCACCCCACAGCCTCTCCTTCACACAAGGCTTCCTCCTCGGCCAGCTCTCCATAGCCCTAATCCTCTTCTTCTTCATAAAGTTCTTCATATTCGGAGAACTTCCCTCGGCCGACGACCGCGCACTGCACCTCTCGTCCCTTCGGCGCGCCCGCACCCTCGCCCACCAGTCCTCGCTCCACCAGCGCACCCGCTCAAATAGCACGACCAACCCTCTCCGTCCCAGGGCTTCGCGAGCTGTAATACGAGAAGCTGCCGCCGCAGGTGGGCCCAGCGTGGGCGCGATCCTCGCGAAGACGTACTACAACGTGAAGGGGCACCAGCCAGAGAGCTTAGACTGGTTTAACGTGCTGATTGCGCAGACGATCGCGCAGCTGAGAGCCGATGCGCGGCAGGATGGTGCGGTCCTGACGAGCCTTACCGAAGTGCTAAACACGGGGACCAAGCCATCGTTTCTGGGAGAGATCAAAGTGACAGAGATCGCGCTGGGCGACGAATTCCCTATCTTCAGCAACTGCCGCGTTATGCCCGCGGAGGAAGGCTTTCTTTCAGGCGGCAGCGGCAGTGGCGGCATATCTGGGACGGAAGAAGGACGGCTGCAGGCGCGGATGGACGTCGATCTGAGCGATATCATCACGCTGGGCATCGAGACGACGCTGGTACTCAATTGGCCTACCGACAGGGTCGCTGTGCTGCCCGTCGCGCTGGCCGTCAGCGTAGTACGCTTCTCAGGCACCCTTGCCGTGTCATTCATTCCATCTTCTTCGCCTCCATCAACATCTGCAAATACGCCTGCTCCAGAAGATGCTCCCCGCTCAACGTCTGCAAATACGCCCGCCGCTGCGGATACCCAACGCCCGCAGTCCGCGAACGGTACTGGAGAACGTGGCACACCACGGCGCCCCACAACACTAGCTTTCACCTTCCTAGACGATTACCGGCTTGACCTCTCCGTACGCTCCCTAGTAGGCAGCCGCTCCCGCCTGCAAGACGTGCCCAAGATTGCGCAGCTCATCGAGTCGAGGGTACACGCGTGGTTTGACGAGCGTGCGGTAGAGCCGCGCTTCCAGCAGATCGTTCTTCCATCTCTATGGCCTCGCAAAAAGAACACGAGGGGCGGCGAGGAGGGAGACGCGGATACGGGGTTGGACGATGAGGGCATTGATGTGACATCCCCGACGCCGGAGGCTCCTCGAGAAAGAGAAGGTAGGCCTACGTCGCTGCCGCAGACGCTAGAAGCGCGGATAGAAGCCGAGGGCGCAAAACTGAGGGAGGCAGAGGTACGTGCTGGCGAGCGGAGTCGCAGTCGGGATCATGGCGAAGGTTTGCGGTGGCGTGGCGAGCACCTGCGACAGCAGGGCCGGCCAACCGGACATCTGAGCAGGGAGTGGAGCGCGCGCGAAGTCGCGTCCTCGATGCCGGGCGGTATGCCTGGGTAACAGAGCTCAGTCATTGTAGATGTAGACGAGATGTACAGGAAAAAAGCATCGGTGGCGTAATACATGTTTGTAGCATAGCGAACGGCGTCACTGAACAAAATGAATAATCACTACTCTTTTCGAAGACGATCTCATTCCGCGACTCGTACGCGGCAGCACGAATATGCAGAACGTACTCCAACTAAGTAAACTTGAGGTATCACAATCATGCATCCCCAGCAAAGTACCCACGTGTTCGAACGCCAAAACCGCACCCAAGTTGTGCGCTATGATTCTATAGTACACTTTTACAGTGTGAAATTCCACAGCGACAGATTTCCTCCAGCGCCAGCAACTGAAGACATTGTAAAGGACGAAGATGCGCACATGAGCTGTCTAGTCATGCACCATCATCCAGTTAACACGCACCTTGCAGACAGTCCGCACGACACATAGTGGACCTATCCTGCATCGCGATGCGCAAATGGCAAAAAGACCCCGATTTGGGACCATCTCCAACAACAAATTTACTTTTGCGCCAACACGTAAGCCTATTGCCAGTGGGCGGCCGGCGTGGCAGCCGGCAAGGTATGTGCGTACTGCTTCGGCGAGCAAGGTGCCTCAGGGTTGGTAGGTGGGAAGGGAGGCTGCACCTGAGGTTTAGGTGCCTCCTGCGCGTTATAAGGCGGGGTCGGAGCGTTGAAAAGAGAGCCCAAGGGAGGGAGATTGTGGGGTTCAGCAGTTGGTAGAGGACGCTGGGTAACAGGGGCGATAGGCGCGACGGGAGCGCTCGGCGGAGCAGGAGCAGGCGGGAAAGCGGCGGGCTCCAAAGGCTGCGGAGGAAGACCGTTCGGCTGGGCGGTAGGAATGATAGAAGGGAGAGCAATGGGCTCTGGTGCAGGCAGAGGATTATCCTGCGGTGCGATTTGAGCGATTAAGGAAGTTGGCGGTGGCAGCGGCTGGAGAGGCGCCGCTGCTGTCGCTGCTGGCGCAGGTACTGAAGCGGGAATAGGGAGCGTACGGGCAGCGTCCATGCCCGTAAGCGGCGGGCCAGAAGTTACAGGGACAGACTGCGACGGTTCCTCCACCTCGACATCATCTTCCTTGGTCGGAGATGGTACCTCTGCTAAAGAGCTGGAAGCTTCCTTACCGATCTTTAGATGTACCACGAGGGACTGGGGCGATTCCTCGGTGTCGGAGGGTTCCTCGTCGGATTCTTCCTCCTCTTCATCCAGGTCCATCTGGTCGGGCTCGTCCTCGTCTTCGTCATCGCCATTCCAAGATGTCGCGTCATCCTCTTCACTCATGTCTTCGTTGTATGGTTCGAAGTTGCGCTTCTGGGTGTGTGTTGCACCTGCACCACGATTCGCAGCGCGGGTCGACCTGTCATGGGCAGGTCGTTCCGGCTCCTCTGAGCCATCAGACCGTACATAGTCTCCAGTAGCGGGTGAGGCGAGCTCCGTTGTTTGTCCACTGAGTAAGGACTCGCCGTACATGCCAGTCGCGCGGGACCGAACCTGGCGGCCACTGGCAGTGACGGTGGGGGCGCTGGGTCCAGTTGAGGATTCTCTGCCAGAATTGCGCGTCGACCGCCTAATGCCAGCCTCAGAATCCTCATCATCGTTTTCATCAAACGTATACCGCATGCGCTTGCCGCGGGTGCGGCCTTCGTAGAGGGAGAAGCCAGGTACTGGATGTGTTAACCTGACCTTTCGTTCGGCACGGTACAAGCGCTTCTTGCGCTTCTATGAGACTGTTAGCAATGACAAGCAACGATGAATGAGAAGGGCATGTTACCTCTTCTGTAGCCTCGAAACGCGGTATAGCGTTAAGCATGCGCTCACTCAGTGCCTTGGCCTCACGAGTGCCGTCCTGTTCCTCCAGCTTCGTTGCGAGTGTACGTATCTCTTCAATGGAACCTGCGACACTCCACCATGTGACGTGCTTCAGCGCAGGGTTGCTCTCCCTGTAGACACGAAAGGATGTGTCGTCCTGGCCCTCGATCAGCCAGTACCGTCGCTTGTCGCCATCTCGACCCCACGGCTGTACGGACAGCGGAATGTTCGTATCGCGGGGATCTTTGGTTGTACGCGACTTGTAACCGTCCTTTATCATATTGGTGATGAGCTCGGATTGATTCAGGCTCCACAGGACGAGGGCCTTGAGGAGATCGAGCTGGAGGCTATTAGTACGGGCTCCGGAGATGGGAAGTAGGATACTCACGCGATCCGTCGACGACATGTTGTTAAAGTTGCGACCGCCGTGCAAGGGATTTTGCTGATTCCATTTGCGCGGCCACTGAAGCTTCTGTGTCTGGACAGCTTCCTCGAGAGCGCGCCCATAGTGGCCCTTCCTGTAATTGTGTCAGCCATGGTATTGCTCGATCCGCTTCAATTCCACTACGCGACTATATTGCGCGAGTATGGATGCTGTGCTAGGAATGACTAACTCCACGGGCTTTTTGCGATTGTTGACCAGCCCTAGGAGGGCACAAAGGAGGCTTTCGACTTCCGAAGTTGGTAGGTCTCCTGTGACGCCTCGCTCGAGATCTTGAGGCCCTAGATGAGGGCATTTGGTCGGAAATGCATCAGCGAATCGTGATCGGAACATCACTATGAACTATAGCATGGACAAGTTAGCGGAGCCTCGAGGTAGATGTTGCGCCCAGTGGGGTCGCGATCACGTCGTGAATCGACGCGACATACGCGACGAGGACGTACAGCAATGTCAGGATTGTCTTCCGGAACAGGTTCATGTGGCGGCGAGGGTGCGCGCTTCTTGCGCGGCGGCGGAGTAGGCGACCGCTGCTTCTTGTCGAAGAACGACAGAATGGTGCCATTCTTCTTCTTCTTTTGCGGGCCTTTTGTCGCCTTCGAGGGTGGAGCTTCGACGGGCATCTCGTCGTCAGTCGCTGGGGGCGTTGAGAGGTCTGAGTCTGAAGACATCTTGACGGGGTGGGTGGTTGTCGTGTTTGAGGTGTGGCAGGCGCAGGAGCCCGCGACAAACGATCGAACAAGCAAATGAGGTAATCCCTCTCGCTAGTGCTCAACGGTTAATAGTAAATGAGCCTCCCGCAGGCAAGTGCGTCTGGGGCTGAGAAAGAGTCACAAGCTTGATTGGAAGTCGAGAGGATGTGGAAGATGGACAGAGTATATTTTTTTTTTCGCAGTCATGAGCGACTGTGACAATCTATCTCACGGACACAGTGCGTGCATATTCCCAATCAGGTCTCGCAACAGCAAGCGCCAAGATATGGACGCGCTTTCGGTGCTGATAATGGTATCAGGCCAGACTTCCACCTTTGCCCTACCAGTTTGCGGTGCTTTAGCATATAACGCAGCTTCGCCCTCTGCCTTGAAACGATTGAAGCAAATTTCTGCATTCCTAAGTTTGAAAAGCTTGGGGATCGTTGCGATTGAAACGTTCCAGTTCGCCCCGCGCAGGATTGGCTCAAAGTACTTGCTTTCCAAGCAGAATTTGACGTTCGACATCCCTCAACATGACCGGAGCTTTCAGCATCGCAAGTACACAAAGGGTGGGAGTAGGTTGGGATGTGTTCCAGGTCGCGCGCTAGGCGCACCAGACTTGATGATAGAATTCTGAACCAGCAAGGAAGGCTTCGCGGATAAATCTAAGCTGAGGATTATCGTAACGTCCCATAACGGCTCGCAACGTCCCATAACGGCTCGCATCTTCGCAGTTGGGCTGTTGCTTGTCTTCGTGAGGCCATTCCTCACTGCGGTGAGGGGTGAGCCGCCGTGCTAGTGCCAGGGTTTAGATACCCGGAAAACCTGGGGGGGAATCGACGCGCCAAATTCAGCACGTACTGATGCCACTGCCGGACTTGTTGCGAGACCGTTTGCGGCAAATTGACATGTCGAGCGAGTTCTCGATCCCAAGATTTCCGTCTCTTTCTGTGTACAAGTATGATTTTGAGGTGCAAGAAACGAAGAAGAACCAAGGTTAGACCGGAAGTGATCTGAAAGGTGATGCACCCGCGATGCGTGGTGCTGGGCTTTGGTAAGTGGGAAGTTTTGTGAGGTTGTCGGCGCGCGCGAGTTGCGCTCCAGTAGTGAGCCCAAGCGGTCACAACACAATTATCCGCACATTCTTCGATAGCCACTTGATGAATCCTGCGCGCATTCAGACGGACTCAACCACGTAGCTAAAGGAAACGGAAAAAGAAGAACGAGGACAACGGCCTGGAATTCAAGGAGATTACCGCGAACAAGAACTGATATGGTGATAGAAGCTGTTCATTCGGCTTCTATTTTGGCGAGATTATACAATCATTGTGGATTTGCGATGGCAATACGACGCAAATATGATCGTAGAGGGACAGTCACGACGCTCGCGATGAGGTGGAGTGAAATGAGGTTCTAGCCTATTGTGTATAGCGGCTTGGCTCTCGTCACACGGCCCCACTAGTCTCGACTTCACACTTCATCATGCACACAGTATCTATATGAGCTGTGGGCAGCTTTGAGGCTAATAATACCGGACGGATATTATCTATCACTGATAGATAATTTCCTTCTGCCTCAATGCTAACACTCGCGTAGACTATAGGTAGTCACTGTAAATCCTCAACCGCCATGTACAGCCTAGCGAGCATCCCAAAGCGGCATGGGAGAGCAAAGCGAATCCAGGATACCTTAATGCGAACGAGGTGTTCCCTTTCATGGACTCAATGCTGCATATGAAATGCATTTATCAAAATGTGGGTAATCTGTCGATTGTAACTTTCAGTTGAAGGAAGTTGAACAATACTTCAGATCATATCAAGCATAATTGATACATACCAGACCGCCCATGAATATGGAATGTCTCGTTTTACCAAATTAGCGGTGAGATACTAACGACACTAGATCAGTTGGTTTCTATGCGACCGGCTGCTCCACCTGCGAGTGCGTTTGTTGCTCCGCTATGCACCTAGAGCTCCGCGCTGGCATGGCTTGATGAATGTTTGGAGGGTCTGACTGTCTGAAATCCGGTCCGCCTAGTATCTTTAACCTATTAGTTCCACTCATCACAAACGCCACAATTGATGTACCTTCCACCGTAAGCCTAAGAGATTTGCCGGCTGCACCATGGACAATCTGGCGAAGCTCGAAAACAACCCGAGAGAATACTTGACAGAAGCTGTTTCATACAGAGATCTACTACCCATATAGCTTATTACCGTGTCTCACTATAGCCATGGTCATACCGTGGCGCTCATTCTACGATAGCATATTGCCCTACGTGTCTCTTTGATCAACTGTTCCAACTCTAGAAAAGAACCAAAGTCTGACAACATCGAGCTATGGTATACAATTGAGAATTTAACATGAAGTGAAAAGTATAATACGGATGGGGCTAGGAGATGCCATACCTCAGACCAAACGAACCGGTGACTGGGAACCAATATACTTCCCTTGCATTCCATCCGCCATTGAGTGCGTTTGTTGTCTCCACGCCTACCTAGGGCTTGCTAATCGGTTAGGCTGCACAGAGGCTGGTCCGATAGCCGGTCCAGCGGCCGGGCAGCCGTCGCTGACTGAGAGGTTCTCCACCAGGGGCATTGCCTTGCTGCGTTTGCTTCTCAGTTTGTTAGTCACCTGCGCGACCACGAGTTGGTCCACATGTTAGTTTTCTCCCTTATGGCTCTGTCGGCTAGCCGAGCTTCTATCTAGGTCGTCCGCTCTTGCCCACAGCTTCCTTTCCAATCCTCTCCCACAGTTTACGCCACTCGATCATCATCCCACACCATCAATTATCCACAGTACGACAGAAGTCACAGGTACGTATACGAGAGCGGCTGGCCTTTCTTCTATGTCATGTAACTTCGTACTGACCCTGCGGCATAATCCCATAGGTAGATACCTAAGGTACCTACCACAGGTACTCGTCTACGCATGTCATCAAGAACCGCCAACTCGTCAGGCAGGGACGGACGAACAACGCGCCGTCGAAAAAGTCAGGAACTGAAGGCTTTAGAAAAACGTCTGGGTTGCAATGCAAGCCTCCTTGAACAGATTCCCAGTACTTTAGACCTCGAGTACTACGAGGGCAACCTGAGTCTGCCGTGTAATCAGACAGCCTTGTGTGCGTCCATGCTCTACATCGGCACTGCGAACACGAACGAAAGGACCGTCGATGTGTTCGCCTTTCTCGTGAAAAATAATAAAGTTCGCAGAGTCGAATTCAGCGCATACCACGCCGACAGCCAGACTTATTCGAGCTTCTGCATCAGTGAGCATTGGAGTACTATGTTACTCCGAGACGAGTTCAAGGATAAGGATTTCAACCAAGAGCACTTAGCCGCCGTCGTGAAGTTGGTCTTCATAGAGAAGAGTAACGTGGAACAACCCCATATCCCGTTCTCGGAAAACTTTCTTAATGATCTTACGCGAGCGTGCCGTAGGCTTCAGCAAGCAGTCAAAAAAGCAGACCGTCCGCCAGAGTCCCGTCCTTCAAGCCGATCGGCCGCCACGCAGAGTCTGAGCGAGCAAGCTACCTATAGTAGCGTTGGGGTGAGTCTCGTTGCAACACACTCTATGGTATTTGCTAATCAAACATAGGCGACAAAGAGGAGACGGCTGGCGCAAGGTACGGACCGCTGGGCTGACCTGAGGACTGCTTTAGCCGAGCAGAAGATTGCGGCGGACGAGGTTGCGTCCAGCAACCAGCAGCTAGGGCAGATCGAACAAGATATATCCGCACTACAGGGGGAAAGAGACCAACTACTAGTGGTCCAGGAGGAGCAGAAAGAACGGGAAGCTAAGACCGCGGCTCGTGTGGAAGAACTGTGGGATGAGGATGAACCTATCAGGAAGCGTTCGCGGGTCTAGGAGGTAGCAATCTTCTGAGGCAGCAAGATCAGTCGTCGACAGAGAAGAAATTGGGGTGACGGAAGACCTTCGATGATTGCCGATGCTCCTGTCGGAGCTGCAACTTCTGACCTAACACAACCCTGGTTCCAAGCATCCGTCTCCCTTACATGGCTAGGAAAAGAGGCGGCAGCTAGAGGCGATACCTGGGGAGACATATAGAACAGTAGTTTTTCTTAGGGGGAGGGGATAATAGATATGTTTGCAATCCCCATCTGCCCCATCTGTCCGGAAGACTCTCCAGGGCTTGCTCAGTTTCTCCGTCCCCTCTTTGTCCTTCGACAGAGTCTCCGTCCGCCCTTCTGCCAGGTAGTCCATCAGCGGGTCCTTACCATGACACCTAAGTATAGATTGTCAACCTCTCTATCCGAGATAGTTGGTACTCAACGTGGCAACGCTGAAAGAAGGAAGGGAAAAGGAACAGCCGATAGAGTGAGGATAAGACAAAGACACAGCAGCAGTACGTCAGGTTCTCTAGTTTTGATGAAACAACAATAACATTACCACCAGACGCGATCTACATAAGGTCAACCTAACCAAAAGACATACCCAATTCGTATCATAGACATCACGGGATAGTGATATCAATCGTGAACCCCCGCCCATTTCCAGTATTCCTAGCCTTTTCCATATTCTCAGCCGTGCGTGAAACCCGTGTATCGTCAACACATCGTAACCAAGCTGCGACAGCCGCAGTCTTCGCACATGCCACCGAGGGATCTTTGACCGAAGCAGACGGCTTTTTGGGCCCTGGTAGGTGCGGCTGTCAGAAACTTGCAAGTCTACCAGCTCTTTAAGAAGCATGCGGCTTGCCAGCAGAGTCGGCCTGAGCACGGAGGTTGGCGGCGGTCGAGCCGGATTCGGAGAAGTAGCGGGAGAAGACCGGCTGGATGAAGGAGCGGAAGATGATCTGGGCACCGCTGCATGTTATTAGTTGTTGCTCATGCACTCAGAAGTACGAGACGTACGCAGTCTGGGGAAGAGCCATCCAGAGGACTAGGACGAACTTGAAGGTGTAGTAGAAGGCTACATTTGTTAGCTACGGATTTCGAACCTTCTATCTCCGGAGACTTACGGAACCAATAAACAGCGTTTACGGCACTCTCAAAAACCCTATGTCGGTCAGTATACAAGACAAATCCGTCGGTTTTCGCTACTTACGTGAGGAAAGCAAAAGTCACCCAGTACTATCCCTGGCGCGTTAGCATGACGTTCTTGATAGCCGAGCGGGGTAATTGGCAGAGGATGGGGCATTAACGAGGATGCGTACCGTGAGCCACTGCAGTTATATTAGCATATTCCATAACACAAAAGCTGCGACAACTGCCGCGTGCTACGGGTACGTACCTGGGTGTCATCGACCTTGCTGGCGCTGAATAGGGCGCCCAACGAGTAGTATGCGGGGATGGCGAAGCCAGCGAGGTTTACGAGGAGGGCACCAGCAATGTTGAAGAAGACGAGGAAGAAGTACAGGCCGACGAGACCAAGGATGGCGTAGACCTTGGGCACCGATGTCTGCTTCTCGAAGTTGTTCAGGGTGGGGTATTTCGACAGCTGCGCACACAGTCTGTTAGCATACGGGAGAGCCGCGAGGATGAGCAGAAACATAGAACATTAATCTCGCAAGCTCAGCGCTGTATGCACCAGGTTGGAACCACCAGGCACGCGCGTTGGTGTGGTATTGAAAAAGAGGGACGTACCTCCTTGTCGAGCTGCGACAGGTGAGCTTGTGCCTTTTCTTGAACAGACATAGTGTTAGTTGGAAGTTTATGGCCTTGCAAGCAGGTATGTGGGCGTTATGCGGCGACTGGGGAGGGCTGAGGTGGAGTGGTACGAGGCGCGTGTGAATGTGTCTTTATGGAGACTCGGAGTGGACAGTGTTTGTGCGAGGGGCACGGCGTCATCGCCTAAGCAAACCAGGAAACGACGTCACCCGAGCTTTCACAAGCCAGCGGACAGGCGCCCTGAACAACGCCAACAACAACACGAATGTAGAACTCGCATAAGTGAACGTATTCTTGGCCATGGGATTATTGTTGCTATGATTTGTAACACACTCCAACGTGATATCAATACTGCGTCTACATGTTCAAGCGGTCACAGTGCACGACTGTGAAAGCCGCCGCACGATAAGAGCACAACACCATTCCTACGCATAGTCTTCCTTTTAATTGAATCCAAACGTATTTTAACAGCTTGCACTCATGCTTCGCACATGTAATGATTACTCGTCCTCGAAGTTCCATGGTCTGGGTGGAGTCACGTGCGAGTCCGCTTGCGATCCTTGCAAGGTTGGAACGGGACTTAGGTAAGCGTTTTAGCCGTTTCCTCGCCAAACAAAGCATCAACAAAAGCCAAAACATTGCCGTGCGCATCCTCCCGAACAGCTTCACGACGCTTCATTTCTTGGACCCGCGGGATGTTATAACTAATACTTGACTTTACTCCGTCCATCGCTACCGCTGCCTATTTATCTTCGACGGTTTCGCCCCCATCGCGAATCTCCCCAGCAACGGGCTCATTGCAGCTCGTACTCGATCGACTGTGGACCGCCACTTGTGGATACACCCATAGCTACCACCAGCTGTGCAGTTCTTGGGACACTCCTAGCAGGTTGTGATTGCCCCTCAGCGAATGTCTGGCAGCAAGACCGGCCATCACACAAGGATTGTTTGTAAACACGACATCTAACCCACCAGGAGCCGCGCCGAATCACATCACCACAGCGTAACAGCTCCCATGACCGCCCGCAATCACCGCGCGCAATCGAGCGCGTCTGTTTCGGTGCGCAGCGCTGTCGGTGTCCGCCCGACCAGCAGCGCATCCACCACGAGCCGCCATTCGTTCGACCAGCACGACCTCCAAGCCCAGTTCCAGCGCAGCCAGCACCAACCCACTCCGCCACCCGTCTCCTTCAATCAGCAGCTGCAGTACAATTCGTCTTTTGCAGGACCGCTTCTACAGGCCGCCCAACATGTGAGCCAGCAAGAGAATGTAGCTATGGACCCAGTCCACCAGCTAGTGGGCTACGTGGGAGACGCACAGAATGGCATAGGCCCGACGCACGGCTTGCCCCTACAGCACATCGACCCCAACGCACACCAATCCTTTCAATCAACGCAATCACAATCGCAGCAGTTTCCGGTAGAGCAACAGCACTTCGTGGCGACACCCGTGGAGGTAGAAGACAAGAAGAAGAAGACTGGAGGGCCTACCGCTCAGAATGACAAAGAGCTGCGCGAGATGCTTCGGCACAACATGGGCCGCAAGCTGAAGGAGGTCGCTGCGGAAGTGCTTGCCACAGATCGCACTTCAAGATCAGAGAAATCGAAACAGCTCTTCGCTATGCTCTGGTTACAGCAGGCCTGCACCATTGGAAAGACGTCAGTACCACGAAACCGTGTCTTCTCCAAGTATGCAAGCCGATGCGCCAACGAGCGTGTGGTGCCATTAAATCCTGCTTCCTTTGGCAAGCTGGTACGGGTCATTTTCCCCAATATCCAGACTAGGCGACTCGGTGTTCGCGGAGAGTCCAAATACCACTACGTGGACCTTGAGATGGTTGATGATGACGAGACCCAACCTCCGCGCCAGATGCCCCGTGTTCCGACATCGCGCGGTCCCCTGAAGCGACACGATTCCTCCGCTTCCCAGCCGCGCATGTCCGCCGATACTGCCGCATTCCCTTCTCATCAACAACAGTCTTATTCGACAACAAATTACTACCCACAAAACTCATCGAAAGGCCGCTGCTATGCCGACATCCACTCGCCGCAGACTGCAGGATATGAGTACGAGCTTCGGTTCCCTACTCCGGAGCTTTTGAACAATGTGGAAAGAGATCCCTTGGAGATTGTTATGCCGGATGTATTGCCGTACCTCCCGGAAGGAACAGACCCAGATGCCTCGGAAGCACTTGTAGCTCTGTACAAGAGCCATATTACTTCGCTTGTCGACGCTGTGCGATTCTGCAAGGAGAAGCAGTTCTTTCGGCTCTTCACATCTTTCCAAGGAACCTTGACAGTACCTGTCGCAAAGCTCTTCGCCATGGAAAAACTCAGCCCATGGATTCGCGAGTGTGACTGGATGATGTACCAGAAAATGATCCGCAATGTTGCCCAACTTACACTTCAAGTCGCACCTGCACCGGTCCTCAAGTTCCTCGACAATGTCTGGAAGTTGCTTCATTCCCACATCAGCAAGGCTTTCCAGAACCTCCCCGCAACTGTCTTAGCGGCTAGGCTGGAACCTGCAACTGTGTTCTCCCATCTCCTCCGACAGATGCTCCGCGTTAACTCCACGGCACACGCCGCAGCTGTCATGTTGACCGTGGACGAGAACCGTGATCGTATGTGGGGCGATTACCAGGCATATGTTAACATCAAGCGCATCTTGGAGAATGAACTGCCGCACTCGTGCAATCATGAGCTAGTGGCTGAGATTCTGTCTAAAGAGATTCGTGCCATATTCCTTCCACTCAAGTCCGAAATGTGGTTACCTGATGGGACCTTCTATCAAATTTCGACTCCAGATCCGCCTGTCGATATCCTGCAAGAAACTGTCATTGATCGGATTGCGGCGTTCCTCACTAGGCTTCCGTCTCGCTTTCCCGATCTTTCAGCACGCACAGTACTCCACACTCTAAATGCAATCAGTACAGCCATACTGCGTGAGATAACTGTTGAGAATGGGCCGAGCTTCCAGGGCTGGTGGCTGACCAAGGTGTTTGTTGATGAGATGGCCGTCTGGCTGGCATCTTTGGGAGGCTTTCTGTCACACCAATTCCCTGTTCCGGATCCCAGTTCTCCAGGGATGCTCGGTGAGTCGATGAATGCTGGCATGGCCACTGGCAGCAGTGGAAGTCAGAATCAAAGCCGCTTTGGCAGCGAAGAGTTCGGTACTGGCGCGTCCTTCATGGGTGGCAATGGTAGTGCTTCTATGCACGGACCGAGCAACATGTCGCATCCAGACAGTGAGTTGTTCCCATCGCTTCTCTTTCTCTTATTCATACTGATCAATGATGTTTAGGCCAACACCGACAGATGACTGCAGCACAAGCTTTCGACCTTGAGTTTGCTCTCTCTCAAGACACCGCTCTTGACGATAGTGGGATCAACCTGGACGACAACATTGAAGCCAAGTTTGCCGCCGCCATGCAGCAATTCCCTCCAGTGTCTCAGATGCCCGCCTGAGTCGTTCGAATCCACTATTAGGCGCGTGCAGCTTCTGCCATCAATCGGCCTTTTGCAGGGACCTTCCGCATCTTCGACGGCCTCTTCGTGGGCATGTATATGCCTCAGGCTTTCCGGGATCTCTTGTTCGTGTGAAACCGGCGCAAGCACAATCGACCCTTCCTCGTTCCCCTTTAGACTCTTCTTATGTTTTACGCGATACGATGTCTCCGACTTTATGACTCCCTCCTATAACCGGCCGTGGGTCATTGTTTATACGACTTAATTTTGTACACATGCGCTGTGCGCCCGCTTACGGCGATTCTTCGCGCTTGTATCCGTGTTCAATGGCGGAACTTTGCTCTCTGGTGTTATGGCGCTCCCTTGGGATGCTTCGGCGTATTTGCGATTGCTGCAGCGGATTGCTATACTCTTGTCCATTGGTGGTGGTTGCGTTGCTATGTTTGCGTACGGTAAAATTCGGCGGCGTGTTTGGTGGGAGTGTTGAGGATAGTGTTGTGTCTTGTCTTCACTTCTTGTATTATCTGTTGGATGTGATGAAGTCTTTTGCATTGAGAGGCGTTTCCCAGTATTGGTTTAGTACTGGTCCTCTGGTTTGCAAGGGCCTGGATAGATGAAGAGTCTGCAATGGAATATTGTCTTAACACAATCGAGTGCTTTTGCGCGTATTGTGATGCCGTGGAAGTGAGGATGCGCGAGATGTGTGAGTAAGTACATGAAATCCAAGTGAGTAAGCGGGTTAAAAGGTCTTCAGCTTGCTTTGTTGCTCGAGGTGATGTTGCCGGGTCAAAGGTGATCGTCGTGGGTCGTGGGTGCCAGTGTGGGACAACAATTGGCGTGGCAACGAGACGGATGGACATGACTAAGTCCTACTTCTCCCCAGTAGCTTTCGATTGATATTTGCCTTCCCTACAACGAGTGAAGGCTAGTGTAAAGTGTCCTGCTGATCTTTGGCAGTAGCTCGCGTGGCGTTCGTCTACGTTTCAGCCATTATGCGGGCCGTCAAGCGAGGCCGTAGTTATATATCATGAAAGCTGGTGTCATCAGTGCTACAGTAATACGAACAGTTCAAGAGGTCCAATCCGCGCTCGCTGTCACTGTTCGCCGCTGTCGCTTTTATCACCTATGATACAGAGCAGTAGCACGCAGCCTGAGGAAGGTATGCAAACCAGGTGAGATCAATGTGATGCTGTTTGAGCAGGAATATTGGCAGCGAAGTATATCAAGTAGTGTGGTCTCGAAGTATATCAAGTAGTGCGGTCGCGAAGTATGCCAAGTAGTGTGGTCTCGAAGTAGAAGAGCAGAGACAGTGGGAATATATTTTACGGTCGTACATGCGAGGTTGGGAGGTTTACGGGAGAATTCTGGCTTGGTGAACTGTTTGTGTTTCGGCATCCCAATGGGTTCCTCTGTTGCGTTGTGCCGTAGATTTTAGGCGGACGCGAGACACTCAACTCGATCTCGGGAGAACAGTGTCGTAATAGCATATATTGACTGGTGTACACATTCAGATAGCCGTCGGCTACTGTGCCTTGCCTTCGACCGGTAGAAGCTCATCCAATTATACGCACGTCTCGTATGTAGCATACTGCCTCGCGGTCTACGGACAAGTGATTTGAAAGGTCGTCAATGTTGACATAGTTTTTCGCTAAACAATGTACACAAACATGCCCACAAGTCTTGCAGCTTTCAATGAGACCCTTCAATATTGCTCGATAATATTGTTTTTAAGGCCTGGTACATGCCTTGTTCCTGTCCAATTCCCCTTTGTATTTTCAACCTTTGTAGCCCGTAGTGTCCAACGAGTGAATCGTATGTGGCATCACCCGGCAACCAAACATAAACAACCTGCGGCTGGAAACCCTTAAAATTGACATTTGTCTCTCTCTCGAAAAGCTCACTCAAATACCACATACTTCCTTAGCTCGACGCAATAAGGATCATTCTCCTCGCATGCTTTGGGAGACCTCACTCCAGGTCTGTGCTGAATTAGAGTCTGCTATGTCAAATCCAGACTCTCTACCTGCTAAGACCAGCATCACCCCCATATCATCATCATCGAGGCAAACAGCCCGCGCACTGAATCTTACGTTCCTCTGTCTTCCGAAACACATCCGTCGCCTCATCTATGAGCAGCTTCCCGCCCGCACCAAGTACATTTCCGGTTACCGAGGCGAGTCCAACGACCAGGTATACAAAAACAAGCCCGTCGTCATACTCGTCCTGCGCTACGTCGAACGCACAATTTTGCAAACTTGCCGCCAGATCGCCACAGAAGCAGAACCAATTCTCGAGATCAAGACAATGAAGCTCGGCCCACCGTGTCTTATCGTTGCCGCAGAGTATTTCCACCGTATACCGTAAGTCAATCCGCGGTTACACGAGGTTGCGTCTTTTGACCGACAAAAGACTTGTTCACAGATAATTACTCAGCTTGTTTTGACTTACACTGACATTGCACTCGCGACTTAGACATGACATACGATTCCTGCGCCGGATGCAAGATGATGAATTATGGCAACGGCTCAAAATTACGAAGGAGCATCGAAGCGACAAAGACCTGAATGATCAGCGCATCCTGATGTGGGCGAGGATTATGCATTTGAACTTGCTCTCCTCGAAGATCATCCGTATTGGCATCTTCATCAGGAAGTATGAGCAGCTGGAGGAGGGAAACCCGTTTCTGGAGAAGCTAGCGGACAGTGCGAAGAAGATTGAAGAGCAGCAGTGGGGGAGCAGCGGAAGTCGTCGTAGGAGGCCTTTGTACGAGGTCGCTGTGGAGTGGGAGGGTAGCACGAAGGCAAATTCTGCCACGGATACCTTGCTGGGTGAAGGTTTGCTGGCGAGTAGTGCGGTGAATGGGTATGCATTGTTGGAAGAATTCGGAGTGTGGAGTTTCCGGCAACTGTTCTTTGTGAATGAGTGGCTGTGGAAAGACATCTCTGGGTGATAATCGGGGAATGAGCCGTATACCACGTCAGTTGTCGTGACCTTCGCGATTTAGGCAAATGGCATGAAGACTTGATCCAGTCATGGAATACGATATTGAAAGATGAAGAACCAATACATGGAAAAAGAGCATTCTCTCTACTACCAAAAGCTTTGCTATACGATACAACAACTTTGCTTGCAATATTTACGAAAACTAAACTATCAAACATCATGGGGTAGATATATCTTCGGCCACATAAAACCTATGAGCCTAAGGGCTTCAAACATCTCGCCCTGAACACTGTCTGACAATTGTAGACACACATTATCCGTTTTTATCAAGGGGGAGCACGCGTTTGAGCGCGAGGGCGACTATATCCGAGATAAGAAGACACGTAAGAAGGTGGCTTATGTACCGCGAAAGCCCAGTACCCAGGCCCAAGAACCGGGTCCAGGGGCGTCAGGCCAAGTTCCAGCCGCGAACCCAAACGCTGGAGGCTCTCAGCAACCTCCTGCACAGTTCGGCACCCAAATTGGAGGAAGCAACAGGACGGTTGGTGGTTTTCAAACAGATCAGCCGCAGTTCTTTGGGCAGGGGAGCAATCGATCAGGAGGAGCGGGTATGCCAGGTCTTAATCCTAACGCCTTCAATCACCCGGGAAGTGGACAGGGACGGTCAATACAAAGTGGGATGATGGGAAGTGGAGCCCAAAGTGGGCGATCGAACATGCAAAGTGGTTCTAGAGCAGGCGGACTGCCTGTTCCGCAAAGCGGACAAAGCGGATCGAAGGGAGGCCGGCCTTCAGGAAAGCGATCATCTCGTAAACGGGGCTAATATAGAGGGCTTTGTTTTGGCGAAGATGTGCGGTCAATCTATTTAACAGTGCTGTACATTCTCAACGTGTACTGAGACCCGTGGACGCTTCTGTCGCAGATCTTATGGAATCTCATAGCTATAACTCTCAATATTGTCATTGATTACCTCTTTCACATATTGCGCGTCTCTGAACCATGAGCATTAGATTGCCTATTCTGATTCCGTGTTCAGGTCATCAAACCATTTACAACTTTTAGGAAGTGCAACCACAGATTCGAATTCGACTGCCAGCATACAATTTGGAAGTTCCGAAGAGGTCATACAATCCAGATTTCTTTGACTCACATAGGCCCGTAATCAGGTCCCCTGGAAATGGAATGTAATGGTTTCGACACTTATTCAATCTGCTTTGATGTTCGAGTTGGCTGTTGAAGTGACGGTTCTTATATTCGCAAACAACTGTTTGACATTGGCGTTCAATTAATTCCCAAGTGCTAAGATATCCGCCAATAAATATATATGCTAGGTTTACAATCTACAGATTTTCAAAATATTTTCGTCAAACCATACCACTTTTCAAAAAACCTAAAACAGTTCATCAACGGCAACATCTGCATATTAATAATGCCTTGTTTCGGAAAGAGGAAGGACAGCAAACGTGCTATGGACATGCTCGTTTTCGATGACGAGTCTTTCATGATGGTTCCTAGGGGCGACCGACCGTCAAAAGCTGAACTAGAAAGGATGGGTCGCAACTCGCACCCCGGAAGGTGGAGGGAGGGACCCTGGGCCGGCTTCTACAACTACACTGCTTCTCCAGCTGATCCAACATACGCGGCGCAGCTTCTCCGCCGAAAGCATCCAGAGCTTTTCGAAACACAACTCTCCCAAACACAACCCTTCCAAACACAACCCTTCCAAACACAACCCTTCCAAACACAACCCTTCCAAACACAACCCTTCCAAACACAGCAAGAACAGAGTAGGGCCCGGACACAAAACCCACGCGGGAGCCATCATAGCAGCTCTAGGTTAGGAGGTACGCAAAGAAACTTCTATGGTTACGAGACCGATTCGCCGCAATTCTTTGCGCAAAGGGGCGGCAGAAACAGAGCAGGTATGCCTGGTTTGGATCCCAACGCCTTCAATGGAGGACTGCGTGGGCCAAGGACACAGTCAGGGGGCGGGTCCGGAGGCCCAGCATCTATTCGAAGTAGTCAACATGGGAGCGGGAGAGACAATCAGTTTGCTCCTGGTTCAATGGAGGCCAATGGGTCTCAGAGCCAGAGCGCCTATGGTCGACGACCAAGTATGCGTAGGTAGTGAGCGTTCTCATGCGGAGATGTGGTCGTTCGGTACTTTGCAGGTAATATGTATATTGAGTTTAGCTACCAAGGCACCTAATCTCGGACTACATGAGCCTTCGCTTCCTTCTTTGTGCATCTTGCCTTCACCGTCTCCGACATGTCCTTTCCAAGCTCAGTATCCAGCTTCGCAAATCCGTTGATGACGCCCTGCTGATCTCCCTCAGGCAATTCTTGACTCATCTTCCACTTGCCTCCAATGTCTGAGATCTCGATTTGTATACCAAGAATAGCCTTCTTTAATATTTCAACGTAAGACTCTGGCGCATCCTCGACTACCCAGGGCTTCTCCTTGTTACCCATTATTTCGACTTCATTGTGGTTCGTCAGGTCACGAATCTGCTTGTTGAGGAAGGTGTGGGTAGACTCGGCTTTCGTGTCGTAGAAGATGGTTGCGCGACCGTAAACTTGGACAGCCGAGTAATTCCAGGTAGGTACCACTTTTCCACTCGCTGGCTTGGTCTCGGTGTAGAATTTGGGCGTGACATAATGATGAGCTGGGCCATTGAAAGTGACGAGAACGTCTCGAGTAAGGGAATGTGAACCGTCCGCGTTGTTCTGGCCTTCTCGTGCCTCTTTCGCAACTTCGGTGAATGACTTTGCTTGTGGGTTTGCTCGTGCTATGTGGCCGCGAAGAGTGCCGAGTTTCGTTTTGTCATCTTCAGGGGTGTCCAAGACCCATGGAATGTGACTGGACTGGAGGAACTGGAAGGTCTTTGAATCGAGGGCCGTTATCAGGAGACCAAGTGGGTTTTCCTTGATAAATTGATACAAGGTAGGGATGTGTTTCTCGGCGTGGACGTCTCGGAGATACATTTTGAAGTTACAAACTGCGATTTGGAGCTGATGTGTTGAACAGACCAACACTTAGAAGTAATACATATGAGTGGTATGAGTCTAGACAACGGCGGCTATTAGCGGCGGCGCGTACAGCGTCTGTGGGTTTTGTCAGGGACAGCACGTTGCAAACATCTGACCAATCAGCAGGTTTCGATTGGCAAATCTTGCCCCACGGCGCATCTGGCAGTGAACCCCGCATGGAAAGGTTCCATACATTCGAATGTTGACTGTTTGTAATAAATACCTTCTAGACAGCTACGTCTACCGTCAACATCTCTACAACCCGATCGTTGTACGCCACGGAGATGCATGTACCCTGCGAGCAAAAGTTCGTCATCGAGGAAAATACGTAGAGCCATTTAAAAGTTGTATATTTTTGGTATCTTGTTTGTAATGTACTGTCTAGACGAGACGATCATGCTTTCAACAGGCAACGCAAGACCTTGACCTCTGGTGACAATCCGCTCAAGACCTGACTCAACTCTTCCGCTGCAGCGTTCAACTGATCGTCACTGAACGGCTGTAATGCATCCATGATGATCAACACATTTGTGGTTTCATCCGTCAATGCTGTCCTAGGGCCTTGCCTCCAGTTCCAATTCCGACAGGTGACACCAACGTCATCGCACCAAACCACCTCTCCTTGAGACGGAGGATCATTCACCACCTCCCCTCGCGAGTTCATCTCGAACTTCTCATCGCCCTTTGCACGGATCAAAAATGGTGCTCCTGAGTACTTGTCGAGATCTTCGCCGCCAAGCGGAATCTGATGCTTCACAGAAATGGCGTTATAGATATCGGTCAAACGGTTGACGCGCGGTAGGCCTTTTTCCACGCGGCGCGTCAGTGCCTCGAGGCTGTTCTGAGTCTTCTTTGGCTTGGCACCAAATGCGGTATAAGCTTCTCGCCAGGCTTTAACATGAGGGATATCGGTGACTGGTGTCTTCGCGAGAGTCGCTTTGGCGGACGCTTCAGCTTCCTGCAGAAGTGCCTCGCTCTGCGCGTCGCTAGGTGCAGGCGGAATATTTGTGATGACCAGGAGGAGTGCACGGTAATCAGGCCGCAATTGGAAGACCTCAGGTGCTATGCGAGCATTGTCCAGGTATTGTTGGGGATTGGCAAGAGTAGACATGGTGATGGATAAGCCAGTCCTGAATGATGTGTGGCGATGGATGGGATAGAAGTTGCGGAATGTGCGACGAATATAGCTCATGTAATGAATCTAGCGGCGAATACAGATGGAGAACTCAATCTAAATACTTACTAAATTGTACTGCCTTTAAAAAACTAACATCGAAAATTTGACGTCTTCGACATGTTTTTGACGACAGGGCGCGAATGTCAATTGTTGTTTGCGGCCGTGCTGAATGGGGCCTCGGCCCGATGCCGACAATGCTGTCCGGCTTCCCGAATTGGCTTAGCTGGATGGCTTCCGTCTCGCTCGCTCTTACTATCTTCGGCTCCATCGTTCCATCCCATCCATATACTTCCATCTCACTGCACTTTCATCGACGCATTACGCTTGAGTGTGCAGAATCATGCGGGCTACACGTGACTACCTTTGAATTGCAAATTGGCCTACTCTGCTACGATGCATCAACCCTCACATCCAATAACCCTCCATATCGTTTTCGAAACATGTAGAGAAGTAGTCATACATGATCATGGATTTCCTAGTATGTGACGCATCATTTCATGTTGCATGAACTAGCGTATGTTTGATATCGTGGCAGCTGTACATTCACAGTCACATGTTCAGTGAGCATCCATGGACCCTCGTTCACATGCGGAAGTCTCGGTATAATGGCGATCAAAGCTGTTTGCAAGGGCAAAACGCCCATACTCAGAGACGCGCTGTGACCTGTGATAGAAGTATGTTCTGTGGTACTAAGATCATTCGCGCACTGGCTCCAGCTCTTTGGTAATCAAAAATCAGAGCAAGCCGTAACAGCGCCAACCACGTAGTCGATGGGTAACTGTTACTCGTCAACACGAACCCAGTTGAGTCCCAAGTATTCCTTCCAAGACCACACAACTCCAACACATCCCCACATGCAGTACCCCAGACCTCATCATCCATCCACAGAGGTCCGAGAGTCTTTCTCATCAGTACTCAATCATCGATTGAGAATATAGTCAAACATACCACACCCTCAGCACCCATGGGGGCACCTACAATCACTCCTGCAGTTGTACGTCTCACAGCGGAAGTGAAAGTCACTCATCTTTTCGCTGATGGAGTGCGCAATGCAGTCTGTGTACTCTCCCTGCTCGACGAAGTGGCCGCGAGCGTAGCGGCAGGCGCGCCGTGTGGCTTCATTGTGAGGTTTTCCGCCGTCTTTGTTGATGCACTTGCAAGCGAGGGACGAGGTGGCGAGGAGAGTGAGGAGGAGGGCGAGACTGGATGGTAGAAGCTTCATTATGGACAGGAAGTGATGGTTTGTTCGTGTGGAAAGGAGATGTGTGGGTGAGAGGGATGTTGTGGGTGATGAAAGAAGTGAAGCAAGATGGGTTGTTATATTGTAAGAATGAACAGACGAGCGTTTGGAGGGTGCTTCGAGCTGGCATACAAACAGTGAAATTACTCGAGATCCATCTTAGTGTTCGCACACGCAGAAATCCCACGCTGGAGAGCTATGACGTTCGTGAGGTTGATGCTGTTGAGGAAGACAAGTTGTTGCCAATTATGTTTCGGTCAGTTACTCATGACCTTGCACCTCCCGGGCCTTCGCTGTGAGCTCAATCCCAACACCCGTCCTCGCCAGCATAGCCATCCACCCCCTTGTCATCACCCTCAACGTCCCTACCCTTCATTAGCACAACCCCATACCCATTCCCCTATAACGACTTGCAAACTCACGCGCAACCCACCGAGCAACTACAATTACTCCTGCACGCACGAGTCTCACATATGAAGTCAAAGTTGCCCAGGGCTTCTGATATTGAGTGCGCATCACAGTCTGTGCCGACCATGAGACCAACGCTGTTCCGGCAAGCGCGTCGGGTAGTTGTGTAGTCCGGCGTGCCTTCCTTTTTCGAGATGCATTTGCAGGCGAGGGAAGGCGTCGTGAGGAGAATGATGAGGAGGAGGGTGGAGATGAGGGTAGTGAACTTCATGGTAGGTAAGATGTGTGCAACAAGCTGGGTTGTTGGTGTATATGGATGTCCAAGGTCAAGCCAGACGAGACCGGGACAAAGAGCCATAATTAGAGAGTAGGTAGGTGCGTATTTGGAGCAATGTGTAGGGGAGGAAAGTGCATTCGACGCCGCGCTTAGAAGCGGGCGGTGTGCAAACGGCTAGGTTACTCGGACAGGACCAAGCTTTTGTCGCGCACGACCAACGCTTTTGGAAGACGGAGAGGAGGCAATGCGGACATAATCAATGTAAGCCTATATACGAATTTCGTGTATAGTAAATTTTAGCAAGATGGGAAAATTGTTGTAGAGGCTGAATATCGTCTCTATAGTATGCATTAGCACAACACCTGCCCCGAACCGCACTCTAGGTGTGCCTTCCACACCATTATCAACAAATGCGCCCACTCTCTCCCCTTCTCTTCCCCAAAGAATATTCTCGGCTGTTTACATCTATCACACGGATATTTTTAGGCTTAAAGATTAAACCTTCTCCGTAACCTGCGGCTCGTCGTGGATGCTCCTCTTCCTCTCCTGGTGCGCACCTACTTCGGCTAAGCTCAGCTTGTGTCCATCTGCACCTAGGGTGTCCAATTCAGAGAATTGGACTTGTGGGCGGAACTGCTTCGACTTCCACGCTTGGCTGACAACGCCATAGAGCTCGTCGACTTCCTCGAGTGTGAGGCCCTTGGTCTCGTAGATCAAGAAGTAGCTATGACACATGTTAGATCTATGTTCTGAGCGAGGATGGTTTAGACCTACACAAAAGCGATACACACGAAGCAGAAGCTACCCCAGACGAAGAACACCTTAGAGCGCAAATTGGCGTGGTCCTCGTTGACCATGTATGGTGTCGAGTACGCGATAGCCCAGTTGAGCAGCCAGTTGCTTGCGGTGGTCATGGACAGGCATTTGGCACGCGCCTTGAGCGGGAACATCTCGCCGGTGACGACCCAGGCCACAGGACCCCAAGAGCTGGCGAAGAAGAAAATGTAGATGCAGACGAATGCGATAGCGCCCTTTTGGGCGGCAGTGTTGACGTTGCCGGAGTCCACGGAAGAATCGGCCGTCATACCAACTGCGCCTACAATAAATTGGCAAACGCACATTCCTAGCAGAAAATTAGCACAAAAAACATGTATGCTCACGACTTCACATACCGATGGCCCCCATCAAGAGGAGGTTGCGTCGGCCCATTTTCTCGACCAAGTACAGGCCAGGGAAGGTAGAAGCGACGTTCACCGAGTTCGTAATGACCTGAATGATGAACGCATTGTCGAAACCTGCGTTCTCAAAGTACTGGGTGCCGTAGTAGACTGCATTTCGTTAGCATCTATGCTACCATACCACTTTCGCTCTTTGTCGACTTACAAATGAAGTTCACACCCGTCAGCTGCTGCAGAGCCTGGAGCGCACAACCGGTAAGAAGACGCTTGCCAAGCGTTCCCTTAAAGCAGTCGGCGTAGGTAGATTTTCCAAGGCTCATCTCATAGAGGTGATTGGCCTGCACTTCATTGAGCTCTTCGATGATGGCTGGGTCATCTACGGGCAGACGACGCAGTTTTGCGAGTGACTTCGCAGCTTCATCATAGCGGTCTGTTTTGATAAGGAAACGCGGGGTCTCGGGAAGGAAGAAAAGACTGCTTTCATATTAGCAGTGATAAAGTGAATCTGCAAAAGTACCGACCCGATGACAAGAATCAAAGACCACAGGAATTGTATCGCGATGGGGATGCGGTAGGAGCCCGAGTCCTCGCGGTCCTTGGTTGAATTGTTTACAATAGCTGCCAGGAACAGACCGATGGTGATAGCGAGTTGGTACGCGCCGACAATGGTACCTCGAATCCACTTTGGCGAAGTCTCGGACTGGTACATAGGAACTACATCCTTGTCAGTTTCTACCCCATGAACAAAGCCCCAGACGGGCGAGCCACGCGTTCTCGGCGCTATTGTGGATCGATCGACCACAACCGGCCAAACGTCGGGAGCGCAGATGAGGTATGCGACTCACTCAAAGCAGAAACAAGACCGACACCATAACCAGCGAAAAAGCGTCCGGCGATGAAGAGGGGCTGCCTAGTAGCGGCGGTCTGGAGAATGACACCGAGATTGAAGACCACACCGGCAGAGGCCATCAGACCCCATCGACGACCGAGCAAGTCACCGAACGGCGCGGCGGTGAGAGCGCCAAAGAAGGTTCCAGCGGACAAGATGGACACGATGAGGGAGTCTTGGGCAGCTGTGAGAGTTTGGTCGGGTGTAGTAGAGAATTCTCGGAGCCAGAACTTCATCGCCAGAATACCACTGATCGTGCCAGTGTCATATCTATTCTTCAATTAGACATCGATGACAGTTGTGTGTTGTTCTTCAAGCCACTGACCCGAAAAGAACACCTCCGAAGGCGACGAATAGGCCGATGAGGATTGCGGGCCTATCATTGTCAGACCAGATACACAACACAACAGTGATAGAGCTTACCATGCCTTGCCAGGCGTGCCCTCAGGCGGAGAGAGCATGAGCTTGCCCATTGTGAACGTCTTGGTGATGGTAGCAGACTTTCAGGAAGTGTTGTCCACGGAAAGGTCGCGTCCTCGAAACACCCCAGTAGGATTGGGCGCGCACCAGCTCTTTATCCCTCCCCTCATAATGCAGGCCCACAACATGCCAACCTTGCTAACGACCAGCATCAGCACACTATTCCCCAAGTCGCCGCCCCGGGGCGCGTGCACCTCGCGTGCAATTGCGCGATTGGTAGACTAGTGATGCAACGGACCGGGAATCAATGATTCGATTCGCCTTCGCCGATGGCCATACCCCAGATCCAAGAGTCTTGTCAACGTGCGAGCCTGTGACCACCCAGGTCAGCGGCAGAGCACGAGCATCCAGGGTATTTTGGACGGCCAATAGGGACCATTTTCGGAAGTTGAGCTAGACAAAGCAGTGCTGGGGGGCCGGCGCCAAGCGAGCAGAAAGCTTCGCGGCGATTTCTTTCATGTTTCGATGCTACGTAGGCCAAGCGCGCTGCTCGGAGCGGTATATGCTCGCGAACCACATGACGCCTCTCGACAATGCGACGGACGGTTTCGAGAAGGTGACGATAAAGAAGAAGCGCAGAAGAAGCGCAAGAGAACGAACGGGGGAGAGTGCATGAATACGATGACATGAATATGCGGGTAATCCGCTGCACAACCTCAACAACAAACCAACCGTAGAGGGCAGTCTACTCGTCCAAGCCACCGACAACCAGAGTTTCGATTGCCCTCTAGGACGCCACCTCTTGACCGCATGATCCGTGATGCAGAGCTGACACGCTCGCCCAGAGCCGCGTAGTCCAATGAACCTCAGGTAGGTACAGGCCGGTCGACTCGGCGTGCGGAGGCCGCTGCTGGCAGCGTTGGAGCCAAGAAGGCCGCTGTAGAAGTTTGATAGCGTGCCGAGAAAAGATGTCCGAGAGCTCCGTCGAGATGTCTACCTACTCTCGATGTATCTCGGTGGTTCCAGCAGCGAGCGATGCTGTAGGAGGGCGAAGTCGTTACACAGTACCACGGCCCGGATATCGAGCCCTGCTTGCCATGTTGCTGGGAAGAGCGCCCATCAATGTATCGTCACATGCGACGACGGCAACTCGCTGGCTTGGCCATGGCATGCAAAGCGTAAGGTTCCGGGTTAGAACAAGGTCGGGGTGTGGAGCTCCACAACCAGAAGGTGGCATTGCCAAACCCCATTTTACCCCTCACGGCTAGCCACCTCCGTTGGCACCCTTGGCATCTCCAACATCACCTTTGCCTGACTTGGTCATCACCCGAGACAGGCCTGACCTCAACATGGATGCCTGCCTCAATGCGAACGCTTTGACACTCGGGTACGTGCGTACGCCACGCGCAGAGCCTCAGTCTTGGTCTCGTTGTCGGCCCGATGTCTCGAGCAAGCGTGAGACTGGGTTGGCAAGCGGGTCGACACGTGGATGCAGAACTTGGGCGCAATCTGCAGAGTTTTCCATTGTCCCCCTGCTGGTTCGTTTCCATGACCGGAGACCCCATGGGACAGGAAATTGGTACGTGCCGCATGCTAGCTGCCAGCAGCGATCGCACCACTTTGTTATTCACATCGCCAGACCCGACTACCTCCTCAATTAATCGCCATGCGCGCCTACAACATTCCCACTCAAGTCCCGGAATTAAAAAGCAGCAAGACAAAACATGTGCAACCCTCTTACTTTACATCAGACCCACTTGAGGCTCAAATGTCGTGTGACATTCGCTTGATCCCGTGACTTGGCATTCGGAATCCAGAACTCCAGACACCATAGTTCACACCTTGCCGTAAAACATTTCACCAAATTAACATACACGGTCCACATGCGGCTCATCTGCGGCTCAACACCACGACCGTATTCTGCGGCGCCGATATCGTAGTCCCCACATTCGTCCTTCTCGAAGCCACCTAGAAATCCCAGGCTCCACTTCGAGGGGGCTGTGGGAGCTCGAGACGAAGCCCATGGGGAATTGAATACGGGGATGTGTACATTTGCGGGTAGCAGCGGCGAAGTACGGCAAAGTTGCGTTAATTTGCGGGCGCCAAAGTGGGAACGATGGAGATGATGATGAGTTGAACCTGTCCACACAGGAAGAAGGGGATAACACAATCTGGAGAAAAGACTCATTTGGAATGTCTTGCCACGACCAAGGAAGGCAGTGCAAGCATGTACAATAGGTAAACTATATCGACTTCCGCTCACCACTCTTCTTCTTCGGTCTCGAATCCGCTCCGCCCACCTTCCCGCCACCACCATTCGTCTTGGCGCCAGCGTCCGCCTTCTTGGCTTTTGCACCATTCACTTCCTTGGCGCTCTCTTTCTCTGTTGCCTTCGAAGTTCCGTTCTGGCTCTCCTTGGCAGCCTTTGGGTCAGCGTTAGGATTCTTGCCCTTTCTCCGCATCTGCGCGCGCTCAGCTCGCTCCATGTACACCTTATCCTCCTCATCATCCCAGCCACCAAAGTCAGACTCCTCTCCGTCATCGTCTGTGATGGGCGTCTTGTCAACGTACTCCTCCTCGACAGGTTTGTCAGAGGGTGCGCTCTTGCCCTTTTTGCTAACGCCATTCGCGAGGACGGCGTTGGGCGGCGTAGGTCCGATTTTCTTGAATTTTGCGACGAAAAAGCCGTCAACGTTATACGCGTGTGGATAGTATCTCCTTGTCATCTTCATACTAGGGTGGAAGATCTTGCCTCCGATCTTGGTGAAGCCTTCTTTGCCGAAGACGAGGCCTGTCTCGACGAGCTTGACATTTGGCCGCTTGTTCAGCGCATATTGGACAACTTGCTCGTTCTCCTCGACGGTGACAGAGCAGGTGGAGTAGACGATGTAGCCGCCCGTCTTACTGTGGTGGTCTACCGAGTCGATGGCCGCGAGAACAAGCTGCTTCTGTAGGTGCGGGAGCTTCATGAAGTCGGCTTCTGTCTTGTTGGTCTTGACGCTTGCGTCCTTCGCGATGACACCGGTGCCGGAGCATGGCGCATCTAGGAGTACTCTGTCGAAGCCGCCCATGACCTTGGGGAACTCTAGAGCGGAGTAGTGGCAAACAACGGTGTTTCGTACCCCAAGACGATGTATGTTACCTATGAGACCCTTCGCACGGTCTTTGTTGGCATCGTTGGCGAAGACACATCCAGTGTTCTTCATGAGGGCAGCAATGTGTGTCGTTTTACCACCGGGAGCGGCGGCCATGTCGAGAACACGTTCGTCTTCTTGCGGTGCAAGAGCCATAACGGGAAGGAAAGAGGAAGCGGCTTGGAGGATGTAGTGACCAGCGAGGTATTCGGGCGTAGCACCAAGAGGGACCTGGGAGTCGAAGATCTGCAGACCGACCTTACTCCACTTGCCTACGGGTTCGAGTTGCACACCGCGGTTTATGAGTGACTGTGCAAGCTCTCGTCTATGCGTGCGAAGAGTGTTAGTTCGAATGACAATAGGTCGGGGTGTTTCATTGGCTTCGAAGAAGGCGAAAGCCTCACGCGCGGGGAAGAGGTCGATAAGTTTATCGGCAAGAAACTCTGAGTACCCGTAGTACGCACAGATGTCCTTCAGTAGTTGAGCTCTGTACTCTGTTCTTGATCGACCTTCCTCCGCGAGATTTTTGAAGTCGTCCAAAACTCTGATGGTGTCATTCAGCCGCGTTCGCAGAAGCTGCAAGTCCTGTGTCGCAAGATTTGTAATGGGGCGTCCCTCCTCATCTTCGTCTTCCAGCACCTTAGGTCTGTCTCCCGCAATGTTTGTCTGCAGTTGTGCCTCTTCCAACTCTGCCTGTGCTTCTGCCTCTTGTATCGCGAGCTCCCTGTCGCGTTTCAGCGTCAACCCTTCGATGTTCGCCGCCGTGAGCTTCTCTTCTATGTCATCGTCATCCTCGTCGTCCGACCACATGCCCTTCTTCGTTACAGGCTCTTCATCGCCCGAGTCCATGACAGATCCATCCTCGTCAAACTCATCGTCTTCAAGGTCCAGGTCATCCAGATCTTCTGACTCCGAAGCACTGCCCAGCGCATCAAGTCCTGTCACCTTCAGACCATCCAAACCATCCTCCATAACATCTGGGTCATCGATCGCGTCCTCGTCCTCGGACGGATCCTCATCTGGAATCTCGTCGTCCGAGGGTGGCGGCGGTGCGGATTTCTTCACTGGTTTCACTGGTTTCACTGGTTTCGCTTTGCTCTTCGAATTGGTTCCATTGGTCGCAGGTCCCTTCTTCGGTGCCTTGAAATCTGTCTTCCTCTTCTTGCCGGGCTGTTGGCTCACGGGCGCAGGCGGTGCGTCTTTTCGCTTTCTCGTGACTAGTGATTCGTCCAATGGCGGTGGAGGACCTTGCTTTTTCATGCGACGACCTTTTCCCATCTTAACAGTATTGCACGAGGCGTATATTTGGGGTGTGGTTCCTGTTGGTGCACTGGAAATTCCACAACTCAATCCGCGCAGGAAAATTCACCCAAAATTTAGCGGGACCGCCGCACTGACCGCCTGTCATGCACGCTGTTGGACCGAGGTTTCGCCGCTGCGTCCCGCACTGCAGGAGCGAGCGTCATCGCCGGTTCTCTTAACATAAGGCTTCCTAGTTGACCTTACGCTTGTCACTCTAGCAAACAGCTTCCGACAAGGTGATTTCACAGCAAAGCTCTAGCCCAAATTCGAGACTAACGCATCCAGCCGAACCACCAACAACGAATATCATCCCCCATCACGAGCCCACCATGTCGGAGCTCACCTTTTGCAAAACGTTCCTCACCGCGCTCGATGCGCGCCCCGTCAAGCTCTCCTCCGACCACATCGCCGACGCCCGACAGTATCCAGATGGTGCAATCGTAAGCTTAACCTACCCTATTTACTCCCCCCAACGCCTTACACTAACACCCACAGTTCGTCCTTCCCAAGCTCTCCACCCCGCCACACCCCGCGCGTCCAAATCCTAAGACTACTTCGAACGATGCGTCAACTTCCGCGACAATCTCCCTCACCCTCAAGCCCATGAAGCCAACCCACCCCACCGTCCCCCTCCCTCCATCACCGCCTCCTCGACCTCGATATACGACCTCAAATCCGCATACTCTACCAAAACCAGCATCCCCGCCGCAAAGATCAAAATTCTCTACAGGAAGAAGCCTGTGACAGATAGCAAGACGGTCGCGGAGGTGCTCGGCAGCGATGCAGGCAGCGAAGTCGAGTTTGGGGTGATGGTGTTGGGCGGTGCTGTGGCGACGCCGGTGCAGAGTCCGCCTGCGGCGGCACCAGGGGAGGAGGAGAAGGGATTGGCGAGTGGCGCTGCGCAAGACGAAAGTAAGGCAGAAGCGCCTGCGGCGCAGGGCCCTAGTGGGAAGGAAGTTGTGAATGAAAGTTTCTGGGAGGAATTGAGGGGTTTTGTGGTGCAAAGGATACGGGATGAGAAGGAGGGGGAGAGGTTGGTTGGAGTATTCAAAAGCGCTTGGGAGAAGGAGCAGTAAGCGAGGGGTACGCTGTGGTCTTGTACACTGCGGCGCGACCGGAAGAATAAAGCATCGATTAAGGTCATAAGAAAGGATTAAGTGCAGCATAAAAGGATTATACGGCGGCAGGCGCAGCAATACAACCATAAATGGTTCGGAGTAACCTGTGAACAGAGATGCACTCATAACGAGGGGATACCAAACAATTTCGTCAATCAATGGCAATTTTACCACTCTTTTGCCCATTACGAACACACGTGCTAATGATGCTGTTCGCGGCTATCAACTCTGAATACATTGTATTCTTGCTTATGCTGAAATGCACACCTCCAGCACTGGAAAGCCTCCGGAGTAGCTACGAGAAGAAAGCTAAAGCGTCCGCCACATTTCGTCAGGTCGTGTCCACGTCGTTCGCCCTTCGTTCGTGGGTTCATGCGCTTAACGGCCCTTGGAGACACGGTTGAGGATGCTCTCCCACTCGATGTCGTCGGCGTCGTTGGCCTGGATGTCGGCAGCGAGGCCGTTCAGAGCGCGCTTGATAGCTTCTTTGGAGGACGAGTACATCATGCGGGGCTATCAAATATTAGCTCCCACTCTCTTTAAAGCCACTTTTTCATAATCTGCAGCATGGTCTGTGTACTCACGTATTGCGGCGCATCATCGGGGCACCACGAGATGAACGTAATCTTAGAGCGCGTGCCCTCACCGCTCTCAAGCTCGTAGGAGACATCGTAGACGGCGTAACGGCCGCCAATGCCCTCCTTGCCCTTCTTGTCCTTGCTCTTGGCGTTGATGAGCTTCTCACGGAAGGCGGACCAGTCGTCCTCCTTGGATGTCTCCTCGACTACAATCTCTTTCCAATCGTCGCTGATCTTGTAGATGATGTACTTGGTGTCCTTGCCTAGCTTGAGCTCGTTGAAGGCGCTGATGCACTCAGGCGCTACGGACACACTGGGGCTAGTTAGTATTTTTGAAGGGGAGCAGATGGCGGTAGGCGGTGTGGGGGGCGAGCGCGAAACTGGTGGAGGGAGGGGAGCGCGGCGGCGGCGGTGCGGGGTGGTATTTGCCTGCTGAACGTACCCGGATTGAGCCTGCGGAAGCCCGAGTCAGTACTGTTCACATTGATCGTCGAGGGCGCCCTTACCATAATGTCGGTTGAAGGATGTGTAAGGTCGGGAAAGACGAAGGAGCAGGCAGCGCTTTATCAGTGGTCTGGAGACTAGTCAGCGGTGTCGTCAGCGGTGGGCTCGAGGGGCAGAAATAGCAGCAGCGCAGATAGCTGCCTAATGGAGTGAAGGGATAGCTTACATCGGATCGCGCAGGCAACTGTTTAATGGTATTCGGGCAAGTAAGGAATCGTAGTGTAGGTGCGATGAGGCTGGGCTATAAAGGTAGCGTGGTGGGGGGGTTTGGCCACAGCAACCGAAACGCGCTTGACTAGCTCAGGCCTCAAGCTTCACCAATGTTTACAGAGGGTTGTAGAGGATGATTGATTCTTAACGTCTTCGCATTCCTTGATCGCTTTTACATCTCGTCCTTCCCAAGGCCTTCTAGATACACAATATTGTACAAATCCACAAAAATACAGATAATGCCACGCTTTTCAAAAAGAACTAGAAAGACAGGGGAGAAGAAGAGTGGAGTACCAAACCCATATCATGTACAGACCAGCGCTGGGAAAGACTCGAGTACTAAAAGAGGGTATAGTGGAACGGGGGTATTAGAATATTACTCGGTCGCGGGCAGCTCTTACATCATGCCACCCATTCCTCCCATGCCGCCCATGCCTCCCATGCCCATGGGCGGTGCGGCACCCTTCTCTTCAGGTGCCTCGACAATGGCGACCTCAGTGGTACCGAGGAGAGATGCAACACCGCTGGCGTCGCGGAGGGCAGTCTTGACGACCTTGAAAGGGTCGAGGATACCGGCCTTGATCATGTCGACGTACTCGCCCTGGGCGCTGTTGTATCCCTTGTTGAAGTCGCTAGCGTACTCGTCGGTGAGCTTGCCAACAACCACGGATCCCTCAGAGCCGGCATTCTCGACGATCTTTCGGGCAGGATGAGTGATGGCGTTCTTGACAATACTGATACCGAGCTGCTGGTCGAAGTTGGCAGCCTTGACGCTACCGAGGGCGTTGACAGAGGCCTTGAGGAGACCAGTGCCACCACCAGGAAGGATACCCTCCTCAACGGCGGCACGAGTAGCGTTCAGAGCATCAACGATGCGGTCCTTCTTCTCGCCGACCTCAACCTCGGAGGCACCACCGACCTTGATGACGGCAACGCCACCCGAAAGCTTGGCAAGACGCTCCTGGAGCTTCTCCTTCTCATACTCTGAGGTAGTGGGGTCGTTCATGACGCCACGGATCTGCTCGCAGCGCTGAGCAACAGCGTCCTTGCTACCCTCCCCGTTGAGGAGCACGGTGTCCTCCTTGGTGATGGTGATGGAGCCAGTGGAGCCGAGCATATCGGGAGTGCACTTCTCGAGCTTGATATCGAGCTCATCGCTGAAGACGGTACCGTTGCTCAGGACAGCAAGATCGCCGAGGATGGACTTCCTGTTGTCACCGAAGCCAGGAGCCTTAACAGCGGCAACCTGGAGCTGACCACGGAGCTTGTTGAGAATGCAGACAGCAAGAGCCTCACCGTCGATGTCCTCGGCGATGATGACGAGCGGTCGGCGGAGCTGCTGGGAGGCCTCAAGAGCGGGAACAATGTCCTGAACAGCGGAGATCTTCTTCTCGGAGAGAAGGAGCAGGGGCTTCTCAAACTCAACCTTCTGGGCCTTGGTGTCGGTGATGAAGTAGGGAGAGATGTAGCCACGGTCGAACTTCATGCCCTCAGTGATCTCCAACTCGTCTTCAATGGTCTTGCCCTCCTTGACGGTAATGACACCCTCCTTTCCGACCTTCTCCATTGCGTTAGAGAGGAGCTTGCCAATGTGGATGTCGCCATTCGCGGAGATGGTGGCGACCTGTGAGATCTCTTCGCTGGTGGTAATGTCCTTCTTGTTGGCCTGGAGGTACTCAACAACAGCCTCGACAGCAGCCTGGGTTCCTCGCCTGAGGTCCATGGGGTTGCACCCGGCGGCTACGTTCTTAACCGTCTCGGAGAAGATGGCACGGGCAAGGACAGTGGCGGTGGTGGTACCATCACCAGCAACTTCGTTGGTCTTGGAAGCAACATCCTGAAGAAGGCGTGCGCCCAAGTTCTCGAACTTGTCTTGGAGAGTGATAGCCTTTGCGACCGTAACACCATCTGATCTTACGTCAGTTGCCATCATCGAACCATTATTGCTATCCTGCTACGTACCCTTTGTGATCTTGGGAGAACCGTAGCTCGACTCGATCAAGACATTCCGGCCCTTGGGACCGAGAGTGGTGGATACGGCCTTTGCGAGAGTGTCAACACCCTTGAGGAGAGCAGCGCGGCCCTCAACGCCGAACTTGAGCTCCTGCATAATCGTCAGTAATTGGCGCTGATACGCATTGATCACATCATGTTGCATACCTTGTGTGCGAACCTCTGTTGCTGGAGGTTGAAGCTCCGGGAGCTCTTCAGCGCCGATGAGCGCGCCCTGGTTGCGAAGCGCTGCATTGTGATGGAAGAGAAATAGAGACAGATATGACGAAGCTCAAGCCGTGCTCCTAGACTCCAGCTCAATGCAATGGAAAGGAGAGAGATGAGGATGTAGGGAGAGGATGGGATGAGGATTGGAGGTTGTGATGATGCTCAAAGCTCCTAAAAAATATTCGGCGAGGAAAGATCGAGAATATGCCAAGCCGAGCGCCGTGACCCCCTGTATCCTCGGCTTTGATTCCGGACGAGGTTCCGAAGCTTCCGCACCCTAAAACCCACCAGTCAACAGCACTTCGTTGTTTGTAGACATTACAGCATGGTACAGATAATACTCTGTTTGCTTTCAGAGCCTTGAGTGCACCTGCCAATTTACTATGTACGCTATGGTTTCACTTCCGCGGCGGCACTTACACCAATCATTGTCGGACGTGCAACAATCAACCTTGTACAACCTTGTTTACGGTACTCCTTCACTCATAGCCAGCTGCACCATCGGCAGCAGCTCACCCTTCGGTTGAGTGCTGTAAATCCTAGGATCGCATCGTCCTCCGCACCCACCAGCGCCTGTGCAACATCCTACGTAGCATCCGTGGTCCTCGTGCGCTGAAACGCTGCCATAGGAACCTTCGCAAGACGGTACTTAACGCCGGCCCACTGAGCTGAGTCCTCGCTGAGTCCTACGCGGGCGAGCTCTGGCGAGGTGTGGAGTGTATAAGGCGTTGACGGTTTGTCGTAGGAGAAAGGGATGCTGTCAACATTGGTCTAGATGTAGTCACCATGACTTGAACGTGTCTCATGGTTGTGAATTAGATCCCCACGAAATCGAGACTGAATACTCAGGGTCTTTGCTTGAATTCTGCCGTTGCTCAACCCCGTTGCCTGACGGAGTATATCTCTGTATTCCTCAAGCACTGTGCAACGGACCACCATACGGGTCGACACAACTTTGAAAACGAGAATTGCCCATCTTAGCAAGCAGTAAAATCGAAGATGATGGAATCACTCATCTGTAGCCATGATGAGTATGGTCGTGGCCAGCACACAGCCTGCGCGTGTTCCTCACGTGCATGCATCGGTCCCGAGGTCGCGCGATGATCTGGGGTAATGCTGTTATCCATCTACAACGCCCGAAGTCGTGTAATCTACACGGTGGAACCTTACGACGATACACCTTCAAACATGTGACACCCTAAAAGCCCTTATACTGGATGCCTTTCGAGTACGATTTTGAATCAATAGGCTAGATACGAAGAACCGATGTGTCAGAGCCAGGATAGTCGAACTGAGTTTCTATAAAATACAAATTCCTCAACGTACGGCCCAGCATTACATTACCAAAAGGAGGGTTCTATATGCATCGTACTTAGAACTTTCCATGGAAAAGCCTCCCGTTCATTTTAAAGGGTACCGGTGAAGTGTGGCTGTTCACGACCACATCATGGCGCTGGCGAAGAACTCGTATTCCCAAGGCTGAGCTTCAAGGCGCATAGACACGCAGCACCAACTCCTGTCAGTTTTTACGATCTCCTTATCACATCGTCAGAGCCCAGGTCGCTCCTCACGCACGAGATGATGGTATTCGCAGAATGAATCCACAAATGGTAAATTGATGGCAGTCCTCAAGCGCGGGACCGAATCCAGGGACAGCCGCGCAAGCGATGGGCTAGCGCGAAGGCGCCCCCAAAAATATGTCAGCCCTGGTTCCTGTTGCAGCCAAGCGTCTCGATAGGCACTCCCGCGGGCATGATCTGTGCGTCGCGAGTCGTTGCGCGGCGAGCTGAGGCGGATGGCTGTGTGGGTGGAGCGCCAGCTCAAACATGTCGTTGCTTTGCCTGCGTTGACTTTTCAAGACACTGCCACGCTCATACCCCCTCATCTGTATAACCATTGATATATACGCTCGTTGCCACGGCTGGCCATCGTAAGTTCCTCCTACCAAGACGTTTGTTTGTTTTCCTGTGACTTTGACTGACGCAACACTGCAGGAAGGATTCTTCTGCGCCTCCTTCCTCTACGTCTTACTCTACGCGTGCAGCACCCTCGGCTGCGATTCCAAGGAGACTGACAGTGTCTCTATTTGTCTTACTCGAGATCCTTGACGCACCTCCCTTGCGCGAACGACGCTGTAACGAGCCCGCCGGGCACACGAGGGGGCCACGATGAAGTTAAACACAAGTTACGTGCAGAAATGCAAGACCGTCGCACATATTTTCCAGATCGTCCTCATCTTCATCGCGGGATGCATAACCATCGCCGTGTTGACAAAAGGAGGGGAGACAGGCGGTGCGACGAAATATTACTTTGCGTTGGTACGTTGTTTCCATTTTGAAAGGACATATCAATACAGAGGGTTATCTGACGATTGGATAGTGCTTCCTTTCTGCGCCTGCGATAATATATCTTACAATGGTACCGATGTGGAGTCGAGCTGAGCGATTCGCGAACGCCTACGCCTTTGCTGCCCTGGACGCATTGTATACGAGTACGATACCACATCTTTACCGCTAAGCAAGCGGCTCCTGACAGATGCATATAGTTCTCTGGCTCGCAGCCTTTGCTGCCGTAATGGCGTGGAACACACAAGGCGTGAACCAAGGCGCGAAAGACAAGAAGTTGGGTGATGATGACCCAAAGAACTGCACAATCTTTGCGTACGGGCCCGAAGCAAAGTGCAATCTCAGTCGAGTGACTGTGGGCTTCGGCGTAGTCATATTGTATGCCTCCTTCCCTATTTCCTCCTAACTGTACTCCGCTAATGCCAACTCCAGTATCTCATTCATCCTCACCACCGCCATCTCCGGCTACTACGCCAACAAGTTTCGCAAAGAAGGCGTCATGCCCTACCAGTCTGCCAAGCAAGATCCGCGCCACACCGGCGGTGACAACTCCAAGGACAACGCGTGGTCCACCGACATTGAGCACCACGACGGCCGCGACTCGGACGAGGAAGACCGCCGCACCGAGCACGGAGGCAATCAGCAGGAAGACGAGTACGCGCTACTACACTCGACGGAGACGGACGAGGGACGGCACCCGGGTCGGCCGCTGAGCTGGGGCGAAGACCATAGAGTCGGTGGACCGTATGTTGCCCCAAGCCATGGCCAAGGCCATGTGCAAATGCCGTATGCGGCCTACAACGACGATAACAATAGTGCGCTGAGCCCGGGCGGTTACGAGGAGTATAGGAGGGATCCGGCGCCAGGAGGAGCGAAGAGAGATAGTTCGTTCGGCGGGAGCGGATACAGTTTCAGTGGAAGACCATAGAAAGAGCAGTAGATGGGCAACTGGTGTTAATAATGTTTCCCGTGTATGGTGGCGGTGCTGTCTTGGGGCTGCATATTGGCGTTTGGGATATCATGCAATCCGCATACTTGAGCTCTTAGCGACTTCGATATGGAAGCTACATGTCAATATTTTTGTCACTATCTACTGCTATTAGTGTGCACATGTCTGCTTGAGGCTTGCAAAAGTAAGCGTGACTGGGAGGACTTACGAAAAGAGTGACGATATTCTCGTGTTGAGTCTAATCAGGTGAAAGTGTATACCGAGGTAAGTCCAGCAAAACGTAGGTGGAAGCTCCCTTCGCTTATATTTTCTAGCATAGATGTGTGTGGAGTGAGAGTAAAACAGCAGAACGAGAAGCCAGAGAATGGAGGTAACGAGGTTTCGTAGTCGGCAATGGTGAATCCATCGGAGCAAGGAGGGCAGCCGTAGTCGTGCATCGTAGCTCCATGCTACGAGAGTGGAAAGCTTCGCAAGTGCGGTGTTCTTTGCCCATGGACGCCGCAGTTGTCGTCGAGGTGTATTTGGCAGACACGTGTGCGGTGTCTGGGTGAAGCACTCTGGCTGAGAGGTTTGAGCAAGGAAGCATACCGGTCTTGCGGTTAGGGTGAGTAAGCGAGAGTGTTCAGCTCCACTCGACTGGATTTCGATCCATGAAGATATGTAGTAGCACTCTCACTAGAATAGCAAAAAGGAGTGGGAAGTTTACGTGCTTTGCAGATGCTAGTCCATCAAGGGGAGTACGACCAAACGACGCTTTCCCAAGAGCCTGTCACCACACAACAAGGAACGGTGTGTGGTTACATTTCTGGCCTAGGCCCATCAGTTTGACAAGCAGTGGCACGAAAAGCATTCCACGCTATTCCAGACAGCCACCTGCATGTGTACGCGTCAACGCCAGCCACAACTCAACGTCTTCGTCTATACGTTTTTACAGAGCGTCATAGTCGTGTAATGTGCATGTATGATGGAGTCCAAATACGAGGCGGGCAGGTAACAGTACTTCTTCTTCGATAGTCGCCATTCCACTCCTATGAGAACGGCTCTACAGTTAAGGTTTGTTTGGGATTATCGAATCTGTCGTGTACACCCCCAGAGGAAGAACGACCACGTAGCGTGTCTGGGGGGATCAGACCTCTCCGCGGCCTTTTACAAGAAGAAAATTCCTGCGGTGCTACGCACCCGTACTTCCTTGGTAAGTGTATACGGGTAAAAGGTAAAACGGAGAGGGTGTGGCTGCCTTTCTCGATGTTTTCATCAGCCAAGCATGTTGTTGATTGGACGATATAGTGTCCGTGACAGAACGGAGGCATGTTGCCCTGGTCACATGCGGTTTACGGGATACTGATCGGTGTACTGTGCAATTACGAGTCTGGTCTCGCGATTCGCAGATCTTCGGTTGTCCGATGCGTCTACAAAGCTGTCGGTGGCTGTCGGAGACCGCCGAAGTGAATAGAGGACACGCATTGGACAGTACCGACGGAGAACCCTTCCGGTCTGTGTAGCAATCAGCTTCACTGAAATCGTCGATCGTGTGCCAACACCCACTGCATCCAGTCATTAACTGTGAAGATTGGCACACAATTTTTGAGCAGGGGCGGCTGGAGATTGAGGACAAAACCCCGCGATGAACGTAGAAGTGGACTTGGAAGACAGCGTTCGGCAAGTGGTCGGTGCTTGGCTCGAAAAATATGTGCCATCTTATAGTATCGACTCGGGATCGAGGTACGTTGGAAAGGTCTAAGCCGTTGATGCACACCTTTTTGGGGAGGAAAGAGTCTCTTCTGCCTTTAGGTTACAGTCTCATTCTTCCTCATCCATGATGCTCTATCGCATGGGACTGCTACATGTGTGAATTCGTTTTACTCTCATTAACATTAGGATATGTTCTGAAAGCCCATTCGGAGAACCGTGTAGCCACAGTAGAAACCTGAATGGGACTACGTGTAGCTGTGACGCGCTTATAGACGAGTTGATCTTCCCGAAACTTTTGCCTCAAGATGTTTCCCATCAATCTAGCTCTCTGCTCTAGACGCTGGAATTGCTCATCTCGTATAACACCGCTCGTTTTGCCGAGCCGATGATCGGAGGAGCGAAAATGAGTAAGCTATAAGCAACAAGAATTTTAGAGTGTCGGAACTCTTGATCGATTAAGTAAAGCGACAATGCAATGTCTCTAGTTCTAGTTTCATGCAAGCCCTCTGGCTTTCGGTGAGAAGTTGAGGGCATGCCCACGTAGGAGGTTGTCCATGCAGAAGTCGCGGTCTGACCTCTGGAGCACTCTTAACTGAGTCAATGCGGGGGCTGACACCATTTCGCGAATTCCCCTGAGTACGAACATGAGTCTCCTTGACTGTGGCACTCCTCGGCTACGTTGTAGACATGTCAATTACTCAAAGCTCAAGATTACCTCTTGGCTACCTGCATGACAGAGAATTAATATACTGCTCTTTCGTATATCGCATCCGTTCGTCTAGTTGGAACGCTGCAGAAAGAGGCTGCTAGATTGAGTAGGGATTTGTGACTGTTTCGGACGGCCAGGCCACAACGTGCAGACCAATTCCGTGACTTCCCATCGCGAGGACCTGCTTCCAACGCCAATAGAATGAGCGGCCGATTGATGTATGTACCGTTCGGTTGTGGTGGTCCCCGACGATGACGGGGGCCGTTGTGCTAGGTGGCCTGCGTCCGAACGTAGAGAGCGCAGGACACTAACGCTTGGAAACCTCGCAACGTTCGATGGAACTGAATTTGGAAGTAGATGAGTTTGACTACTATCTTGATGTGCTTGGTGTAAACCAATGAGTACCCGAGATGATCTTCTGCCCAGGCAAGGGTAAGTCGAACAGTTACCGGTGTGCACTGCGCGCTCTGGCATCGGCGACCGCAACCCAGCGTCGAGAATCTTTGGTGCTCGCGACACAGCATTTGACGAATACGCAATACAAATCGATTCAATCCAGCGAAAGGACGTTTGATCTCCTAGTGCTTTTCCGCCTCGTCCTCGTTACTGTTCGATCAATAGCAGCCCACTGATATACGCATCGCATCTTGTGCAATTGGACCTACAGTTCCTGTATTAATACCTCCCACTGCCGTACGCGCAACCACAAAGATCAATTCATATGACAGGCGCCACGGCGTGGAATAGCATATGCAGCCGAACCCTGTCCTCGTGCCGTGGCTAGCGTGCCGCATGTCTCGAGTGTCGAGTCGTTCACAAATTACAACGCCATAGCTGGGAGTACTGGTTTCACAGCACGCAATAGGGGACATGGCTTTGTGTAAGAAATCTGTGAGACTGAGGCATTTCTGACCCGCATCATTTGGAAGAGCTGGGGACCCGGCCGTGCCGGCCGTGCGGAACTGACGTGCAATTCTAGGTAGCTGTGAGCTGTACGCGAGCAAATTAGATGGACTTGACTCCCAGGATCCTGATCGAGCCTATTGGCCAAGTCGGGGTGTTCGGAGCGTGAACGTACATGTTCCCGCTGTGTTCACGACCACCCTCCGCGGACCGTACGGGACGAATCGAGCCAATCGTGGGCGACGTCATTTAAGGTTTGGTGTGGCCCAGGCGATAGGGGGGCTTTCTGCAAACAGCGCGGCAGGTTGTAGAAACCCATTGGAGTTGCTTAGGTATACAGCTGGGAAAAAGAGACTGCGATTTCATGGTAGAGAAGGTCTTGGCATTGTTTCAAATTCCTTTTGTTACAGGAAAAGGTCTGCAGAAGTCTTCGATCATTATAACGATGCTGATGTTGCGTGCAACGATGAATGTAGTGAGACAAAATCGAATCATGAGGCTCCCGAGGTCGTCTTTTTCTAAAGCGGTCTAGCGTTGGCGAAATTCGGCAACGGTCATTCGCCCTGTTCTAGAAGGTAACGCCGAAGCCCAACCTCAACCACCTCCGGCCGTTTGGTTCACAATTAGAGACTGGCTGTGAATCCACACGAGGCGAAATGCAACAGATGCACCAGGCGACGTCAAGATGCGTACATGATGCTTTGCACACATGCCCTGAGAAAACAGGATGCACAAGCTCTCTACTCGGTACACTATCGTCTAGAGCCGACCATACTAATCATCCTTGCCCGGCATATTATCCTGTTTTGTAATCATGTAGCCAAATCCCCAAGACTGTCAATAGCACGATGGAAAACCCATCGCGCTTCTGGACATCTTCGGGTCGGAATTCAGGATTTCGAATCTTGACAATCTTGTACTACGCAAGATGACTGCTACGAAGGTAAGTACCAGAAGTGCCCTCGATGTCTTTCTCTTCGCTGCCGAGGTACGTTAACACTGACACCTGTGCGATAGCTTCAATTGCAGCCTTCAAGTCTACTTCCCTTTTGTGGAGATCTTCCGGACGCCAACGATCCTTCCCAGCGGATGCCACGATTCCGCTCACATGTCCCTTCGGAACAGTTCCCCGCTGAGAAGGATCGGTATGTTCTGTACATCAACCACACCTGCCCTTGGTGCCACCGGGCCATTATCGTCCGTGCTTTGAAAGGCCTGGGAGACATCGTGCAAATGGTTGAAGTAGACGCGCGAGATCCGACGCATGGTTGGTTTTTCAGCGGCTTCCGGGGCCCTTCTCGTGATCCAATCTATGGTGCCAGGTGGTTGAAAGAGCTTTACTTGAAGGCAGATCCTCAGTACAAGGGAAGGATTACGCTTCCAATGCTATGGGACAAGAAGAACCGTAAGTTTGTTTACGAACAGGATCGTTTCTCGATTATGCGCAACGTGCACTGGCACCAAACTTAGTAGCTGATCGGCTGACTCGACCCAGACACCGTGGTCAACAACGAAAGCAGCGAAATCATGCGTATGCTTATAGACGGGTTTGACCAATTCTTGCCTGCCGGAAAGCACGAAGCAAGCAAGGGTATTTCTGCCTTCATTCCAAACCATCTCAGAAACGACATTGATCAACTCAATTCCTGGGTATACGACGACATTAACAATGGTGTTTATAAGGTCGGATTTGCGACGACACAAGCAGCATACAATGAGCATGTTGTAAGACTGTTTCGAGCCCTTGATAGACTGGAGCAGCACCTTTCGCAATCGAATCACCGACCTTTTCTTCTCGGAAACCACATCACTGAGGCCGACATTCGCCTCTATACCACGTTGATCCGTTTCGACGTAGCATATTACACGATGTTCAAATGCAATCTCAAGATGATCCGGACCGACTACCCGCGTCTGCATGCATGGCTTCGACGCCTCTACTGGAGTGAAGGCCCTGAAACTGGAGGTGGCGTTTTCAAACGGACTACATTCTTTGATGTTGTAAGTGCAACGGCCTGTCAGTCAGCAGTCGACTAAGCAGTCTAGATCAAACGGGGCTACTCGTCTATCATGGTTGGCAATGGGATAGTACCTATTGGACCCGTGCCGAATATCATGCCGCTGTGAGCAGGCCTCAGCGGAATCTACAAACTTCTTGATATAAACGTGCACAGCGGGAGGGTGGCGTTCTCATTGGACTTATTCCCCGGTTTGCTATGGAAACAAACCCTAGCATCCTTTCTGTATCTCTCAACACGTCTACTATGGGCAATCCATAAACAAAATTGATTCTCATCCTAAAAGTCTTGTTAGCAGTGTCACGCAATGATTTGAATATGCTCTCGAGCATTTGCAAGCCTTCTGTACGTGTTGTCGATATTAGTGCAATTAATGCCCTATGTTCATGTAGCAACACACCAAGGCACCGGCTGAGCCAACCTGCACCGACGCTACGGTAGCTATTGAACCAACCTCTCAGCCACTGCATAAGAGCAGATCACCCTAAACGGCAATGTATCTGCCAAGGTTGCACATGTGGCGTCGAGGCTTGAACGGCAACTGCAAAGTCTTTGCGCTCGCACCTTCGATAACTCACACCTTCCATGACTCGCACCTTCCCTACTTGAAAGACTAGCGTGTAGCAGTGGTCCGAGCGCATGGTAACTTGCGCCTGCCCTCAAACTTTACATCTGGACATCTTTTGTCTTTTCGCCGGCCGGACTACAGTTTTGTTTACTGTTTTGGTTATTGTATAGCACACTCAAGTAAGCTATTGTGCGAGGCGAATCCGCCTCAATAAATAGGACGTTGACTTAATACTAGAAAATAACTTCGGGCAAACAATCACAAGCCATGGATCGGCCGGCGCTGGCGCCTTCCTCGCCGGACGCTGACCTCCTCAGCGACCTACCCACGGAGACAATAACGTCTATTTGCGAGTATCTCGATGGGAACGACATGAACAACTTTAGATTGGCTTCTCGGACAATTCACGCAAAGACTTATCGCGGTATATTACCTCGCTCTTCAAGATTCGAGTTTCATGTACTAATCATATTCTCGTCTTATAGGCTTCTTCGATTATCATTTCGAAGTCACCCATGTTACCTTCACTAGAGAAGGCCTCGAGAGGCTTGTTGGTTTCGCGAAGGATCCGAAGATCAGTCCTTCTGTCAAGGCAATTGAATTGATTTTGGTGGCGTTCCCTAACCGTGGGAAGCAGTGTTTGACCGGAAAATCAGTTATTATTGAAGAGCGTGATGGACAGATCGAGATCTGGGAGGATGGGGAGTCCACAACAAAAATGCAGCAGGGTAGCGCAGAGAAACCCGGTGTGAAGACTCCCCAGAAGACACTTCGTCGAGCCCGGCGCCGCATCTACAGTCACTACCAGCACGACCTGAACAACATCAGAAGAAGGGGGGTGGATGTTGAGCTACTCACTGAAGCTCTCCGACATCTCCCCGCACTCAAGAATATCTGGTTGGTTGACAGTATTCCTGACTATCAACAAGTGTGGGGCCTGAGGAAGATTATCATTGGTCTTGGTATGATGCCATTCAGTGCTTCCATGCGATCTTGGGTGCCTCCAAAGCACAATAGCTATGAATCACGATTCGAGGTGGAACGCGAGCTCAAAGCAATAGGAGCCCATGGTGTTGGTGTCGTACTGGGTGCCATCTATCGGAGTCGGATCACGTTCAGCGGCGGTCTAATATTGAAAGGCGTTCCGTACGACATCGAATTCTCCAAGACGCCCGATTCTCGCCAACTCTCACCTTCTGCTACGCCATCAAAGACCTTTGCCATGAGCCAGATTGCCGAGATGAAGTACTTGTCCCGTATTCGATTTCTCCATGTAGTCACATTCCATTATGCGCAGAGGAGAGACGCCGCCGATCCGCATGACGCTTATAGGTTCGAGTGGCTGTACCAAATTCTTCCGAGCATGATCAGCCTTGAATTTCTGGGCATTCAATGCGGGGATCCAATACATGAGGCCGCTAACTTGGGAATTCTCGAGGACCTGAACCAGCGTTCTATAACACTTCCGAAGCTGTATTGCCTATTGATGGACAATATGGGCATTGAGACCCCTGCCTTGATAAGTTTCCTCGATGCACACCGGGGAACACTTCGACGGCTTCATCTCGACAATATCAACCTTTGTGTTGTCGTTCCAATGTACGTAATGAGCAACTGTATCTTGGATTAAAACTGACATATGTTACCACAGGGATGGTCTTGGCGATTCTACGTTACTCTTGCTCGTGCCTTGGTTGGAGCGCAACAATTGGAACATTTTTGGATATTGCTTCATGAACACGAACTTGATCAGTTATAACCCTAATATTCTAGAGTTCCGTGAGGGGTTCCGTGCCGTTCGTGGCATCCGCGACATCCCTCTAGGTTCGTGAGGTGATTTTACTTCCTGAAAGAGAGCCTTAGTCACACAGAAAGCAGTCAATGATGACAGTCATTGACTCTTCACGGAATAGAAATGATGGTGTTTGGTTGAAGACCTTCAACACATGCTGCGAATTCCAAGACGATACGTTATGTACGGTACGAGCTGCGGCTGTACGCTACTTAATAGATGACAGGATTTTCGATCCCGCGGCTTCATGTCTTAGGAATTACGTGCATCTCCCAGTCAGCTCCAAAATCACCTTTCACATTCACACGCTTCTCCGCGTCTCCTAATGGACCGGCCGGACTTCCCGCCTCTTTCTGCAGCATTCCTTTCTTCTGTCCATTCTTCAGGTATTCCAAAAAGTCGACTGATGTTGAGATGTATTCCCTCAAAGCGATTCTTCCGTCAAGCGTAGTATGCGTTGCAAGCTTCATGATCCACGGAACGATCAACGGCGCATCGGTACAAGACGGGTGAGCCGAACCGCTCAGCGTCATGAACCACCCTTTCTTTGTGTTCTCGACTAGCTTCTTCACAACATCGAAATGCCAGCCTTCGTCATAAAATTTTGTTTGTCTTTCTGTCCATTGACCCGACTGCATGACCAGTGTTGGCAACTTAATGTCATGGTTTAGCGGTCCCGACCCCTTTCCTGGGTCTAGCATGATTGCGCCGTTTATCGGCATGTCCTTGTTTGGTGCGTTTTTCAAGGCTTGCAAGGCTCCTGTTGCACCGTACGAGTGTCCTGCGACTGTGATGGCTGCCAAGTCTAGGCGATCTTCGAAGCCTGGAAGTGCGGACTCTGGTGATTTGGGTTTGAGGTTACGGATCTTGGCACCTTCGCCGTTGTTAAGGCGCTCGAAGAGGCGGATGGTCTCTATGATCTCGGCCTCGCGGAAGTTCAGCTGTGCTTCTTTGAGATCCAGATCAGTCATAGGAGTTTCGGATCTAAAACGTCAGCCTTCTGTCCCCAACTGATAAACGAGAAAAACCCACTGCAAATCCTCGAGTGCAAGGTGCCACACATATCGCTCGCCACCGTCGGGATAGTGTACGACTGTGCCAGGCCCACTTCCGTCTCTGTGCTCGACAGCCGCAACAACATAGCCATGACTCGCGATACTCCCTAGCAGATTCGAATAACTCTGCGACATTCCCGCCATTCCATGCGTAAACACCACCATCGGCAACGTGCCCTTCCCCAACACCTTCTCACTCTTCACATCTATATTCCTCAATTCCAGAATCTCCTCCACACTCTCCTTTCCCTTTCTCTTGCCCTTCATACCGACGCCCGTAATGACCTCGCCTAACCCTTCCACAGTCTTTGCGTTCAATACTGGGGCGTCGACGACGCCTGGGATGACGGTTTTGGAGCCGAGCGCCCAGAGGAAGAAGGTTACGATTGATTGGATAGGTGGGGAATAGATTCCTATGAGGCGGGCGTAGCCAGTGCCGATGAGGGAGATGGGTTGGGGGAGCCAAGGACGGGCATAAGGACGAGTGGGGAGTTGGGGAAGGAGGAGGGGTAGTAGAGGGTTATCGCGAGGGTGGAGAGCTGGTGGGTTATTAGCATTGGACTTAAGGTGTAGGATTGGGTTGATGTGTGGTGCAGAGGGTGGGTTGCGCGGAGCAAAAATACAAAGAGACGGGAGGATTTTTAAGCGCTCAAGATGAGGGGTTGTGGAGATGTACCGAAGCAAAATTTATGGTATTGATCAGGACCAAGAACAGCTCGTCTCATTGTATGTTTCAATTCGTCGAAAATTGTAATAAACATACCTCAAAAGCTTTATCCCCGGTCTCTTTCAGCATTGCAGGATGCACCACCTTCCTCTCACTGACCTCCGTCTCAAGATTCAATATCCCTACCTCATACGGTCCTGTATATGGCGGCAGTGGCGACGTAATCGGCGTCAAGCTCACTGCCAGAACAACAAACAGCACGCCCGCGGAGCCGAAGAGCAACGTCTTCTGTAAAAGCCCCATAATGAAAAGACTCTTCTACAATTGCAAATAGTAAAAAGTACAGTTAAGGAAATAGGACATAGGAAAGAGGGAAATAGCGTTATTAGAACGTAGGATTGTCCGTTTGAGACGGCAAGGACATGAAGACCAAGATGGCGAAGGTGGCGCGCGAGCGGCGATGATGTCCCGCGGAGGATGAGACTCGCGATTTGATTGGTCGCACGGTAACGAGATCAGACCGCGACCCCAACCTCGTCTTTGTCGAGAACAAGCTGAATCTGCAAATCTAGTGAACTTCATGTAGCCGTGCTGGTATACAAGCGTGGCACCGAAGCTGTGTGATCTTTCGTACATTCGTTCGATCGACACATGCACAATGATCGCAATCACAGGGCGAATAAGGGCGAAGGTATGATCATCAACAGAGTCATTATTATTACCATTCATGAGAAGCACAAATTTGTATGCTGAACGCCCCAACTCCTCGCTTTCGTGGCGGTATTCCCGTTCACAACCGTAATCAAAACTCATAAATCCCAAATCATTGGGCAAATCACCATGTCACGCTACATTACCTACTGCGCCGCAAACCTCGACCGCGCGCGCAACTTGTGCCCAAAAAAGTACAGCACGTACACACCCGCACTGCACCCGATCGTCAGTCCCGCTAGGAGACTAATGCCCTTCCCAATGCCCAGATTCCTGAACATCGGGCTGCTGAAATGAATAGCACCAGTCGCGAGCGCGCTGCGCATAAAGTCGTTGCCCGCAAACAAACTCGCAGCATACTGCGGGTACACGAGCGGCAGGTACAAAAAGATACATTGGATGATGAGGAAGATGCCAATCGTCGTGATGACGATACCGATGCAGCTTACAATCCAGTGGATCTTCGGGTCGCTGGTCCAGCCAAAGATGAATAGGCCGACTGGGACGAACCATGTTACAATGAGTGCGGGAAGGAGCCTTCGCTCTGGTGCACCCAGCCCGTAAGCGCGAATCTCAGGCTCGACGATGTACCAGATGTACGCCCAGTACGCAGCGATAGAGAGAACGACACCGACGGTGACGGAGAGGAAGGTCAGGCCTGTCTCGCCAAGGTTAAAGTGGTACATGACCTCATAAACCAGTGGAAACGCCTCGAAGAAGCTGTAGAATATCCCGTAGATTAGAGCTGTGTATACAGCCGTGAAGGCGACGCTAGGGTCGAGCAAGACGAGCTGAAAGGGGCGCCAAAGGGCTTCGATGGCGATATCGCGAGGAGTCATCTTCGCTTGGTCGATCTCAGATTGCGACTTTAGGCGGTCATCGCCGGTGAGGGCGCGGAGGCGGGCGGCGCGTCGGAGGAGGATGTTGTTAGAGGAGGTCTCAGGGAGGAGGAAGAAGAGGGACAGGAAGACGGGGCCGTTCATCCAGAGCATTTCCCACTGCGACCAGTGCCAATTCTCGGCGGCGACAGAGAATCCTGAGATGATGGGGCCTAGGGCGGGACCGCAGGTTGCTGCGAATGCCCACAGACTGAGCACGTAGGGGAGCTTGATCAGGCTGTAGAGGTCTTGCAGCGTTGCACCGCCGGTAGCGAGACAGGGGCTGCCGAAGAAACCTTGGAGGAAGCGGAGGACGATCAGACCCGCGAAGTTGTCGACTAGTGATGAGGGTACTAGCAGGATAACAAAGATCGCGTACGAGATGATGTAGGGTGGGTTGCGACCAATGACCGGGATCTCACTAAGCGGCGAGAAGAGTAAAGGTCCAATACCGTAGGCAAGAACGTACATCGAAAGGCCCATCGATGCAGTTTGCAAGTTGACGCCAAAGCGCTCCATGACTCCTGGGATCGAGGGTGAGTAGATCGCACTACCCATATAAACAGCCATCGTGTATATGAGAATCTGTGATAAGACTAGCGCCTTCTTGCCGAAGCTCCAGTTCTGTGGATTTTCCGGATCGTCGGTGGTATACCAATCGACGAGAATAGTGCCATCGTCGCGAACCTCCGGTTCAATGGGTCGTGAGGGTCCACGTTCTACAGTCGCAAGCGAGAATTGTTGCTCGAGGTCTGCGCGGGTGTTTGACTTGGAGAGCGCTTCCCGTGTGCCTACACGCGAGATCTGCGAGCGTGCGGTATGTGCTGTCCGTGCAGTCTGGATCTTCTCGAGGTCCGATACTGATTCGTCTTCCAAGGACTCTTTCTCTTCCGTGTCTTTCTCTATCTCCGGGCAGACCTCCTCGGTTGGTAGGCCCTCTTCTATTACGGGCTCCGAGGGTGCTCTGACTGAAGCGGATGGTGCATGTTTCTTGCCATGCTGCATCTGCACATAGGCGGGCTGGAATGAGTTAGTCAAACCCTAGACGACATAAACGGTATGGTTACTCACTGGAAGCTCAAAGTTGTCGCGCTCCTCTGGGTAAGGTAGGAGGCGAGGATTGACCCATCGGACTATTTGCCCAATGGGCGCATCTCGAATAAGTGCCTGCATATTCTTATGACTTGGGGATATGAGTGAGTCTTTCCAAGAAAGAGCAGACTCTAATCAACTGAAGGACACAGGTGTGCAACAGGACAATAGTTGTTGAGTGTCTGTAGTCGCCGAAGCCCGGTCACGTTTTCGAGACAGTGAACTGTGTGTGGAATCGATGTAACAACAACGAACTGCGACAACCATTAACCTTATGTATTGCACCACCGCGCCAAACACCAACAATCCCTTTCATGGCCTCCATATTCGTCCATGCACTGTAAGCAAAAGCAGCCGGCTCACAAAGCACGGTTTGCGTTAGTAATGTCCCTTCAAGCGAAAGGTCGATGTGCTTTGTCCTAAGCGATCCGACCTCATTGGCCCCGCAGCGGAAACCACCACATGTTGACCCCGGTTACTCGGTCATAAAAATTAGGTTGCATGGTCTTCTTGTGCCTCAGCTCGGACATATCATCGAAGAGCCTGCGCGTAGCAAGCGGAGAGAACATCTCTAAGCTCCGTTTAGTAATCGCCGTTGTCCAATGACCGTAGGACTGCCAAGCGAAAATTAGCACGACCCTGCACTCGCATCCCTGTCGTGTGGCCGGAATAGGAATGGTGACTGTGGGATCCCGGTGTGATTTTTAATCTGAAGGCGCTGACGTCACGCATCATAGCATTACTGTACAGATGAGTTTGGTGTTGATGTTTTCGTCCGGAGGTTGACTCATGGGGGTGGATCTGTAGGGCTGAAGGGCTGAAGTCGTGCTCTAAGTGGGGGATACTTTGGAATCGTACAATGTTTAACGATTATCTTCGTGGATATTTCGACGATCGAAGGTTTTCCAACATGAGCAGTCACCCATGCGCGTGGCGGTAAATAGATCATAGCCAACGTACAATAGATTGGGTGCTGAGTTTTCCTCACTTGGATTATCATTAGATGACTGCCTTTCTTGCGCGATGTCGGCTGAAGCCACCGTTGTCCATAAGAAACACTACACACCATGGGCGCCATTCAAACAGTGACTCTACAGATGTTTATTATGTGGTGTTCCTATACCTTAGATGCACACCTGGGTGTTTCTGGTCTAGTCTGAAGGAAGGCGTTGGGCGAACCGCGGAGATCTCGTCAGCCCTTGCTTTGACATGCGTTTCGGACCCAGCAAGTTTCAAGCCCGAATCAATCAAAAACTCCCGTGATCATACACTAATGCAGGGGTATATTGTCTTCTCCAATCCATATCTTACAACATCTCTCCAACCTCTTAAACGCCTCCCTTTATACAGTCCCAGAGAGTATCATGCACGCCCTTCACCCTCCGAGGTATCCTGATCTCCAAACGGATAATTATACTTTAACAACGCATTCAGCCCGCCCACCCAATGATCCTCCTCCTTAAGCTCCATCCCAATCCCATCCGTCCCCCTCACAATACTCGGCACGCCACCAACCCACTCACCCGCCTCAGTTTTGACATGCTCACCCAGTACCCGGACTTCCATGCCGACGCCCATACCACCCGTGATGCTCTTCCCGTCAATAGAAACCTCGACTTCGCGGCCGCGGTTTTTCTCGCCGAGGCGCAGGGTGATGGGTGTGTTGGCGGGTAGCACGAGTGGGCGAAAGGAGAGGCTACGCGGGCAAATGGGCGTGAGGAGGAGTGAGGGGACGAGCGGGTGCACAATGGAGCCGCCACTGGAGAGAGAGTATGCTGTAGACCCGGTAGGTGAAGAAATGATCATGCCGTCGGCGACGCCTTCGGTGAGGAAGCGGCCACCGACAAAGATGTCTACGATCTTCAGATGAGGCGAGGCGCCCCTGTGCACAACGATCTCGTTCAGGGCGTACGTGTCTTGATCCACGGAGCTGTTGATGCGGGTTCCGTTCGGACCAAAGACGCCCACTTTGAGGCGGTTCCGCAGAAGGACGCGCGCAGTGCGATTCGAGCCCATAGCTTTGCCTCTGATGTCTGCGTATGAGAGCGGCTTATCGAGCGGGTCGTCCGCTAAGACTGAGGCCGCGGAGGGCGTGCTTGCTTCGGGGAATTCCAAGCTGGCGTAGGCGTCGCTCGCTCCGCTCATGTACACTTCTCGAAATGCTCTCTTGTATTCTCTGAACTTCCACTCTCCCAAGAAGCCGAGCGTACCCATGGCAAAGCTCAGTACAGGCGGAACAGCAGTCGCGTGTGAGAACAGACTGCTGGCGCGTAGTATGGTGCCATCGCCGCCGAGGGTGCAGACCAGGTCGGTCTTATCCGAAAGATGGGCGGGCGTGCCATTTTGCGGTGCGGGATCGTATGTGTATACCGGGAAAGAGACTACTTCGTGGATCTCTGACGCGGACTCTGGCTCGAGTATGATGTTGATACCGGGATAGGTGGACGAGAGATGCGTGGTATATTCTATGAGTGAATCTGTTATGCCAGGTGTGCGCTTCTTCTTCGTTATGAGGATATTCCGCGGCGGAGAGGGCCATTGTAGTGAGAGTAGTGTAGCATCTGGGCGCTCAAGGAAGGATGGCTTTATACGGTCGGGGAGATCTGTGATGGGCTTGACGATGCGTCTGCGTGTGGTAGACGAAAACTGGCGCGCGGCGAGGCACTGCGAGTAGATAGGTCGCCCAAGGCCAGCGAGCTTCATCGTGGAAGCTGCAACGCTATCGGACGGGAGCCGTTCGTCGTATTCGTATGTTGTCGCACGTGGGGAGCTTGAAGGGATGCGCAGCCGCCATTACCTGTCAATGACGTTGTGAAGGACGATGTTGGTCGCAAGGCTGAGTATATCGTGGCTGTATTATGCGTGGTTCATGTTGGACTCAGACGATTTGCAACAATGGAGGCCCCTCATTGCGGTCGTGCGACAGTCCACGGCATGACTTTGGATGCGACGGAGAAGAAATCCTTGGCGGCCCAAGCTCCGATCGGCGTTTGGGTGTTCTCATAGCGGGGTGATCTATTCGTCCGTGGAAGCTTGAGCTCGAGCGTGGGGCAGTGCGTGTCAGCAACACCTTGCACCATGCTTCGATTTACTTCCACTCTCCACTCAACTTGCACGTCGCAGTGTGTTGATGTCTTAGGACTGTTTACCACATGAACGCATTATTCTTTCGCAGCACCGCTGTTCTTGTAATCTATTCTTTATCGCCCACCCACGCGCCGTAAGCCGCACCAGGCCACCGTCTTCGGGCACGCGGACGCCTACCGTATACCACGCCTACATATTGCCGTCTCACGCGCCCGCAGGCTCTATCGCCCGAACATCCTCTTCCACCATGGCGACCGAGCTCAAGATGCGGCATCCGCCTACATCCGCCGCGACCGTATCACCCACACCAAAAAAAGACTACGAGAAGAAGCTCGCAGAAGCCTCCCCAGCGGACGCGCACCCTAGCGGTGTCGCGAAGCATGGGACCTGGACGCAGGCGATGCGCATGCTCCTCTTCTTCGTGTATTTCAACGGAGGCTGTATTGCGTAGGTATTCTCTGGTGCTAACGCCGTCGTGCAGGGTGCTAACTCCGGGCTTCAGCATCGCCGTATCACAGGTCATCGGTGCGCCGTTGTATTTCTACAGCATGGATCACTTTTATGCCTGGATGGCTATGACAAAGCAGCAGTTTGGCGTCCTGGTCACAACAATGACGCACTGGTGGGCGCCCGTCAACATGAGAGTCAGTGGGGACGAGAGCGTGAGGGGACAATTGAGGCAGACTGAGGATGGAAGGCTCGAGACGGACTTTCCGGAACGTCTGGTTCTGATCGCAAACCACCAGGTAAACTAAATCGTACCATCCTTTTGAACATCAGACGATGCTAACTGCGACAGATTTACACCGACTGGGTCTACCTCTGGTGGGTTGCCTACACCAACAAGATGCACGGCCACCTTTACATCATCCTCAAAGAATCCATAAAGTACATACCCGTCCTCGGCACAGGCATGATGTTCTATGGCTTCATCTTCCTCTCGCGCAAGTGGGCAAAAGATAAGGAACGCTTCCAATACCGCCTGCGCAAGCTGAGCTCCTCCCATCAAGGCCCTATGTCCGGCTCCTCTTTCCTTGACCCAATGTGGCTGCTCATATTCCCAGAGGGCACCAATCTGTCCGATAATGGGCGGGTAAACAGCAAGAAGTGGGCAGACAAGAACGGCATCGAAGACTTGCGGCATGCCATGCTCCCCCGAAGCACAGGGCTGCTGTTCTGTCTGCAGGAATTGGAAAAGACAGTCGACTACATGTACGACTGCACTGTCGCCTACGAAGGCGTTCCGTAAGCCCCCCTTCTCCTTTCCTCTTGGGAACCCTCAAACTAACACTCCCCAGCCGTGGCCAATACGGCCAAGATCTCTTCACCCTCCGCAGCACCTACTTCGAAGGCCGCCCCCCAAAATCCGTGAACATGCACTGGCGCCGTTTCGCCATCAAAGATATCCCCACTCACCACGAGAAAGTCTTCAGCGACTGGCTTCTCGCGCGCTGGCGCGAGAAAGACGATCTCATTGAGCACTACCTTGAGCACGGCCGATTCCCCGCCGACGCGGGGATCAGTCCTGCGGTCAACGGCGCGAAGCCGCTTAAAGGCGCAGGATGGATCGAGACGGAGGTCCGGCCCAAAAATCCACTTGAGGTTTTCCAGATCTTGGTTCCGGTCGCGGCGTTCGCACTGGTCATCAATGTGATCTTGAAGTTCTGGAATCTGATACTGAGGTTGCTGCATGTGCGGTGAAGTCTGATCCACGGATTGAAGACTCGGAACGGCAGTATAAACGGATCGAACTGCATGTTCATAGACGGCTAATATTAACGACTGGTATGGATGGGATGACATGGAATGGAACGGATTGGATCACGACGCTTCTGTCCGCATTGCTGGCGTTTCTTTTGCTCTCCACTTCTTCGACGTAGAGTACGGCTATATACCCCCTTACCCGGCTTCAAAATACATTTGTATTCCTGATTTGCTTTTAGAATTTTTATTCATTTGCGCTTTCCTTGCCACCACGATTTCTCAGCCCAGATGGGCAATCGCAGCTCCCCATGCTATCTAAGCTATATAGGCATCGTTACGGCACCCAATCGCCCAGTGCCCCATTCCAAACTTCCTCTCCTTGCACGTACATAGAAAATCGAAAAGGCATCTAGTAAAACATGCCACGCATGTCTGCCCCCCAGCCATGCATTGCAAAAACAAAGGGTGCTTCCTCATTCCCAACACCATATCGCCCTCGAACAGCACCCTGTGCCGAATGCTTGAAGCACATTGGAATGGCCCTGAAGCTGAAACTTCTCCGGACTCCTGCGCAGGAAAACATCATCCAGATCGCATTGTGCATGTCGCAAAGATCAGAAAGAAACGCCCAAATATTGTACAAGTCGCTCTGTTCACACAAACAAAAATTACAAAGGACCGGTCCGTGCTTGTCGTCGTTGACTTTGGATCCATCAGTCCTAGATATGGATGCGCATGAGGTCGCCGTTGCCGAAAGCTTTGCCGCAATTGGGACACTTCCTCGACCGGTTGGTGAGTCGATCCTGGACACAGCCGTCGCAGAAGACGTGACCGCATGTTTTGATAACGGTGTTCTTGATCTTGTTCTTGCAGATCTGGCATTGTAGCATAGACTATGCATTTGTAAGTAAGGGGCATGTGAGTTGTTCGCAGACGTGTACGTACCTCCATCAATGCAGTGTGCTCGCTCTGGTTGCCCAAGCTCTTCTGCTTCCAGTGATCGATGTCTTGCTCCAAGCCTTCGATCTTCTCTGACATCTTATCTCGCTCAACCTCGGCTTCGCGCTTCGCTTTCTTCGCTTCAATATAAGCGGCGTCCTTGGTTTCCACATGCTTCTTGAGTTCGGCGATTTGGCTGACATGCCCTTCGGTGATGATAGCAGCCTCGCTAGTCTTCTGTTGTAGTTCCCGGTGCTGTCGCGAAAGATCCTCCATCTGAGCCCGCATTTCAGCCGTCTGCTTCTCCAATCTGTCCACCATCGACCGGCTCAATGAATCCGCCTCTTTTAATTGTGCAACCACTTCGGTTCCTTTAGTGGCTTGAGCTCGTAGTACTCGCAATTGTTGTTCAAGGGTCTCCTTAGCTTTCATCGCGGCGAAGAATTTCTGGTCAGCCTTCGCTTTGTCCGCATATGCCTTGGTCATGTTCTCTTCCCATGTTGCGGTTTCGACGATTTTCTTTCCAGCAACTGCTTGCGCCTTTTTCCACGCCGTTTCCATGGCCGGAAGCTCGTTGACCACGAGCTGGTATTGACTTTGGAGAGTCTTGAGCTTGCTTTGTAGCTGCTCTGGCGTCAGATCTTCTTGTTCTGTCGACCCTTCTGCCTGTTCTTTCTCCGCAATCTGCAAGCGCAATCGCTCGCACTCGGACTCTAGTGCAGCAATCCTGCTCTCGCATGCGCTCATAAGCTCCTGGGTCTGCTGTTTCGAGGCATCCACGTTCTTCTGAGTGGTCTCCAGAATGCTAACCTTGGACAAAAGTTCGTCACGAGCGTTGCGAATGCGCGTCAAATTTGCTTCGGCTTGGACAACAGCGCCTTCGGATTCACTGATCGTGGCACGTGTTTCATCGTCCACCTTTATGCGATAAGCAGTCCTTTCGGCTTGATACTTCTGTGCTTCCGTCCGCAATTGGATGTTGGTCGCTTCCAGGTTGTTGATGCGTTTGATGACGTCCTCGTGCTGTGACTTAAAAGCCTTGAACAGATCCGTTTTGGCGTAATCGTCATCGGAAAGACCCGCTAGCTTCACGTTCAGCGCAGACACCTCCTCGGTTAGCTTCTTGTTCTCAGCCTCTAGCTGCTCCACATGTTCTTTTCGTTTCGCAGCTTCAGCTAGCGCTTGTTTACGATCCGATTCTGACCCTTCTGCTGATCCACTGGGTTCGACACCATTCATCGGTTCCGCACCGTTGCTTGCAGAAGGGGTCTCTTCTTTGACAGTGGCATTAGCCAAGGTTTGACTCTCTAGCTTCTGGACCTGTTGGCTCTTCAATCGGTCGAGCTTCTTCTCCGCAATCATATAACGGTGGGTAGCGGCGACCAACCGTTCGGACATTTGTTCCTTTTCCGTGCCAATCCTCTGTAGCTCACATATATGTTCTTTTTCCGAAGCCAGGATTCTTGACATTTGCTGCTGCAGACTAGCCACCTCAGGACTGGCTGGGGGATATTTCGCGAACAAAGTGGCTAAAGCTGACAAGATCTTGTCCTTACGCCCAGACAAATGTTTGCGCAGAGCCTCGCTGTCTTCAAAGAATAGGGATCCGGGTATACTAGGAGCACCTGTCGTGCCACAGTTAGGTACCATGCCAATACTGCTTTTCAAAGTCCTGGGGCGTGCACTCACCATCTTGCTGAGCCGAGGGAAGCTTTTCCCCGCTTAGGATCTTAATCTCATCAATCAACTAGCAACCGTCAGCACAGCCCCAGGACATCGAAAGCAGTATGCACTAACCTGATCGAACCATATATCGATTGTACGCAGGTGGTCGTCGTGGTGTTGGGAGCGGTTCTCGATCTCGTGGAGCTGAGACTCGACCGTGGCCTTTTCACGCTTATACTCGCGCATCTGGCGGAGGATGGCATCTTTCTGAAAAGCCTACACGCGTTGTACGGTTAGCGATCGTGTCCGATGACAGCGGCAACGGCGCAAAGGGGGGAGGCGGACCTCGATGTCGTCTTTCCACGGCATGTCAGCGTCTGGATGCGGTCTCACACCATTCACGGCGACGGCTTGCCTCTTAGCAGGAGGTACAGAGTCGTCGGACGCGCTGGGCCGCTTGCGGTCCTCCATCTTGACGGTGTCAAGCGATGGGGGCACGACGGTTCTGGCTTCGAGCCTCATCAGAGCAGTCGAAGCGACGTTGGCGGTATAGCGGCGAAGGAAGCGCCAATCAAGTCATGAGAAGAAAAGGAGAGATACACGATCGCCGTTGAAGGAGAGACAGAAGTGAGGGCGCGGGTGGAGAGTGTCGTGTGTGGCCGGTGGTGGAGAGGGCGGGTGTCCTTCGTCCTTAGACTCGCAGGCGAAGATTCGATCCTGGATCACGTGCACGCTAACGCATGCGCTACCCAGCTTGGCGTGTCCGTGCTGTCCGTGCAGAAGGCAGGCGCGTCTTCCCCGCTAAACTTTCTGGTTTGTGACCTCTTCGCATAGAATCTCACGGCAGCAGCACTCCGCGTCGAGATGTCGGGAGAGGGGGAGCAGTCGCAGCCCAAAGCTGCACCCAAAGCGCCCACCATTACCTCCGCTTTCATCAACAGTAAATTCGCCCTATAGAAACAGCACCCGAGCCAGACTGACGTTGCACCAGAGGGTGCAAAGACATTCGCACCGAAGAAGGCTGTTCGACGTCGACCTGCCGCAGCTGCGGCGCCTAAGCCGGCCGTACCTTCCTCCTCGCCTTCAGTTCCTGCCGTTGAGGGGACTTTGCAAACTCAAATCCAAACACCAGCAGACTCTACACCCGCCGTTGAACAGTCCCAGGCTCAGTTAGATCACACGCTCACTGTTGAACAATCCGCGACCGCACAGCTTCCTACACCCGCTGCGACACAAGATCCGACCCGGCAAGATGTGCCCCAGACCGAACAAGTGCCTGCGCCGTCGACTGAGGTCGTTGACACCAGCGCTCCTGGTGCGGCCACCGAGTCTTCTACAACCCCCGCTTCCACCGTCAAGAATACCACTTTTCAGCCCAAGGAAAGCGTCAATATTTCTGCGCAACCTGCGGCGCGGACTGCCACCTCGCCCGTAGCCACTGCAGAGATTGAGTCTGAACGGTCACCGCAGCGACGAACATCAAAAGCACCGGAGGAAGAACAAACACGACTGGCGGAACCAGAGGCTGCCTTTTTTGAGCCTGAAGCCACTACACAGGAACAGCCAGCTCATGAGGCATCTGCAGAAGATGTGCAACCGGCGCGAACCACTGATGCCGTCGCAGAACATTCTTCCGAGGTTATTGCCGAGCCCGCTGCAAATGTTGTTCAGCCAGCCGAAGCCGCCAGCCAACCGACGGAAAATTCTGATGGTCCTGCTATCAATTCAGAAACTCCCGCTGATACCGTTACCCCTACTCAGCCACAGAATGCATATTCGGAGAACATAACCACTACGCAAACCACCGCGGAGCCCATAGAGGAGCGGACATGGATCGCGGTCAATGCTGCGGTCGGCAATGAGGAAAGGCCAATGACAACCCCGAAGCCTCGCAAACCTACAGGCAGACGTAGGAAGAAGGCAGTAACGCTCCGAAATATAGACGAGGAAGAAGAGGAGGAGGCGAGAAGGCGAGAAGCTGGGGAGGTGGAAGATGATTATGTCCCGCCACGATCCAGACGACCGAACGCAAAGGCGAAAGGCAAAAGAAAAGCAGCAGATGCGCCTACAGGTGAAGAAGATGGCATCGTACAACCACCTCCCAAGAAGAAACGGCAACCTAGAAAAGCTAAAGCGAAGGATCCTATTCCCACTGGGTCTGGACAAGACGTTGCGCCTGTGGTGGAGAACGAGAATAGGGAGGCTATTGAGAATGTGCAAAGCGTGGAAAATGGGGATCCAGCGGAAAACGGCGAGGGCAGCAGATCCACTCGCCCGACGCCATCGAGGAAACGCAAGCGTCAAAGTACCTCGCAACTCAACGGCGAAGGTGAACAGCAGCCGAGACGAAAAGGGCGCCCACCGAGAGCACCAACTCCTTCAGATGCTGAAGATGAGGTCATCGACGAGGACAACTTTTTCATGGACGATCTTGCGCGCCGAAACATTCGTATTGGAAAATTGTCGCAACGCGAAAAGAAGATGCGCGAGATCAACTGGGAGGAAGTCAAACAACGCCAGAAGGAAAAAGAAGCCGAACAAATGAACAGTCGAGCCGTGCACGCAGAGATGGAGCGCCAGGCGCAGGAGAAAGAAAACGCAGTCCGCACGGCACAGGAACAAGTCAGGTATGAGAATGTAGGCGGCGAGATGCGCATCGTTCAAGGCTCGGGCCAGGTGAACTACGAAGAGATTGCTGAAAGTCGATATGCTGAGGAAGTTGTCGAAGAAGACGACTTCACGAACCGCATCACGTCGCGAAGTTTCATGCGGAACAACAAGCGATTTCCCGAAGAATTCCTGCTACCAGGCCAGGGCAAGCGGTGGGACATCAGAAGTACGCAGGACTTCTACGAGGCGCTCAGGATGTTTGGCACAGACTTCGGCATGATGACGACGCTCTTCGAGGGCGTGTCGCGCCGATCACTTAAGCTCAAGTTCAACCGCGAAGAACGCAAGCAACCCAAGGTCATCAAGGACATTCTACAGCAAAAAGACACCCGCCTCGGTAACTGGGATGAGTTCCTGAAAGCTTCGGGGAAAGAAAGTGAGCAATATGATCGCGTCGAGCAGATCAAGATGGATTTGGAGGCGGCGGAAGAGGACGCGAGGAGGCAGATTGAGGAGGCGAAGGCGGAATTTGAGGAGGAAAGGAGGCAGAAGAGGTTGGCTGGATTCATGAGCGACGAGGAAGGCGGCGAGGACGAAGCGGGTAAGAAGAAAAAAGGGAAGAAGGGCAAGGAGAAACAGGTCACGTTCCAGCAGGACGAGGAGGGCGTTGAGGTGCTGGAGGTGGATGAGAATGACGGGTGGGGTGAGGGTTAGATTCTGTATAGAGTCGTTTACACAGGGCTGTTGAAGGCGCCCGCGTCACGTTTCAGGGACTTTCGGCGCATGGACATGTATTAAGATACCCCTTAGCAGCGAAGCAGATTCTGCTGCTTCTCTACTTACTCTACGCAAAACGATCACGACTAAGCTTTCACGTATACACCGTCTCGCTCACATACTCTTTCCTCGGTCCCTTGACATCGTACCTCACACTCCACCACTTCATCTTCTTCTCGTCACTAAAAACAGGAAACTCCCACCGCGCGGTATACAGATCCTCCGCGCACAGATGCTGCTCCCTATTCGGCACACTTACCACCCCTCCCTCTTTCCTTTCCATGTTTCCCATCGTGACAAACAGCCCACCCACCCCATCTACTTCCTCCGCCTCGTGGAAATGCACAGCCACGTACTCCCCTTTAAACATTCTCTTTGCCTCTTCGTTTAATTCGCCTCGCAGGATGTAAACGTACTTCCTCCGTGCGGTGAAGCGTAGACCTGTATCGGTAATGAATTCGCCCTCCTCGGTGTAGAGAAGCGAGGGGCGCGAGCTGGGCAGGGGTGTGAAGGTCGCGGTGCCGGTGACGGTGCCAGAAGGGTGGGTTGGGAGGTTTGAGGTTAGGGTTCGGGTGAAAGTCCAGGTGCCGTGGCTTTGCAGGGCGGTGAAAATGGTCGAGGCAGTAGGTAGTAGGGTTGATAACTGTGGAAGTGTGGTGGATGGTGGGTGAGGGACTGGAAATGAATGTGCGTCTGCGTTGGAGTCCTCAGGTAGGTTTCGATTAGAGGTAATAGCTGACGGATTAGGCATAAGAAACGCATTGACGGATTGCAGCGTCGCTCTCGGCGGATTCAGCGTCGGATGCGTAGTAGTGAGCCATGAGAGTCGCTGCTTAATGATCTTCTTGTCGATTTTGGCCCCTTCATGAGGCCGGCACGCGAGAACGCCATTCGCATCCGCATACATGCAGAGGATTGCGAGAGCCGTGCCAACGGCCAAATCCTTGCCTGAGTGATCGCAGATGAGTATCTTCTTGTCGGTCGGGCCTGATGGCAGCCAAGTCTCTAGGATGAACAACTGTTTAAGCTGATTTCGCAAGTCCCGCGAACCGAGTTTGCCTGCTTGACATTGGAGATGTAGGTATCGTGTGTTCGACTTCGAGTGAGATTCAGGAAGTGATTTAGCCCCGCAGCTAATCACCACGTCGTAAGTCGAGGTTTTCAGATTCTGTATGGTAGAGACGTAGAGATTTGACGTTGGCTTGACGAGTATCGGTACCGCATCAGAGGTTGTCTCTTCTTCAACAAGTCTCTTGATGAGGTCCGGAAGATCCTCTTCGTTCGTATTGAGCAATTCGTGTTTGTGGCTCCAGAAAAGTGTCGATGTCAGGCCCTGAGACCAAGCCTCGTGATCATCCGCTGCACCCTGGATGTACCCGCCTTCAGAACCTTCAGCGCCAGTTACCCGTCGTGATGCTGTACACAACACTACTGGGTAGAAGTCGGGAAATGAAGGTGGTGTTTCTGGAATGCTCGAATTTTGCGTTATCCAGATTGGCCGTAGAGGTTTCTGGATTTTGTTGCGCAAGAGCTCAACATCTGGTCTGCAAATTTCCAGAAACTCGCGGACAAAGCCATCCATCATCTTCTCTATTTGCGCATGTTCTGACTCCGACACAGCTTGCGGAGCCGTATGAAGCTCGTGCTCTCCGAGTTCAGAGAAAAGCGAGTGGTTCATCACGCAGCACCATATGGGAATCGTTTTGGAAAGCGCATCCGGCATGCTCTTACCTCTCCTCGTAGAGTCCACGATGACGCATCCTCCAGCTTTGCCAATGAGGTCGAGCAACTGCAAGTTCAATCTCCTGACACTGAACTTCCATTCATTCGTGTGCCCGTCTGTGCTCTTGAAGTATACGCTCTCGGCTTTCTTATCCGGAGATATATACCAGCTTCCGCAACGCTCATTCGCAACGAGCGGCAGACCAAAAGCTACAGATACTTTTGCAACGAAGTTGGCATCGAACTGTATTGACGACAGACGGTTATGGATGGACAGCGCAGAGCGCTTTAGAGAACTTAGCGTCGAGGACAAAGAGAGAGATTGTGTGGGAAAGATCAGGTCTGACTGAGTTAAGGGACGTGACATCTTGGAAACCTCCGGGAGGACGAGTGGTCAGTGGTAGGAAGTTCCGTCATTCAATAGTGGGCTGAAGAGGCATGAATTGCTGCGGGAAGTGTGTGAAGGGCCTAGTTCGGGAACGGTTAGTGTGACTTGGCAAGTGTGCCTGGGTTCATGAATTGGATGAAATTGTGATTTCGATGCAGTTTAAGAAAGCGTGTGTTGCCTTAATGAAGTGTGACAGAGCTCGCTACCAATTCATGAACAATTAGGGAGATTATAACATTCGATTCGTTGCTTCCGAACCCATGACAGCGAGGCCCACTCTTGTGTGGGCTGAGTGCCATGCAAGCAGCATAACGAAACCTGGTAAACTCACTGCTCCTTCGAATAACCAGCAACTGATCCTCCAACGAGTCACTCTATCGCTAGTGTACATGCCTTTGCCAATTTCATACCTCATCCTGTGTGCACTCACTCCCCCTTCAAATGTCCTCCACGAACTCCTTCGTACCCGTCATGCTATCCCGGATGAGCATACCTCTACCCATTCTCTTCACCGTATATCTCTCCTGGCTGTACCGCTCGTACGCCACCCCACTAGGCGTCCGGATACCCATATCCACCTGTGGCACACGCTTGTTACCTTCGAATCCCATTCGAGTAATACCACTTCCCCGCATCGCAACTAGCTCCCTATCCACCTCTTCATCAGGACGCGGCGGACGTGTGGGCGGCGGGCCCGGAGGCTTAGTGAACTTCACGGTCGTAGGGAGAGGTGGGACGTCGGAGTCGGGGCCAGGCTGCGGGACAAGAACGGGGCGGGATATATGGTAGGCTCTTGGTTGCTCGGGAGAGCCAGAGGAGGAAGAGCGTTTGAACAAGTCGCGCATGCTCTTCTTGGGCTTGAGTTTACCCCTGCTGGACCGTCCCAAGGAATAAGTACCTACAGAGAAACGGCTGCCGCTGCTACTAGAGGTAGAGGCAATGCGGCTCTCCTTTGATGCAGGCCTGCTGGATGAGGACGAGGACTTGCGGTTCGGTTGAGCCTGGAGGACACCGATTTGGCTCAGAGGCGCGAACTCCGGATAAGTCGGTGAAGTAGCCGCTGAGCTGGGCTTGAACAGAGACTTGAGCGTCTTCGTTGAGGAAGCGGCGGCCCGATTGGCGTAAAAGCGCGAAGGCGGCTCAAGCGGGCCCGAATGATTAACCTCGTGCTGGTGGTAGGAGAAAGGCGTCACCGTTGCGAAGGAATGAGAGCTCGAAGACTGCGGAAGAGACTTGGCCTTCTTGCCCTTCGCCTTCGCGCTCTCGAACGGAGACCCAGTAGCTTCAAAGTTTGCTTTCAATCTGTGATATTCAGAGGCTGGAATGCCAGGGGAATACACCATCTCCTCTATTGGTGGTCCGTCGTTATGTATATGTTCTTTGAAGCGTACGATCTCTGGATGGTCTGCGTATCGAGCTTCCCACACTTCATTTGGGACACCGAAGGTAGTACCTTTGGGCCGTTTGGGAGGAGTCAAAGTCTCTTCAGAGGGTGACCTCGGCACAAACTTATGCTGGAGAACGTTCGAAGCTGAGCTAGCAGTTGAGGACGATCTCTTGATCGGAGACGTGGGGGCTGTAGTCTCAGTGGCATTCTTAGTGACAGTATCAGCGGCAGTCCTAATAGCAGTCAAAATTCTCTCGGAGGGTGACTGTGGAGCAGATCCAGGCTCGCGAACGTTCGAAGCCGAACTAGTGTTTGACGTCGAGCTTGTAGTCACGGGCGCGAAGGTTACTTTCGACGGTGTTTTGGGAAGGCCGCCCTCGTCGCTGTACGGCGTCATGAGCGGCACGAATTTGCGTGGCACGGTTAGCTGCGGCACGTGAGGAACAGCACGAGAGCCAGATCCAGAGCGACCGGTGTCAGGTCTCTGCTTTGCGAACGGCGGCGTAGGTGGATTGTCAAAAGGACCTTTCTGCTTGCACTTAGGGAATAGACTGTACTTGAATGGAATAGGTGGAACCGGAGGCGCTGACTTATGGCTCGTGACCACCTCTTCTTGGTCGAGCTTCTCTTTTCTGAGACTGAAGATCGACGCTGTGGTCTCGTTAGGTGAAAGATTGTTGAGGAGTGGGCGTGGGTGAGAGAGAAAGGTTGGATACGTACACTTCTTCTTAAGCAACTTGGGCGGCTGGTCAACTGGCGGTGGCTTCTGGCCCAGAGCCTCCCACGGCGCAACTCGGGTGTTTGCGGTACGAGGGTGGTCGTGGTGGACGGTGAAGAGATTAGGCCCGACAGTGGGCTGAACAGGCTCAAGCTTCTTCTCCGGGGGCTCTTCTGCCTTCTCTTTCCCCTTTGATGTTCGGGACGCTGCCAGCGTCAGCTCTTGACTGACTTCTCTCACTTACCGTTGACCTCTCTATCGCAAATAAATCTTGCCCAAGCCAAAACTACACCAGCGCATGGGAAACACGCAAACAGAAACTAAAGGAACACCAAAACAGGAACGCTGGATATTGTGCAGGAGAGGAAACAGTAATAGCAGAAAAGTATTACCTTTCTCCTTGAGACGATCCATCTTGCAGGCCCTCAACGTCCGTTCAAATGCAGTCGACAAGCGCAAAGTAACGTGGTGGCAATGAAGCGGCGGCGTGACCAAGAAGCCGAATATAAATAATTTGCGTACAAAACGAAGCAAGCGGCAAAAGTTGTTGTTATGCGTGCGTATGGTTTAGAGAAACAGTCGCGTCGAGGTTGCTGGCCATGATCGTGACGGGGCGCGAAAGTCAACCCGGACACAAAAATGTAAACACAAACGCCGTGAAGGCAGACGCGTAATTGTTCCGCCGGTGAAGACGAGTTGCCATAGCGAAGTGGAAGCGCGGTGAAGGTGAATTCGAAGCGGCGTCTGTAGAAGCAAAGCCAAATGCAAAGCGATATTGGAAGGCACCAGTTGACCAGTGCCATCATCAGCCCTTAATGATGAACAGGCTGTGATGGACGAAGAAAATTCCATTCACCGGTATGTGAGATGGCAATGGGCCGGAATAGTCTTAGCCAGCTAGTGACCTCAAAAGCAGAGAAGAGGTACGGGGGAAAAAATGTGTATAGAAAGCGGCAATGAAGAGAAGCATAATGATAATATAAGGAGACTCACCATCGCGGGTGGGTAGCAAGATTTGGTTTTAGACACTAGTACTCCCCTGCCCTCTGGGAAAGGGCAGTGGTGAGCATCATGCCCAAATATTTTTTTTTGTATTTTTCTGCTTTTATGTCTTGTGTAGTGGTAATGGTGGTGCCTAGATCCTGCGAGGATAGCCGACTTGACGCAATAACCCCGGTTTCCAAAGCCCACCGTGAGCCACCAGAAATAAATGCCGGGTGAACGAGACACCTCCTCCCCGCCTGTCAGCGTTCGTCCCGTGATCCTCATGAACATCCGATCTTGCCATGTCAGCATGTCTTTCGACGATAACCATCCAAACAAACGATCACGCCGCATATGCAACCACGCCTTGGCCCGCGACCCTAACATAACCACCACCAGCACCCAAGTGACTCGCCGGTCACGGTCCCGAGAACAAACAACGCCTGATACACATGTAAGAGAAGGTCCACCGGGAGACGAACATGTCAAACAAAAACAAAGATAGTCGCAATATTGACAAAAGAAATATAACGCATGAACAAATCGCAAGCTATGCAGGATATCGAACGGGAAGCAAAGGACGCCAAAGATCACCGGAAGCCGTTTGTGTCTCCAGAACCCAAATTAAGCATACGTTTAAGGTTTTGTTCCAAAGCGATGTTGTCACTTTCTACCTTCCGGGGAGGCGTGGGTGGCGGCTTCGCGCGTACAGAAGAAGGAATAAACGCCATAGCAGTAGTCGATTTCTGCATCGTAGCAGGTGAACCAGTCGGGGCCGCATTAACGTTGCCATTAGGTTTCATATGCGTATGGTTCGAATGAGCCTGATAACTGCGCCGGTTGGGACTCCGGATATTCTGATTGTTAGGTACGCCCCTGTAAGGTGGAATAGAAGCAATATGCGGCGCCGACCCACGGCGCCGACCATCTGAACCGTTCAATGCATTCCCAATCATACTTCTCGAATCATTGTTCATTAACGCAATAGGAGGAAACCCGCCTTGAGGAATAATTGGTGAATCCGCAGTGATTTCGGTTCGAAGACCAGAGTTGCGCTTAGCCGAATCGGTTTTGGCAGCTTTGAACTTGGAAGAAAGGTTTTGATTACCATAGAATAATTTTGGATCCTCTTGAACTTGAGTTGAAGGAGCAGGCGTGGTAGGTCCGGAGGTGCTGCGGAAGGGAGATGGCCTGGTATCATGGAATGGAGAGGGGCTGTGATGTTGCAAAGCCGGGTCAGTAGATCCAGTCCTCGGCGGAGTAGATGAGGAGGGTTTGTTCTGAGACATGGAAAGCCGACTCATGAGGTCTTGGATCGCATCAGATTCCTTGGGTTGGGCAAAAGCCTCCATCTGTGGAATCTTTGAAGGCGCAGTAACAGATCGATGATTTGCAGCAGGCGGAGGTACATGAGTGGACTGGTTGTTCGCCTCAAGTTCGATAGGAAAGGGTGCATTCAGAGAGCCGAATGAGTCATGTTTCATATGCTGCGGCCTGCCGCCGCTTGTGGGAACAGTTGAAGGGAAAGTCGCCAAAGGAGGACTGCAATTGACATTTCTGGCCTTTTCAGCTCGGTCGGCTTTGAATAATAGATCCAGAGGCGAATTTTGGTGCGAACGCGAGGGAATTGGAATCGGGGCTCCGCGCGAAGGTGATGGTGAGGGCGAAGAGCCGGATTCTGAACCCTCCTCGGGTGGAGGGGTTGGAGGACCTGAATGCGTCTTGGGAGGAACAGATTTGGAAAGAAATTTGGGAATCGGAAGAGCAGAAGGTGCCGGGGAAGCATGGAACGTAGGGCCGGCATATGCGCCCTGGGGTTTGGCAGGTGTCGCGGCAGAATGACCAGGACCAACTTCCGTATCCGTGAGAGAAGCAGCGTATACACCAGTAGGCGAGACTACACGATCGGCGGATGGTTGAGAGCGCGTGTGCTTCTTGGGCTGTCGCGGCCCGACAGCCATAGGTACCTCCTCGCTCGAGAAGACAGCGCTCTCGGAAAGCGACGGCTCCTGAAGCGCATTGCCAGAGACTCCCCGGTGTGCTATCTCATAATTACCATTGTGCGCGCGATTTCCTCTGTTTCTCCTTTGACCCCTGCCGCCGTTGTTATTGGGCGACGCAGTGCCGTTGTGCTTTGAGGCGTTGTGGGCCCGCGGCGCGCGCGGAGAGGCAGCAACGTGTGTGCTAGACATGTAGCAGTGTCACGTCTTTGAAGTGTGTTTATCTGTTTGCGCGGGCGGTGGTTATCTCGAGGGTCGTCGGCGGATGCCCTTGGTCGTGCGCTGAGTGACGGATGATGTAGGTCGGGATGACGAGGCAGTGTTCGCGGGGGTATATAGAGTAGTAGCTAGTTGGCGGGTGAGTGAAGAGCTCATATCCACTTGTCCGGAGGTAAAGATGGAAATGGACCGTATGGTTCTGGAGAGAGTGTTGTATGTAAAGGAGGGGTGTTGTGATGTCGCAAGCGTAAGTGAAGTCCGCTAAGACGGCCTTGTTTCTCCCCTGCGGCTAAGACCAAGCGTGGCGGCCGCGCCTGATCGCGGTGGTAGGGCTGAGATACTGTTAGAACAGCGCAGAACGTGTAGTAAGTCGGCAGTGCAAGCGCGGACACAGTCAGGCTTCAAGAGAGAGCTGTAGTTTATAGCATCGAGTACTTCACTGAAAATTTCCAGACTTTGTGACGTCCTGGGGAAACGTTGTCCCCGGTACCAGGCAAGAGCGGGGCTTGGCGCTGTTCAGAGCTGGTAGGGACCGCTGGAGCCTTCACATCAACTTTCACACTCGCCACCCCCGAACCATATACACAAAGCCTACTGCCTGAGCGCACCGAAGCTCTGCGCCCGCATTCGCACTCATAATTACATACAAACCAGTTTTAACCTCATCGCGGCCTCCGACAATCAGCGTATAGCTCCCCGCATCCCCACATTCTAGCATACACATCACTACCATGGCGGACGTGAACATGACGGATGCACCTGTCCAGAAGCCGAAGGCGACCAAGGCGACTGCCGGCACAGACGGCGACAAGAAGCGCTTTGAAGTCAAGAAGGTGGGCAATACCATGTTCAAAGACTGAGCGAACTGCTGATCAACCTACAGTGGAATGCCGTTGCTCTCTGGGCGTGGGACATCGTCGTCGACAACTGCGCTATTTGCCGTAATCATATCATGGACCTGTGCATCGAGTGCCAGGCCAATCAGGCTTCCGCTACGAGCGAGGAGTGCACCGTTGCCTGGGGTATCTGCAACGTAAATTGGGCATATCTTACTTTTGAAGATTATCGCTAACGTCTGCAGCACGCCTTCCACTTCCACTGCATTTCCCGATGGTTAAAGACGCGACAAGTGTGCCCACTCGACAACCGAGACTGGGAGTTCCAGAAATACGGTCGGTAGAGGGTGTTCAAGAGACGGTCCTCGCATTCGCTACATTCTCCGCAAGGAAGTCAGCGGAAGATGTGTGGATCGTATGGTTCAAGGATGCATAGCAGGCACACGGTCAACCACCCTGACGTAGGATGTCAGTCTGGCAATATGACAGCCCTTTGAAATCTAGCGATGGTCGTCTGGGCGTCCGGATATAGAATCGGGGTTCATGAGGTCGCATAGCATGGGCAAAAGAAGCCTATGGTGGTGGGGTCCGCTCAAGTCATGATTGAAACATACTTTCCCAAAGATTCATTAAACCACATCATGCACATAATTCCTTCCCACTCCAATATATGCCACTCTATCCAACTTTCTGCCCGTCAACATCGATATTCTGAATTCCGCTTGTAGCAACATGCGGCGGCAACCAACCCTCCGGATTCTTATTGTAGAACGGCCACGGCGGCACGACGGCGAGGAAAGTGACAACGGTGCCAGCGAGGCCGATCCACAGCGTGAGCGTAATATCCTGGGCCATGAAGCCAATGAAGAAAGCGAAGATCTGTACATTCGCGTAAGCAACGGCATTCATGTATTGGAGTGGAGGGTGAAGCGTACGCCAACAGCACCGAGCAGCACGTTCGTGATAAGCTCTGCCCATCGCTGACCTTCAAAGTCCTGGAGAGTTCTGTTAATAGAGTAGAGGCGTTGGAGGGGAGAACGTACAATCTGGCCCTCTACGGCATCACGCACTTGGTCGAGTAGCTGGTCGGCCATTGTTTGTACAAGCTGCGAGCAGGTAATTGGCTTTCAGCTGGATGAAGTCGCAGAACGAGTGGGACCTGAGGGTGCGAGAGGTAAGGTCGAAACACGCGCCGATTAAGGTGTTCACTGAGGTAGGTGTAGTCTGCGGCTCTTCGTGAACGGTTATGTGGCTAATCCGCCGGTACAGCTTAGCGCCGGTACAGTAGGCCCGTGCATGCATGTTGGGGTCTGAGGTACGTATCCGTCTGGCTTTGTTACATTGATTGTGACCGCAGCTATTACCAAGGCGTGAACATGCATTATGTAAAGTAACTAGAAGTCGAAAGTGTCGATTAGTAAACCTGGTATATAGCTACTACTTACGAGAGGTATGGATCAAGACGATATCTAGAACCTTGAAAGGAGAGTATTAGCGGACAATGTAGCTTGCCGTTTATTGATATAGTTCCAGATGTCCTCTATACAGCTCCTGTGTGAAAAGTATATCGTTCATTCGGGCATAATGGTTTTCGCATTGCTTCAGATTAGTAACAATGTTTAAGACAGAAATGACACTCCAACCGCACATGCACTATATGTCTGCAGTTCGCCCTCAGCGACTAAGCTGGAGAATCCCATACCAGTTGCATCAAACACAGTTGCTCTTAGACCTTTAGCACGCATTCGGCATGTATCTGCTTGACCATGGTACGCAAGCCATGTGGTGGCATCAACTCTTTCAAGGTTCAGGCGCGTACGTGTGGTTGGGAAAGGATTATCAGGGTAAGATAGGAACTGCAATTGTGGTTGGGAGCAGCGAAATCACCGTACATACTTAAGGTGCTCCATGAAGCGTGTCCATTGTGCATAAGTCCTTGTTCGTGATCAGTGCACTACGAAGCCTAGTTTTGCTTGTGGATGCTGCGCACAGAGATCGCGTAGTTTGTCGACGTCGGACTCAGAGTAAAGTCGAAGCGCACTCCGGCTGAGTTACAAATCCGCGATAGGTTGATATGGTATCCTAGCGATGCCAGTGAACAGTTGTGGCTTACGGCGCGGTGCGCGTTGGTAGGCCGCTAGTTGCAGGGGTGCTCAGCCGCGGCAAGGGGCACCCGGAGCCATGACATCGCCGCAATCCTGTATTATTGAATGCGTAAGTGAAAAGCAGATGGTTGAAACATTGTGCATCGGGACGTGAGTCACGGTTGCTCCAAGCGCTGCCATTGGCCAGCGCGTATGGCGACAGTCTATTCGCGCTCGTCGGCCGCGGGCTTGTTGAAAGAAAACATGCGCCAGCCCAAAGTCGTTCTGTCGAGCTGATCAGATGCGCCCGGCCCGCAACAGACTTTTACCACTCGCCTCGCCGCCTCCCCTCTTCCTCCACACAACACCGTCCTTTTGGACTCCACTGTTAGCTCTTTATAACCCCTATCGGTTCCAGCTTTCATCCAATTCACTGTACGCCGCATCTCCTCCCATCTGAAGTTCGCCTGCCGGCGCCTTGCACCCGACCTGCGACGCTGACATCCACAAGCCGACCAGGACAAACAGCCCACGTTCGCAGCGACTGGCTGATAACTCGCGTTTCCGCTCCGTCGCTCCCCTAAACTACCAGCGCTCACCGACGCCACGGCGTCTTGACCTTCCAAACCACCAAGTTGGCGGGCCTCTACATTCACAAGTTTTCCTTCGTTCGTCCTCTTCTAGGACCCAAGGCGTGGGTCTACGGAGGCGACTACAAAAAGCCCCCATAACTGGGCTTTGGCGATACACACGTTTTCCGCGCACTACTGTTGTCATACGAAACCTTCCTTATCCCGGTACTGGGTTTGGAGGACCGGCTATTAGTACCATAGAATCCCGAAAGGGCTGAGTGTAGGGTGCGATTCCCTACGCGAAGCCTCTTATCCACGTTGAGCGCACCGTAGAGGTGAGCGCTCACAAGCGACTCACCGGACAAAGTCGACGCTCTTGCGCCGCAAGAGTCGCTGTTGTTGGAAAACCTTCAAGCTGGCGTAAATCAAGAGAGGATAGAACCAGAGTTGGAGCCGCATTCGTTTGCCGAAATCGCCAAAATGACCGACACTCCACGATCCGAGAAGTCCCAGACGAGGTACAGCACCCCGGTGTCTGACCTCGATGACCACCGTCACCAACCGGCATCGATGCCCAGGGCCGACGCCTCCCCAACCCGCTCGCGCAGGCCAACTTTTGCGAGTATTCAGGGCATTCCTGAGCGCCTTACGTCTCTAGACCTTGTCAATGAAGCCCTCGAGGCGCACAATGTTACTGCGCGCGACTTCGAAACAGCCGTCGTGGATGACGACGAGATGCATCTGTCCCCCGACGGTGCATACGCTAGGCGTGGCTCGCTGGCTCACAGCCCCGTTGCCCGCCGTGATACCTTCCGGCGGCCTCGAGACCCAGCTGTTGAACGTCTGAGGCGCTCCAGAGCGTCTTCCACAACGTCGCGATCTACGTCTCCGCCCAATTCCGTAGATGCCTTTGCCGATGTTCGACCGCGACGCCGTGCCGGAACTGTCAACAGTCGTCCACCGTCTGTCGCCGAGATTGAGGCAGAGCTCCAGAGGACGATCTCTGGCGGTACACGCCGCCGCCCGACCATCAGCGATGAGCGCCCCGAGATTCATCGCGCTGATACTGCTTCGACGCACAGCTCTGCCGAGGAAGACGTGTGCTTCCCAGTACAAGAAGACACCGGCAAGACAACCCGGTTCGACTATGAGGAATTGGAGGAGTTCGTGGTTGAAAATCAAACCAAGACGCCTATCGCCAATCTACACCGCAAGCCAAGCGTGGAGTCTCGCCTCTCCAGCAAGAAGCCCCGGGTCTTCAACGACCTGCGCCCAAAGTCTGGACATTCCACTCCTGCCAAGGTGGATTCGGATGCCATGACAATCAAAGAAGGTGTCGACCCCGCGGTTCAGGAGAAGCTTGCCGAGGAAGGTCTGGCTCACATGTTCACCTGCGAAAAGACCGCCAGCCAACCGGAGATGCCTCTCAACCGTTGGACCTTTTTCTCATCTGAGCTCGATGATACCATCCACGCTGCTGAACTAGGTGGCCTCTTGATGCCCGGTGAACGCTTCCGCGATCTCTTTGAGCCACCCGCGGAGTCAGGTGTCTGGTGGTTGGACATGGTGAACCCGACGGAAGAAGAGGTATTTGCGATTTGCAAGGCTTTCGGAGTTCATCCCCTCACCCGCGAGGATATCGCAATCCAGGAGCCTCGCGAGAAAGTGGAGCTGTTCCACCAGTACTACTTTGTCTGTTTCCGCTCGTTCTACCAGACAGACAAGGACTCGGAGGACTACCTCGAGCCCATCAACTTCTACGCTGTAGTCTTCAAGGAGGGCATTCTATCTTTCACGTTCACTGAGAGCCCTCACGCGCTTAACGTTCGTAAGCGTATCAGTCGACTTCGGGACTACATTAACCTCAATGCCGATTGGATCTGCTACGCCCTCATTGACGACATTGTTGACAGCTTCGCGCCCGTACTCCGAAGTATCGAACAAGAGACCGACACAATCGAAGACCAAGTGTTCATCGCGCGCATCGAGGACTCCCGCGAAATCCTGCGCGCCATCGGTGACTGCCGCAAGAAAGTCATGCAACTGCTCCGTCTTTTAGGCGGTAAAGCAGATGTTATCAAGGGCTTTGCCAAGCGCTGCAACGAATCTTACAGTGTAGCGCCCCGCGGAGACGTTGGGCTCTATCTGAGCGATATACAGGATCACGTCGTCACTATGATGTCCAACTTGGGCCACTTCGAAAAGATGCTGAGCAGGTCCCACTCTAACTACCTCGCGCAGATCTCGGTCGACCAGGTCATCCAGGGCAACCAGTCCAACGAGACGCTCGGCAAGGTCACAGTCATCGCAACTATTCTCGTCCCATTGAACCTGATCTGCGGTCTTTTCGGCATGAACGTCAAGGTGCCTGGGCAGGACGGAAGCATTGCTTGGTTCTTCGGCATTCTTGGGACTATCGTCTTGTTCGTTGCTACGTGCTTGGGCGTTGCGAAGCGCATGAGGTACATCTGATCTAGAGTTCTGGAAACGTGCTTGTGGATTTCTATTCTGTTTCGTGGGTCCATGTTTTGACTTTACTGTACTGTACATATTTTCTTAACTTGTTATTCGTTGTTTGCTTATTCAAATGGCTTGCGTAGTGCGAGGGTATAATAGTTGGAGATGCTGGTTATACATAGCGCGCGGCGATCGTGCGAAAGCGGTTTCTTGCATGTGTTTACTCTTGCCTTTTTGTAGAAAAGCTTTAATAGACATAGATATTTGTCTTGACCACATACTCGTCCGCTATTGCTCCTCTTGGTAGTAAGGACGAGCAATCAGAGTAATTCACAAAATCATCCAGTTGGATCGTTGAGCAGTCAACCCGTCATCACTATCACCGACCCTTTTCAAGTTCATCTCCAGTGGAACAAGTGTAGACGGAAAGCACGAATCCATTTCAGCACTTCGAAGTCATTCAATATGTCGTTCGCATCGCAAGCGGCGCATGTAACGCACATGGAGTAACAGCTGACCAGTGTGCGTAAGAAAAACGCGCATTCCGTCACGAGCTATTATCGGAATGACCGCGGTTTCCTGGTTCCGAAAGCGGGAGGTGAAGCCGAATGATGACGTTCTCCCACCAACCAGCACGGCAAAGTGAATTCTCGGAGAAAACGAGAGAGACAAAGGGCACGTCTAGCGCTCACGGGCACCAGTGAAAATTGGAGGAAAGACAACAAGGTACCAGCGCACTCGGAAGAGCGCGGCCAAGTCAGGCAGTCAGGCCGCGGTTATCTGTGGAGGCGTCGGGCCCTGGTCGAGAACGCGCGGGATTCATCTTCATGCTTCACGTTCACCTGAACGCCGCTTCACCTGACACTCGCCTCCGCTCGCGCCTTCTGCAAAACACTCCCTCCCCCCTCTATGAAAGCACCACTGCTTCTTGCCTCATAGACCGCCCTGCCTCGACGCCTCACTCGGCCACCACGCTTGCACCACCCCACCACCGAAGCTAACGACTGCAAAGACCAGCATACAGACATCCCGTGCTCTATACTCTCCTGCATACTCGTTCTACGGACGACAAAATGGCGCAATCGGCGGAGCGTATGCTCATGAACGAGTTCAAGGCGCTGAGCAAGGAAACGTGGACTAACATCGAGGTACGCAAGACGCGAGTCTCAGACGGATGCTACACCCGGGAAGCATGGCTGACTAGCGCATAGTTGATCAACGACAATGTATTCGAGTGGAGCGTTGCCCTCATAGTGCTGAATCCCGATTCCCTCTACTATGGCGGCTACTTCAAAGCGAAGCTTACCTTTCCCAAGAACTACCCTTTCTTGCCGCCAGGTACGTCAAGGATCCTGATCCTGTGTGAAGCAGGTATGGCTAACAGCATGCGCAGATTTCCAGTTTATCCGACCACTCTACCACCCCAATATCTACCCTAACGGCAAGCTCTGCATCTCCATCCTGCACCCACCCGGCGACGATGAGACGTCCGGCGAGACGGCCGCCGAGCGCTGGAGCCCCGTCCAACGCGTAGAATCCGTCCTTATATCTGTTCTTTCCCTCCTCGACGACCCCGAGGTCTCCTCACCCGCCAACGTCGATGCAGGTGTCATGCTACGGAACAAGCCTGACGAGTACAAGCGGCTGGTGAAGAAGGATCTAGATATCAGTAAGGGCGATATACCGAAGGGCTTCGTGATGCCCACGCATGATACGGCTTTCAAGAAGAAGGACGACGAGCATGACTTTGACATGAGCTGGGAAGACAGCGACGTAGAGTCTTTCGGCGGCAGCGAGTCGGACATCGACGAAGAGATGGACTCGGATTTTGAGGGCGAGGCAGATGACGATGAGGATGAAGATGAGAAGTAGACCGCGCCACTTATCCTCCTCTCTACCATGGTATCTAGCCGCTTGGCGTACCTCGTACTTTTACGACCGTTACGGCACAATTACACGGCGACGGTGCACTACATAGGCATCTCTTTTGTCACGAGTCTGCGGTTGCAGGTTTCGAGCGCGGCGTCTGGCGACCTTGAGGCGGGGTCATCAAATCCAATTCCCGTCGCTGTCACGCCCATAGGGGCTTTTAGACAGCGCTGCATGCATGGGTGGCGTTTCGGTATGGCATTTTGCACGGCTTTGGTTCATGCGTGGTCGTCATATGGCAGCGTTCTGTCCTTTTCATAAGATTGCATCAAAAGCATTCTCAGCTATGTGTGTATGCAATCGATGTGTATTTTCTGACTCGAACCTGAGCGTTGAAAGCCGTTGCCACCCTGGTGCAGAATACTTGGAACAACGGTTAAGGTGTAATTCTCGTCTAGCAGGTGGCATGTGAAACATACCGTGCTTCTATAGTGTTACTGGTAAAAAGGTCTCCGAATAGGTTACTCTCCTGGGAGCCTTAAACGAGACACGTCCGTATGAATCCAGGAGTCGCCAGGAAGCAGCATGTCGAACAAATTTAGAAAACGAGCATATTGATGTACATGATGTACATGTGTGGTGATGGACAGGGGAAGACGTCCTGTCTACCTTGGTCTAATTATACAGGGGCCAATTCCACTGAATTTTGCACCCCAGGCCACAAAGGTGGGGCGGATGGTTACTTAGGCACGGAAGGAATACACTTGCCAATTTCTACTGTATGCATTGAAATCCAAGACTAATAATGTATTGAGACGCCGAGTTCACCCTTCGACCACTGTGTAGAATAGACCGGTTCTAAAAAAAAGGTGGAAAAGTCATTACTGTCCAACATACAACGAGTAAAGCCAGTAACCGGGCAAGATGTTGAGTACAGCGGACCAAGCAGCCAGCAAGTATGCTTATGATGATGAACTAGTTGTTCAAATAGCAAGTTTTCCAAATAGTCGGTCTTCGCAGCGTTCGGCCTTGAAGATGACGAGCTTCAGGAGCTTACTGCGTTGTGTTATTATGATTACGTGTAGGGGACATCCGGCCGTATGCTCTCCAGTGCGTAGACTAAGCGGAGAGTTCTTACAATGCGGAAAAGAGTAGGAACAGGTTGCGTTCAGACACTGAGAGAACTATGATTGTGTCTTTGTTCTGGTACATGTAGTATACACATTCATACATATAATACAGATTCCCCTCGTTCAAATCAAGACTTCATGTACGTAAGGCGTTGGCGCATACCCATCGCCTCCTTCAATCTGCGCAGGTTCGCTCCCGCTGCACTCCTCGCTTTGTTCGCGGCCTCGGCCATCTCCAAGTCAACGTCCTTGAGCGACCTTGCCATCTGCTCGTTGTACCGCTCTCTTATCGGCTCAAGCCCGTCGGCAATAGTAGTAGCGACCTGCTCTTTCAAGGCTTTCAAGCTGAGATCTCTACCAAGCATGTCGGCTGCGATAACCTCGGGCGAGTCGTACTTGCTCTCGTCCATGTAGTACATGATGTCTATCAAGTTGGACACACCGGGCCGAGATTTCCGATCATAGGAAACGCCGGAAATGGAGTCGGTAAGCGCATGTTTGATCTTGAGGTGTATCTGTTCACGGGAGTCGGTAATTAGGATGCGGGATCTCTCGTCCAGGTCTGATTTGGACATTTTCTTGGTGGGCTCTTGGAGGGACATTATACGTTTGGCAGGTGAGTGAATTGTCTGTGGTAGGGAGAAACCCCTGAAGGGAGAGTCTGATTTGGCATAAACGTGGTTGATGCTGTTCGCAAGCTCTCGTGTGAATTCCAGATGCTGTGCTTGGTCTTCGCCGACAGGAACGTGAGTTGCATTGTAAAGGAGAATATCAGCGGCTTGGAGGACGGGATAAGAGAAGAGGCCAAGCTTGAGGGCAGGTTTGTTTGGAGCGGAAGTTTCTAAGGGGTCCGCATTGTCTGCCATCCCGGCTTTGCTCTATGGACAGTCAGCTTTATGCACTCTGTGGGGTAGATAGGGTCCAATGTACCTTCCACTGTGTCATTCGTCCTAAATAACCCATGCTCGCATGGCAGCTCAAGATCCACATCAGCTGGGTGTGTTGAAGGACGTCTTGCTGGCTGAATATCAAACTCTTTTTGGGATTCAGGCCGATGGCTATTAATGATGCATATGTTTCTCTTGTGCGTTGCAGCAGCATCTGCGGGTCCTGGGGAAGAGTGATGGCATGTAGATCCACGATAGAATAAAACCTTCTATCCATAGGGTGGCCTTCATCCTGGAGCTTGACCCATTGTCGCAGAGCCCCAAGATAATTGCCCAAGTGCGGAACGCCTGTGGGTTGTATACCAGAAAAGATTGTTTTACCAAAGATGGGTCTCCCTTCCCTGTGTGTAGCACTTTGGTATGCGTGCTCTTGATGGGCGCTCGGTTTGGAAGCCTTCGGGGAAGCCGGAGGATCGGATGAATGGGAAGGAGCTTCGGTCGTGTCGTTGAACAACGAGTTATGTTTGACAGATGGGTGGGAAGGCGCATCGGTCGACTCGGCACGGCGAGGAGCAGCATTGAGCGGCCATTGGAGCAACTGGGCCCTCCGCAAGGCACGCGGCGATTGTCGTGAGAGCATTGACATGGGCGTCGCGGTTTGGCGAAGTCAGAACGACGGGCCGCCACTAACAAAGCAGGCCGCTTCGTCATTCGTGGCGCAGACCGCCCACCTCGAGCCCGCGAAACGTTGTCAGGGTACTACCACCAACCCACCAACTCACCCGCTCCATACGTGCTTCTCCTCTGCGCATAGCGATCCGTAGCGTATATACCACAGTAATTACTAAGTGTCTGCACCATAACCGCCGCCATGTCCTGGACCGGTCCGTCTCACGCTGCCCTCTCACTTGCAAGTAGGAATACATGCTCACACCAGCGCAGGGTTCAAGAAGGGCGTCAACCGTGCGACGACGCAGGTGCTCATGAAAACGGGCCAAGTCGAACGCACAAATGACCGCGACTACGAGACCGAGCTGCGGTATGCCCTCATCATCCTCCCACAAGTCAACACAGTCCTGATACCCTCCCAGACGCTACCGCACCATGGAGACCGCCGCGAACAAGCTTCAAAAAGAAGCCAAAGGCTACCTCGACTCTCTCCGCGCTATGACTGCCTCGCAAATGCGCATCGCCGAGACCATCGACGCCTTCTACGGCGACGCCGGCGCCAAAGACGGCGTCTCGCGCTCCTACAAGCAAGCCGTGACAGACCTCGACGCCGAAACAATAAAGGCCCTCGACGGCCCCTACCGCACTACCGTACTCGATCCCATCCAACGCTTCTGCTCCTACTTCCCCGACATCAACTCCTGCATCACGAAGCGCGATCATAAGGCCTTGGACTACGATCGCACGCGGGCCCAAGTGAAGAAGCTGACGGACAAGCCGGATAAGGACGTCACCAAGTTACCCCGCGCGGAGAAGGACGAGCAGATGGCCAAGGCATCGTACGACCAGTTGAACGAAATGTTGACCACGGAACTCCCGCAGCTTATTGATCTGCGAGTACCGTACCTGGATCCTAGTTTTGAGGCGCTGGTCAAGATTCAATTGAGGTTCTGCGCCGAGGCATATTCACGGATGGCCCAAGTGCAGCAGTACCTAGATGCCGATACACGAGACCAGTACGCACAGGGTGAATTGGATGCAAAGGTAGAAGAAGTGTTGCAGGAGATTCGGGACTTGAGTATCGCGGGGACGGTCTGAGTAGGTGCATAGTTGCGGTTCTTGGATGGGTTCAACGGGAGCTACGGGTGATGTTTTGTTTGGCATAGCATTTTGGGTATTGGGGCACCTTCGTATGACAAGAGATGGTGGGCGTACGGGCAGAAGGACGCTTAGATATCACTGCTGGACGCTTGGCAGAGACCGCAATCTCTTTTAAGTCACTTCAGCTATCCTCTTGCGCATAGACGAACTTGGTGACAACAACCCTGGGTGTTTCGCTGACCACATATCTTACACTTTTCTTACACATGCACGCCCCCTCACAGTACATTCTTACAAAGCCCCACCCAGCACCCTTACAAGCCACATGGACAGCCTCACCCCAACACTAACCTTCCTCTCCGGCTTCTCGAACTCGCTCTCATCAACCTTCTTCGCGTACTCGCCCAACCACTTAACCTCCTCACCCAATCTCCTCCTCAACCCCGGGTCACTCGTCGCAATCACGACATTCGCCTCGAGATCCAGCTCATAACTTCTCTTCGTGTAGTTACTGGAGCCAACAACGGTAATGCTCGGCTCTTCCGCCGGCTTTTCACCCCCTGCGTCAGGGGGAGAGGCGGGAGAAGAAGGGAACGTAACCCACAATCCCTTCGCATGGTACGTCCACCCACCCTCCTCGTTCACCTTCCCGCGCTGCCACTCTTTCAACTGCACACTCTCTGACAACCCCTCGTACTTTACTTTCCGCAGGAACATTTTGGAAAGATGGGTGTAAGCGTCTGGTAGCATCCCGCTCACGCCCTTGCTTCCGAAAAAGCCATTCGCGAAGGGGTGCGCCGTGAGTACTGTTCCGCTGGCGGGCCGTGTGGCGAGGAGGAGACGCCGGAAGGAGGGCGTCATGTTGAAGTAGCCTGCGGTAAAGGTCCAGGTTGAGGGGTAGAAGGGTGGTTTGGAAAGGGTGGTGAGGATAGTGGTGAGCGCGGGGAGTTCGGTTGATGTGTCTAGCAAGGGGACGAGAGAGAGGACCGGGTAGATTGTTGTTTTTGTGCCGCCTGGGAGAGGTGCAGGAGAGTTGGAGGGCATGAGGAGGTGGCTGAGGTGTGTGGATGCTGCCTTCTTGAAAGAGGAGGGGAAGTTAGGGGAGGGTGCGGGATTGGACGAAGGCCAGGTCATGGTGTAGCCGGCTTGGGTATCTGCGGGCTGTATCGAGAACGAGAGATCGCACGCGCCGGCGTGTATCTTAGAGAAGTACTCTGCAAGCCGCGCGTCTTTGAAGAGGTGGTACCGATCCTGGCGGTTGGTAAAGTAATCCGTTGATAGGTTCGCACCGCTCATGATGATCTCGTCATCAACACCATACAGCTTCATATGCTGGAGACCCCAGCCTTCGTTGATGCGCTTGGGGACAACTTTCTTGCGTATACCGGTCAGATTGGGGGTGTGGAACATGCGGACTTCGACCCTAGGGCCGAATTCTGCGATGAGGGGCGCGAGGAGAGAGGCACATGATGCGTTTGGGGTTTCCCTGGTTCCACGGAGAGCGTCAGTGAGGAAAGATACGCGCAGGTTAGGGTTGCGTTGTAGAGAGGTGCGGATGGTAGAGATAAGTTCGTGTTCGGTTTTGCCAATGTAGAGGGTGCTGAGGTAGATGCGGGATTGGGCTTTGGAGATTTTGTCCTATGATAGTTAGTTAGATGTGAATGATTGTAGCGAGATTTGACTAAACGAAGCCATTTTAGAAGATCCAAAAAGAGCATAGAAAAATGAATGATGGCTTTGCATCAACATGTCCCATTGATGACTCCAGATCGACGTATAACAAGTTCGATACCTATAGTACGAGGAGTGAACACGTGAGACTTACCTTGAGTGTTTCGTAGAATTCCGATGGTGTCTTCAATATCTCTATTTGCTCGGGCTGAACCTCAAATTTAGGCGCAATCTTATCCAGATCGTTCGTTATAGCGGCCAGCATCGAGGCTTGCGATTGGGGTGTTGATGGAGCCATTGAAGGGGCGTTGGCTGTCGAATATCTCCGCGCGCATTGGACTGATCGTGCTCGAGCTGGTATATTGCGTCGTACCACAATACGAGAGCCCTGCACCCTCAAGCAGCTTCGTATTATCATTTTGCTATACAACGATGCAAGAAATGCGCAGCATTTGGAAGTTTTGATGTTGCGCTCCCCCAAGCTAAACCATTTTTGGGTGATGCGGACGGTGCCAAGCAACGACGTCTTGAAGTGTGTCGCAGCTCCGAACTTCCTCTCTACAACCCCGCCGCCATGTCGACGCTTATGAGGACATTGCGGAACCTCCGCAGAATTGGCTTCAAGGTGAGTACTCTCCTGAGCTTCCCACGTAATTTACGACACCAATTGACCTTCTATCGCAGGAATATGGCCACCAGATGCAGGTACGCTATACCCATGCTTCCGCTCCGCCGCACACGTCGCTAATCGCAGCCGTCCGTGAACATAGAATATCGGTATGCTTAGTCTGAAAGAGAATGGGAAACACAAAGAGGCTGACGGTCCGCAGGCGACACCAAAGCCGGAACGTACATAGGCGCAGACAAGTACGGAAACAAGTTCTACGAGAACATGGCCGAGGAGCTCCCGCGTACGTAGGCACGTAGCCGATATACTTTGGGGTAGTCAATTGACGTGCTGGCGCAGTCAGGACCCGCTGGGTAGACTACAAGGACAAGGAGTTCGATCCGTGAGTTACAACGGCGCCCCCCTCTCGCGTGCAAAGCTAATTGTCTGCAGTTCTCAGATCGAGCCCGGATGGTATGTTCTCACCCCGAAGCATCTCCGCAGCAGTATCTAAAAAGCGCAGGCACGCGTGGATGTCATACATGGTCGACAAGGCTCCCAGCGTGGACCCTATCCTCCAGAGACAAGTGCGCGTATGGGAGCCTAAGGAGCACCGCCCGACGTTGACATGGAGCCGCTCTGGATACAAGCCGTACAGCACGTATGTTTGTCCGTTTGATTCGTCTGACTCATGCTAAAGTCGTGCAGGGTTAAGAACAAGTACTCACCATGGGTACCGGTAGCGAAGGCGCGACAGTAGACTGCATTTCCATTCCATGACTGTACATACCAAAGATCTAGAGAAGACACAAGCGTTGTGACTTCCGCCCTTTTCTTATCCAGCGCCCATGCTACGCCATGCTGTTCAACATGTGCCAAAGTTGCTATGTACCCACTCAAGTGACTTGGAGACTCCAATTGCCATTCTAATCGCACTGTCTCTGAATCTTCCAGAACTTCGGGATGACAATCACAGACGTAGTATGTTGGGACAAAAGTCATGTCTCACTATCCCACGTGCGTCTATCTATCGCCAAACTCGCTTCTACCGACCCCTGCCTCTACCTTCCCCAAACGCTGCATACCCCACAAAATGGCTGCACGATAATAAGTGACCGCCGTCGGTCGAGCACGGGATTGCCAATCAAGAGACTGTGCGAGGTCGGTGGGTGGCTACCTGCATGAGCGCGCACGCGAAGGACGAACGTTGGTGGGTCACGGATGGTTTGCACACCATATCTGGAGAAGTTGATGTGTTAGCTGGACACGGAACACGGCAGTGGAAAGGGCGGTGATGGCTCTCCATATGTGGATCTGAGATGATGTCGGTTTCCCCAGATTTTGAGGATGCGATGTACGATCTTGTCAGACGAGCGTCAGCAGAGGGGTTCAGGTTGATCATGTCGCGCACCCTGGACAAGGTGTTTGCTCATTGTGAGTTTGATAGTGCACACCTGCACAAATGTAGGACCGATACTGTTCCCGCTGAAGGCCGTACACGCATTGGGATGTACCAAATGCGGATCTGCGGGTGAGTTTCCGTGTGGTGAAGCGGTGCAGGGCGTGCATTTGCACTGCAGCAGCACGGGAACTGCTATCGCGCACCGTGGTCACCGAACGACTCGCGCTACTAGGCACATGCCTCCGCGTGACTCAGAGCGGTGAGTATTCGGTGGGCCAGCGCCGGGAACGACCTCGCAGGCCGCGCTGCTACGGTTTGCAGCGCTGCGTTCCATTGCTAGCTGGCATACCTCAGCTATACATATACTCCAACGCTGCGCTGGCGCCCCTGCAAGCGGAACCCCAGCTCTGTGGATATCCGATCCTCGGCTGCTCGACCATCCAACGGCGCGCGGAGCAAACGCCGCCGCCCGCTACTTCTCTGACGTACACGCGCGCGTGGAATCGTCAGTGCGCCCGCCCGCCGAGCTCGACGGCGGTCAATTGTGGACCTTGCGATTATATCTTCCCGGGGCACGCTTGCCTCGCAATCCCAGGCATTTGGACTGCGACCGGCCAATTTGACCAAGCCCGACCGAGGCCCTTGTTGTTGTTTGGGTGCGTCGTCGTAATCTACAAATGCGCACCTGCCGCTCATAACCTGGACCGCGGACTGCTTCCGACCCTCGACAGCGAAGAGAGGACTGCGCAAGAGGCCTCGCCGTGAAGCATGTTCGCCCACTGCAAAGGCCCGTTCTGGGGCCAGGACGATTTCTCGCCCTGCTTCGAGAAAGAGTAAGTCCACTTTTCTGTTTTGTTGCTTTGGATCCGAGTTACTTCAGTACCCAGGTGGACCGCCTCCAGATGTTTACCCCTAGCTTTGCGCAAGACTACACAGGCGATTGGTCTGTTGTATTACCCAGGACATACGATACGCAATCCGGCGACCTCCAGTCTCTCCCCAGCTCCGCGACTGTGCCGCAACCACGAACAGTGGTGTTGCCCCCCACCTTGATCATTTTGCGCCGACCGCCACTCATGCCGCAATTCATCGTCCCAGACCATGTCGCCTGGGAACTCGGCCTGGGGATACCAGATCTACCTTTGGCATCAGTTATTGGACAAACAAAGTTGCGGGTGGACATGTACACACTGGTGCGGGAGCACGCAATGCCGAGGCAACATACGAAATGTTCGAATCGCAGCGAAATATCACTATAAACTTGGAACAAAGCGGCAAATCGGTTATGCGAATTGGAAGTTCCTGTGCAACCGATCGGTGGACTCTGGGACCAGAAGCAGAACGGGCATTTTCTGAACGAACGCTAACTTGCACAGCTATCTTCAGACATTGTTTCCCCTCGTGCTCTGTGCGGTGTCGCTCCTTTACCTCGCATTCCAACTATATCAAGAAGCGAAAGCGTCCAAATACTACCACGCCTACACCGTTCTAGAAGACCCCACCCAGCCGTGGTCAATACAAAGCCCTCATTATGATGGCGACGACACAGACTCCAGCGAGGACGAGCTCGATCGCAACGAGCAGCTGGCTTTACACCCGACAGTCAGTCGCCAAACTGCGTCTACAATGGCGGTGACCAAGCCGCGCGGCGAAATTACAGTCGTTGTGCTGGAAGAAATGGCTGTACTGGCAGCACTGGGGGTGCATGTGGCAATCTTTTTCACAGGAGCATATGGTCACAAGGGCAGGATAGCCGCCATCGCCGGTATCGTCGTTTGGGCATATATCGCGACTTTAGCCTCGCTGAGGCTGCTTTTTTCGAGCTCGAGCAGGCTATCATTTCCTAGGCTTTGGTATCATACCGCTTTCATCTACGGGTTCCAATGGATCCTGGCCATTCTCGTTTTCCGATCCGCTATCATTCATCCTCGCTCATCTCTCCACCAGAGGCTAACCATCGCTGATTTTGTTCTCAACTCGGTACTTTTAATAATAGCTCTATCTTCTCGGAAAGGAAATAAAGCTGTCGAACTCGAATACGAGGGTGATATCGAGCCCTCACGCGAACCTACCGCAAGTGCCTTCTCCCTCGCAACCTGGTCATGGGTAGATTCCATCGTTTGGACGGGATACAAGAAGACATATGAGCTGTCTGATGTCTGGAATCTGACACCAAAAGACAAAGCAGCTGCAGTCATTGCGAACTACCGACAAGTCAAGAAGACGTCTTCCCTTGCATTCCATCTTCTGAAGCACTTCAAGCGCGGCTTGCTTATTCAAGCTGGATGGGCCGCCTTGTCTGGTGTCATCGCCTTTGCTCCTACATTGCTTTTAAAGGCTATATTGGAGTACGTTGAAGCGCCAGACTATACTCCGAAGAACGCGGCATGGTTCTATGTGATCCTTCTCTTTATCTCGGGATGCCTTTCCGCTCTCGCCGATGGCCATGCATTGTGGATCGGACGGAAGATCTGCATCCGTTTGCGCGCAATCATTATCGGTGAAATCTACGCCAAAGCACTAAAACGAAGGGCCGCCGCCGGCGCCGACAAAGTCCTGGGCGAGGAAAAGAAGAAGAAAACCGAGGACGAGCCACAGCCCGGACGGTTAAAGAGGATGATGACATTCGGTCGAAAGAAGAAGAAGACAAGTCAGGCAGACCAAGCTCAGCAGGACAACGAACAGAGCACGGCCGACTCGCAAGTCACCACCGGCGCCATTATCAACCTCATGGCAGTGGATGCGTTCAAGGTCAGCGAGATTTGCGCTTACCTACACTTCCTATGGGCGAACACTCCCGTCATGATCATCGGCGCTGTCACGCTTCTATATACAATTCTAGGGTACAGCTCTATTGCGGGTATCGGAATGATGATATTCCTCCTTCCGGTAAATCTTTATGTTTCGAAGCAATTCTCAAGCATCCAGAAGTTGATCCTAGCGGCTACTGATGCCAGAATCCATACTACGAACGAGGTCCTAACGAACATTCGCATTATCAAGTACTTTGCATGGGAGCAACGCTTTATCGGACAGGTCAACGAGAAGCGCTATCTGGAACTCAAGCACCTGAGGAAGCGATATCTCCTGTGGGCAATTGCCGCAACAGTCTGGTCCGGAACACCGATTTTGATCACATTTCTTTCTTTCCTTGTCTACACGAAAGTCGAGAAGAAAGATCTTGTGCCATCTGTCGCTTTCACCGCATTGTCCCTGTTCCAAATCCTTCGGATACCCCTGGATCAACTCGCCGATATGGTTGCCCACGTCCAAGAGTCCAAGGTTTCGGTGGATCGTATTGAAGAGTATCTCAACGAACCCGAGACCGAGAAATACGCTCAGCTCGTCACGCACAAGAAGGACGCGAAAGGCTCGCCGCTCATTGGGTTCGAACGTGGCACTTTCAGCTGGGGTGGCAAAGACCTGCAAGATAAGACGGCAGCCAATGCTTTCAAGCTCATGGACCTGAACCTGCGTTTCAAGGTTGGCGATTTGAACGTCATCGTTGGCCCTACAGGTTCTGGAAAGACCTCATTACTGATGGCTTTACTTGGAGAAATGACTAAACTGAAAGGTGACGTCTACCTGCCAGGAGGTCGCAGCCGCGAGGATATGAAGCTCGATCCAGAGACCGGTCTCACTGAGAGTGTTGCGTACTGCGCGCAGCAGGCATGGCTTGTCAATGGAACGGTCAAGGACAACATCATCTTTGCAAGCCATTTCGACGCGAAGCGTTACAAGGATGTCATTGTCGCATGCTCCTTGCAGCGTGACCTGGACATTTTGGATGCCGGAGACGAAACCTTTGTCGGCGAGAAGGGTGTGACCCTGTCAGGAGGCCAGAAACAGCGTATTTCGCTCGCTCGAGCCCTTTACAGTAAAGCAAGTCACGTCTTACTCGACGATGTTCTCAGCGCCGTGGACTCTCACACGGCCAAGTGGATTTTTGACAAAGCTTTAATGGGCCCGCTCATGTACAACCGCACTTGCATCCTTGTTACTCACAATGTTAGCTTGTGCTTGCCAGAGGCAGGTTTTGTCGCCGTACTCGAAAACGGCAGAATCCAGGCTCAGGGCACAGCTACCGAGGTTATCGATTCCGGCAAGCTCAACGAAGACCTTTCAAAATCGCGACCAGCGTCTCGTGGTACATCCAGGGTAGCATCGAAAGTCAACATACCAGGTGATGAAGCTGAGGAAGCTCATCATGCTAATGGGTCCGCAAATGGAAGTGCGAACGGCTTGGCAGATCCGAAGAAGACTCCAGCTAGCAACACGCAGCTAGAAACCAAGGCTGAAGGCGGCGTAAAGTTGAGTATCATTCTGATGTACCTTAGAGCTATGGGTCCTTGGTATTACTGGATTGGCGCTGCGATTTCTTTTGCAGCTCAGCAGGTGTCCTCCGTCTCGACAAACGTTTGGATTCGATCATGGGCCAACGCGTATTCCGAAAAGAACGTGCAGTTGATGGGTATGCATCACAAGTCACCTATCACGCATGCCCCCACCTTTACTGGGGTCGGCACCTGTCTGAACAGCGGCACCTGCAGCTGGAATATCCCCTTCTTCAGTGGAAACCAATCGGCGCAAAACCAGTACTCGTACAATCTCATGCAGACCAGCTCCAGCTTCGCGAAGCACGACACCGAGGTCGACTCAACGTACTACCTAGCCGTATATGCGGTCCTTGGCGTGATCTTCATGTTCATTACTTTCGTGAGGGAGGGATTCCTATTTGCAGGCTCGCTGGCAGCTTCGAGACGTATTCACGAAAGACTGATTCAGAAGATCGCGCATGCAAAATTTCGCTTTTTCGATCAGACGCCGCTAGGCCAGCTGATGAACCGATTTTCCAAGGATATCGAGTCCGTGGATCAGGAAGTACGTATGAACACGCCGAGCCGAGTTTCCCTTTTGCTAACTGAACTAGGTGGCTCCCGTGGCGATCGGTGTTGTACACTGTTTTGCATCAATCATTACTATCGTCATCCTGATCTCAATCATTACTCCGGGCTTCCTCATCGCCGGTTTCTTCATCAGCGTACTTTACGCTTTGATTGGCATGTTCTACCTGAACTCATCACGAGACCTCAAAAGATTGGAGTCCGTGCATAGAAGCCCGCTGTATCAGCAGTTCGGTGAGACACTTTCTGGTATGACAACCATTCGAGCCTATGGCGACGAACGACGATTCATTCGTGAGAATCTCACCAAGATCAACACCCAACACCGACCTTTCATCTACTTGTGGGCCGCCAATAGGTGGCTCGCTTTCCGAGTTGATGTTGTCGGTGCGCTGGTGTCTTTCTTTGCAGGAGTATTCGTTGTCCGGAACGTCGGCCGGATCGATGCGGGCGCGGCCGGATTAGCACTGACCTACGCTGTGACGTTCACAGAGAACGTTTTGTGGTTTGTGCGCCTTTACTCTGCGAACGAGCAAAACATGAATTCGGTGGAGCGTGTCAAGGAGTATCTGGATGTTGATCAAGAAGCACCCGCTGTGATACCAGAAAACAGCCCGCCTACAAATTGGCCCAGCCGAGGTGCGGTCGAGTTCATCAACTACAGCACAAGATACCGACCAGACTTCGACTTAGTTCTTCGCAACGTTACGTTCAAGGTCAAGCCTGGCGAGAAGGTTGGTGTAGTCGGTCGAACCGGTGCTGGCAAGAGTTCTCTAGCTCTGGCACTCTTCCGAGCATTGGAAGCAGAGGAGGGTAAGATCATCGTCGACGACATCGATGTTGGCTTGATCGGATTACAAGACTTGCGCAAGAACATCGTCATGGTCCCGCAAGATCCCACGCTGTTTTCCGGCACTATCCGAAGCAACCTTGATCCCTTCGGTTCTTTTACAGACGAGGAGATCTTCCAAGCCCTCCGCGAGGTACATCTGATCTCCACTTCGTCGGCCGCAACGTCTGGTGCCACAACACCCGAAGGTGCCAGTACACCCAAAGCCATCGAAATCCCTAACCCCACCACCGGTGCCGTTGTTTCAGATGTCAACGCAAGCTACTCCGCCTCAACCGTGAATCCATCTTCCATCCTCGCAAACCGCGACTGGGAGCACGGCGAGGCACCAGACGATACGATTATCATCATGCCATCAGGTGCGGCGACCAACAACCCCGCCGGCGCTGCGGCCCTAGCGCTGAATGCAGACAACAAGAACCCCTTCCGAAACCTCAACTCGCCCGTCACTGAGTCGGGGTCTAACCTCTCACAAGGCCAGCGACAGCTCCTCTGCCTCGCGCGCGCGCTGCTCAAGGCGCCCAAGGTGCTGCTCATGGACGAAGCAACGGCGTCTATTGACTACGCAACCGACACCAAGATCCAGGAGACGATTCGCGAGATCAAGAATACGACTATTACCATTGCGCATCGGTTGCAGACGATTATCGATTACGATAAAGTGCTTGTGCTGGATAAGGGGAGCGTCATCCAATTCGGTGATCCACATGATCTTATCAAAGAAGAGGGAAGTTTCCGGAGTATGTGCGAAACATCGGGTGAGCTTGAGAGTCTTGAGAAGGAGGCGGAGAAGGCATGGAAGAAGAGGAGCGAGGCGGAGAACGGGAAGTGAGGTGTGAATACTTCTCCTTCTGTTTTTCTTTCTTTTTGCATGGATGCATAGTGGCTGCGTGTGCTGCATACTTTAATTTCCTTATCTGTTGGGCGTTGGTGGTACTTTGATAGCTTAACTGCGCGCTGCTGTATGTACGGATGGGGAGGGGGAGTGGGTGTGTATACACTGTCAATGGCGCTTTAGACAAGAGAGTAGCATAGTATTGAGGTGTGAATACAGTGGTCTGATAAGAAGAGTTTCTCTATGAGTGATGATGTTGGGTGTAAACCTTGCAGGCAGATGAGGGGATCAGGGAGGCCATTATAGGGGCTCTGCAAAACCCAGACACTCATGATCCATGGTCTGACTCCAGGTTCATGGGCTAATTCGAGTCGAGGCGCATCGATTGCATCTTTGTCTGCAAGACTATAGTCGATCGCCTTATATAGTTCAAGATTTTGGGCTGCGAACGCGCTGATAAGCTGAATTAGGATAGGATGGGATTGGCCGGCCAGACAAGTCAGTAATTGGACGGAAGGTGTACAGTACCTGCAATGGTCAAACAAAAGTACTGCGCCGGAATACGAAATTGCAGGTTTTCGATTAGTTCCGAAACAGCGAGGATGATCCCCCAGCAGACCACAGCTGACAGAACTTCTACGAACAAGCATAACACTGGGTGTTGGGCTTGTTCATGAAACTTCCGCGACCGCCAAGGACGCGTCGAATGATTCTTGATGCCGGTGAAAGCGTATGAAGTCATTCTTGAGAACAGGCACTTCGCGCTAGCGTGTTCAACGAGCATGCGCTTCGGGCGCGACTAGTATTCACCGTCATCATGTGACTCTCCTTAGACCCTTGGCGCACGCATGTTGGAATGCAGCTCTAATCTAGGTACAGTCTTCGTTCAGCCTGCAACTTTTCGACTCGAAGGACTATTGCCGCCTTTTCTGCAGCTCTGCCCTAGCTGACCCTCTGCACACTGTCTAGGGACGCTTTTCTGTCCGCCGCCCTCGTTCTGGAGTCTTCTGACTATTTCCATTCTTCTTGAAGCCTTCATTTCATCAGCTTGATTCCGACCACGTGCGCTGAGCTGAGAATGACGAAGCGAAAGGGGATCCGCGCAAATGCTCAATAATCGTTATTCGATAGCCATTTCGCGCGAGCTCAGCATTATTGAGCAAAACTTCGGCGCCCCTTAGTACCCAAAACCGAACCGAGAGCGATTTAGTCAAAGAGAAGATGAATGACACTCAGTTCAAGCTGATGGAAATAGTCTCAAGCCACACTCAGAGGGTAACTTCGCCAGCGACCAACGCTGGCACCTAGCACCTCACGGCTTCGGGCTCGATAGGTTTCGAGAACGTTTGTCGAGGGATACATCAAAACATCTAGCGGGTGAGGTATCTACATGGGCTTGTTGACATTCAAACGATTGAAGTGCCCGGGGCATGTGGAACGGGCTAGTCCGCCAGCAAATACCTAGCACAATTTCACGAGGGGCAGTATCTTTTCCATTTCATGCCTTTCCATTGTTACAAACCTGATCAATGCGTTTAGAACTGCGAGGAGTATGATGATTGTATCTAGAATAGTTTGTCCATTGCTATCTCCTCGGCTTTTGATATCAACAAGCGTTTCAAAGCTTACATTGAGATGGGAAATTGACATTGTACTTCCAGCCCCCTGCCACCTCACCCAAGCATATAATTTAGCAGGCCCTATCTTCACAAGAAGATTTAGCAAAGATGGAGGGCGTGTAGTCACGGGGCAAGAGATGATTAATATATGACAGGGTTTCAATTGCGCTCGACATGCCCCTCAGTGTTACTTGCGCGTGTCATGGCTCTCTACACCGTACTGCTCACTTAGATAACTATCAAATTCTCATAACCCTGAAGCTTAGACGTAGCGGTAAGGCATAGTTAAACAGCAAGCTGGAAAGGTATACTTGTGAATAGCCCAGAAAGTGTGCAGAGCGACCGGAAACGCACCTGCCCATCCCAGTGTGCTAGAAGTGTGAGCAATTGACCCCATTCTGTACATACGTGTGCTGCTTGTTCCCCCAAAGACGGTATTGTGGCGTGTTCGCGCGAATGTTATGGGCTGCAGCACAGCTGCAGCCCGAAGATTCAACTTCACTGTCACTGCTTCACCACACTATTGTGGCGCATTAGATCGGGTAGGCTCGTTACTAATGTGTACGGAGGCAGAGATATGATCTGAAAAGAACCTAGTCACCGATTGATTGGCCGTCAAGCGCGGCATGTGTTGTGGCTTCACGACGTTTTTCACCTATTGTGCCTCAACGGCAAGCGCAGCGCGCACTACTATTCACTTTCACCGCACGTTTTCGAGCGCAATAACCAGCCTCCTGACCTGCGCCGAGGACCCCACCAGCTTTCTTGAGCGAGCCCTCTTCGATATTCTCTCCCCTCAAATCTCTTCAACTCTCTTCATCGGCGCGCAGCTTAAACTCGCGCCTCGTACTTGACATCTACCTATGCATTACTCTTGCTCCCTCAAACCCCTCTATACATCATTTCAACCATGACTACTTACGCCGCTCATGCTGCCATCATGGCCTTGTCTCCTGCAGCACCTGATGGCGGCATTATGACTGGTGAGCCGCCGGGAAAGCCAGCGGATCTCAAAAATTTCCACAACTACGCCGTCTGTCTGGCGCGTCACAACGCCTGGAAGTTCTTCAAGCTCCTCTTGTCCGTGTATACGCGAGCCAAGAGGAGCATCGGCGACCCCTTGAAGTGCTACCCGACAAAATCCCGTGGTCACATACTCGGACACCTGGGCTGGAAGCTAGAGCGAATGTGCGCAGCCAACACCGACTTCTCTTCGTCGGACAGGCTCACCGCGTACATCGACTACGTCGCCGCCACCCGACATGAAATGCGGAGTCTGCCTGAAATGCGCGACCATAACCTCATTCGTTGTCTCTTCTGCAACTTGATCAAGTACGACGACGCGGCACTCGACGCGAACAATGGGACAGTACCAATGGATATCGACCCCCGTAAAGACTCATTCATGTATGACCAGGCCGACGACGCCATGGACGTCGATGAGTTTCCAGCTACGCCCAGTTCGCAGCCACAACCCAACACCCCCCTCGATTTCGATGGCACCGGCACAGCGGGTTCGAGCGCGACAGAAGTCGCTGCCCCCCGTGAAGATACCCCCATGGAGATCGACTGGGTAGGCACTAGTATCGTTGAGGAGACCCAGGAACCCACGGGCGCTCCGGGCTCCTCCCACAACGATGCTACAGAGCATGGTGCTGCTGGCAGCTCGGCAAAGGTCTCTGGACCTGCTAGAGCAACCCAAGCTCCCGTCATGGTGCGAACTCGAAAGTCCGGGAAGGATCGAGTAGAGGAAGCGTACAGCAAGGAACGCCAAAACGGGATGGACTTTACCTTTAGGAACCGCGAATTCCTCGATGACAGCGTTCCCAATGGGGACCGAACCAACCTATTGCAGCGAATTCTCTCGACTTTGAAGCAGGAGAATGATGGCTGGACGAAGCGTCACGGATCACTTGGAATTACCGACTGGCGCCTTGAGCTGTGGGCACAAACAATGGAGGATGGTGTCGCAAAGGGGGCGGACGAAAACCATCCAGATCCCGAGTCGTTCATGCCGACGGAGATCACCGACAAGAAGGTCTACGACCGTGGCGTACGGGGCATCATCGCAAAGATGCAAGATCCCCTTGCCTTCTTCAAGAGCACGGTTCGGAGGTTCAAGAAGGAGGTCTCTTTCGTGGAGGACGACAAGCCGGTCGTGGTCATGAAGTCGTCCGTGAACAGGAATCTCCCTCCGCGTCCTAGCGCGCTTCGTGACGACACTGTCTTCAACAAGGGGGCGACGAGGACTCTGGACATGGCCTTCGACAGGCGCGATGTCGTCCAAAGCGCGCGTAAGCGAAGCTGTCTCAAGTGCACGTGATGGCGCGATTCGCGTTCAGGGCGTTCGTTGACGTCATCACGTCATCTCCCTTGCCAAGTTCCGGCTCTTTCAAACAAGCTCACCTCTAAACGGACGGCTATCGGCACGCTTACCCCGGATCGTCATATCCTGCAACCATCCACCCTGTCTTTTTCTGGACGACCTTCCTTCTTTTCTCTTCTTCAGTAACACTTCGTACTCGGCCGCCTGTATCACATCAAGATTTTGGATTTATACGACATTCAGCATGGTTGCTTCTCGGCGCGCAGACTTGTTCCGCAGTACCTCAGGACGCGACGAGCAGCAATACCGATACTTGGACCTGGAGAACGGAAATGGTCAGCCACACGTACCGCACCCACGACAGCGTTTTCGCGATGCTGTTGACGCCACAGTGTCCAAGCAGCATGCAATCGATCTGAAGAAGCAACTCCTGGAAGATGTTGACCACAACGCGCTTGAAAAGTTCCGGAAAAGCGATGAAGATCTGAAGAAGATCAATAGCAAAAAGCTCCGGAAATTCTACGAGGACCAGAATACGCGATTGGACGACTGGCTTGAAGTAGATTCCATCGTCTCAACGCTTGCCGATGATGTATTGGACAGTATGGGACCGCGTGACTTGGACCACGACGGTGTTGCAGAGGACCGCGGTCCTCTGGGTGCAAGCGATGATCGCGTCGAGTGTTTCCTTCCTGACGATGAGCGGGAGCGAAGACGAAAGTCTGCCAGTCACGTCAAATGGGCTATCAACATCAACGTTGTTGTCAACATCCTGCTTCTCGCCGCCAAATGTATTGCAGCCATCTGGTCGAACTCCCTCTCCTTGATAGCCTCGCTCGTCGACTCAGCCCTCGACCTCCTCTGCACACTCATCATTTGGTCCACCAACAAGCTCGTCGGCTGGAAACTAGACCACCTCCGAAAGAAATTCCCTGTCGGCCGGCGCCGCCTCGAACCCATCGGCATCCTCGTTTTCTCCATCATAATGATCGTCTCCTTCCTCCAAATCTTGCAAGAAAGTGTCCAAAAGCTGCTCCCAAGTGGCGAGCACAAAACCGCAGAACTCCCACCCGCAGCCATTGGTGCTATGGTCGCCACCATCGTTGTCAAAGGCACGATATGGATTGGCTGCGCGCGGATCAAAACAACGCAAGTCCAAGCCCTTGCCCAGGACTGTAAAACAGATGTCTACTTTAATACGCTCTCCCTCGCTTTCCCGCTCATCGGATCCCAGCTAGACGTCTGGTGGCTCGATCCCGTCGGCGCAACCATACTCTCCCTCTTCATCATCTACGACTGGGCCGGTACCATGCTCGAAAATGTAACACGCCTATCTGGAGAAGCCGCCGACGACCGCACTGCGAGAAAGATGATGTTCATGGCGTGGCGCTTTGCCCCGCTCGTGCAGGGCTATAAGAGCATCAAGTGCTACCATGCAGGCGATGGTGTGTGGGTTGAGATGGACGTTTTAATGGATCCCAAGGCGCCGTTGAAGAGGTGTCATGATATCGCGGAGACGTTACAGTACTGTGCCGAGGGACTGAAAGAGGTGGATCGCGCATTTGTAACGATGGATTATACGTCCCAGGGACCGGCGGGACACGCAGCAGAGAACGAGTGAGGATGTAAAGTGCTTGCTTTTGTAATTGTTCTGCATAGTTTGTAAGGCCGAGCTTCACAGCTGCTGGTTTCTTTGATTGTTCTGCATACCGGATGGTAGCATTGCGTGGAGCGGCATTTTGAAGGCGCTTGGCGTAGTTGCTTGTTTCAGTGCAGGTCTGTTTTTGCATACGGAGGTTCTTACCTACTGTTTCCTAATGATTGAAATTTCGTTCGACAACTCACAACTGTGCAAGTGTCGCGAGTGCTAAAGTCAATGCAAAAGGTGATGGAAACGTCCTTCGAATTAGCTGCCCCATGGTGAGCTACTGATACTATCAGGAAGGGCTACAGATTGCGCATCTTTCTCATTGTCTTACTACCTGAAGCTGCTCCCCTACAACTCAAGCCAGATACTCAATCTTAAAGACCCAAGCATGTTTTCCGCTCTCTATCAAACTCTCATCGAACAGAATGGTGAGCGCGCCGTCCTCAAACTTCCATTCCAGCTGCTCTCCTCCTTCCACCCCTAACAAGCTGACCTGGTCGCCTTCCAAGATTGGCATCGGAGCCTGCACGACCAGCTTCTCGCTCGGTTGCTCCAAGCTGGTGATGTACAACGCATCATCCGTCTGCGTGAACCTCACATTCGTCTTCCCATCCCTCACCTCCGCCTTCTGGAACCAATACGTCGTGTTGAAGATCGCTTCTTCGTGCTCTGCGATCCAAACGCCTGCCTCACGTAGCGCATCAATCTCAGGCTGCGGGATTGACCCATCCGCGCGCGGTCCGATGTTCAAGAGTAGATTCCCATTCTTAGAAACCATATCAACGAGCGTCGTAATGAGCGTTGTAGCATTCATATATTCTTCGTCCGGCGTCGCGCGGTTATAGCCGTAGGAGAAGGGGTCCATGCCCTGATTGCTTTCCCACTTCCTCCTCTGCGCAGTCGCAAAGGTAGCGTACTCGGGCGTATCGAAGTCATTCACCTCCGCGGTGCCGCACCGCGAATTAATCGCTACGTCGCGGCCTTGCTCTCTCGCCCAGTTCCACCATCTGTACGCGAAGTCGGCAGTCCCGTTCGACGCCCCGGCGTCGCACCACATGATTTCCGTTTCGTAGTTGTAGGCTAGGATGTCCATCTGCGGGACCATGACATCTTGGATGAAATCTTCGACTGGGATGTACCCCGTATACGGCTCCGTCTCGTTGGTAAACGGATTTCTCGCGATGATGCCTGGATGCGTGGTTCCGCCTGGGTTCTCGGGCCCGTACTGCGCGAAGCCGTACTTGCCCCAGGACGGATTGAACCACTCTGGTAGAGAGAAGTATGTTCCGCGCTTGAGAGCCGGCTGGTATGTTTTTGCTGCGTTGAAGAGCTCCTTAACGACGTCCCTGCGCGGACCGTAGTGCAAGCTCGAGCGATTCGTTGTGTTTCCAGCATCAAACATCGCAAACCCATCGTGATGCTTCGTCGTGATCACAAAATACTTCGCTCCCGAATCTGCGATCAGATCAACCAAGTCTTTCGGCTCGTACTTAGCCGCGGTGAAGTTGGCGAAGAAGTCGTCGTAGTTGAGGTCCGGGCCGTATGTGCGCAGGCGGTAGTCCCTAAACCCAGATTTGTCGCCTTCGGGATGTGTGGTGTACCACCAGAACCACTCTGCGTATGACTCGTAGGGCGTGGAGTTGCCCCAGGCGGGGACGGAGTACGGGCCCCAGTGGATGAAGATGCCGAACTTTGCGTCGTCGAACCACTGAGGCGATTCGTGGCGAGCGAGGTCCGATGTGGTGTCGGTCCAATTCGTCAAGCCGAACGATAGGTCGTTAAAGGTGTGGGTTGTGGTGATGTCTTGGTACGTGATGTGTACGTCGGTGGTGCATTCTCCTGATCCCGTGACAGATACTGTTACGCTCTTTTGATCCCCTGGACAAAGTCGCTTGATGTGTCCAGGTTTCACGGTTTTCACGTCTGTCCCCTTGATAGATACTGCCAGTCCGTCGCCGTGCACACATTCCGTCCCTGCGTTGTTCACAGTCACCTCAACAACCTGACTCCTCGTGTGGCCATAGTCAATCCACTTCTGCGTTGGCTTCACACTCTGCACGTCTACGCTTGCTTCATGATCATTCTCCCACAGCGAAGCTGCAAACACATGGATCCGTCCGGTAGTAGCATTGGTTGTGTTCGGCAGGGTGATAGCCGTCAATTCTTTGCCAGGAAACAGCGCAGCTTCGAGCTCAAAAATATGGCTGGTGTTGAAGTTCGTCGCGTTCTTTGTGTAGAACTTGTCGTACACAATCTCGCCCTTGTTGATGGCTAGAAAAGACCACCATGGCTCGCTTCGTAATTCTGCTATGGACCTTCATTCAACACCGTTAGCGATCAAGCCCTTTCGTGGAGAATCTGGCGCATATTATCGACTTCAGGACTGGCTCGGTGGACTACATACGTTGTATTATCGCTATACGTGAAGGTAATATTCCCTAATATAGTCTTCTTCCTTACATCGCTCGAATGTAGCACTGACAGCGCAAACGCCCTCCTTGGTCTCTCCAGAGTAATTGTCTGCCCTGCGCATATGACATTATCTGGTGTCGAAGATCCACGGTAGCCAGGCGCAATGTACTCTATACCCGAACTCGAGACGAACGTTTCATTGCCTGCATAATATGATATCGCAGCCGGGTACGATTGATTCAGGCTGTCGAATGCGGATTGCCCAGGGTAAGTGCCGAACGCTTGGTTGTTGAAGAAGGGGTCCAGGTCAAGAGAAGTTGAGCGAGCGACAGCGCCGTAGCTGGCGCACGACGCGAACGCAAGTACCCAAAGGCGCGTATTGCTCATTCTTACGATATCGCGTGTCCCTGTACATGGTTGCTGTAGGGCGTCGATCGCCTTATGAAGCGTAAATCCCACTCTTCAGAAAGAATTGACAGTTCGGTAGAAGATTACCGAAGCGACCGATAGCTGATCTCCGTCATTCAGAGACTAGCTTACAGAATCGGGTAGACTACTGACAAAGTCATGTTACATTCCTACCGTGACAACGCGCCTGGGCGATGAGGTGATGCTGCTCGGTTCAAATGTTCCTGGCTCGGGTTGCCCTATGAGGACCTTCCTCCGAGTGTTAGCGTGTCTCGATGAGGGGGATCGCCCTCACGTGCGAGTAAATTCGGTAGAGTAGACCCCAGATCTTGGAAGAATCCTGCATCGTGTATAAATGAGATAAGAGCCGCAATTATGATCCCGGTTACAGCGAGAGTGGTCCATGTTATCAATTGCCTTAATCTCGTCCGGAGCCGATCCGTTATCTGTACAATGAACTCGGTATACCAACAGGACCAGTTTGTCATTGATTCAGCATTAATGTTACGGTGCCTCTCTTTCTACCAAATCACTTTTCCTATCCCGTTCTCTATTCCTGCTGCGACATGTGTGTCGGCAAATTGTACCCCGCGTAATCGATATGTACAAATGCTCGGTCGACATATGGGACGCTCTCTGTCCATCGTTAGCTTCGTACTTTTCATCGAAAAGAAAGCGCGCCACTTACCAAGCACATACTGCAATGACTCCCCAAGATCATGACTATCCCTTAGGCTGATATTCTCATCGACCACAATATCCACCTCAACGTTCAGCTTGTCACCCGCATGGTACGCAGACAGACCTTGAATCTGCTTAATCGTCTTCGCAAACCGCATCGTCAAATACAGCAAGATGTTCCTCTCGTCCGCGGTGGCAGCAGCACCGGTGAGATTGCGGATATGTGTCGCTGACGTGCGCGACCAATTCAGGATAACGAAGAGGGAGAGGAGAAGACCGCCCAGAGGATCTAGCCACCAGATTTTCGCGTAGAAGCCTACGAGGGGAAATAGGATACTGAAAATGTTAAAAACGACGTCGGTCTCGGCGTCTTGCGCAAGGGCTTGCACCGAGGAGTTGCGGATGAGGCGGCACCAGAGCCAGCAGCCGCCTTTAACGACAACGGTCGACGACATTATGGCGATGGCGGGGACGCTGAGCTCCACGACGGTTCGGTCGTCGCCCGTTAGTCTAGAAAAAGCCTCGATGAGGACCTGGAAGAAGGACGTTATCATGATGACGCTGAAGACGAGGACTCCAATTGGCTCAAGACGGCGGCGTCCAACCGGATACGCGTATTTATCCTGTGGTCGGGCGATGATCCAACTGGTGACCCATACGATGGCTGTGGAGAGGAAGTCGAGCGCTGCGTCAACTAGAGAGGCCACGACGGAGAGCGAGGAGGTCATGACCGTCACGATAATCTTGAGAATGAGGAGGATGGTATTTGCAATGAGATTAACATAGAGGGCAACCTTCACGATGGGACTCTCTGTGTCTTCGTCTTCCTCAGGAACCCAATCCGGCATGCTCTTGCCGAGCGATTCGATCTCTTCCTCCTCGTCATATGCGTCCGACCGCAACAGAGGTGTATTCTCGTCTGCTGAGGGCACTTTGTACAGATTCTTGGGCGTCCGCTTTAGCTTCACTTGCGAGCCATTACTGTTCTGGGTGGTCTGTGTGGTCGCACTGGTCGGGTTTGTACTGATGTCGCTGTAGCTGGCGGGTGTATGCGCGGCGGGCGTCGAAGGGAAGGACGGCGATTCTTCAGTAATGGTTGTCGGGATGTTTACGTTACCAGACTCTAGGTTGCTGTACTCTTGGATGAGATGGTGTGGAAGTGACGAGTCGAGAAGGCGGTCGATGTAGTCGTAATTTTGGATGAGGTAGTTGTTGCGCTCGTAGTACTGCCGGACCTTCTTTTTCTTGTACTCCTTGAGCTCAGCCTCCGTCTTGAAGTATCGCTCCCATTTGTACCGCGGGTTCGAGTTGCCAATCAGCCTTTGGCTTCGCATCTGCGGGGTATGAAGAGCGTGCGCGCCGATGCTTGCCCTACGCTCGGAGGCAAGATCCTGAGCTATGAGGCTGTGCTTGAATTCCTCCAAATCTCCATCGTCGCTAGAAAAACTCCCGCGTCGTTCTTTCCCCGACCGGGAGCTACGCAACGTGGAAGGCCGTCTTGTACCGTGTGAAATGAGGTTCTGTAGCTGCCCACTGCGCGTAGATAAGGCAGCAGGCGAGCCTTCGCCGGCCAGAGGAAGATAGCCTTTGGCGCCTGCGAGGCGCGACAAGCTCCTGGATCGAGGGAGGCCGGGGGACCGAGACGGCGAGCTTCCGGGAGTCATGGCTGAAGTAGAAGCAGTATGCGACCCTGGGATATACAGCCTTAAAAGCAGAACGATTGCTATGGAAAAACTAGCTCTTGTGCTGGCCTCGGGTCAGCTGTAGGCGGGCGTTCGGCGGGTGGGAACGGCGGTGCGAAGCAAAGGAAGAACACAGCAATCGAATGTAAGAAGAGAGGGATAAGAGGACCCAGCCACAGGCCCTTCACATTCTCGGTGCGGGCTTGGTGCTTTTCAGAGCGATGTCTCTGAACCCAAGTACCGCAGTTCCAATGGTTTGCGAAACGGACGTCACCGGCGTTACATCCCTGCGGGGCGCCATAGCTCCCTCGCTAATCTCCATTCAGTTCTTGGCTAAGACGAAACCTCCAGGGGCCTTCCTGACTTGCAAACGTACATCAGATGTTTGCAACTGTTTCATGTCTGATCACTACTTAAAAGAGAGCACAGAGCTGCAGTGTGTTTCGTCGCATCACACTCATCACTATTTAAACGTTTTCACTCGGTCCTTCGGAGCACAATCGCGCATTATGCCAAGCGGAGTGGTTCCGCTCGTGCATTAGTAGCCTGATCACCGTCAAGCACAACCTGGTGAGCGAATTTTCTTGTGACAAAAGTAGAACAGATGCACATTTGGTCGCCATCCGATGCATCGGAAGCCGATCAAAGGGGACGATCACATCAACAAAGTTTCATTAAACACAGTACGAGTCAAAGTCATCTTTCACGTGAGGTATCAGATTATGATAAGTAGTCTACAGAGTCGTCGAGCTTTTGGTCATACCCAGGAAACCAGCGCCCAGCCTCAGCAGCAATATGCCAGTCTGAAGGAGAAGAGGAAGAACGCCCCAAATGCATCATCCGCATACAGTGGTAGTATAATCTAAGGGAAAACATGTCATAGCCTTTACTTGGAATCGCTTATCTGTTGGACGGGTACCAGAACTCGGTCTGGGGGAAGAACTCCTCCTTGATGAGGCGGGGAGTCGTGAAGCGGAGGAGCGTGTTGGGGCTGCCCGCCTTGTCGTTAGTGCCGGACGCCCTGCTGCCACCGAAGCTCTGCTGGCCGATGAGTGCGGCGGTCGTCTTGCAGTCTGTTGGATGTTAGGAGTCTGTCTGGAGGACAAGTGATCGAATAACTTACTGAGGTATAAGTTTCCTGCCGAATAGCGGAGCGTATCCTCGGCCTCACGAAGGGCAGCGCGCGAGTTGGCGAAGATGGCACCAGTAAGCGCGAAGCCACCGCCAGCCTGGTCAACCTTCTCGAGAATGGAAGGCCACTGCGCGTCGGGATAGACGTGGATGGCGAGGACGGGACCGAAGATCTCGTAGTTGAAGAGCTTGTGGTCGGGCGAGTCAGCGAGGTAGACGGTGGGCTTGACGTAGAAGCCTTCCGAATCGTCGTACGTTCCACCGGCGACAAGCTTGAGCGAGGAGTCCTTGTTGCTCTCGTCAATGACGGCCTTGATCTTCTCGAAGGAACCACGGTGGATAACGGGGCCCATGAAGGCGGCGAGATCCTTATGCGGGTTGCCCTGGGTGATGGTCTTCACATCAGCGAGGAAAGCGTCGAGGAACTCCTTGGATCGGGATTCAGGGAGGTAGAGGCGGGATGTGGCAGAGCACTTCTGGCCCTGGTACTCGAAGGAGCCGCGGACGGTGTGTTTGACGGCAGAGGGGATGTCGGCAGACGGGTGAATGAGAGTGAAGTTCTTGCCGGAGGTCTCACCCACGAGACGGGGGAATTCGCGGTAGGTGTGTTTGCCAATTTCCTGACCAACCTTGGCCTGGAGCTGGCGGAAGACATCTGAAGAGCCGACGAAGCCGAGACCAGCAAATTCGCGGTGGTTCAGGATCACGTCGTTGATCTCCACTGGGTCACCGGGGATGAACTGGATGACATCCGGAGGAAGACCAGCCTCGAGGAGGATTTCGTACAGGATCTGACTAGCGTAGACGTTGGAGGGCGAAGGCTTCCAGAGCACGACGTTACCCATGATGGCAGGTCCGGAGATCAGGTTACCACCAATGGCAGTGAAGTTGAAGGGCGAAACAGCGTAGACGAAGCCTTCCAGCGGTCGGTAATCCATGCGAGACCACATGCCGTCGGAAGTGCGGTTGGGCTGCCTTGCAAGAAGCTCGGCGGCGTAGTTGGTGTTGAGACGGAAGAAGTCAGCCAGCTCAGCGGCGGCATCGACCTCACCTTGCCAAATGTTCTTACCCTGGCCGAGCATGGTGGCGGCGATAATCTTGTAGCGGTACTTCTTGGTGATAAGCTCTGCAGCCTTGATGAAGATGGCGGCACGGTCCACGAAGGGAGTGTCTTGCCATGACTTCTTCGCCTTGAGCGCGGCGTCGATGGCCGCCTTGACTTGCTCCTTGGAAGTCAAGGGATTGTTGGTGAAGACGGTCTTGTGGTCTGCGGGCAGGACCTGGTCCCATGACTTGCTCGACTGCTGTGCGACACCGTTGATAAAGACATTGGACTTGACCGGAATCTGAGCCTGGAGCTCCTTCAGGGCCTTCTCAATCTCAGCGCGTTCGGGAGAGCCCTTCTCGTAGTCCGGGTTAGGTTCATTGCGCTCCGGCGGAAGCTGGAATGGGACCGTGACATTGGTCGTGGTCTTTGTGCGAATCTGGGTGGAGGGGCGGAGACGCAGAGCAGCGTTCCGGGCAGCAACAGGCCTCAATCGCAGAAGAGAGGTAGACATGATGTATGGGTATAGTGTTGGAGCAGTGTGAGCAGCGCAGAGCCATTGAAGTATTTCATTGTTGGCCAGCAAATCCACTGCGAGCCGAAGTCGCAGCGCGTACCGTTGGAAACCGACGGCATCAGAGCTACGGTAGAGCCGTTTGGGATACTCGCAACGACGCACGACAATGTGACCCCTCACTCAATGGCTCCGCGAGGTATCAGCACGCATGCATGCACGCACCGTGCGTGATCGGGAGGCTGCCCGTAGCGCGCGGGAAGCTCGCGAAATGTGGAGAAAGCAGTTTACCCCAGCTGGCCGACGCTGTGTCAACCCACCGGGAGGGAAGCCGAGCATCGTGAAGGTCCACGATGGCCGCGAGGACGGCACCCGGAAATCCACGGTGTTTGTAGAGGATTGCATTGGCCGTCGCCTTTGGTTGCTGTTTACCCCAGCTGTTCGATGGAGCTGTCATCCCTCCGGGAGGGAAGCCGAACATCGTCAAGACCCACGATAGCAGCAGCGAGAACGGCAACGCGGAAACCCACGGTAGCGTTTGTGAAGAAGTCTGCACTGACCGTCGCTGCCCTCATAACCATGATGCTTTGCCTTGGACGTTCATCAATTTCAAGCCCATCTTACCGTTCTCACCATGCCGAACAATGTGCCCCCCAGCGGCGTCTGGTGCCCAGCAGTCACCTTCTTCAACCCCAACACAGACGAGCTCGCACTTGATGCGCAGGCGCGGTATTTCCACTACCTGTCGACGACGGGTCTCGCTGGACTCGTCATCCTGGGCACAAATGCAGAGACGTTCCTTCTGACGCGAGAGGAACGCAAGGAGCTCATCGTCACGGCAAGGCGTGCGGTCGGATCGCGGTTTCCCCTCATGGCAGGCGTAGGCGGTCATTCCACCCGCCAGGTTCTGCAACACATCGCCGACGCAGCCCACGCCGGCGCCGATTCCGTGCTTCTGCTCCCGCCCGCCTACTTCGGAGCCGCGACGACGCCACAGGTTGTGGAAGCCTTCTACGACGACGTCGCCCGCAAGAGCCAACTGCCCATTGTCATCTACAATTTTCCCGGTGTCTGCAATGGTGTTGACCTCCAGTCCGACCTCATCGCCACCTTGGCCCAGCGCCACGCCAACATCGTCGGTGTCAAGTTGACTTGCGGCTCCGTCGCCAAAATTACGCGCCTGGCGGCTGTCCTACCCAAGGACCGCTTCGCAGTCTTCGGCGGCCAATCCGATTTCATCCTAGGCGGCCTGACCTCTGGGTCGAGTGGCTGCATTGCGGCGTTCGCCAATGTCTTCCCTAGGACAATTTCGCACATCTACAAGCTGCACCAGCAGGGCCGGAACGATGAGGCTCTGGCCTTGCACCAAAAGGCTGCATTGGCGGAGCAGCCCATCAAGGCCGGCATAGCCGCGACCAAGTATGCCGCCGCGATACACAGCGCCAGCTACGCGGGAATCGACAATGCTGCGGCGCTGCTGAGGCCGCGCAAGCCTTACTTTGAGCCTGCGGCGCCTATCAAGGAAAAGGTCAAATCCACAATGGCTGAAGTAGCTAAGATCGAACAGAGCTTGGGCTCTTACTCAGAGCCAACTTTGGCTCGATTGTAGATATCGTATCTTTGGCCGGCGTCTTTTTCTCTGATTATCTTCCTTTTCTTCTTCCCGAGATGTCTGCAATCTAGCATTAGACTTACTACCGAGCTATTCGATACCATTTGATAACACCACCCCAAATCTTTCTTGAGTCTCGAACCACCTTGCCCGGATTACAGTCCAGCGCACGCCAGTGGCTGATCGTTCGCACTTAACCTATCACCATGTTCGAGTTGCGGGTTCGTTGCCGTCACTTATCTACCCTTTTGCCGGGTCGCCACCATTCCCCGGATCTGATACCGTGCGTCTACCAAGCGCCGAGCGACTGGGATCCCACCCCCGGATCCCTTCCTCCCCACGGCCATCCCTGCTGGTTCGCCTCGAACCGGCTAGCTGTACCAGATCTGGGCAAGATGCCATGTGCGGGAACCTGGCCAGGCCTTCCTTGGCTGACCTTCCCACGGCAGGGTGAAAGAGTATGTATACAGGGCCTGGGACTGCTGTCTCAAGCTTTCCATCCTTGCCCTCTCCACTCTTCTTCTATATCTCTACTATCCTATCTTGTACGGTGTTTTGAGTCCTCTCACTATGGAGGACAACAAGAACGAGAAGGGTGTCGAAGTCTTGACCGCTGGGGACCTCTACCCCGTCGAGACCGCGGCCGATCAGACCGTTGGCCATGTCGGTAACGCAGACGAGCTCCAGCGGCATCTGGGGAATCGTCAGCTGCAATTGATTGCCATCGGTGAGTACTACCAGGTGTAACCCTCCGCAACCAGCGACGTAAAAGGCTCCTGGTTCTTTCAGGGGCTATTCACCACTTGCGGATCATGTGCTGACAATGTTATCCACAGGTGGCTCCATCGGAACAGCAACCTTCGTTTCCATCTCCAGCGGTCTGCTCAAGGGCGGCCCAGGCTCTCTCTTCCTCGCATATACCATCTACACCTGCATGCTCGGTCTGGTCAATAACTGCCAAGCTGAAATGAGTTCGCATATGCCTGTGACCGGTGGTTTCATTCGCATGGCTGGTAAATGGGTCGACGAGGCTTTGGGCTTCATGATCGGTTGGAGTGAGTTCCTTCGTCTCTTGAGTCGTATCGACGAGTCTAAACGATTGCAGACTTCTTCATCTACATGGTTATTCTTGTCCCCTTCGAGATCACCGCTTTGAATCTGGTTCTGTCCTATTGGCGCGATGACATACCTGTAGAAGCCGTCGTAGCAGGATGTATTGTGCTCTATTTCTGTATCAACGCCTTCGTCGTCAAGTGGTACGGAGAGTGCGAATTTTGGCTTGCCCTCGGAAAAGTCATCCTGCTCCTCGTGCTCTTCTCTTTCACCTTCATTACCATGGTCGGCGGCAACCCGAAGCATGACGCGTATGGTTTCCGCTACTGGAAGAACCCCGGATCCTTTGCTGAACACATCACCACTGGGCCATTAGGGCGATTCGAAGGTTTCCTTGGTGCCCTTTGGAGCGCTGCCTTTACCGTCGTCGGACCCGAGTACGTGTCCATGGTCGCTGGTGAGGTCAAGGCCCCTCGCAAGTACCTCAAGCAGGCTTTCAAGGCGACATATGCGCGTTTTGGCATGTTCTTCATCGGTAGCGCGCTGTGCGTCGGCATCGTCATTCCGTATAACAACACGACTCTTGTTGAGATCTTTAACGGCAAGGCAGGAGGCGCCGGTACCGCGGCTGCATCGCCCTACGTCATCGCCATGAACAGTACGTCTTCTTCTGTACCAAATCATGAGTTGTCCTCAGCTAACCATTTCCCCTAGACCTCGGCATTGAAGGCCTCCCGCACCTTACCAACGCCCTCCTTGTCACCTCCATTTTCTCCGCCGGAAATGCCTACACCTATTACGGCACGCGCTCTCTCTATGGCCTCGCCATTGAAGGCCAAGCGCCCCGCTTCCTCCGCAAGTGCACAAAAGCCGGTGTTCCCATCTACTGCCTTTGCATTGTCATCCTCTTCCCGTTCCTTGCATTTTTGAATGCTTCTTCTGGCTCCGCAAAGGTCCTCACATGGCTCACCAATATCATCACCGGCTGCCAGATTATCGACTACATCGTCATCTGCATCAACTTTATTTTCTTCTACCGTGCTTGCAAGGCCCAGGGTCTGGACCGCCGAACTCTTCCCTACTTTGGTCGGTTCCAACCATGGTCCGCGTATATCCCGCTTGCGTTCCTCATCTGCGTCGTTACCTGCTACGGATACACCACCTTCTTGCCTGGCAACTTCACGGTTGATGATTTTTTCACCTATTATATGATGCTGATAATCGACCCGATACTCTTCATTGGCTGGAAGCTCTGGAGAAAGACCAAATTCATCAAGGCGAGCGAGGCGGATCTTGTTTGGGATAAGCCGCTTATAGATGCGTATGAGGATGCGCTAGAGGAGGAGCATGTAGGATTCTGGAAGGATGTCGGAAATATGTTTGGCAGCTGCTTCCAAAGGAGGAAGAAGGTGGACGAGGAAAAGTGAGTATAGGTGAATTCAAATGTTCAACGAGTGAACAGGTGTGGAGTCCAAAGCGGGAATTTGGAGCATGCGCCCCAGTGTTGCCATTAGAGGTATGGATACGAAGTACTGATAAAGGTGCATTAAATCATACGATCTCAAGGATCCAGACGTCCCCTTCAGTACCCTTGCCAAAACGTGCACGCTACACATAGACTTAAGATTAGCATGCTGGACATCCAGCAACGCCCTGCCTTACTGTATGACCCAATAACCCGGCTCGAGGTCGTTATTGGCCCCATCTTCACCTTGACATGGGAATCGCTGTTCCCCCAACACTCTCACACACTCTCACACACTCTCACACACTCTCACACACTCTCACACACTCTCACACACTCTCACACACTCTCACACACTCTCACACAAACGTCTATCGGTACAGTCTCGGCCTTACAGTACGTAAGCCTTCGATCGTTCTACGACTAGTCCACACCGCGTGAATCACAGCCAGTCATGTAAAGCAGAGCCTCCGACCATGTTCTTGGTCCCCAGAGTTTTGCCACCTGTCGGGTTTCCCGTCCACGTGAGAATGCAAGCGCTTCGGGTGGTGTTCCGGACGTACAGCTCTAGTTCGCCATGCGTGAATGCTCCAGTGCCCAACGCGGCTAGAGCAGGATACCCAAGCACCTGTGTATACAAACACTTGTAGAGATGCATCGGTATAGATGTGCCAGTTCTACAGCATTGCGTACCTCTTCTTTCCATTTTAGCATATATTTTGTTTGCAAACATGTTCCGCACTGTTCCTACTAGCCCTGCCGACCCTGTGTATCTGCTTTCGCAGAGAGTCCGCGCGGACAGTGCGCCTGAGAAGGTCGATCTTGGTGTTGGTGTTTACAGAAACGAGAAAGGACAGTATCATGAGTTGAGGGCGTTGAAGGCGGTGCGTACTCTCTTCTCATAAAGTGAACGTACGCTCATAAACCAAATGAAGGCAAAGCAAATCCTTGCACAGCAGGATGCGAACCACGACTACGAAGTCACAACCGGCAACGCAAAGTTCTTAAATAATGCAGCCCGCGTGCTATTTGGCTCGAACTCGTCGATTCTTGATTCTGGCAAAGTCACTTCGGTACAAGCCATCTCCGGCACCGGCTCCATCCACCTCGGCGCGCTCTTCCTCTCCAAAACCGCTGCCTTCAACGGCAAGAAAGCCTACGTCGGCACGCCAGCATGGGGAAACTATGTGCCATTGTTCAACCTTGTCGGGCTGGAAGTCGTGACATACAAGCACTACGATGCCTCAACCGGAAAGGTAGATTTTGACTCTGTACTAGAGGCAACGAAAAAGGCGGATGAGGGGAGCATTTTTGTGCTCCAAGGATGCTGCCACAACCCATCTGGCGCGGACTTCTCACCTTCGCAGTGGGAAAAACTTGCAGTGGCGATGAAGGCAAAGAAGTTGTTCCCGCTGTTCGACATGGCGTATCAGGGTCTTGGGGCCTCACTAGATGAAGACGCGTATGGCTTGCGGCTGTTTGCAAACAAGGGCTTTGAACTTCTCGCGTGCCAGTCTTTCTCGAAGAACTTTGGACTTTACGGCGAGAGAGTGGGTGTGCTACATGCGGTGAGTGAGGAAAAGGATGTAGCATCTAAGGTGTATGAGAGGTTGCGATGTCTGATTCGGTGGGAGTTCTCATCGAGTCCGGCGTATGGCTCAAGGCTCGTGGACATTGTGCTCAGCGATGATAAGTTGAGGCAAGATTGGCAGACGGAGTTGGCAACAATTCAGAAGAGGCTTGCGGATAATCGGAAAGCACTGCACGCGGAGCTGGTGGACAAGCGCAAAGTGAGCATCAGTACGCCGTTGAAAATCTATTGCTAACATACAACTAGGCACAAGGCAACTGGAGCTCGATACTGTCCTCCAACGGCCTATTCTGCTTCCTCCCACTCAACCCGCAGCAGTGCGAGCGCCTCGCGGCCGAGTTTCACATCCACATGCTGCAGAACGGGCGCATCAATGTGGCGGGGCTGAATCAGTCGAACCTAGGACACGTAGCTTCAGCGCTCGTCAAGGTGACGGGCTCGCCGTCATCGCCGCGCTTGTGAGCTTCTATCAGATAGCCAGATAAATCGTGATCGCGATATCTGGGTCGACGTTGAGATCGGGAGGGCGCCCGATGGTTCTTCGGCCGCGCAACCGGTGGCCCATGCACGCACTAGACCTATATTCGCCGCATTTTCCTGGGGGAACGTTACGGCTCCGCAAGTCTTTGATACGAGCCTGCAAACTGCGGAGACTGCATGTGTAACGGCATTTGATGTCGAAGAAACTCATGGGAGGGACGGATCCAAACTGAGATAGTCAGAGATAGCTCAGAGATACGAAGAACAATGAGTCGCGTCAGGCTGTCACGTTCCACTAGCGCACCAGCCTCAGCCTTCCCCCGCACATTCCTGTCTCGTAACGTGATGCCTGACCTCACCTCAGGTCACGCCGCCACCGTCTGTAGCCGTTCACCGTAGGGTCGTCCCAGTGCCGCGGCTAGAGATGTGACACCTGCATTCGGACTGCAATGCATACCATGGCAAACTCGAGCGAACAGCGACGCTCTTCCAAGCGATCTCCCAATGCGTATGGCCCCCATCTGGTGACCGTACAACCGCTTATCAGTGAAGGTGTTCACGATGTCGACGGCAGAAGATCAAGTGCTCAGGTCTGCAGCCTTGCGCAAATTGCACCAAGCGGAGCTTAAGCTGCGTTTTTGACGATCGGGATAACAAGGTCCTGGTTACACAGGGGTGAGTCGCGCTTATCTCCTCTGGGATTCTCAATGAGAAAAAATGCACTCGAAAGAATTTGCGTCAGCGGTTTTGGTGTATGATCGCGGGATACGAATGGATTCGAAGACTTGTCCGTTAACTGACAGTCCCTAGCTACCTCTCAGATTTGCAACAGAAAGTTGCTCGTTTGGAGAGAAGTCTAAGCCACGTAGAAACGAACCCGGGGCAACCTCAAGAATCTCGAGAACATGGCGATGTTCAAGTCCAGGGGAGCAGCTCCCGGCAGGAGCATCCTCTCCAGGCCACGCGTAGTGGCGACCATGAGCCCCGAGGGACCTCCAGATCGAGTCCTGCAGAGACGCGGGATAACTCTCCGAAGACGGATCAAGGGAATGGAGAAAGTCATGATCTGACAAATCCTTTGCTTGAATCGCCGTCCAAATTCATGGCCGCGTCTTCGGGGAGAACTTTCTATCTGGGAACTTCATCAAACTGGTCTTTTCATGGTCAGGTGTTGGATGTCGTTCACCAGCACATTCGCAGTACTCCCCTACCAGGAGCCGAATTTCTTTTCGACGGCTCGGCTTACAACCTCCCATGGGTATGTCGTAAACTCATTGCTGATTATCAGTAGCTCGTCTTTACCTTGCTGACTTGAGTAATCCCAGGATGGCACTCGCAGTCTACCAGAAACCAACGCGCCTGTCATTCCAAGCATCGACTACGCCATATTTCTCATTAACGCCGTCAAATTTCATTGCGGCCAATTGGTGCATCTATTTGATGAAGAGGAGTTCAACGCCAAATTGCACGCCTTCTATGGCAATGCAGAGCCCAACAAGCTGAACGACAGCCTGTGGTACGTTCAGTTCCTATTAATAATTGCCTTCGGCAGGACGCTTGTACAACGCAAACACCGAGAATCAAAACCGCCGGGCGCAGACTTCTTTGTACATGCGCTTCAACTACTCCCTGATACCAACCGACTGTGCCGAGAACCCCTTATTGCAGCCGAGATACTGTGTGGTATCGCACTGTACCTACAAGCATTAGACTCCCGCAATGCAGCACACGTAACAGTACGTTCGAGCTCCTGTTCTGTGAAGTTAACAACAGCTGAGTCCTCCGCAGATAGGCCAAGCAATGCGGATAGCCTTAGCTGAGGGCATGCATACCGACATGCCTGCGGCAGAACTGGGAGAGGCATTCGTCCAGCGATGTCGCAAGATTTGGTGGTCCATATACATCCTCGACCGACAGATGAGTTCGCAAATGGGGGTCCCGCAGTCGATACGGGACGACGAGATAACGTGTCAACTCACGCACTTCCCGCGCTCTGCTCAGCGGACTGCAGCGCTCAAGATGCAGATCAAGCTTGCACGTATTTATGCGGATATAGCACGGAGTAAGTCGAAGCAGCTCCGTTCGTTGAGACGTTGATATTCGTACCGTCGGGGAGCACGACGGGGGTGGGATCGCACCTAACAATATGCAGGTGTTTACGGCCCGAAAGGCCGCCTTCGCAAGAAATTTGTTATTAGTATCAAGGGGCTGCTCGACGACATGGCCACGGTCGCAGAGGAGCTTCGCAATACTTTCCCTCTGCACTCGGACGAGCGGTTTGGCGGCATCTCAAGAATGCCTGCACATTTGCATTTACTGTATTATCAAGTATGTTAAACCTTCAATTATGTGACCCTGGGCTTTTGCTGACACCCTAATTAGACTATTGTCGTAACGACAAGACCATTACTATTCTGTTGTCTAAAGAAGGCTTTTGAATCACCCAAGGAGGTGGGGGCGCTGGTATCGTCTCGCAAGATCAGACCTCTGTTAACAATGTCTCTCGATGCTTCGCAGAAGATCCTCAACATTCTCGAAAGCCTGCAAGATCAAGACTTACTAGGTTTGCTGAGTCCATACCCGGCTCCCTATACTGAGCTTACAGTCCGTCAGAAACGTTCCTTCCCTGGGATCTCGACTCGCTATTCGTATCTACGATGGTTCTTGTTCTCATTCGCTTCGTCGACGATACTCTTTCCGAGAATAGTTCGGCTTGGTTAAACAAAGCCTTCGCCTTCCTAGACACCATGACCTCCAATGGTAACAAAATAGCCGAGTTCAGGTGCGCTGAGCTGCGCAAGCTGGAAGAGATGCTCACAGAATACTCCGCAAACCAAACTCCTCAGCAGTACCCACCACTCCAACCCCTCGCGCCGCTTCCACCCCAACAGCAACAACCGATTGGGCAACGCCAGCGGCCAGACGGGTTCTTCATGCCGCCTGACACGCAGTCCCCGCGGACAATTATGAATCCGGAGGCTATGGGGATGTATAATGCGTTCAGCGATGAGAGTAGTGGGTTTGGCGATGATTTGACGGCAGATCAGATCCTTGCTGTGGCTGAGTCGATGGATCTCGGAACTACTGACTGGTTCAATGCCTTTGCGACTATGGACACGTATCACATGGGGGATCCGCAACAACCCCCGATTTAGACAATTGATGTTTTCAGCTGAGGCTGAACGACAATGGTCGCAATGGGTGACAATGTCGAGCACAAGCTTCTAGCGCATCGCTCTGGACCACTGTACGACTTGCAACGGACTTATTGATGTATCAGGCGTTTTGGGCTAACAGTGGGGTCATCATTTTAAGAAGATATTCCAGCCCTTCTGGCACACTCGTGGCACGAAAGTTCATTCAAGTCAAAGATCGAACGACAATCAAAGTTCAGAAGAAGATCCGATTGTCTCATGCGCCCTCTATTCTTCATTATGCGACCGTACATCTATAACATTACAACTTCGCCTTCACCGGTTGTTCCGACAGATCACGGAGCTCCCTGACATCTCCCACACGCCAGCTCACATCGGCATCCTGACTTGTCTCGCCGTTGACGGGCTTCGGTTCCCTCCACCGCCACCTCTTAATCGGCTGTTGCCCACCCGATGCGTTCAACAGATCGCGTACCCAGCGACCGACAATGGGGAACATCTTGAAGCCGTGGCCAGAGTCGCCGGTCATGACCATAACCGACGATGAGGTCTTGGGTACGTAGTCGATGATGAAATCTGAATCGTCGGTATCGGCAAACCAGCACAGTGTCTTCTCGACCAAAGGCCGGTCGGCAAGATGTGGGAGTGTCTGGCGGAGTAGTTCCTTCATCTTGAGCTCGTCCTCGTACGGTACAAATCGGTTGACCTCCTCTGGTGCTTTTGATACGCCGCTGGCAGGATCGGTATTGACATAGCCACCACCCATAGGGCACAATTTAAGTAGATTCGTCTTCGGGTCCGGCTCGAAGAAGAAGCCTAGGTCACGGGCGTAGACAACGGGGATGCCGCGCAATGCGGCGGTCTCATCGTCAGTGAGGCGCACGTGGCCAACGGACCATGACTTGGCCGATACATTGGTGCCCAGCTCCGGGAGGATTTTGTGGGCTGCTGCTCCTGCAGCAACAATGACCAGTGATGCGGGGTGGACGCGGCCGTCCGCAGTTCGTACTCCAGTGCTCCTCCTGCCTCTGCTGGTGTTCTCATACACAACCTCATCTACAGCACCAAGCTTCTTGCCGAGGAAGAATCTTACACCAATCGATCGCGCAGCGCGGTAGACGCCACGGAGTGCATTTGCAGAGTGCACGTAGCCATCGTACGTGTTAATGTAGCCTCTCCAGCCGGGGAGATTTCCAGTGAACTGCCAGCACGCCTGGAGAAGGTCTTTGCGGTCGTTGACATTATGGACGAAGGGCTTCATGACGCTGCGCTCTGCGGCTGCTTGAAATCGCTTCATTGTGTCGACGGCCTTTTGGGGCGCGGCTTCTGAGCAACAGTTTAGGAAGCCTACGCGGTGGAAGTAGGGGGCATAGAAGGGCGTTTGCCATTCTTTCATCGCTTCCTGTTTTTCGTTAGAGATTTTATTTCTGATTCTTGGGAGGTTTACAAGAGACGTACGAGTGCAAGATCAGTGTACCATTCATCCTCATACTCTGCTCTCGCAATCTTGTTCAGATCATTTGCGGCTGACCAGCGCGAGGGAATCTCCTCATCCTTCTCGAAAATAGTGATATTGGTGTATCCATTTCTGGAGAGCTCAAGTGCAGTAGACAAGCCAAATGCACCACCGCCAATAATGGCGATAGGTTCGCTCTTGGGAAGAGTCATTATGGGTAGCTGGCAAGTGAATTTGCAGCACGTAAAGTGTGGAAAACACGATATAGAGATGTCGTTGAAGCTACGGGTTGTCCGCTACTTTTTGAACGACTCACAAACGAAGCGATACAAACGGAAACCCAACTCTCATCAGGCGATGCTGTTACGAGCGGCATCCATCGGAATTATCGGAATATAGCTCGTAGGAACCGGTGTGGGATGAGCGCTAGTGGTGGGGTAGCGCGAGCGGTTGACCTACGGGTGGCCTTCCGATGTGTTGTCTATCGTCATGCAGGTGGATTCACTGCACCACGACCAACGGAATACCTACCGTGCAGCCTCGCCTCCCCACATGATAGCATACCGTTAACGGAGGTCACGATGCGCGTCTGGAACAAGGCAATTGAGCCTCGAATCGATGAACGTGCGTTTGTCGGAAATCTCAACACATCAGCTGGCAACGGTTTTTATTCGTTTTACGTACACTGAGGCGGCTGAATCGCCTGCAAGACTGTTGTGAACATTTTGTTTTGATATTGCTGAAATTGGGAAGCTGGACTTCTTCCGATTCATCACTGTTCTCATGACGGAGCTAGTCGACACTCAGAGCTTCACTCGAGGTTGGCGAAACAACCTGCTCGCGGGCTACCTCGCAGGCGATGTTTCTGCAGCTTTCCTATCTGCAACACTCATATCGCCCGTTCTTGTGGCGATAGACAGGTGCGATTCTACCCACTCTCTAATTTCGTATTGTAACACTGTGCAGGGCCGTCGTCGAAAATGTCGCCTCAATTGCGCGGCCACTCTCAACCGCCTTGAAAGAGAACATCCTCTGTACCTTCCGACATCCAAAGCGGTTCTTTGTCGCGAAACCCTTTTTCTACATGTGGACACTCTATGCGGTCACCTACACCACCGCAAACAGCGTAAACAGCCTGACCAGTACATTTATGGATAAGTCGCACGAGGTCCTGGCCAACTCGATCACATTCCTCGCAACATGTACAATAAATGTCCCATTAGGAGTATGGAAAGACATCCGCTTTGTTCAAACATTTGGTGGGCGCCCAACACCACCACCAACAGGCCCCGTGAACACGCCTCCTACTAAAACACCGCCACCACCTCAAAGCCCAACAAAGTTCCCCAGAGCAGTCGGCGCAACGTTTCTCGGGCGCGATGCGATCACTATTCTGGGCTCTTTCACGCTGCCGCCCATGGTCTCACATCATCTTCCTATCGTGGATCCAGCGGCGCAGATGGCCGCCGCGCAGCTGCTTGTGCCGGTGCTTTCGCAGGTCGTGGCTACGCCTGTGCATCTTCTAGGGTTGGACTTGTATTCAAATCCAGAGAAGGGAGAAAGAGGGGAAAGAGCGAAGAGGGTACGGAGGGGTTTGTTAGGGGCTACTGCGGTGCGGTGCGCGAGAATCATTCCGGCGTTTGGTGTGGGCGGCATTGTGAATACGGGGTTGAGGGAGTGGTTTCACGGGAAAGTGGACGGCACTGATAAGCCGGTGGTGGAACGTTGAAAGGAACGTACAGAGATATTGTTGAGGAAGGTCACGGCGTCACAGTAGATGCGTATTCTCAGTCGAGGATCAAGGCTGTTTGCATTCATGTTTCTTTTTTTCGAAAGCATTTCCAGCCAGATGTGAGCTTCAAAATGCTGGTTAACATGCATAGGGAGTCATCCGTACTCAGAGCAATGCTATTTGAGATCAAAATCCATGAACTCGTGGTGAGATTATAGCCACTGTTTGTGAATAGCAAGATGGTCTTCCTAACTCGGCGATACCAAGCGCACACTGCACCAATTCTGTAGACCTATGGTAGCGAGACAGACTCGGAATGGCATACCGCATAAGCGAAGGCCTGATCGGGTAATTTAATACGAGTACGATTGTGCAGGTAGCCAATCAAGAGTTGCATACGATAAGCATTACGGTCAGTCGAATCCACCACCTCGAAGCCGTTACACAACTTGACACAACGATCACAAACTATGACATCCAAGATTGGGCAGCTATCTCAGGATTCAGGTACTAACAGCGCCAATGCAGCTTCCCGATATCGAATCTTCTGTTGCAGTGTTCGTCGCTTGCAAGAAGCCCCGCCACCGCCCGGGCGGTTCGATAGTCAGATCGGAAGGCTACCATCGGCTCCTACAGCGCCAGGGTCTAGGGCATTCTGGGTGCGTCTTCCCCGGATCATTATTCCATTATCGACCACGTACTACACGTGTCATGCGCTTGGGAGCCCGTGACAAGCTAAATACGGCACTATGCCAATCGGCTGCCCGCCCGTTGTATGACCGCTTATCGGGAGGAGCATGCGATGGGTCACAGGTTAGCAAACGGTGTCTATGGAAACACCGATCTCGCTGGAGAAGTAGATGCGGGGTTGTCATTTTGGGCTACGAGTGGGCGGGAGAGTGGGGTATACAGAAAGTACATGAGAATGATTGTCTCGCACTGGAAGTTTGCCTGTTACTCTCCAAGCTGTCTTGCTCATTGAACGTTTCTACACTCAATCACTGAGAAACGCTTCCCTGAGTAACCATGCTACCATACCGTATCGGCACTGCAACTACAAGGAGATTTCCAAAGGATGGCCTCGCCACTGTATCGTACTTCCAGGTACGGTGGCACACAGGTGTCATTCCGCCGACGAGGGGTGTCGGAGCTAACACACAGACGAACACTGATACGATAGCGACTCCACGAACGACAAAAGTCTTGCCTCCAGAGGCAGCAGCTTCAGATGCACCACTGTAAGGCTATCCCTGACCCCTCCTGGTCCGCACAACCAGCGGCGAAAACACCAGACCTTTGCTGATCCTGTCATCAGAGCCACAATGCCTTTGCAAATGCTTCTTCGATCTTTCTTCATTGCCACCATTTCTTCCAAGAAGTACCTTTTGATACCCTCATTGAACTTATTATCCTTCTTTGCAAAGCCGGGCCGGAGCTACCTTTTCAACGTGGATAGGAATCCCGTCCTCCACGGAGTCCTTAAAAAGACATTCTACAACCAATTTTGCGCCGGCGAGTCGAAGCAGGAGACAAAGGCATGCTGCAAGTCTTTGACCGACCTTGGTTTCAAAGGAGTCATCCTTACGTATGCTAAGGAGATGGTGTTCGACCACTCAACTGCAAAGCCGAGCTTGCACGCCGATGAAGCGGCAAAATCAGAGACCTCATCAGCACGCGACTCTGTGATTGAGGAGTGGCGCGTCGGGACTCTCGCTACGGTTGATATGATTGATAAAGGAGATATCCTCGCACTCAAGACTACCGGCGGCGGGCCCGCCGTAGGAGAGGCATTCCATAGGGGCGAGCTCCCTCCGCAGCAGATGATGGATGCTCTTGACGAGATCGCGACCAAGTGCAAGCAGCGCGGCATCCAGATCATCATCGACGCCGAGTCTCAGTACTTCCAGAAGGGCATTGCACGAACGTCTCTCGAGCTCATGCGCAAGTTTAACCGCGAGCCCAAAGTCGTTATCTACAACACATACCAAGCATACCTGAAGAATCAGCCCAAGTACCTGCAGCACCACCTCGCGGAGGCAGAGAAGGACGGCTTCACGCTGGGCTTGAAGCTAGTCCGGGGCGCCTACATGCTATCTGACGACCGGTCTCTAATCCACGACACTAAGGAACAGACCGACGCTGCGTACAATGGCATCGTCGAGGGCGCACTCCATCAGAAACTCTGGGACTTTGGTACCTCCCGGCCGTTCCCGGCTCTCAACCTCTTTTTGGCCAGTCACAACAAGGAGAGTCTCATCACAGCACAACGGTTGCACGCACAGCGAGAGAAGGACGGTTTGCCCACCGTACCAATTGGCTTCGCACAGCTGCACGGCATGTCCGACGAGGTTGGATTCTCGCTGTTGAAGGAACGGGGTGCGGATGGAAAGGCACCTGACGTTTTCAAGTGCTCTACTTGGGGAAGTATGGGAGAGTGCGTAGCATATCTTCTGCGAAGAGCTGTTGAGAACAGAGATGCGGTGTTGAGGACGCAGGATGAGTTTAATGCACTGAAGAAGGAGGTCTGGAGAAGGATGGGTTTTGGAAGAGCGTAGGGAATGAGTTGCATGTCACGGAAGTGAACTGTATGTCACGGGAATGATTTGCATGTCAAGGGAATGATTTGCATTTTAAGGGAATGACTTACGGTAGATGAATGATCATGAATAAGGTCCAGCGATTGATCTCGCTCAATATTGTTATTTCCATGGATTGTGATGGTATCTCGCTTATGTTACGCTCTATTGATTTCTGAACCCGTGGCAGCGAGAACCATTCCGTGAGCAGCTGCACATTGCAAGATCGTTCTGCGTCACCTTGCGAGTATGACAAAAGCAAGGATAACGAACATACTGAAGATTTATTCTCCCTTCGTTCCATCTACGTGTTGTGCTGGTGCTTACAGCATTATTCACTTGTGCATCTTCCACCAAGCTTCTAAGCGGTGAATGGTTCCAAGATTACTACAAACCTTGTGGGAACAGCTGCGTGCTGCACAATCGTTCCAGTGGGCGTTCGATGCATCTCCACCCGCATGCAGGCAGATTATGCCGACTCATCGCCATGAGATTTTGGATGTCATCGTGAACGTTGATCGATGGTGAGGGAAACGATAGTGACGTAGCGCGATGTGGGGAAGCAGCACCCAATCGGCAAGCGTCCCGTTGCGACTTCGGCATAAGGCTAACATCGGTTCGCAACAAACAATGATAACAGTACCTTCCATTTGCATTCCGAGCACTATCAATTCTTCTTACCCTATAGAATAGTACTGAACGGGCAGATCCCAAATTTCAACATGAAAGACTCCACCTTGTGCATCCTTGGCTGCGGTAAGTTGGCCGTCTCACGATGGGGGGCATCCGTTGATACCAGAATTTAGGCAACCTCGGAACACCCATATTGAAGAGTTTGATTGAGGCACCAGAAGGTTCTGGAGTTCCCTTCACCCATTTCATAGCCTGCGTGCACAGTGCCGCATCGGAAGAACGTTTAGCAAAGCGCTTCCCCAAGGAGAAAGAGTCTGGAAAACTAGTCATTTCACGGGGTCAAAACGCCAAAGCAGTCTCAGATGCCGCCGTCGTAATTTTAGGCGTGGACCCGGCGGATGTTGAAGCGACGCTGAAGGGTGACGGCCTCGCGGCGGCTCTCAAAGGAAAACTCCTCATCAGCATATGCGCAGGTTGGGCGCGCAAGAGTCTGGAAAGGATCATCTCCTCCGGCCAAGCCTCTCCCAGCAAAGAAGAGCGAACATGGGTTCTCGTTACTCTGCCTAACGTCGCGGCGCAGGTGTCCCAATCGATTACCGCAATTGAAGACCCAGATCCAGAAACCCCCCACAAGCACGTCAAGACATGCGAGGCCATATTCAACCAGATCGGACGCACAGTGCAACTCGCGCCAAAACTCATGCCCGCGGCATCTGTGCTCGGCGGTGCAACACCCGCCATGTGGGCCATTATCTGTGACGCCTTCATCGATGCGTCTGTCGCTATAGGCGTCCCCAGGAAATCTGCACAGGAGATGATCTACCAGAGTATGCGGGGCTCGGCGGCAATGCTACAAAGCGGAATCCAGCCGGGAGAGCTGCGAGATATGGGAACGAGCCCTGAGGGGTGCACGATTGGCGGCATTATGGTTATGGAGGAGATGGGTGTGAGAGGAGCATTGGGGAAGGCGCTGCGGGAGTCTGTGACACTTGCACGGCTGATGGGAAGCGAGAGGGATGACTTGCATGTTAATGATACGAGGGACAATACGGGGAAGCATTAAATGATGGGGATGGTCGGGATGCGGAATTCATAGCCAAGGACAGTGGATAACGAAATCGTGATTCGTTGCACGCACTTACAAGATGTCGAAGTACACGAATTCGCGGTTACGTTTGTCCTCAGTGTATAAAAAATAGTTGAGGGGTGTGTAGCTCAGCAAATACATGACTCGCGGATTTACTAAATCATGCGCTCGTCCTGGTTCGAGTATCCTTCAAGTTACACAGCTCTTCGTGCTCTACTCACAACACAGTCGGCTGCGTCCATCATTGTCTGTAGAAATTTCCTTGATATCTACAACGCAGTAGTAGCTGAGGGTACGGAAGCAGATCTCGGTTTGAAGACCTGGGTATCCTAGATCGTGCCTTCTTTGTAGTACGGTGATCTTGAGTTCCCTCATTATTTAATGTCGCTTCGCACCATATCTTCGATCTGGTAGCTTCGCAGCACCTTGACTTTGACATCAATGTAGAGGGGTTTTATCGCTCCGGGACATTTGCTATCAGCTCTTGTTAGTAAAACAAGTTTTCAAGCCGGCGAGCTCAGCACATGTGCACATGCACGCGTTCACATTGCCATTTGCCTTTTTAAAAATCTTGTTTCCGTTCAATTAACGAAAAGGGTTTGCCCGCTCCTGGTATCGTTATTCCCCCGTTCTGAGAGCCGGCGAAAGTCTTCGATTTCGCATAATCATGACGCTTTGCTAGTATCAGGCAAATGCAGCACTTGCTGTGCTCAAAACGCCTCGTTGACGTGAGACAAATGAACTTGAACCGCATTCGTCGCTCATCGAGAGCAGCTTGCATCTCGCGCATAGGGCAATAGATCCTTTGTTATTAAGCGCGTAGACCGTACGATATCGATAACATGTCTCGCTGCACGTCGTAGAATTTGCTTCACACGTTGTTAGCATAGTCTACGCGAAAAGATCATGTGCTTGCCCACTTCTCCTGAAGCAAGTCCAGAATTATTCGTCTTCCGCATCCCTCGCCATCGACGATACACACGCGCACGAGAATCACACATCTTCGAGCTATTACTTGAGCCGATCGTCGGTGTTCTGCAAGGTTCCAGTGTAGCTTCCGAAGATAGAACTATTGATGTGTGCTTGTTGACATCGGTTGGCTTGCCATTGTGACTAAGGTGCAACCACGGTTCTGTCTAAGTCAAGCCAATCGGTGGCCGGCGCATTAACGCTTCGGAGAACACTCGCGGAAGTGCTCAGTATCGTGAGCATACTGCAAACATCCCAGCCGTTGGAGATTAACGTTTTCCCGATCATCGTTTGCTCAGGTCGAGTTTCGGTAGTCCGGGGATTGAGCTCGGAGCGAACAAAGTGACTGAAGGTGTGGCCGACACTGTATGACATACTGTGCGGATCAAACGCGCTGTGGACGGGGGCGTCGATTTCCTCGTTGACCTAAATCGGAGAGATGTTGCCTCAGTTCATTCTGCCCTTTCTTGCGTAATACTGGAGGATCGCTGTTATGATGGCCTAACATCGGTCGCCCGAGTAATTTTTCACTACCAATGCGACGATACTACCTAAATTAGCGAAAAGTGCATTCCCAGTTCGAAAACAAACAGCTGATGCACTACGTTCTCATGCTTCCGTTGACGGACTTGGGCCCTCAATCTAGATGAAGATCTTCACGAAAACGGAGCTCGAGAGCGTAGATCCTGGGCTTGCACAGTGGAGAAAGGTGCTACTCTTGGAGCCTGCGCTGAAAAGTAGGTGGCTTCCTTACGATCGCCGGAGATGAGTCGTCATGCTGGGGCGGAGGAACTCGCATTGGTGGGGGAAAAGGCCACCCAGCAACAGTCTGGCACTTCCGATACGTTACGCGTCAGTCTTTCAGCTCCGACAGGCGGCAACGCATTGGGAAGTGTTGAAAGTCGTAGTATGAACCTTGAAAGTCGTTGTCGCTTCGGCGCCCATCCAATCGGCACGACATCGGCGAGATTTGGCATATCACGTGAGTACACATCACTCGACCTCCTTCGTCCTGCACACATGTCTCTCCAACATGGAAAGCACCTGCATTCGTTTGCCAGCATTAATAGTCTGCACTAGGAAGAGCCACACAACCCGTTGCGCATTTGGCTCTAATCTTGTGTACGTGCGCCATTCGCATTGTGAGCTGTACATACCCAGCCACGACAGATCGTCATGCAACTCACAAACTATCCCCATCGCAGACCAGCGCCTGAAGAAGACTAATTGTTGCATGGGCCGCACAGTAACGCTTGAATGCTGGCGAGTCGAAGCTTGTCAAGCCTCAGGGGCGCGTTTCGGCGGGCTTGCGTTGTCGGCGCCGCGACGCGCAAGCTGTGGAGTCTCGGCCTATCCCACAACATCTGGTCACCAAACGAAACACGCGCATCGGCCAATCTTTACCTGGAAAACGCCATTGAGGCTCTGCGTGATGAAACTTGCGATGGACGACACTGGTGGGTGACTTGAAACGCTGTACGCAAGCTTTAGGTAAACAGTCGTGGCCTGAGAGCACAACCACGCTGGGGCTTGTTTTCGCCGCGTCATTGGTAACGACTGCTACGAGCATCGTACTCTATTTCGAGAACTTACGGATATAAAAATGAGAGGATAGAGCCCGTAAAGTCACCATCACTCACTTCGATCACCACCTTCCTCTCTACATCACTTCCTTACTTCCTTGTTTGGTCTGCATCATCTCATCATCTGCTTCGTCTGTTTTCCTGGTTTTGACAACCATCTTTCACTTGTTTCCGATTAACCGTACCATCTTTCTGTCTCGTTCAAGTCCCTTTCGCTACACAGACAAAGTCTTCATCTGAGTTCATCTGAATCGTTCATCATGGTCAACTTCAATCGCCTCGCCTGCGCCCTGGCTGTCGCCAGCTTCGCCTCTGCCCAATCCTTCGGAGGCGCTGCCCCTAGCGGACCTCCCCCCAGCGGCGTTGCACCGTAAGTGTTATTTCTGTGAACAGTCTCATACGCTTGCTGATGTGATCTAGGTCTGGGCCTCCTCCATCGGGGCTCCCTTCAGGTGCCAGGCCCACTGGCCCGCCACCTTCGGGCGCTCCCCCAGCGCCGTCACGCGCTGCGAACCGACGTGCTCGCCGTCAGAACGCGTCTGATCTTCCGCCGCCCAGCGGCACTGACCGCCCCACTGGGCCGCCGCCTTCTGGGACTCCCCCGGGAGTCTTTTTGAGCCTTGCATAATGGTCTTGGAACTCACAACAAACTTAGTCCTCGCCCATCTGGCACTGGCAAGCCCACAGGGCCTCCGCCATCAGGCGCGCCACCTGCTCAATCTGGCGCTGCACAGAACGCTCGTCGCCAGCAATCTGACCTTCCTCCTCCGCCGAGCGGCACGGAGCATCCTACTGGACCCCCTCCGTCCGGCACTCCTCCGTAAGTGGATATATGTAGCCGTTCGTGGTACCCTTCACACTAAAACAGCATCAGTCCTCCCCCTTCGGGCACTGGCAAGCCTACCGGTCCTCCACCATCGGGCGCGCCCCCGGCTCAATCTGGTGCTGCGCAGAATAATGCTCGTCGTCAAGAGTCTGACCTTCCCCCTGCCCCAAGCGGCACTGATCGCCCCACTGGACCTCCTCCGTCTGGCACTCCTCCGTAAGTTTGCGTGCACACTATGCTGCGACTGCTTCATACTGATATATTATCAGTCCCCCTCCGTCAGGCACTGGAAGGCCCACTGGTCCGCCTCCATCAGGCGCTCCTCCCGCGCCCTCAGGTGCTGCCAACGGCAATGCTCGCCGCCAGGACGCTTCTGCTCCTCCCCAAGCTTCTGGTTCCCCTCCTCCTATGCCTTCCGGCACGCGTCCGTAAGTCTTCTTGCCCAAGCAAATTATTTCACTCGTTGCTCACCCCATACAGCTCTGGCCCACCTCCATCCGGACTCCCCTCTGGTGTAAAGCCTACCGGCCCTCCTCCATCGGATGCCCCTCCCGCCCCAACTGACGCTGCCAATGCTCGTCGCCAGGACGCTTCTGCTCCCGCTCAGCCCTCCGGCTCGCCTCCCACCAAGCCCTCTGGTGCTCGTCCGTAAGTCTCCTTTACATATACCTACTGAAATACATGACTGACTCGATATAGCTCCGGCCCACCTCCGTCTGATCTCCCCTCTGGTATGAAGCCTACCGGCCCTCCTCCATCGGGCGCACCTGCTGCCCCATCTGATGCTGTCAACAACAACGCTCGTCGCCAGGATGCTTCTGCTCCCGCTCAGCCCTCCGGCTCGCTCCCTCCCAAGCCTTCTGGTGCACGTCCGTAAGTTACCTGGTCTTAGAAAACTATAAATTTATATACTCATCAAGTACAGCTCTGGCCCACCGCCTTCTGGTGCTCCCACCGGGTCCCCATCTGGACCAGCCCCGACCGGACCCGTTCCCACTGGACAGCCTCCTGCTCCTTCGGGCTTTGTCACCAGCGTCCGCGCCTAGAGGATATCTCTAGCTTTTGCGACGGCGCTCTCGAAGAGCTACATCAAGACCTCATTTAAGCACAGCGCACAAATATAGTGACCAGGTGACCAGACCAGGCAAGATCCATCTTTCAAGGCGCACTATATAGTGCAGGTGCTTCGGTATCCGATATGTATTCTCTTCTTGTTTTTCCTTACCATTGCATGATCATACCCACTGTTACACTCATTGACTAGGCGTTTTTGATATTTCTTGGCCGCATGGAGGATCAAAATGTATAGACATCTGTCTGTATATATGCCTTGTCTTCAGGGCCACTCGAATGTGAATAGTTTCGAGAACTGTTCGCTTTGACTTGAGCACAAGTTTCGATTTCAACGAAGTCGAGTGATGAGAGCGAAAGTCGGGGAGCTGATAACACACTTTCTGATTTCGAGGTTGTCTTCTGGCACTGCTGTTGACGAACAGAATCATGTTTGCGTGAATATAGGTAGCGTCGAGATGCTAATCCAGCAACATCATGCAGTTATAAAACAGATGCTCACCACTACTCGAAGCTACGTCCGTATTGTATTGGACTGCAGAATACGACTGAGTCTGCGAATAGCATGTATCACCAAAACGTACACCATCGGCCAGTCTTTCAACCGAAACTGCCTAGGATCTGAGATCTCCGGTAGCTACACCCCATGCTGCACAACTCAAGAAGCTACGCGAATTGCGACATCTGCTCGCAATAGGATGTGCTTCCCACCTACCTTCTAAGCTCACTTTGGAACCGCGAGAGGGATCAATGGTGTCACAATTTGTCACGTATAGGATGGATGGATATACTCCACTGTGGGAGGTAGGGTATTCGGACGATCATCTCATAACCCATGAATTCTGACGTCTAGAAGTGAATCAGTGTTCTTGTCAAGGTTCGGTCAACGACAAGCTCCTGTTGATGTTATTATTCAGATTCGTTTCTGACTTTTGATTCTATACCCAATCATTGACTCGAACTTTTTAGGGTGTCCTAACTTCCCAATAAAATACGTTGAATACCATTTCTAGGTGGGAGTGTGTGCGTCACCAAGGTCATTGTGAGAAAGACCATCGTCGGAGGGATCATCGTTGGGAAAATCGTCATTGGGCTTGCGTGGTGGTTCTCCCCACTTATCAAACGGAAGTCGTCCGTCAATTACGTATGCCCGAGAAACTTGTTGACACTTCCCGTACGAGGCCACCCGCTGATCTTGGTGGTGCTCGTAAAGTTCCGCCGCCTGTAAGAAATACGAGGCAGTGTAGCAACCTACGTTGCTCACATAGGTTGATAGGCTGGCCGCTTTGATGGAGCGTTGCGCTCTTTCATCAGAATTGTATGCTGAACACCGGAAGGATGAGTGCTCGTGTCCATCCTTGCCATCTTGAAAGATCGAGGATCGGAAAAGTCCTCGATCACATCCTTGTCTTCGAATAGCGGCTTCAACTCTGAGTGACTTGCTACTTCCGTCAACTAACTTTCGTAGTCTAAAGAAACTGAAGTACTCTCGAAGATCTCCACCTTCATCAGGGAGGATGTTTGTGACCCTGAGTGTGGGCGGGTTTCCGTATTTCGGTAACATAGCATATCTGGTGGGAACATCGACTGCCCGTTTTCCGATCAAGGGTCTATTGCAAGACTCATACGCAGCATTATCCCTGACACAACGTAGCTGAAGTTCACTAGATCATAAATCCTTTTAGGCGAGCGTAGTATAAGAGTGACCGGTGATTGTTCGTTCAAAAGCTCTGTGACAACACCCACCTCTTCATTGATAAATTGACAAGAGAACACAATCTTCGTAGAAACCATATAGACCGGCCAGCTTCCCATCGTGGGTACCTTCCTAGACATGACAGACTGGTACATCAGTGTGATAATAAATTCAAGGGACGCCTGGGTAACCTCGAGAGTAGCTGAACCGGTCCGGATCCGGTGAGCCCATCCCCGATCGATGATGACGGATTCCAATACACAGTGTCCGCTTATATTCTGGCTGCTCCGGGTTTGTCTTACTTATCTCTACGGCTAGTGGCGCAGTCGTTCCAGATGTTGAAGGCTCATTGCTGATATCAGTAGTGAGTGGCTTGAATCGCTCGCGACGATCGTGCGAGGATGACATATTGACAGGTTTAGGAACGATCCGCAGACCAAAGGCACCAATGTATGCCAGTGGATGAGGGGTTACCTATTACAAGGGATGGAAGAGTGATGGAGTGTTGAAGCAAGCACTCTCAGGAGCAGTATTATATGATGGGATAGATTGATTGAACTATCTAGACCAGCTAAAGTGGTGCATGATATAGTGGCTTTCTAGTCACGCGGAGTATCTGCGCGGGGTTCTGACTTGGAGCAGGAGGTGCATGGTAATGAATTAAGAAACTCCTACCATGAAACGTTTCAAAAGGCTTACGTATTTGGTACCATAAAAACTAGTCCAACACAATGCATTGAATTGTGACTGAAGTGGGTGGTTGATGCCAGGCCGTACCGCGGTTGAGAACCCCGGAAAAGGCGGCTTGGCAGTGGCCCAAGCTTCCGCTCCTTCCCCACGCTGCCAGAAAGACGACCCTCGAGCACAACTGCAAGTCACAGTTCACCCTTCCTGATTTCTTCGCCTCCCCTCTTTCGCCATGCTTTCCGGAATACTGATATTCAATCAAAAGGGCGAAAACCTCATCTTTCGCGCTTTCCGCAACGACTGCCGACCGCGCCTCGCCGATGTCTTCCGCATTCAAGTAATATCGAATGCTCAAGTGCGATCACCAATCCTCACCCTAGGCTCTACCACTTTCAGCCATGTCAAGCATGAGAATATATACTTGGTCGCCGTCACAAAAAGCAATGCGAACGCGGCCTTGGTTTTCGAATTCATATACCGGCTGATCGCGTTGGGAAAAGCGTACTTTGGCAAGTTTGACGAGGAAGCTGTTAAGAACAACTTCGTCTTGGTATATGAGCTTTTGGACGAGATATTGGACTTTGGGTACCCGCAGAATACGGAGACGGACACACTGAAGATGTACATTACAACTGAAGGGGTCAAGTCGGAACGCGCGATGGTAGGCAAACTATGGAGAGGACGCGACTGCTTTGGCAATGCTAATCGATCCACAGGAGGACTCGTCCAAGATTACAATGCAAGCGACCGGCGCGACATCCTGGCGGCGCAGCGACATCAAATACCGCAAGAACGAAGCTTTTGTGGATGTCATAGAAGATGTAAATCTGCTCATGTCAGCAACAGGAACAGTGCTACGGGCAGACGTCAACGGTCAAATTATTATGCGCGCATATCTCTCGGGCACTCCGGAGTGCAAGTTCGGACTCAACGACCGGTTGACACTGGGCGACGACAATCTGCAAGGGCCGTCTGGCAATAAAGCGGGTGCGAAGGCAACAAGAGCAGCAGCAGGAAGTGTGTCATTGGAGGACTGCCAATTCCACCAGTGTGTGAAGCTCGGCAAGTTTGATGCGGATAGGATAATATCGTTCATTCCCCCGGACGGCGAGTTTGAATTGATGCGATACCGAGCAACCGAGAACGTCAATTTGCCCTTCAAGGTGCACGCCATTGTCAACGAGGTTGGCAAGACCAAGGTAGAATACAGCATCGCAATTCGCGCGAATTACGGTTCGAAGCTCTTTGCGACCAACGTTGTCGTGCGGATACCTACACCACTCAACACAGCGCGCATTACTGAGCGGACATCGCAAGGCAAAGCGAAGTACGAGCCCGAACACAACAACATTGTTTGGAAAATCCCACGATTCACTGGGCAAAGCGAGTTCGTGCTGAGCGCTGAAGCCAGCTTGACGAGCATGACAAATCAAAAGGCTTGGTCAAGACCGCCGTTGAACCTCAGCTTCTCGTTGCTAATGTTCACGAGCTCTGGACTGCTAGTGCGATATCTTAAAGTGTTTGAGAAGAGCAACTACAGCAGCGTGAAGTGGGTGCGATACATGACCAGGGCGGGTAATTACGAGATACGGTAGGTTTTTCATGCGGACCAATAGAACTCGGTTGGGCTAACATTTGTCGCAGATTCTAGTAGTACTTTGTTCATATTTGACCATGTGAGAACCGTGCCGGCGTTGCATTGCAGGCGTTTACTGGGATATGATTGCTATATATCCGCACGTGTCAATGAATCATTCTTAAGAGGTGGGTAGACCCATATACAATAATGTACCACAGGATGCGACCGATTAGCGCAATTTCTCTCCGATGAGGTGGCTCTTTTATTGAACAACCGAACTCGTGGCGTGCAAAGTGCAACTCTCTTTTCGAGACCTAACCTCTTTCCACTCTCACTGACTGCAGTATTCATAGGAATCTGACATGACGGCTTCAAGTGATTCATCGGCCTCGACATTCGCAGCAAGAAGCCCCAATACTCTGTGTGTCGATACACCAGGTCGTGCAGCAAATGTTGGACACACATGACCCCGCTTCTTGCGTTGCCTTTTGAACCCAACACGCTGGCGACAAAGTCTGATATGCGACACAACCTCTTTTCTTCAGTGGTCCGTCCCATGTCGCCATCTCACAAGTGCGAGCACATGAAGCATCGCGCAGATGGCAGGTGATATTGCTAGCGAGGAAGTCACTGGCTGAATTGGAAGGTTAAGGCTGCGAGGGCTCAACCCACCTGCCGCCAAATTACTGTCACCAACCTAAGACTTCCATCCACCCTGCTGATAATATGGATCCCGTCACGGCGGCAGGATTAGCATCAAATGTCATATCCAACTTATTGGTATTGCTCGCGACATTGCGCTCACCGCAAAGGACCTACGCGGATGCAGGAATGGACTTTCCCAGGAAGCTGAAAGATATTTCGTGAAGGCCAAACTTGTCCGCGAAAGTTTGGTCACGATCATCCAAGCACCTTCCACCTCACTTGTCGACGATTCTCTCCGGGAATATGCGCAGAACATGCGCATTTGTGCCGATACTTATCTCTCGACGCTTGATGGTTTGAGAATCAAAGATTCCAGCAAGAGGTCAACTGCATGGGGAGCGGCTGTCAGATTTTGGTGGAAGAGAGCAGAGCTAGACCAGTCGTCTACAACCATCGAGCGAGTGGGCACTCAGATCGCCGCTTACATCGTTGCCACACATATTCCGACGATGAGGTCCGGCCTAAACGGTATCCAGGAGCACAACTTACGGATGGAAGCAAGTCTGTACAACAAAATGGAAGAGCTCTCATCCCAGGCGAGCCAGAACAATGAGAAACTCAAATGTCACAGCAAAGACATCCTGGAAGCCACCCGAAGGTGGTTCGAACACCAAGAACAAGTGAAGATTCAACGTCGATGCTTACAAGCCCTTCATTTTCCCCAGATCGAGAGCCGCGAGAATGATGTGAAGGAAGCACATGTAAAGACTTTCGGGTGGATTTTGGAAGATTTGCAGCCAGCTCTCGACCTGCCTCAGCGGTCGAACTTCAAACAATGGCTGCGCTCTCCAGATCAAAATGCAAACGTCTTCTGGATATCGGGAAAACCGGGGTCAGGTAAAAGCACGCTCATGAAGTACCTCGTTCAGAGAGCGAAGCAACCCAAGCACATTGGCGAGTGGGTTAGCGACAAGCAATTGATCGTTGCCGAATGCTTCTTCTGGAGGTACGGCAGCCGGCTGCAGCGGTCACTAAACGGTCTTGTGCGATCACTGCTCTACCACATACTCGAGCAGTGTCCGGATCTAATCGCAACAGCTTTTCCTGGATTTGACCGGCTTCGGGATCGTGCCGATTACGAGTTCCCTCAAAAAGCACTTGAAGAAGCTTTCACTCGCATCACGAACGGCTTAGATGATCGTAATGCGCGACTCTTCATTATGATTGATGGATTGGACGAGTTCGATGATCGGGAAGAGCGCGGTCCTTCACTTCATGATCAACAGGACCTGATCAAACTCCTAGGCGTGTTCTGCAGAAACGAAGCTATCAAGCTATGTATATCAAGTCGGCCTCTTCCCGTCTTTATGCAAGAATATGGACAAGATCAGGGCCGTTACATCCGTATGCAAGATCTGACGTCCGACGACATTCGTATGTACATCAGAGAGGAATTGGAAAACAACAAAGCTTTTCAGCAGCTCGCTATGGATAATCAAGAATACAACCATCTCGTCAATGAGATAGTTGATGCCGCCCAAGGGGTATTCTTATGGGTTCACTTGGCTGTCCGCTCCTTACTACAAGGGATCACGAATGAAGACGGGCTTGCGGGCTTGAGGGAGCGTTTACGACAACTACCACGCGAACTGGATGATCTTTACAAGCACATATTGCACAGTATAGAATCGATATATCAAAGAAGCTCCACACTCATGCTCTTGGCTCATGTCGATGCGGAATACGAAGCATCGATTCCCTTGTTTCTCAATTACCTGGACGACTACGAGTGCACCGTTTTGTCTCAGACTCGTAAGCTTGACAATGTTCAACTTATCAATATCCAAGAAAAATTCAACGGGAGACTCAACGCACGTTGCCGAGGGTTGTTGGAGTACACAAAACCCTGCTTTGGTCTCCACACTTCGCCTGCTCTAACTGTTTCGGGAGTCCCTTCTTTCGAGTTTCTCTCTCATTCCTCCGCAACGGCAGCTGTCACAAGTTGTCATAGAAGCGTGGTCGATTTTCTAAGAAAGCCCGAGATCAGGACCTGGCTTTTGGAAAGAGCTAGGCTCAGCCCAGAGCAGCTACACCTGTTCTACTGCAGAGCTTGTGTTGCTGTGATTGAAGTCATCTTTCTGCTCATCAATGGAGAGACCACAGCCAACCTCTTTGGCGGCTACGCGCGTGTTAATGGGATAATTTCATTCTTCATGCATTGCGCGGATCAGCTTAAAGCCGATGTCGTCGATCCTCTACGAACCAAACTTGACCATCTATTGGTGCAGCCAGCATTTGAAGGTGGTCATTCGCTCATAAACCGTATCATACCTTACTTCATGAGCCAACGATATGACCTCGATAGCTGTCCTCCAATCTCCGAATCGAATATACTTGCCTTCCTCGCATATTTTACCTATGGCACGGAATATATCAAGACAAGGCTTCGAGACGATTCAGAACTTGTCGGTATAGACGACCAAGGATGCTCTTTGCTCTATGTAGCATGTTTGCATTGGCGGGCGAACCCCGGAAAGGGAGATTTGGTGCTGTTACTATTAGAGTACGGATCAAATCCCAACCAGATGGTACAGAGCATCACCCCGTGGCAGCGAATAGTGACAGACACTTTTGCCGCCGTCTGCGCGAACTTTTATTACAACTTGGTACGCGAGTCACCAAGAGTCCGTGCCACTGTTCACGCTTTCATACGTCACGGTGCGGACTTGGACGTACCTTGCTCCTTCGTTGGATGCATCGGAGATGGAGGGTCAGGACTAGATTTCCATAGGACACCATGGACTCGCAATGGTAATACTCCCCTAATCCTACATGAGCCGGGGATTCGAAGCTCCACATGCTGTTGTCAGCCGCAGCCGCATAATACCTCGCAGATACGATTCTCCCTGTCAGCTGGAGTTGTTGCTCGATATCTATGCCATTTCTATGGCGTCGTGCTGGATCAAGAAGTATCGGACGCTTTGCAAAACTATGCAGCCCCCGAGGAGCTGGAAGCCTACTTGGGGGAAATTAGCCGAGACCTTTCCGTCAAAGTGGAAGCGGGACGACAAGAAGAGCCTCGAACAAGTTGATAGACCTACCTACAAGTTTGGTGTACGCAGGGTAGCAGGACATGACTCATGCATTGTCGCGACAGCCTTTGATCTCTTCGTTGTTTCAGCCTGGGGATAGCAAAATGATCGTAATGGCTCCTGTTAAGTTACGAAGGCAGTCATTCGTGGACAAGAAGTCGGATCCTAATCCAAGAGTGCTTAGAAGGCTTTTCCTTCATGGTCTTGAGGTCAAGGGATCTTCTCATTTCTTGGCTGTTTTTCGTCGGTTCTGGATGGCTTTAGCCGCGCAAATCCGATCTTTTTTTTTCTTTCATTACGCGGATGACACGATGTCCCAACCGAAATGCAAAAGACTAGTTGGCGCAAATTGCGTTCCTCGGTGGTAGCTATGTCTATGTCGGTCGGACAGGAGTGCGAGAAGGATCGCGAAGTCATCCCTACTCAGTTCAGTCATTTCCGATGGCGCATGTGGAGATACGAATTTCATTGAGTATTCTAGTTATATTATTGATTTTTGGTCACTCGAAACGGTACCTCAGCTTCTCTCTGTGTGAGCGCCCTCACGTTCTTGTACTCGTAGAGCCCCAGCCCCGCAAGAGGATTTATGCTATCCCTCTACGAGGTCTGAAGGCGTCCTCACCCCTCGCTATTTCCTGATTTGATCCAATAAACAGATTATGCACATTATCATCTCATTATATGCAAAGGTTTCCTCTCCTCGGACGGTATGACCGTCTTATACTCTTTGATATACTCTCTGCTTCTTCGTGCCTCATATCAGTTGGCTTGGCCCATTCTTCCCGTCGGACATCGTCCTCGATCCTACTCTCCGACTCTGCACTCTTATATAAGATTGATAGAATAACTCTATCATCTCGAAGCTTTCATAACGATATGTACCTGCTCTAAGGCGATGTCCCTGCCGAAATTGTTTGATACCCGGAAATAAGTCATTGAATGCTTATGGTGACGTAGCTGGCGCATATATCCAAGGTCTTTTTGGAGACCAATAAGCCGCCGAGGCCGCTTTCTGATCACTGTCTGCGTATACTAGACCTTTCTTCCACTGGCCTGTTCATCCTTGAGACTGAAGTCCGAAAGTGGACCGGATGTTGCTGTCGTAAAGAAGTCAGGATACTACAGTGGCAAGCTTGAGCAAAAGGGGTTGTGATGTTGGAGTACTCGATAGACGCATACCCTGATTGGTTATCTTCACTCGCAAACGTCTTCTCCAGCTTGCCTGACCAGCCCCCACGAAATGCTTGGCCATAGAATTTGCCCAACTAGACAAGCGCCTGGGTGTCTCTCTGCACGTAAAGGCAAATATTACACAACATCGCTATCATCCTATGACGTAGATTCTCTAGTGAGCACTTCGTCTCACACTCTCACCTGAGTTGGATGGATAGATTTAGATCTGGTCACTGTCCGACTTTCAGTTGTAGTACGAATCATCAGCGTGGCTACAGTGTACGCCCGCGTCGGCTTGTTCACGTTAGCGTAATATTGGTTCAGATAAGGAATACCAATGGCATAGGGCCAGTAACCTCCGCAGTGCCTTCTGGTCAGCAAGAAGTTGGTGAAATACGGCTACAGTTGGGTACATGCGGCAGTGGACTTGGCTGCATCCCTTCTTGCATGTGGTACGCCACGGAGCGCATGCGGCAATGCGGCACATGCATGCGTTAAATGTGTTCGGTAGCGAGCGTCCACGAAGAAGGGCCGTGGGGCCCTAGACCAATGCGGCAGCTGTTTGATTATTCTGGAAGGTATGGCCTGGCCTCACGGCAGGTTCCTTACTTCGGTGATCAACTTCGCTGATACGTATTAACCTCGGGAAATCAGCCACGAAGCTCTCCTCGCCATATGACCGTCTAATGGCCGTCTCTAGCCCGATCGCTCATTCTCTTGAGCTGTCCGTTCTTCAGATCTGTGGCGAAGTCGAGCGCATACTGTGAACCATAGTAGTTCAAGCCTGATCCCGAAAGCCTGGTAGACACTGCTTGTGCCGGTACGTACGTATCTCCTGCTCCCCAGGGAGCCCACCTCGAGATAAGACCGGCGTGGTGGGCGAACAGGGCAGGCATTCTCCAAAACGGGTTAGCTGCTGTGCAACCACAACCCAGTCGCGAACCAAGCTTCGTCAGCACATTCACCGTCAAGGCACGCCACACAGTCTCTAAAAAGAAGTAGGAAGTCGCTCCGTGGGAGATAAGCCGGATTTCATCTCCTATCTATCACGCGCGCGGACGATTCGTATATCCCGGCACGCCACGATAGCCTCGGCGCTTCGTCAAGCCTCGTCAAGCTCCTCCTAGCCCCATTGGTCCGCGTTCCGAAAAGCTTAGCCAACGCAAATAACCTCTGGAGTCTGGGCGAGGCTGTTCTTCGCACCAAGAGCACTTTTTGCGAATTGACCCAGCCCGCGGACCCCAGCAGTATCGCATGCTAGTGGAAAGCGGGGTACTGGTGCGGCAAAGCACGTTCGAAAATCGTGCAAATGTTGACGCCTTCCTATCTTGGCTAAAGGTTATCTGTCCATGTTGCTTAATTAACCACAAGCAACATTACCCCAACCACTGCACTCTCCTGATAGACAAGGGCGTACGTCTATGACGCCAGCTATCGAGATTGTTCGATACGACGCAGCTCATGCCGCAGTCAATCGTCGCCATGACGCAGCTAGTCGAGACTGATAGATACGAAGCAGTTCACAATGCGGTTGGTCGCCTCTATGACGCAGCCGTCGCAATTGACCGAGATGAGACGGCATACTGTGGTACAGTGGAGCTGAGCATCTCCAGCACGGAGTCGCGTGCTCGGGCCTTTTGCGCGCCACAAAGGATACACCGCAGTCCATGATTCGAACGTACCCATACTCAGGCCCTCTTGTGCAGGGCGAAGGTGCCGTCCGATAGTGAGCATCCCAATGCAGGGCTTCTCGCTAGGCCATTGGGGCCCGTCTCCGTTAGGCCCTTAGCTTTCACCGTCCGTGCAACGTTATCGTTTGTACAGTGCCGCCGTATCTTTTGAGTGATTGGCAGTGGCCCGACTACAAAATCAGGGTCTCCCGTGCTCCCGGGCCCGCTCATCTTCTTCGCGCAGATTGCTTCTCCTTTGACTTTTGCGCAGCACTCGGCGCAACACCGCAAGTATGGCGCCCAAAGCTTTTGGTAAGAGGCTGGGCTTCAAGAGAAGAAACACCGACCAAGAGCCCGTCACCGTGACCGAGCTGTCCCCAATTGAAGGCAGTGGTGAGGGTTCTGGCAGCAGGCCCATCGTCGCCGGTCATGGAGATGCAACTGGAGTCATCGATGAGGTCGTTCGCGATATCAGCGAAACAGAGGCAAACCATCGCCTTGCTGCCTTTCGCCAGGACCACAAGTGGGACCCCAACATGCCGGAAGAGACCATTGATATGGTTGACGACGTCACTGGTGCCCACGACCACAAAGGCGAGGCGCAGCTCGTGGGAGAAGTGATTGAGAACTCGCCGTACCCTGAAGTAAGTGCTTTCCGTATCTTTGCCTGTTCCTCGCTGATCATACAGGTCCGCGCTGTGGTTCGAAACTATGATGAAGATGTGCCGGCTGGTACCCTTCGAGCATGGGTCCTTGGTCTCCTCATGACCACTATTTGCTCGGCAGTCAACGCCCTCTTCCTGCTACGCTACCCTATTATCTTCATTGGTCCTTATGTCGTGCTTCTGCTCGCGTACCCCCTTGGTATTGGTGCCGCGAAATTTCTCCCTAACAAGGAATTCAAGATATTCGGAAGGACGGCTAATCTCAACCCCGGACCCTTCAACACTAAGGAGCATGTCATTATTGTTGCCATGGCAAACGCTGCCTTTGGAGGTGGTGCTGGTTACTTTCTCGACACCGTGGTTTCGCTCCGAAAGTTTTACAAGTTCGATACCAGCCAGTTCGGATGGGGCTTCAACATCCTCTTCGCCTTGTCCACGCAATGTCTAGGTTTTGGCCTAGCGGGTTCCGTCAGAAAGTTCCTTGTCGAGCCTGCAGCCATGATCTGGCCGGGCGCTCTGGTCAACGTCGGTTTCATGTATGCCCTGCACGATCACAGCCCGAGTGACCCGGCCAAGACCAATGGCTGGTCCATCTCCCGTTACAGAATGTTCATGATTGTCATGGCATGTTCCTTTGTCTGGCACTGGTTCCCGGATTACATCATTCCCGCGTTCAGTTACTTTGCCTGGGTCACCTGGATCAAGCCCGACAATGTTATCGTGAACCAGCTGTTTGGACAGACCACTGGTATCTCACTTGGATTCCCATTCACCGGTTTCACTCTCGATTGGGCCCAGATCAACGGATTCTATAACAGTCCTTTGATTAGCCCTTGGCACGGTAAGCCTGCGTTTTCATAGCATACACGAGGCAAATGCTGACCCATTAATTGTAGCGCATGCCAATACCGCTTTTGGTATCATTATGTTCGTCTGGATTGTGATCCCAGCTCTTCATTATTCGGGTGTCTGGTACGCCGATTACCTTCCGATCCTACAGAACAGCATCCTCGACAACACCGGTGCCGTGTACAACACCTCGAGGATTCTCACTCCCGAACATGTCGTGGACCCCGCCGCATATGAAGCATATTCCCCGCTCTTCCTTTCCACCTCCTTTGCGCTCTCCTACGGCATGAATTTCGCGTCCATCGCTGCCCTCATCAGCCAGACCTATCTGTTCCACGGTCCCGAGATCTGGCGCCGCTGGAAAGCATCCCGGGGCGAGCTCGATGACATTCACATGAAGATCATGCGCAAGTACAAGCTGGTACCTACCTGGTGGTACTTGGCGCTCTTGGCTCTCATGGTCGTGTTCGCTTTCGTCTCGGCTCTCTGCTACCCGACTAACATGGCCTGGTACTCCGTCATTTTATCCCTAGTCATTGCAGCCACATGGACAATCCCCATCGGTATTATCCAAGCTTTCACCAACATCCAGCTCGGCCTCAATGTCTTCACCGAATTCATTATCGGATACGTACAACCCGGTCACCCAATTGCCATGATGATGTTCAAGACCTTTGGCTACATCGTCATGACTCAGGCGCTGTACTTCTGCCAGGATTTGAAGCTCGGCCATTACATGCACGTTCCCCAGCGTTCACTCTTCTCCGCCCAGTTAGTCGCAACGGTATGGTCATGTCTCTGCCAGCTTGCCACCGTACAATGGGCCATGGGTGCTATCAAGAACGTCTGCACTGCCGAGGCTACCGGCTTCTTCACCTGCGCCTACGTCAAGACCTTCTACAACGCCAGTGTCATCTGGGGTGCCATCGGCCCCAAGCATCTTTTCTCCGGCGATGCAGTCTACAAGAACTTGCAGTACTTCTGGCTCGTGGGCATTGCCGCTCCGTTCCTGGTCTACGGCCTAGCTCGCATGTTCCCCAGGATATCTTGGATCCGCAAGGCGAGCATGCCTCTCATCTTCGGCTGCATGGGATATGTTCCCCCGTACTCTTCCATGAACATCGTAAGTGGATGCAGATTCTGTCCTGATTGACCTAGCGACACGGTAACTAATCACGCTATAGCTCGCTTGGTGCCTCTTTGGTTACGTGTTCAACAAGTACATCCGTCAAAGGTATCTTGGTTGGTGGATGCAGTACAACTACATCACCTCGGCTGCCCTCGACGTTGGTCTCGCCCTCTGTGCTATCATCCTGTTCTTCTGCGTCCAGCTCCCTGGCGGCACCATGCCCGATTACTGGGGAACAACGATTATCGGCAGGACTGTCGATGGCGCCGGCACTGCGGTCCGAAACGTTGTTGCGGATGGAGAAACCTTCGGTCCAAAGAATTGGAAGTGGTAAGGGTTGATTGTACAGACTTGTGCATAAGGACTGCACAGTGACACTGCTTCATGGACAACCATTTCCATATTCGTATGATAATCACATGATCCGTGTTACATCCTTATCCTTGACCAAAATCTCCATGTTTTCGCAGCATCCGCATAGCCCCTCCTTCGCAAAACCAGTGCTGCCGCTCATTCCACATTGCCTATCCCAAAATCTCACTCTTCCATTGCATACGATTTTTGGATGCGTGCATCTCAATATGAAGCCCGGCCTCCTCTTTGAATCTGTCAATACATCAGTGAAACAATCAATGCAAAGGGTTCTGAGCGAACAAGGCATCTACATTACCCACCCAGGGGTAGCAAAGCACTCAAGATACTGGGGTATGGTAACTTACTGAACCTCATCCCAGTGGAAATCCAACGTGACGACGGTGTTGATGGGGTCCGAGAACTCGGGAACTAGGAGAAGAGAGTAGATTGTGTCGATGATGTCCTATTGCAATGTCAGTTCTATCGGTCGTGATAATGCCCAGATTCGATAAAGGCAAGGTACCCGGACCTTATATCAGTGCCCCAGGCTGGGATGGGTCATGCATACCTTGCTCGTTGTATCAACAGTCCAATTGCGGTCAAAGATAGAGTGACAAATGCGTCCATGCCGGTTGATGTTTGGATGGTAGACTGGCGTCACGAATCGGCCTTTAGGAGGGAACATTGGGTAGTCCTCTCCCATCTCGAGGTAGAGGAGAAAAGTCCCAGTTGCGTATGCACTACCGGGCGGGCCTTGCATGACGATCTTCCACATTGCCATGTTCGACTCACATACATATATGTCGTAGTGTGGATGAACCTTGGCCGCTGAATTGCGAATCTCATTGTGGATACGAGCGAGCCGCATGCTGAGGTCGCTTCGATTGGCCATGCTGAATCGGCTCACATTCGCAAGGTTTCCCAGCTCGACGTAGGATTCGGACATCAATGGATGCTCCCTACGCTGCGGGAAGGTGTCTCTAGTGACGACATCTTCATCGACTTCGCTTATCGCGTGATACAAACGGTCTAATGACCCGCTGGCGCCACGACCAAACGGAGGTAGAATGATATCTGGGCGTTCAGAAAGAGAAAGAACAGGCTCCAACTCGCATATGGCCATCGCGTGTTCTAGCTGGTGGGGATGGAACTTGTAACCACCGGTCAGATACGAGACAGCTTGGAGCTCACTCATGTCAGCGGTTCCCAGACAAAAGGAGTCGACCGTGATGCGGTCGTGCACTAGTGCAGCGGCTACTTCATGGACCACTTGCTTTGATTTGTTGTCCTCGCCGTCAGACAGGCATATGATCCGCAATCTGGCCTTAGGATATTTCGTAGCGTATTGAGTCAGGCTGTCACGAGCAAGCGATAGGGCATCCCACAATGTAGTATCGCCCGAGGCTTCAATGCTGTTGAGCTCATGACGGAAGTTTTCGATGGCGTGGGTGATGTTCTGCGTCAACGAAGCCGTGGTGCGAAAAGTGACTAATCCTAAATGACTCGGATATCCATATGCCAGAAGTCGGTTGATAAACGCATCGAACATTTGCTTGAGAACATCCATACGAGAGAGAGGCTTGCGTTTCGTCCTGCTGGAGGTTCGAGACAACCGCAACTTGAGTACTAGCGGGACCGGGACCGCCCCTGCTCGGTCTACGGCGATCCTGTCAGGCACATCATCGTCCTCTTCATAGAGCGCCTCGTCAACGAGGCGTCCCGTTGCATGCTTGGCGTTGAAAAAGCGGCTGAGGTTCTGCCAATGGTCCTCTGGCGATCCTTGGAATTGTCCGTCCCCTAAGTGGCGCATGTCGGTCCAGACGGTGAGTGGGCATGAGACCGCGATTCGGCGATAGATGGTAACGCGATGACGATAATATCGGAAAATAACCGATGCTAAGGTCTTCAAGTTCGTCCTCGGCTCCCAATATGAAAACATGACTTTCTTGTGATCGTTCATATAGACCTTTACTAAGCAGAGCTCCTCGGCGTCGCTGTTAGATGGTGCTGCTGTGCGCGACACTGGCTCCATGGGTGTGACAACAATGATACTCGCCTCGGTGAGGTATAAGCTTGCGAGCTCCTCGGACGGAATCAGTATCGTGTTATTGTGTTGCAGAGAAAATGAGCTGTATCGTCCCTTGGTCGCTCGGAATGCCTTCTGATACAGGTCTCCGACTGTGATACTAGCTGGAATCGTAGCGTCTATTGAGCCTAACGGCGACTGAAAACATAGACTCATGTGCCCTCGAGATGTGGAAGGATGATTAGACGTGATGTCGTTACCGGCTACCCATTCAGCGATGGCTGACTTCGTCCCAAAATTAGGCATCAGGTCTGTTGCTTGCAGGACCAAGTTCGTGCAGGGCGATGTTTCGTGAGATTGCAACCAACGCTCGATGCTCCTCCTTTCGTAGGTGAATCCATCAGTGGTGGACACAGGATCTTCCATCAACTCTATTGAAATTGGGCAGAGATAATCCGTGGGTATCACAAATTCGAGACCAGCGACTGTGTGCGAATCTGGCGAGGTTCTAGGGACGTCGGGGACATCGTCTCCCACTGTCCAAGTCAACATTTGATCCAGGACACGATTTTCAGCGCGATAGAGCAAAAACGCTACCAGCGCATCTTCGTACCGAGCTAAACGGATCTTTCGATTCTTCAGAATTTCAAGGCCTCGCTCGATGTTCGTGCGTGCTTGTCGGTTGTGGTACGCCCTGGAAGCTCTGTCCAATTCCGTCTTCCCGGCTGCAATTTGTTGTTGAAGCAACGTACGCAAAATCTCGAGAACTTTTAAAGCGTTTGAAGATCGATTGAATTCACCGTCTCCGCCGTGAACGATTGCGAGCATATCTTTAAAAGATTCATGTTTGGACAAGTAGTCCTTCAGTTCGTCTAGTGCTGGTCGGTCAAAGCCTGCATTTTCAATGTCCGTTTCTGCTTCCAGAACAGAACAGTCTGCAATGTCTGACGAACCCCCAGCATCTTCATTTTCTTCGATGTCATCAAAACCGCAACGCCAATTCATACTAGAACTGGCGTCGACGCACAGCATGATGATTTCATTCGGCTCCTTGATCTGCCGGGTTCGATCCCCGAATGATTCGAAGACTGCTGTTCCGTCGGCCGCATATCGTCCGAGAATAGGTATAAGGAGCTGAGTGATGATAGAAACATCAACAGCCTCCTCTACAACAGTGCTTGTAGGGCGAAACATGTTAATGTCACGTCCAGCCTGGCCACACGCTTGCCGGCCCACGTAAACAGCCAGCAAACCCGCTCGATCGAGAGTCAAGACTGGTGGATCGGTAGATGGTAGCGATGATGGATGGATAACACCAAGATGATTGCGGCTACAAAGGCCTGAAAGGTACTGGAGATCAGATAGCTCAGTAGGTGAAAGGACCTTTGTAACATCTCCGCCATCAGCATAACGACTGCTGGAAACGATGGTATCGATGTCGAAGCTTAAGACTTGGGATTTGATGCCACCGAACAGCAAGCAGGCTCGAAGGAGTGAACTATCGGACGTTGTAGCCATTTCATTATTATTTCCGTTCTTCCACCTCAGAGGTCCGCCTGCTTTGAAGGCGTTGAAGAAGCCCTGGTCAACAAGCCCCGTGGTAGTCTGTATCGGTGTAACCACTGATTCCATTGTGATCAGGTTTCGAAGTTCGTAAATTGTGTACGAATCCATGTAAGGAAATCGTAATTCTTCTCGACTTTGCATAGTACGCTGCAGATGTTTCGCTTTCTCCAGGATCAAACCAAATAGAAGACGAGAGCCTTCTAGTAACCTCGTGGTGTTGTTGTTGACGACCCGAGGGGGAACGATGTCCTTGAGGACCTCGTGCACAGACTGAATGATTGCAGCACGCTCTGAAGGTTGGGTCGTCTCACCTCGCATCAAGATTTGCACAGCTCGAACAGCAGGCGGAAACCTCGTAAGCAGCATGAGCAAGTGAAGGACGGCGTCTTGCTCCGCTTCTTCCATCTTCATAGGTTGTACCAGGCCAACAAATACTCGTAGGGAAGAGAGAAAATTGGCAAGGCCACGCTCAGATTGCCCCATAGGATGCTTCCAGGCAGGGCTCTGGCAGTAAATTTCACGTTGACCTTCGGCCTTGACCGCAAAATCAATCACAGATTCTGGAGCAACTCGTTTGACTGCATAGATGTTAAGCACGCCATCGACAGCGCATTCATCAAGACCGATGGCCTCCAGGGTAACGTCGCGATTGTGAGTCGTGACATGGATGGGCATCTCAGACGTATGCATGTCGACCATAAACCTACAGCGCGGTAAGAAGGAAGACGACGCTTCACCTGAGGACTCTTCATCTGCGGAAGAACACATGTCAGCTCTATGGCGCGCCGAGGCACAAAGAGCGACGACCGGAAGCCTCAGGTAGTGAGGATTCGAGTCCAATGCTAATTGACGAGCCCCGCCGAGCGTGAAGAGCTGGGCTTGCGCAGCCTCGGCTGGAAGGTGTAGGTGTACTGCTCGCTTCACGGCTTCTTGTGTCTTTTCGTCCACGGCAACACTGATAACCTCATTGTAGCCGTAGACAACGATAACATTGTTGGGAGCTGCGGCGTCGACGAGCATGTTGTCTGTATCTAGTGACGCATGAGCGTCAATTTGTCGTGCGAAGCTACAATTGCAGTGGACATGGTGATTGTCCTCTGGTTGTGAAGAAGCTTGTAGACTAAGATGCTGTTCGACTTGGCGGCGGAGCTCCTTCAGTGTGGTGTTCGAAGTGATCGTGCCTGAAATTAACGGGATATCGTTGACATTCAAATGAGAGCGAGCGAGCTCCGGTGTGATGACCCTGACCTTTAGGGAGCCGACGGTGGTATCTGTTTTGGGGAGGCCACCCGAAGGCATCGAGGCGTGGTCCTGAAATGCTGCATCCGCTGCTGGTAGGTCGTCTATTACAGCGAAGACAACGTCTATAGCGTCCGGTAGAGCGTCGAGGAGTAGGTCTTCGGGGTCGAGGATCGGGCCATCAGCGGTATTCAACCGAAGAGTAAAGGTGCCGTAGGAGGCAGCGGGATTGAGGCTGGAAATTCGGCTTTCGATCTTATCCACCAAATCTGAGCAGAGCTGCTCCGGCGAAAGGACAATCAGTAGGCGCGTTAGCCGCCCACTCGGCTGGACCACCGTGACGGTGTACCGCGCCATGGGGAGGGGCATTTTGGGTGTCTGAGAGCACGGTGTTACCCTAGAATAGACTTTGAAACGGCCAGTGGTACTTACAATTGATCCGCTGACTGCAGAGTGTTAACCACGAGAGTTGGTGGTGAGTGTGGAGTCAGAGACTGGTGGTTATGTCTTACACGTTGATATTTGAGGCAGGAGCGCGCGTGCGCAAGATCACGTGCGCGTTTGGTGATTGAGGCAGGAGCAACTAGCACCGACAAGCCTTCGCTGGATTCACCTGGCTATGAAGCAAAGCATTTGGCGCACAGCTTCCAACTACTATCAGGGAGACCGCCCTGCAGGAGCACAACCGGGTCGACATGTGCCTGCTGCTCAAAGTCAAAGATCTTGAGGCTCTCTACTCCTGCATTGCCTATCCTGGAGGAAGACAGAGAGGTTTGCATCAGCAAGATGTCGTGCGAGTATTTCGAGCAATGCGTTGTACCGGTAGAGAGATACCGACTTTCGAGTCGCAAGAAGTTTCATCGGGTCGTGTGTCGGCCACTGGCAAGCTTCGGTTGATGAGGATCTTGAAATCTATTCTTATTTCACATTTGCTTTTGGCGTCGAATCATAGTCCTGCTCGGTGGTATTCAGCCAGCAGTTTTCAAAAGCGCGAGGTTTTACTGACATCTCCAATCGCAGCGCAAGGCCTGATGTACATGATATAATATTTCGACCCATTACAATAACCTGTTAGGGTATCTTCGCTCGTACAACAGCCATTCGCCAATCACCTAGTCTCGCAAACAAAACTCCCCCAAAAATCGCATGCGTACCATATCGTACATGAAACCCCAAATTATCGCCCCCAAACCATATTCCCCAAAACCATATTCCCTCAAGCCTTGTTGGCTCAAATACTCAGAAGTTCCTACTGACATCCACAACCGGCGCGCTCCCCTCCTCCCCTCCCTCCATACCCACCCCCAACCCCTGCCCCCATCCCAACCTTGCGAAACTGCTCTTCTTCTTCAGCCCCTTCTCCTCTTCGTTTCTCGCTCTCAGCTCTAGTCCACTGCTCTTCCTCCTCACAATCCCACTGATCGCGCTACCTACCTTCTCCAGTGGACTCAGCTCCTCGGCATACGGACTGATCGGCTGCTGTACATGTGCAATATTAACTTGTCTCGCGTGCAGCTCAGCAAGGGAATTGTGCTGACCTGGTTGTGGCGGGAGGGGACAAGGACCTGGACGTGGGGTTGAGTGTCTGCTGGCGCCTGAGTTCGAACGAGAAGCCGTGGTTGAGGTGAGGTAGGTGAAGTTCGATTTTGTAGACGAGGAGCGGGATGGGCTGTAGATAGGTGACCCGCCCGCCATAGATGATATAGCGGGAGTTGAGCAGGATGTCCTGAGTGGGCTGAGAGGGGAAGGTGGCATGGGAGGTAGTGGGGGCCGCGTTGGTAGGGTTGCTGACTGAGGGGAAGGAGGTCGGCCTGGGGTCCGCGGGCGTTGATGCCGGAAGGTAGGACAGTGGCTAGTTGAGGGCGAGGTGAGTGTTAGAGGTTGACCCGTGCCTGGGTGCAGTAGTGGCCGACTCAACACGGGTTGTGTGTCCAGGCTCTTGAATATGTCCTCATAGCTGCCGCCAAATCGTGAAGATACCCGGGGTGGGAATTCAGAATTGCCGTACGGTGGTGCTGGATAAGCAGGGTCCAATTGCTCATGGGGCATAGGTAAAAATTTGCAAGCGAGTGTAGTAGGCGCGCAAGTGTTCAATATCCAGGTCCGGTACCGTCAACGCGACCCTCAAGCATGGGAGTGAATGTGGATGAATCGTGGGGACCCCAAAGGAGGTCGCGTGTACGGAATCGGAACAGGTCGGCCGAAAGTGGCAACTTCTATGCTAGCTTTTTGATCGTGTTGGCTAGCGATCCATTCTCTTTTTGGAGATGCGCTATTCGCTAAATATGTGGAGCTATACGAAGCGCTTCAATTGGTGGTGTTCCTGCATCTTTCGATCTCGCGCATCGCAGCAGTGACACGAGTGAAAATTGACAACGTCTAAGTGGCCCGGAGTGCAAGAACATCAATTGATGCCTCATTGTATTAATGGCAACCGTCGCCCCAAGAGCTTCGCGCTGTATAAATCCATTGACCCGTAGAGCTTGCTATGCGTCTTCATCAAACTGCTGCGCCCCTGTAGATCCCCATCAAAGCAGGTCTTAAGGCGAGATGTCGCGTTCGACGCGCAACCACTCAAGGTGTGTAGCTACGCACCTGCGCGGGACTTTGCTTGCCTTACGGACGCGTATTTCCTTCGCATTAGCACGAACAAGATCCACTCCGCGCTCCGACCACCATTTTCAACGTCATAGCCACACCTCTTCATGTCTAAAGTCGTCCAGTACGACCACCCTGCCGGTCGCCTCTAGAGGCTGCAAATCCCAGCTTCGAATGCCTTGCGGAGAGTGATTCCAGTATACTGTCGCTCATCGCTTCAGTCCTCAACATATTGAGCTGATCGATTGCCGCCTTCTCGAGAAGTGCGTAAATTCGATCTCGCGGATCCGTAGCTCCAACCTGATTGACTCTGTATCGGAATGTTGGTAAAGAATAGTGTCATGGAACGCGGTCATGATCCTGCATTATGATAAGCTGCGCTTCCAAAGCCATGTTCGTCTTTTTCCATGGTTTTATGCGAGGATAGGGGATCCTAAAGGGAGCATCTGCTTTAACATTTGCCAAGGCGTTGTGGCTGATTGTACCCAGCTCGTCGAGCTGAGCAATACGATAGTAGTTCGGCTGCTGAAACACTGACGAGTTGATACGCGATAGCAGATTGCATGCACAGATAGATCCTTCTGTATCATGGGTCCTGCTGAAGTGAGGCCTCAGGCACTTCTCACCACCAAACGCCGTCTGTATGCTGGAAATGCCCATCTAAGAACGCCTTGCTGTGAGCATAACCCTGGTCAAAATCGCTCATCACTTCAATCCTCCTCATGTGCCATAACCGCATCGTCAAATATTCTTGGCAGAAAGAACTTCGTGTTTTCGTACACCAAGAAGGTGACAACGGTCGTGGGTATAACGCGCAACGTGTTCGGAACGACACCCTTATAGAACGCCAAAAACCCTTCGTTCTTCCAGGTCTTCCTCAAAACGTCCACCAGGCCATTGTACTGTTGCGCTGCATCATAGCGTTGCATCCGCGCCCGGATAGGCTGGTATGGATAGGTGATCGCGCCGGCCAGCAACTTGCTACTACCGCTCATGTAGATGTAATCCCAGTTACTCAAATGCTCGCCGTATGTGAGTTGTGCACTTTTGCGGGCTTTCATCTTCTCGTAGATGGCGAATTGAACGGCGCCGTGCGCGACACCCAGAGTGGATGGTATGAAACCCGCCCACAGACCCTTCAAGCCGCGTGTCTTGTAAACATGTAAGAGGCCTTCGGTCATGGAGCGGTAGGCGGAAGGGTGGTTTGCACCGCGCTCGAGCATGCGCGTTTTTACGACCCAGATGGGGTTTGTGCAGGCGCCTGTCAGGAGGCCTATTCATCTTTTGTCAGCAAAAACCTCCGCCCTCTCTCACCCAACTTCATTTCAAGGAAAGGAGAATTGACATACCAGCCACAACTGCTGCACCAAAGAACTCTCTCCCGCCCAATTTCCCGTCCTCCTTCCCCCGTGCCAGAAACCCCTTCACCTCCCCATAAAATAAAAAGTACAAGCCCCAGCCCAAGCTATTCCCCAGCAGATTCGGCCACAGCCCGCGATACAATGCCCGCACACCGCCCTCATCTTGAACGACACTGCGTATGATACGGAGTGAATCACCAGAGCGCGACCGCGCGGAGGTGTTCAGTTGGAGCCGGTTCTTGAGCAGGTCGAGCGGGTGCACAGTCAGGCAGGAGACGACGCCTGCGCTGAAGCCTGCGACGGATTCAACGAGTTGGGGGGAGATGTTGGAATGAGGTTTGGTAGGGTTCTCGAGGGGTGGGAGCGCGCGGGGCATGGTATCGTTTTCGCTGTTGTGGGCAGCCAGCGTGAGCAAGTTCGTTGCGCGGATATTCGAGGCTTTCCGCAAGTTGGTAGGGGAAGGCGCTGGTGCTGGTGCTGCGTATCGGAGGTTGCATGCTTCGCTAAGGTTGCATTTTGTGCAGAAAATAAGAATATATTACAGGACAATCACGCGTAAAGTTCAGATTCACATCGTTATGGAGTTGAGGAGGATGCGGTGGGTGATAGATGCACGCCGAGTTTGAGAGTCAAAGCTCCAACGAGCTTGGACTTTTCTGGCGTTGCACAGAAGCGGGGAACGCGACGTCGGCGTCCTTCCTCCAGCTTATTATTTATTCCCTTGGCGACATGTCAATATGTATAACACCAAGTTCTGTACTGTCATGTCTGAATATGTACACAATTTAGAAAGGGTATCTTTTGTTATTCAATCTCAACATACTCCGGCAGCTATACAAGATGCTATATACTCCCAATGCATCAACGACTATTCGTAAATCGCAAAGGTATTGCTACAGTCCAGCCAGCCTTCAATTAGGCGTATTTAAAGCACCCTCCTCTACTTCTGACAGCACTCCTGCGTCCCACTCTTGTCCGACCCAAACGCCAATTTGCTTAATTTGTCCACCAGCGTACCACCCTGCCTAATGCCACTAGGGACCGAGCAGTAGCTCGGCGGCACATCCAAGCACGGGTTCCTGGTGAAGAAGTTCCTCGGTCGGAGTAACAGCGTCATCGGCTCCGCAGGCATGACGGGGAAGTCCTCAGGGGAGGGGAAGTGCGTAATGCCGAACGTATGCCAGAGGACGACGTCAGTGTTCGTGATGTTCGCCTTGGGATCCTGCGCGATCCACTGCGGGATACCCTGGGAGACCTCTCCCGAGGTTTGAGGGACGTGACGGCCTGCAGGGTGTAGTTGGCCATCGTCGTATTTGGTAACGTGCACGGCGTGGCGTGCGAAACCTGCGCGCTTCCACACGAGGCCGCCGGGCTTGGGGAGCAATTCGGGGACTTCGCGCGAGACGAGCTTGTACGAGACGGGCTTTTTCGAATAGGGGTTGAGCTTGCTCTCGTTACACATTTCCCATGTGCGGGAGGTCGCGCCGTTGTAGTCTGTCTTTGCCTGCTCGGGCGTCTCGAGCTTGGTCTTGAGCGCGTAGAAGGCATTTCCGTATTTGTTCTCTGCGGAGCCTACTTCGCCTTTTCCGCGCGCCGCGTCGACCATGAAGACGGTGTTGTTGGGTCCGTCGACGTTGGGATCAATACGCATACAGAAAAGATGCTGGTGGTTATGTGCGTTGACACCGGGGTAGACTTCTGTGCCCCAGCCGTGCAAATCTTCGCCCTCATTGCAGGGGAATGTGTTCAAGATACCGGTGAGCTTGATCTCGAGCTGGATAGTGCCGTCCTGATGCAGAATCCAGTAGACGCAGTACTCATAGTTCGCCGCGGTGAAGATGTGGGAGATGACGAGTTTGCGGGCACGGGTTACCGTGACGCTCTCGTCGCGAAAGTCGGTGTGCTTGAAGAGGATACCCGCATCTTCCTCGTGGATGCAAACAGCGTTCTTGATGGTGGTGGCTGCACCGGCCTTGTTCACGAATGCTGCATCCATGTAGTGAATTGCGCCCTTACAGTCGCAGCCCAGGCTGAGCGAGTTGGTCATGTAACCACCGCCATACTCGCCCAAGTCGAAAGCGTGTTTTCGCTGGTGAGGATGCTCGGGGTTTCCGTAGGGCACTACCATCTCGGCAAGTGACAACCGCCAGAAGGTATCTCGCTCGGTACCCTTGTCGTTGAATGTGATGTTTGAGAGGACAAGACCCTCGCGGTAGTTGAAGCCGACGTGCAGCTTCCAATTCTGCCAGCTTATCACTCTTCCATCCAAAGAAAATGAAACACCCTCAGGCTGTGTAATGTTGATAGGCTTCAAGTCTGTGCGGAAACCACCCTCTTTCTCAATTGCGGCGGCGTGGTAGTTATTCGGAGCAGCCTTATTTACCAGCCGTCGCACAGGGGGAACATCGATGTGGATGATTTCTTGCGTGTCGGAGTTGTAGATGGGTGTGAAGTCGAGAGGATAGGTGTACTGGCTGTCGTCCGGGTGCGGGCGGTAGTACATCAGAGCTTGCTGTAGACGCACCTTGGAACCAAATCGCTCGTCGTAGCCAATGGTCCAAGCTGGCCAATATCAGTAATCTGAGTTTGCACATAAATTTGGAAGCACTCACGGTCGCAGTAAACCTTGTGCATATCCTGTGGAGGGATTCCAATCATCCCACATTGCTCAATGACCTTGGGATCCTTGCGAACAACCGACTCGACGATCTGAAGATCTTCCATGGTAATCTGCTCTATTCAGTTCTTGCTCCAATGTACCATAGGTATATTCCAGATATACTTACCAAAGGCTGAACATCGGGGGTCTCCTCCCACCTAATGATCTTGCCCTCGGTCAAATCCACGAGACCATCAAACACCTTGCTGCCCTTGCCAATGCACACAACATCCGCCACTCTGTTCGGGCGAGGTGTGTGCCCAGGATCCTTGACCCACTTCAGCATGACTGCTTTGGGCGGCTCCCACAGGGTGATAGCATTAAAAGCGACATGACTGTGCTCCTTCCGGATGATTGCCACAGCGCTCTCAATCTCAGTCTCACTGAGCGGGTCCAAAGGGTGTGGCGCGCGACCAATGCCAGTAACATGGCTCGCAGCCTGCTTCAGCCGATCAAGAGCCATGGTGGTATGCGAATTGAAGCCTTAAATCTACGAAATAGAGAAAGAGCGGAGCTTGACGAGGCACGACGGAAACAGGCGCATCCCCTCTCTTAAAGCATCGGCTCCAGCTCCCAGACATGTGCACGCGACGCGCCTCACCTGTGGCACGCAGTCCAGGTCTAGAATAAAGTCTACATCAGGTGCATAAGCGCAGCCAAGATGACTGGGCTACCGAACCATGCTGCTCGCATCCGCAGGCTATCCGCTGGGTAACGAAGCTATTTCGTTATCAACTGATAAAGCCACGGCAATCCGGGTTACCACTCCCCATGCAGCTAGCGCGCGATCCCCACACAGCGAGGGTCCCACGCGTGCGGTTGCGGACCCGCAGATACCTTATACCACTCGGTTGGCTGGAGGGTCACTCAGGCCAGAGATGACATGGAATGGCTATGATCTGATGGTGTTAGGCCAAAGTGTAGGACCAGAGATGGAGCGAGTGCGCAGAACACACCGACAATCGGCACCATCCGATCAGAACAGTTTCAATTGGTCCCCTAGGCAAAAGCCAGCACTCAAGTAGGATGGTCAAAAGAGAACATGCAGCTGGTGTAGCTGTCTTACCTTTATAGGATTCAATGGGTCTGCACCGTAATGCCTGGCCGTTGTGGGCCGACACCCGCCGTCGGCTTTGATAGCCAAGTTACATGAAAATAACCTCACAATTGGAGGCAACGGCAGAGATAACGTGGTATGAAGTACATGGAAAGCATTGACTTGAGTCAAAAGAATGGGGTGTTTGTTTTGGTGTTGCGTCATGCAGAAGATAGGCGACCGTGGCTTGCCCGACGGGCAACCGTCCAACCAACACTACGTATTACGTGGAATGTGTACCCTAATCTTTTATACTACCACGACGGAAGGACGACAGAGAATCTTAAAAATCTGTTTAGTGCACGGAAAATCGTCCTACACCGCGAACATATTACAATTAGCAGCGGCTGAAAATAGGCATTCAACAGCTGATAATGGACAGGTCGATTTTTCGAGGCAAGATTTGCATTTCATATTAGTGCCTTGCAGGGATACTACGTAGTGCTGGTCGAACGTGATCCTCCGTAAGACCGGCTTGATTTTAACAAAATGGGTTGTGTTTAGAATTCGCAATGCGAGGTGTTCAACGAGCAAGACTACGCTGCACCAGTGTGTGCAGTGTGCACTATCAATCAAGACTTGCACCTTCCCCAAAACAGAACTAGCGCCATGCATCCCTGCGCGTCAGAGGTGCGGCGGAGCTGCAACAACCTCCGAGAAATGTCACACTGCAACGCGTGTCCTTCTGACATGTCCGCGCAATGTTTCCACAACGCTGATTCTTTTCATTATGCCTGCTTCTGTAGGATCTACGACAAGGCATAACACGCCTCTGGCACAATCCCCTGGCTTTCTGGGAGCTGCAGCGCGCTTTTGGCAGGTATGCAAGATATAGTGTTGTCACCATGGCTACTGCTAATTATTTGCTGTCAGCGCTCATATGCGTCTGACTATGTGGGCCTCGCCATCTTGATTGCAGGATGGATAGTGGTAGGTATCAATTGCTGAATACAACATAACGGTGGATGTCTGACCTTACCAGCTCCAACTGCATGGCGAGCCCTTCCACCGAATGTTCTCACTCGACAATCTCTCCATACAATACCCTCACGCCGAGGTGGAGCGTGTTCCAGTGTGTATGTGGCACCCTCCGATCTTTCCACACTCATGTAGCTGATCTACCTCAAGTATGGCTCTTTATATATGCAGGCGCAGTCCCCCTCGGTACCCTCGTAGCCTGGGCCCTCATTGTTCGCCCCGGCACCCATAAATCGCACGTTACCATCCTCGGATGGTTCATCTCGCTGATCCTCACGCTCTCTGTTACGGACCTCGTCAAGAACGCCGTCGGCAGACCACGACCCGATCTCATCGCAAGATGCAAACCCGAACCAGGCACGCCGGATCACCAGCTCGTTACATACAAGGTTTGCACGGAGGAGGACCACCACGTGCTGCATGATGGATGGCGTAGCTTTCCCTCGGGACATAGCAGCTTCGCTTTCAGTGGGCTAGGTTATCTAGCGCTTTTCCTTGCGGGCCAATGCCACGTATTCAGGCCGCGAACGGACCTGGCGCGAATGTTGCTTGCGCTTGCACCTCTGCTAGGTGCTGCGCTCATTGCTATTTCGCGGTGCGAAGATTATCGACATGATGTTTACGATGTCACCACGGGATCTTTACTGGGTATGCTGGTCGCGTATACTACGTATAGGCGCTATTACCCACCTCTGAGGAACAGCAAGTGCGCAACGCCTTATCCGAACCCTGGAGATTCAACGAATGGATTCAGTAAGCTAAAGGATGTGGAAGAAAGAATAAGCGGTGCTGGTGAATTTGAGCTGGAGGACCTTGACGAAGGGGACGAAGAGGGCGAAAGTAGGCCATTGAACACACGGAGATAGATTCGCATGCTACGAGCAAGATCGAATCTAACTTTAATTTTGAAGACGGTGGAAACGTAGTGTTGGTTTCTTCCAAACCACTGCGCTCTGCACGATTACATGCGTACTGCAGGGACAGCTTGTTCTAACGACACTGAAGTTTTGTGTTCGTGCTTTGGGGGATGCTGAATTATGATCCGAAGGCCTGGACATTGCCGAAACCTCCCATCAGCCACCCTTTACCCGGCCGACACCTTCAAATCAAGGCGCCTTCTTCTATACGCTACTACGCAGACGCTACCCTGGTCGTTGGGAAAGCACCAAAGAGGAAACACTTACGTGCGGCTCCAGTATATAATACAATGAGACGCGATCATAGTCTCCAAGGTGTATCTCAATTTTAGGAATCTGAATCGACCGTCACCATGAGAAACACTCACCTTATCCCTGGCACTGGCGCCTCACGCCTTTTCGCTTGCTCTTCCACGCCCAATACATACCTTCACACCTTCACCAGGTGCCGTTCCCACCAAAGGCGTCAGCTATTCTTCCCCTAACTCAACTCCTCCTACTTCCGCATTATAAGCGCTAATGGTGTTTGGCCAATACTCAGCCAAAAATTACGCCCAGCTTAACGGCAGTCTACCCAAGCTTCGCGTGAACCTAGATACCGGCCACAGTGGCACGTATCGGCTACAGTCGTTGGAAAGTTTTGGGAAGGTGGCAGTCGCGTATCAGGAGTGGCAGTGGAGAAACAACGCAACTGCCAAAGCTGTGGTGCTTGGTCCCGCAAGTCCGCGCAACCTGGTGAGCAATAATTAGGTTGTTGGATGCAATCTGGTCCGGATGTCTGGACGATCTTGATACGGGGTCGCCGTTCAACACGTTCACAGCCCACTTCCCAAGATATGCGACTGAGCCAGACTTATCAAGCTTCGGTATGCATACTGGTCTTGCAATCGACTGCAGTAAATAACGCGCTATTCACACTCAATCTAGTCCTCAAGACCTTCTCGTTAATTCCGCATGGAGTTCTCGCTAGGCTCATGGGCATGGAAGCTTGGCTTCTGGTGTTGTTGTCAAGGTGGTAGAGAGGATCCTAGACGAAGTCATCTCCGAAATGAGTCGTGTCGATGCAGAAGTCGTACATTTGTGCTACGGACCTAATTTATTTTTGTTTAAAAGACGAGACATACTGATCCGGGTATGGTAGCTTTGCTAGCAGCTCATAGGGGCATCACCTCGACAATGTTGCAGTGTCGCTCTTGAGTATATGAATTTGCAGATCCTTGAACGTCTACATGTGCCTATATGGGCATGCCGCATCGGCGGTGTGTTGCCTTGTGCATAGCCACTTGAGGCGCAGTCAGATTCCGGATGACGTGCTCCTAAGTCGTCGCGCCAGCGATTCAATCAACAGTCTATGTGTACCCATTAACTCGCTCTCACCACTTGTAGTTATACAACATCCTCTGCCCCAAGCCATGATCAAGTATGTTCTCATCGCATCCGATCCCAATCTTCAATCCAAGCCCGACCAACAGCAACGCAACATTTCACTTTTTCTGCGCGTTACCCAAAGAATTGCGTTTGATGATATGGCAGCTCGCGCTACGACAAAATCGAATCATCAGGATACATCTCTCCGACCCGTACTTCGAAGACCCCGACACCTTCGTTGATCGCCTGAAGACAATCAATCTCGATCCCATTCGACCTGACGAAAATATTGGTCGCTATTCGGTCACAATAGACGGCTTCCAAGCCCTCAATAGGCTTGTTCACGTGTGTAAAGAGTCTCGACGGGAGAGTTTGACACACTATCGCGTACATTTTCCGTGTAGGCTCGTCAAACTTGGCAAGCACGACGATTACCGCGCAGTTTTGTTGAACGCGGTGGCAGCAGACAAGCTCGATAGCGTCGCGCCAAAAGGCAGCTTTTACATGAACCCGGAATGGGACTATGTGGAAGTCAAGTGCTGGCCGAGAACGAGCGCACTTCTTTTGCCTTTTTTGAATGATCTGAGGAAACGATATGATCCGGCCATGGTCGGCTTGCTTAATCTCATCGTACCTTCAGAGGATTTCTTCACCACCGACCTACAAGGACTCCGGAGTATGAACCTCACACAAGACATGAGAGAAAGTACGGCTGCCGCTCTACGGTCCCTCCAAAATGTCTTTTTCAAGAGAAACACGAAAGTTGGACGCTTGAACCTCGGCATTGTCTGGGGCGATATATCGTGTGATACATGGTTCAATCGCGCATTGCCTATCAATACCAGGTTACCACGATTTGATCTGGCTTGTCCGGATCCTCGGCCTATCTCTAAAGACCTCAAACGTCAATGGATGGGAAATCGTCATTCGCGTGAGGCGTATCGCTCTTTCGCAGCATTGCTTGCTGAGTTCGGCATAGTACCCAACCAAACTCCAACGCAATACCGATTGATGCTTTCTCACGATCCCACACTGCTAGGCGATGATATATGTAGCAGGCATGACGCGGAAATATGGCTGCAGGAAGAGCACGATAAGTGGTGGATGGATCGGTCTCTGTGGCCATCATGCGCAGACGAACGTGTCTTCGAGAATGAAGAGTATGTGATGGCTGTGAAACCAGCATTTGGATTTTGGTTGTTTCCAATTGATGCAATCAATGTTGAAGGAAGCGATGGTTTCGACATTTGCGACATGCGCACTTATATGCCGGAACTTGCAGCGACAGTAATGCCTTGATTGATAGCGCACTGTATCAATCACATGCGATTCGTAGACTATTCTACACTCTAATCGCAGATATTGGCAGCTACACTAATGTTAGTGACTTGATTATGTATTGCCGTTTAGCTTTATAGCCTTTTACTACTATTAAAGTATTTCAGCTCGATGCTTCCCTAATTATCATATACAGGATCATCTAGACTGGGAAGCGCACGCGCTATATCTGCACGGAGGCGATGGGAGGATGACTGGAGTTCGGTTGGACCGCATTCCAGAGCCTCCCCGATATGAAGGCGTTTGGATATGTCTGTTTCTCTTCGAGAGGAGGAGCTAGAGATCTAGATGTTTGGGGAGGCACCGGATGTTTTGGAGAAAAGTGTAAGATGGGAAGTTGAGCAGTTGAGAGCTCTGGTGGTGCCAACGGTGGTGGGCGCGATTGGGGACTGTGGGGTGGGTCGACGGTGACATGAGGCTTTCGAAAAAATGTCGCGAAAAGTCTAGATGCCAATTGTACGAAGATCGCTCAAGCTCTGAAACTATTACGAAATGCCTTCTGACAAATATTGTTTCGCACCTTCATCCAGAGTCTACAATGTCCCCAGAGCCCATCTACTCACTAATCTCAACTTCTAGTCCATCTGCGGATTCGTAGAACGCATAAGCCTTCTTGGCAATGTTCTTTGGATTCAAATTCTTGTTCTCCGGCGCAACAACGCCCCCAACGCTGATCAGACCAGCATGCACCCCGCTCTCCGCATATGTCAGATTGAAGCTGTGGACCATGTTTCTCTGACTAGCCTTGACCAGACTCAATGACAGAAGCTGGGGCACAGGGGTCTTAGGGAGGAAGCTATTGGTCACGAGGAGACTGGGTTTTGATGAAGGGTTGGACTTTTTCAGTTGCTGAAGGCGGGGGATGGCCCATTGGGCGACGGTGTAGAGAGCTAGATTCGTTGTCTGCGGCAGTTTAGCTGATGTCTTTTGGGAGAGGCGAAAGGGCAGGGTGGTTTTACCCTGAAATCCTCATTGATCTCTTCGACAGCAACTTCCAGTACACCACTTGGCTTGATTCTTGCGGCGTTGAAGAAGACGACTTCTAAGTCCTCGCCCTTGGTAAGCTCGTCGATCTTCTTCAAGACTCCCGAGATGGAGGAGAGGTCTGAGAGATCCAGACGTAGCGTGTCGACTTTGACGTTGGAGCCGGCTTTTTGAACAAAAGCTGCATCTTCATTTTTGAGACGTTGCTCGTTGCGGGCAAGCAATATCACGTGGCTGAAGCCTTTTGAGACGAACTCGGCGGAGATGTGGTTCCCGATGCCTGGGCCGGAGCCGAAAGCTACGATGGCGCGGGTTGGGGACATGTTCGTGCTGTGCCGGCTGGGGTAAGAGATGAGGGCTACGCTCAAGTAGGAGTGAAAAAAGGTTGCAGGTTTTCAAAGTGGGACCTTTCTGGATTGAGGGAGCTTGTGAGGATCCAGGCACTTCTTATATAGTCGCTCCAGCTGCCTGCCTCCGTCTATCGTCATGTCGTCAGGGTCCACATAGCACAACCGCAAAGCTACACCACAGTACGTGCCTCCCACTGCAGCTGAGCTTACAAAGCCGACAAATCTGTAAAAGCTGCAACAGGATACACATGTAGAAAGCAGAGTTACCCGAAAAGAGAAACAGCATATATCCACATTTGTAATAGTGGATGCAGTGGGTATGGCGGCGCGTCAGCATGCCGCGCTAACGACTAGCTCCCGCTCCAATCGTGCCCCATCCCGTTATGTCATCACATATTTCTCTGTCACTTCGCATGCACGCCCTTCACAAAGACGCCTCGCCAATTGTCAGCCATGGACGTCGATGATGAGGCTATGCGCCAATATGTCCCTGCCTCATTCGGGAAACAAGATAATTCCGTAAACGTCGAGGCGCAAATCGAGCGATGTCGGCGCAAAATCGTGGACGAGAGCAAGCCCCAGGCTGCAGCGAAAGATGCAAGTCTAGATTCCGACAAGGACAGCGACGACGATGACAGCGATGACGACGAGGACGAAGATGAGTTTCCAGTTTCACACGAGCTTGTCATCAAGACACACGACCGCCCTGTTACGACGATCACGCTCGACCCATCGGGCACGCGCCTAGTAACAGGCTCGAAGGACAGCACGCTGAAGCTGCACGATCTGTCTGCACTGACACCCACAACTATTCGCGCATTCAAGACGGTCGATCCGTTCGAGACGAAGCCCTCCGCGGCAGCTGAGGCACATGCGATCCACCAGGTTGTCTTCAGCCCGCATTCAGGTGGCCAATTTCTTGTCATCACAGCAACACCGCAGGCGCGCTTGTTCAGCAGGGATGGAGACATGATCAAAGAGTATGTGAAGGGAGATATGTACTTGAGGGACAAGCTCAACACGAAAGGCCACACAGCCGAGGTCACGAGCGCAGCATGGCATCCGTCGAATAGGGATCGTTTCGTTACGGCCGGAACAGACAGCACGGTGCGTATATGGGATGTCAATAAGAGCTTGCAACAAGAGCAGGTCGTGGTGCACAAGTCGAGGGCGGCCGGCTCAGCGGGCTTGACGAGGATGACTGCGATTGCCTGGGGTGCGGCGGCAGAAGGCAACAAGAGCGTCATCGCGTCGGCTGCGCTTGATGGAAGCTTGGTTTTGTGGGGTGGTGAAGGCCCGTATCATCGCCCTCTTGGGGAGATACGGGATGCTCACGTCAAGGATACGTGGACGAGCGGCCTAGACATCAGCTCCGATGGTCGGTTGGTCATTACTCGAGGCGGCGACGACACAATCAAATTGTGGGACACCCGCAAATTCAAGACGCCTGTGAACACTACATCACATCCCTCGACCTCCTCTCAGTACCCAACATCGAACATCAAGTTCGCACCCAATTCGGCGAGCGTCATCACTGGATCAGAGACCGGTCATCTCCACATTCTCAACCCCGCCACTCTTCGACCTGAGCTCTTAACTCCAGTAACACCAGGATCACCACTCATTACAGTGAACTGGCACCCCAAGCTCAATCAGATCTTCACCGGCTCTGCCAACGGCCAAACTACCATCCTCTTCAATCCGAAGCTCTCCACTGCCGGCGCACTCACCATTCTTAGCAAAGCCCCCAAGAAGCGTCATCTAGACGACGACCCCCACTTCACTACCGACATGGATCCGCTGGGCATGTCCGGCGAAGGCGTTGAACCTGGAGGCAAACCTGGCCCCGCACCTGGGTCCTTCGCCTCACGGCATCCCACGGTTGGTCTCACAGCGTCGGGCAGGAGTAGAGATCCAAGGAGGCCGCACATCCCTCAGACGACGCCTTTCGCGAAGAGCACGCCGGACGAGAAGTACGTCAGAGAGAACATTGAGCTAAGCAGTATGCGGGACGAAGATCCTCGCGAGGCCCTGCTTAAGTATGCGCCGAAGGAAGGGGAGAAGAATGTGTTCACAGGCGCGTGGGAGAAGACGCAGCCTAAAGCCATATACAAGGATTACGATAGTGAGGATGATGAGCCGAATGCCAAAAAGGCGAAGCGATGAGCAGACGCGTCATAATAAGTTTTGGCTTAAAAAGCATTGCATTGCTGGCGTTGGATTGAGATAGATATACCCAATTAACTCGTGCATCGAAATCAGCTCCATAAACACAGCTATTCGTAGCATCCACTTGTGTTGGCCTCTTTGGTGCTTACAGCCATCAAACATGTGAAGCGATGATAGCTCGTCGCTTGGCGCGTGCTACGCGGTAAGGGGCAGTCCCAAAACAGTAACCATCGCGCGGCCCAAAGTTGGACGCGACATCCACCTTTACGACCACCGCTGTACCCCACCCTCCCTTCGCCTTCAACCATCGCCCGGACTCAAGTCACCTCCTCTACGCGACTCAGACCCTTCCACCATATCTCAATCCGCCAAAATGTTTGCCCGCACCTTCCGCGCCGCCACGCCCACCGCTACCCGCGCTTTCAGTACCACGCCCCGCGCGTCGCTCGCGCGCATGTCCATCGTCGGCCGTCTCGGCGTCGCCCCCGAAGAAGTCACCGTCTCCAGCGACCGCACGCTCGTGCGCTACGTCATCGGCACCAACTACGGCAAGGGCGAGAACCAGAAGACTTCGTGGTTCCGCGTGGCCAGCTTCGTCGAGGGAAAGCAGAAGGATTACTTGATGAATGTGCCCAAGGGTTCGCTGCTCTATGTCGATGCGGATGCGCGCATGGAGAGCTACACTGATGGTGAGGGCAACAAGAGGAGCAACTTGAGCTTGATTGCGAGTAAGTTCTTGTTACCTTGAAATTGGAAGGAGAGCTGGAAGCTAACAAAATAAAAGGGAACTTCGATGTCATCTCCCGGCCGAAGAACGAGGGCGTTGACGTGAACGAGGAGGGCATCGTTCAGGAGCACGCCTCTGGTTAAGCCTTACACACGAATCGCTTTCACCATACCCAATTTCAATACCACACGTATGAATTGTAATGAGGGTTTTGGCCCAGAATTCAGCCGCTTGCTCGAGCTTGTGGGCGTTGAGGAACGTACTCTTGTTGGTTTGTTCACTTCTCAGATCCAACTACTCTTTCGAAATGCGTAGAGTAGACTTCGTTGGGCGGCGCTAGAGGAGTGTCGATTGAAAATGGAATACTGCGGGCTTTATGTACACCACATGTGCGATTTCATATGTATTATCTCCGCTCTAGTTCGGATTCGGCTTGGAAGTGTTGATCGGCGTTCGACAATGATATCAATTCACATTCCCAACCTGCAATACCTTCTAAAGAAACTCCTAGTAATCATTAATCACTCGGCGACGACAAGCAACACGATTGAAACCGTTTGCGAGCTGCTCTTCTCCATTGACTGGCAATATATTGTCTGGCGTTAGATATCGAGCACAATCAAAATTTCGCCACGTGACCGCGTGCGGCGAAAGTCCTCACCTCCGCGTTGTCCCAACTTTTCCCGCGCAACATCCCCTCCTCCACCACCTCTCTAATATACCACAATGCAACGCATAGCACCTCCAAGGGCGCGCATGCTCTGGGGCCATGCACCGCGCGTCCGGTCCATTAATCGCCCTCGCAGGACTTTCGCTACCGTGTCCGGCGCAGAGAATCCCTACGATGTCATTGTCATCGGCGGCGGCCATGCTGGCTGCGAAGCCTCCGCGGCAGCAGCACGTTCCGGCGCGCGAACAGCACTCATCACCCCCTCGGTACACAATCTGGGCGTCTGCTCGTGCAATCCTTCATTCGGCGGCATCGGCAAGGGCACCATGCTCCGCGAGATCGACGCGCTCGACGGTGTCGTCGGACGTATTGTTGACAAATCGGGCGTGCAGTTTCGGGTGTTGAACAGGAAGAAGGGACCAGCGGTTTGGGGACCACGCGCGCAGATTGACAGGAGCTTGTACAAGAGGTACATGAAAGAAGAGATGCTGACATATAAGGGTTTGAGCGTGGTGGAGGGCAGTGTTGCAGATATAATTGTGGATAAGACGGGACAGGAGGAGAGTGGGAAATATGGAAAGATTACAGGCGTAAGATTGGAGAGCGGACAAGTCATTCCAGCTTCGCAGGTTGTGATTACTACGGGCACGTTCCTGGGAGGAGAAATACACATCGGACTTGAAGCGTATCCATCCGGGCGCATGGGCGAGGCTGCGACGTTTGGCTTGAGCAAGTCATTAAGAGAAGCTGGTTTCACACTGGGAAGACTGAAGACAGGCACACCACCACGATTGGACAAGAAATCCATCAACTTTGGGGTGTTGGAGTTTCAGGAGGGCGACGATCCACCAACGCCTTTCTCCTATCTCAACGAGCGAGTTCAGGTGGAGAATCAGCTTCTCAACTACGAAACCCGCACCAACGAAGCGATGCACGAGATCATACGGCAGAACCTCGACCAGTCCATCCACATCCGGGAGACCGTGAAAGGGCCTCGCTACTGCCCCTCCCTCGAATCCAAAGTCATACGCTTCACGGATAAATCATCGCACATAATATGGCTAGAGCCCGAAGGCTTCGACACCGACGTTATATACCCGAATGGCATCTCCATGACCATGCCCGCAGATGTGCAAGATGCCATGCTCAAGACCGTCAAGGGGCTCGAGAACGTGAAGATGCTGCAGCCAGGATACGGCGTAGAATACGACTACGTTGACCCGCGCAACCTACGGTCTTCGCTCGAGACCAAACGAATTGGCGGACTCTTCCTCGCCGGGCAAATCAACGGCACAACTGGCTACGAGGAAGCAGCCGGCCAGGGCGTCATAGCGGGTATCAACGCTGGTCTCGCCTCCCAGGGCAGAGCGCCAATGGCATTGACGCGAGCAGATGGCTACATCGGCATCATGATTGACGACCTCATCACCAAGGGCGTCTCAGAGCCCTATCGCATGTTCACCTCTCGCTCTGAATATCGCATGTCTGCGCGCGCCGACAACGCAGACACACGCCTCACAGCCATGGGGCGCGCCGCAGGCGTAGTCACTGACACGCGATGGACAGCATTCGAGCGCGAAGCCGAAGACATCGCAGAACTCACAAAGTCACTTCAGGAAACGACTATGGGCTGGAAAGCCTGGCATGAGGCGGGCTTCAACGTTCGCAACGATAGTACCAAGCGCTCCGCTTACGATCTCCTTCGCATGGCAGACACCACCTGCAGCTCACTCTCCCCTATCCTCCCCACTATCAATAATTTTTCGCACCGCGTACGAACGCGCGTCGAGATCAACGCCACATACGCGCCTTACGTCGCATATCAGACTGCTTCCCAAGCGCGCTGGCTTAAGGACGAGGGACTCAAACTCCCCGATGATCTAGACTATGATGGCATCTTCGGGCTCTCATTCGAGGAGAAGCAAGCCTTGAAGGTTGCAAGGCCAGAGAGCGTGGGCATGGCGAGGCGCATAGAAGGCGTGACGCCGACAGGGGCGTTGAGGTTGTTGCAGTTTGTGAGGGGCGCTGGCAGAGAGGAGATGCAGCAGAGGCAGCGAGAGGCTGTTGATGAGAGGAAAAGGGCGTTTATGAGTGCTGCGGGGGAGGTGGCCTAGGTTGGTAAGGGCCATAGTATACTTGCATTGGGCGGCGTTCTTACCTTCATGAGGGCATTGATCATGGACGAGGGTGTTGTACTTGTATCATGTATGTTTCGCTGAATGTGTATGAATAGATAATTCGAAGATAGGGCGAGGCGATATTCGCCTGTCGAGCCACGAGTGTATTCGCTCCGTTGGCCGAAACGATGAAATATACTTTCCGTGCATTCGCATGCCTCGGGCGAAGTTGAATTTGGAGCACATGGAAAGTGTCGTCGCGCTTCTGTAACCACCGATAGATCCGCATAGTAGTTTCGGCTTACGAATTGTGCCGACCAATGGACTACGCTTTTCGGAAAGGTGTCCGAGGAGTGCAATCCAAGCACTTGCAGCTGCAAGAACAGGTCACATACAACTTACTTTTGGTTCACGGCTACGATGTTGATTCAAGTTCAGACCAATCGGCTAGTCACATTACAGCAGTAGCTTTACAACCATACCAAGTTCGCTGTTTACTCGACAGCTTCAAGCCTCGTAATGATCTGCTTATGGGGGCGGCATGTGCCACGGGTGGGGTCCTCTAGTGCTGACCACATCCAGGACGCCCAGTCAGCAGTAGAGGATTGGCTCCACACACCCAAACCGGTATACAGTTACATTCCCTTAAACAGACTTCACAGCTGTAAATGCTTACGTTAGGTCCCGACGTGTCGGATTCTGGGTAAAGGATACCATATATAGAGGAGTATAGTCGCAGGGCGAATTTTCACACACCTACAGAAGGTTCATCTATCTGACTCTCACAACGAGTCTTGGCTGAACCCGAATTCCTGTGTTTGACCACTCACCAACAAGTTCTGGCTGTCGACCAACATCAGCACTCGTTCGCGATGGGAGATATCACAACCACAGAGACCCTAGCACAGCAATTCCCCAACACAGTCCTAAAGCCAGGCTCACCACGCTACGAGGAAGAAAACAGCAAATTCTGGAACAGAGATAATGCAGATATCCGACCATCGGCCATCGTCACGCCCTCCAGCGTGCAGGAAACTGCGTAAGTATACCCCCGAAGCCCTTACCCAGTGTGAAGAAACAGCCCAGAACTGATTCTCACAGTTCAATCGTCAAAATTTTGAGTGACACAGAAACCGACTTCGCCATCCGCAGCGGCGGCTACATGCCCGTCCCCGGCCACAATACCTCCTCTTCTATTTTGATCAGCACTACGTGCCTCAACTCCATAGAGCTTGTCCAAGGCAACCTCGTCAAATTTGGCGCAGGTAATCAATGGGGCTCTGTGTACGACTTCCTCGAGCCCCGCGGCCTCGTCGTGCCCGGCGGACGGTCGCGGCCGGTCGGCGTTGGCGGATTCCTTCTCCACGGCGGAGTAAGTCACTTCTACGCTGAGGTGGGCTGGGCCTGCGAAGCTGTTGTGGAATTCGAGGTTGCGCTTGCAACGGGGGAGGTTGTGGTAGCGAATGAGAAGGAGAACAAAGAGTTGTACTGGGCATTGAAAGGAGGGGGCAAGAACTTTGGGATTGTTACGGCCTTTACAATGAAGACGCGGGAATTACCAAAGATGTGGGGTGGTGTGAGGGTTGCGGTTGGCACGCATGAGACTGCGGGTAAGGTGTTCGAGGCGATGCATGATGGAATACAGGGCGTTGTCGATGAGAAGGCACACGTGGAGGTTATTTCTTTCTTCGTTCCGCAGATGTGCCAGAGTGGAGATCCGATGTTTGCGCTGTGTCTGGCGTATGCGGGGGAGGTGGAGAGACCACAGGCGTTGAAGGGGTTTCTGGAGGTTGAGGCTGTGCATGACGGAACGAGGACAGCAACGCAGAGGGAGTTGGCGGATGATGACAAGCAGAATATTGGGTACGATAAAAGGTGGGTATCAGTCCTGGAAGGAATGAGGAGTCATATGCTGACACACAAGATCAGGGGACTATTCCGCGCTTTCAGCTACCACGGTGGTCCACAACTAACGCTGGACATCTACTCCGAGTACTACACGTTGGCAAAGCAATCTGGTATGTTCGAAGAGGATCCCGGCGCCATGGCAGCCCTGTTATGGCTCCCTGCAGGCCCAAAGCTCTCCTCCGGCACCAGCGTGATCTCTCTTGGTGAGGAAGCCGAGCCCTACTTGTGTGAGTCCTTACTCCTTTCCAGGTACACGTACATTAGCTAATGCTACCTTCACAGCGTGTAATATCTGCTTCCGCTGGGAGAGGCCTGAGGCCTCGAAGAAGATGCACGCCATCGCAGACGCTATTGCAGAGAAGCTCAAGAAGAAGGTCCAGGATGCTGGCGCATTCATCCCGTTTACGTATGCGAATATTGCGGGAGTTGAGGACACTACGTTTCAAGGGCTTCCGAATAAGACGAAAAAGAGGTTGAGGGAGGTGGCAGCACGATATGATCCACAGGGTGTGTTTCAGAAACAGGTTCCCGGATTCAATTTAGTGTAGCTACCGAGAAAGCTAGAGATCTCCGACTGTAGGGATGGCGAAGAATTAGATCTCCAGATCTGGAGTGGCTAGAGCTGATCTCGTCATGGAGCTGGGGCATTTGTATGCAGGAATCTATCGCGATGGTCACTACGTAAAGTAGGGCAGATTCTCTCACCGCCCAATTTCCGATTTCCTTTTCTTCCTCAATTGACCCTCCTCCTCAATTCTCTTCATTAAATCCTCCGCGAGAACTTCGTACTTGCTATTTCTCCCCAGAATCTCCCGGCTGGCCATCAAGAACTTATGCTTGAACACCTTCCACAGCTCTTCGTCAGCTTCCCCACCCCCCGGCCTTGGATAGAAAGGGTCGTTCTTATAGAAAGCCACACAGGCTTGCTCAACACCGGCTTCGTCCATCGAGAGTGGTCTGCAACAGTCGAAGTCGAGGATCCATAGGCAGTGCGTGCCCAAATAGTCTGATTGGAAAACGGGCGAAGGTGGAGATTCAGCTCCTCGGGGAGGCGCCAGAACAAACTCAACGTCATTCGCGTCGATTCGTGCAACCCAATGCATCAGTGCGAGAGCTTCTGCCATGGTCGCTGCGTAGGCATTGGCGTCAAGACCGAGAGCCTCCATCTGGTCGATGTGAAGGGGCACATTGCGGAGACTGAATCGCTGGAAGCGCGATGTGCTTGCCGTTTCTCTTTGATGGCGACGACGCCCCAGATATGGCCTGATCAAGCATGCATCATCGTCAGGGTTGTTTTTCACAAACTTGGACAGCGGCTCGTTCCCAGCGCAGAAGAGGTCCACGATTTTGTCACTGATCTGTCTCGGTATCCTTGGAATGCGCTCTGAAATGAGCGCTCTGCAAGCGGAGTAGCCCACAGGAAACTGGTGCAGGCGTGTTTGCCACCATACATCTGTCGGTTGGACCAGCGCATGACATTGTGGTATGGATAGAGGCGTTGAGGGGAGGTATTTTAGGATCCCTTGAAGAACGAGGAGGTGCATGTTGTAGTCATTTGTGACTGATAGGCCGGGCCCACCATCTTCGCGCTTGATAGCGGTGCATATAACGTCCTGGCTGTCTTCAGAAGCCCATATACTGCCGCAAAACCCCTTTCCAATACATCGGTAATGAGAGTTGGTATTCATGATGTTATCAAGGGTCGCGTGGTGTATTTCAGAACGTTCCAAATAACAAGGTTTGTGATGTTGTAAAACAAAAGATTTTTGACACGCATGGGTTAAATATTGTTTTGGATGGATTTGTTGAATGGTACGGCCCGGCCAAGCATCATCCTCCCCGCTGCAGACCAAGCATCCGTGCATGTTTAACAGCATTTTCTAGGCCAGCTGCCCTTCATATCGTGCCCTCGACCTTTATTTATCGGTGGTGTCCACAAAGACATGGCCCACGGCCCAAGATTCAATGCATAGAAAAGTGGAGAGTTCTCATCATCTATAAGGTTTTATTAGTCGCAGTAATGTTGTTTTACAACTACCAGTACCACATGTAATCCATCTACTAGAGGTGAGCGACTACGTGGTAACCAGTCGCTTGTATACCGACGGTGAGATCTCTCCACTTTTCCACAACTCGGATCTTAGGCCGTGGGCCATTTGTTTGTGGAAACAACAAGACCTATTCAGTCTCGTGAAATGATTGTACCTGTGGTAATTATCGTATATCGAGACAGCTTCAATATTAGACTAAAACGGGCATCGACTGGGTATATATAAGTGCTCTTATTTTGTTCAAGATAGAAGGCCAATAAGCGATCAAGTACTATTACTTTAGGGTGGTATATAGAATAGTCTTGCTCAGGTTCTGAACTCGCTAGTAGAGTGCTACACGCTCCCGCTTCCCGACCATTCGGACAAGCTTTGGGAGATTACATCATGCCCATGGAGACGTGCCCCGCCATATGCATGAGGATGGGTAGTACCCGGCGGACTGTTGTGCCTCTTGTTCGCCATTCCGGATGCACTCGAAAGTTTACGAAGCATTCGAGAAAGCCAGCAAGATCGTGGGCATCGACACTTAGATCCCCAAAACGTTCTGGTACGCTGACGAGCACAACCCGCTTTTGGAATATGTCGAACGGACCACACCACTACTACCGTAGACACACACGGACTCAAAGCTCCAGTGTCATACAGTGCGCTTTCCTAGCGCGATCTAACGCCACCGTAATACGGAGTTCGTGTACCGCCCGCGCATTCACCATTCCATTGAACAGACCATCCGTTCCGCACATACCAATTGCACGTTTGTGGGGGTCATTATGGAGTACGCCCGGGCGGCATCCGTACCTGACATGACAGACACCGTTCAACATACGTGTGATACCTAAGCGTGACATACCTCGCATACATCCCGCCCCTCGGGCGTGTGAAACACTTCACTCTGCCTTCCATGACTGCAGCCCTACATTGCTTACACACTGAACTTCGGACACTCTCCAGCCCTGCACACCGTCGAGCTCCTTCCTGATCCGGCATCAAGATGTCGAAGTCCATGCCATCGATTCCCCGTACCCACAAACCGCGTCCGTTCACCACACCCGTCGTCCGTTCATGGTACCCGTCGCCCGTTCACCACGCCCGCCGTTCGTTCGTACCGCCCGGACCTTCCTCATACCTACCATGTTCCCCGTTGTAAAATCTCCGCTTACCATAGGATAACAGATCCCTGGCACGTCAGAAAGCAACCTCGGAGTTCGTGCGAAGAGGATCCTCCCAGAGCAAGGCTGGCATGGTCACCTTGGGGGCGAAATGAATGATGTCGGCGCTTGCACTTGCGCGCGAGAAGAGGCTGGTCATACTGCTGCAGGTTATGGCTAGGTGCATGCAATTAGAGTAAGTATAGCGGTTTCAGATGGTGGACGGCGGAGGATCTGGACTTGCAGGCTCGCATGTCGTCCGTGGGAGGTGATTGGTGCGTTTCAGGATTGCAGGTGGGCATGGTGCGACCGAGGTAGACGCCCGGGCTAAGTTTGGTAATCGACGATAGCGGTGGCTGGCGACGGCGCTGGGGGAGGCAAGATAGCCGAATGGATGAGTGGAGATGAGAACAGCACACTTGGAGATGGATGATAGGCAATGAGAGTACGTTTTACAGTGCGTTTATTTTTCGCTATGATATGATACAATGCAGCCCTAATTTTGGCGCTTGCAGTTCAGTCCAATCCATCTCGGTACGATTCTTATCCACACATTCCCACACCCCCACTCGCGCGCAGCGAGTGGTACCTTTTTGCTCGTTTTCAGCCTCCAACACCAACAGACAATGCCACAGCCTCAAGGCCAGCGTCCAGACTTAGATAGCAGGCGAGGCGGCGTACAGCTCAATCAAATGAGAAGATAACAAAGAAGGAAAAGACGTAAAAGGAGAAAAGGGTACTCATGGCCGTCATAAGCTTGATGTCCCAACCTAAGCACCAGATATTGTTCTCCGTGTAAACCCAAACATACCGTCCCCAAGCAGTGAAGATAAGCAAGAAAAGAAGATGCATGCAATGCAATGCAGGAAGATAGAAAGTCTAAAAAGAAAATTAAACAGGCTAAGCACAAGAAGCAGTAAAGGGAAAAGTACGACCGCGGAAGGGCGTCGCCGAGTGGTACTCAGTGGGCACTGAACATGGGAAGGAGATGATTAATAATTGTTGGCAGCGATGAGGTGGTGCTGCGGTGGTGCCATAGACATGGCAAGTGGTCCGGGTATATCGGTGATGGATGTGGGAATCTGGGGAAGGCCAGAGAGATAATCGTTGCCAGAGTCGGGCGACTCCTCCTCGAGAGAGTCGAGGTGAGCGTCCTCGCCCTCGAGGTCATCGTCATTGAAGTCGAGCGGCTCGCCGTCTGGACGAGGTTCATGCGTGCGACGATGTCTGTGAAACTATTGTTAGCACTTCGTACATACGATCGACATAAGCGGGACGTACTGGGCAAGGTTATCGGATCGGGAGAAAGCCTTGTTGCAGAGAGGGCAGACATAAGGCCGCTCTTGTGTATGGGTGCGCACGTGCCTAGCGCCTAATAAGCGGCTATTTCATGTCGCACTGGGGAGGGTGGGCGCTTACCTCTTGAGGTGTTCTAACCTCTTGAACAGCCTACCGCAGGTGGGGATCGGGCAAGAGTGAGATTTCTGGGGGTACGGGCCAATCTCCATCATAGTGGCGCTGCGGGCTCGTCGGAACACATTGGGACCACCTTGAGCACGGGCAACTGCGCTGTGCTGTAGGGGGCTGTCGAACATGTCACCGTTGACGAGGCTGTTGAGCTCGTCCTGCTGAAGCATCGCCTGCTGTTGTGGCGGGCTGTCTTCGATGGTGTGGAGAGGAGTGCCGTGACGCGAGATGTTTACCTGCGGCTTGGCTTCAGGAATTGACTGGCCCAGGGATGGACCGGTGGCGCTATCCGGAGAGTTATGGCTGGAATGTGTCACCTCCTCGCCTTCGGGAACGGGCATGATGGAGCTTGACATTGACCGCCTCAAGTCACTTGGGCGGTGAACCTGGTGAGCGTTACCAGTGGCAGTTACTGCAGCGACAGCAGCAGCAGTGGAGATGGATGATCGCCTCCGTCGCTGCTTGTAGGTCGGAGAGCCTTCAATGACAGAGTACACGTTTCCTGGGGGGAATGCCCTGTTGACGCCAGGGTAGCTAGGACCCATCAAGTTGGACGGAGGGATGTTCATGAGCGGGTTGAACGAGTGCGACACGCCGAGCTCAGGAATGGCGCTGTAGAGACCAGTGTCCTCGTTGGCGATATACGCAGGCTCCGCACCGAGGCTAATTTGGTGCTGAGGCGGGGTCAGAGGCTCGAATGACATGCCGCGAGTGCTGTAGTCCTCGTAATGGGAAGATACGAATGACGGAGCGGGCGAGTACTCCATGTAAGCGGGCATGGAGCTGTGTCGCTGATGCACCTGTGAAAGCGGGATACCATTGCGGTCGTACTGCACCTGCGGCGCAAACTCGCGTTCTCTGCTCTTAACAACAGTGCTCTGCATGCTCGGCGCCATTGACATCTGCTGGTATTGAACCATGGGAGCCATGGGCTCCTCGTGCACCTGGGGTGGCATGTTTTGCGGGACCATCTGAGGTGGGGGCATGGAGTCCATCGCGCGCATCACCGGTGACGTCGACTGCGAGTAGGTCTGGACATTGTTGTTGAAGGATGAGGAGTTGGTCTGCTGGGCCTTGGTGAGTTGCTCGAACAGCGATTGCGACGAATCGAATTCGAATGAGAGGGCAGGCTCGCTGACGGCGACGGTTGTGGCTTCCTGGCCCATCTTCTCGCGCTTGAGGTCGCGCTCCAATGCATCGAGAAACAGGCGGTCGTGAGGCACGCTGTACCAGTAGAAGACCTTCTGCTTCTTTTGCGTGCGGATGCAGTTGTTCTTGTAGAGGAAGTCAAGGAAGGCGCTCTTGGGCTCCTCGAGCGACGCATCGGTGCCCGACTTCAAGTTGCGCAAGTCGGAGAAGATACCCTCCTCGAACTTCTTGGAGTTCTTGACCGGTCGGCCAAAGGCCTGGAAGCGGAAGGACAGGCATCGCACGATGTCAGTACCTGAGATGTGGAAGAGGTTGTTCCTGGGCGGGGTTAGCGGGGGTTTCGAGGCAAACAATGCGCTGGAATGCACTCACCATAGCACGCAGGACACATACTCGCCGGTGGGCAAGAGAAAGCGGCGGATGTACTGATCGGGTTGCCAGTCGACGGGCGCGGAGATGAGGAAGTACTTGACTGCGCGACGTTAGCGGGCGGCGCCGAGACAGAGGCGCGACGGGTCGGCACGTTGGGATGGGCTGGGACGTACGGTTGTCTACTTGCTGCAGCGCGACGACGCTGTCCGGCGGGAGGCTTTGCTGCGCATCCTGATCTAATAAGAAGGTCTCGGGAGCGACGGAGCGCGACTGCGGCGGCGGCATGGCCGCATGAGGGTTGGAATACATGGTGCGTTGCAACAGGCAGACCTGCTTCGCACTCGTGTTTGGCAGACGTGCGTCAGGCTGTTGTTGCGAAGGATGGTGGAATGAGACGGATAAGGCTCTGGTAAGGTCCTGCCCGTGTGCAAATAATGTAATATGAAGCGTACTGCGAAGGAAAAGGGCGAGCGATGGTTTGAGGACTGTTCAGAGAAGATAAAACGTATCGAGGGCCTGCCTCGGAGCCAAAGCAGTCGCGACGTCAAGCAGACTGGGCAGCGTGAAGGATATGGCTTTAGGACACACGAAACGCAAATCTGAGGGGGGAGTGGGAGAGCTTTAGGTGTCGGAGGCCTGGTGAAACAGGAGCTGGTCGTTTTGGAATAATCTATTTCGGGGCCCGCCCTCAAGTCAGCGTCTGCCCCGGCCCTTGCGAGGACGCGCGGGTGTCTCAGCAGCCAGTGCGCACCTGGGTCCAGCCGCCGGCGAATCGTCGTGCGCGCGACACGGGGCCCTGGCCAGCCAAGAGGCGGCCGACTCGCGCTGCAGACGGGCGAGGTTGCGAGAGACTGCCGCTGCCTCTCGCGCGCTGCCACTACGCTGCTCCATGGCGGCCGGCGGGAGCGTCTTCCTCCATGATGCCTGGAGCACCTCGCCCGCCGCGACTCCACCACCGGCGCCGCGAGCAGCCCGCGAAGACGTCAGTCGCATTCCCAGCACCAGCGGCATCGTCATCAGCAGTGCCGCTGTCCAGGCTGTTGCTGCGTGCGAACAAGGCCCAGCTCAGGTCGCCTGCACGGCGCAGGCGACGCATGCAGCCTAGCCCAACCTTCCACGACACACAGGCTCGCTCGCTCCCACAGCACCCGGCATGGCGACCTGGCCCGCGGCCATGCCCACGAAGTCTGTTTGTCCGCGGCCCTCCAGATCGGACCCTGTGCTGCAGGCCGGCGTCCCGTCCTCTCGAGCATCCAGTGTGTAAGAAGACGCCAGCGCGCATCACATCGCCATGGCGAAGTGCCTCTCCCACTGGCGGACACGGCGTCCACTCACAGCGCCCGTTGCCCATGCCCGCCGTTGACACGCCTCCTCGCATCGGGCGTTTCTCGCAGGCTCATTTCTTCTTCCTCTGCTCGAGTCGGCCCCCGCTGAGGATACTATAGTAGGTCGCTGTTATACGACCCGCACCCACCGGCCGCCGCAGACGCAGCAACTGCACACTCGCGCACCCACTGCGCCGCCGTGCGAGGCCGCCGCCGCTAGGGTATTGAAAGCTGCTCGTTCCTGGCAGTGAGCGGCGGGCCTGCGAACAGAGGGAGGTGCTGGGTGCGAGCACGGTGCGTCTAGATGCAGGTACAGGCGGAAGCAGCACTCGGCGCCAGGTTTGATCTCCCTGCTGAAACGCCTTCTAGCCCTCGCACCGGCTGCCCTGCTGGAACGTTGTCGACGGGCCATCTGCACGTTATCGCGCAGCAGCCACCGTCGCCGCCTCTTGCGTCTTCGCTGCGCTATGTAAAGGCCGCTGAGCGCGTCCGGACCTGGGCCGATCAGTGCATTGTTGGAGGACGTCCTTGGGCGTGACGCTGCGCTGGTGGCCCGTCCAGTGAGCGCGCCCACGAGTCGTTTCAGGACTGCTTGTGGCTAGACCGACGCCGGGGTTGCTAGCCGTTGCTTTCCTCCGGTTGACCCGCTCGAGGGCGAGTCAGCGAATAAGACCCGGTTATGCCGGCCGCATGCAAGCGCTCAATCAAGGTCGTCGAGAGCGTTGGGCGATGGATGGACGACCTCACCTGCAACCCTCATGCACTCGATAGTACTGCCATCGCAGCCGTAATTACACCCGCCGACTAGCCTCGCACAATAGCCTTCGGTTCTGTAGACCACGCGCTGCCACACGTGTCGTGCCTGCCCGTCGTCAATAGCGCTGGCGCAAAGGCAACTCGAGGTAAACTTTGGTCTGAGCAGCCGCCAACATGTTCGTTGATCCTTCGCAAGCGAGGGTGATGAGCATGACGAGCCAACGGGCCGGTGGTCGAGCCACATTGCTTACTTAGCTCAGTGTGACCTCGCCCGCGTCCCTGTGGTCACTTCGTCCGCACTGTAATGCACCATGCATCGGCACACTGGCATTCGCCGATTCTCCATGTGACGAAAGCCGAAAGCCTCCCACGCCTACGGTCCTATGAAACTCTTCCAGCCTCGTCTTGCGCTCTTTCGGCATCGTGTTTCCACAAACGCCCTTCTACAGAAACTACGTTTGTGATGGCTGTGGCCTCGTCGGAGGAAACATCGAATTGGGCTTGTGGAGTCCTGTACCTGCGTTAGCGGACCCAAGGTGCCCTCCTGAAACCCATCCGCATCCCCCTTCGCCTGCCTGAACGGGACGAGAGGACGTCTTCCGATACGCATGGACGTTCGCTTCAACCACCTCTCTCTGCATCGAGCCCATGTCGTAGTGGTTTTGCTGTGCAAAGTTTCCTTTTTCATTGATCTCCACAAGAAAAAAAAAAGGCTTCGCTTGTGACTCGGTGGCGGACATTACATGCTAATGCGAACGTTGCATGGCCATTCCAAGCGATATGCAGCCGTTACAGTTGGTCTTGTCAAAACGGCTCTTTCAGGCCTCCCCTCTCGTGACTGTCCGCATTGCAGCAAGCTTCGAAGTGATGTGCTTGCAGCTGTGCGGTAGGATTTGTAGTCGCATAAGCCGGAAGGTTTAGCCTACGTTGTTCCCACCCGTCTATGTCGGCGTGCGTCCTACTCTGGGTCTCGTGTTTTAAAGAGACTATCAAAAGCCCTGCTGCTATTCTGCCCAGGCTGGAGTCGAGGTCTATGTCGCCATGTTCTGGACGATCATCCCCGCTTTCACGTGGTCTGCCGCCGCGCCGATGGACAACGAAACGCGGCATTCCTTCTTTCGCCGCCCAAGAAGAACGTGTACGCTGATGCACGGGCGTGAGGCGAGTTTGATGTCCACGATCTGCTTCCGCTGTGTCAGATTCCGAGGGTCCTGTATCAGTGTGGCGGGAGTTTCAGATTGAGTGCTCGCTTCGCAGAGGTCCCATGGAATGCAACATCAAAAATTAATCCTGGTGCGTGTACCTTGTAGAAATGTGGACTCTTTGTCAGTGTGGTTAGCAGTCACCTGTTTGAAGATCAGAGAGTGATGGTGGTAGTGATGCGCTCGGCAGGTTTTCCGTGAACGAGACCCTCAAAGGTGGGTTGTTGTGGATGCCCTGCGTTCCATTCCCATGAAAAGTGGCCTGCTTCGGGAAGAACATACCAAAAGCTTCTAGCCATGTTCCAACTTGGATTTGGTATAACCAAGTCGACGTCAAGACGCCTTCCGCATGTCTTGCGCAACGTAAAATAAAGTTCATCTAGCGGAAACCACTGGAAAACCAAGTCACCCCCGATAACGTTTACCTCGCGTGGAGTGGAATGCACGCAACACATCGTGCGAAAGTTCTTCATACATCTAGGAACGGAAATGATTGACGGGCACCACCGCACCTGTGTGGAGTATAACAGCACGCATAATGCGCTAGAAGGTGATATCGGTTGTCCAGGCTGACCTTGAGACTCTAGCGAGCAAACGCCCCACTCAGATGTCGAGCTGAACACGAGCTGGCATGTACCCGGCATGGCAGGAAATTGGCAGTCCAGACTTTGTTCGCAAAGTGGGATTATCGAAGAGGAGACCCGGTCACACTTCAAGCCAGTGCAAATCTCCCGGGCCACCACGGAAACGCCTAGAGTAAGTGCCGGTAGATCAGGTCGAACAAGTTTGCTGAGAAAGTATGCCTGCGGACAGCAATGCGTGCGGGGCTTTCGATGTGATCAGGACCCTGAAAACCTCCCCGAACATGGAACCCTTCATCGCGGCGAAAGGTTCGACATCCGCATGAACAACTGCACATCGGTACACGCTGTGGATGCATGAAGACGAATGTATAGCGCCGGTTACAGTGGAACAAACTGGCCGAATTTCATAGATCTCGGCGCACCATTCGCCACAATGAATGGCGTCAAGAACGGCAATGCTTCAATTTGCGATTCAATTTGCGGATGAGCGAGGCAAGTAGTAAGCATGGAGCGTGAGGAGAATTGCAAAGGGCAGTTGGAACACGCTGCTAGTGTTAGCTCCAAATCGGATTAAGAAGATAAGCTTCCAGCTGGTGAAGTACCTGAATCCGAAAGTGACATCTGCCAGTACTGAGATGGTGTGTGTCAGTCCTGTAGTTGTTAGGTGCCAGTCAAGAGATGCACATCGAGATAATAAATATGCTGACGGTTGGGTGTATTCGGTGATATGCGGTGTCGTTAAATCAGGCAAAACAATGGTAAAAAAAGTATTAGCCTGCTCGACTCCATTCTCTGATCTCATGTTGTCGGTGCGAACTTCACCATCTGGTCTCGTACCTGGCGATGAGTTGTAAGACCGTTCCTTCCAATTTGATAACATGCTTTCGTGATCAATTTTCGCCAGAAGGTGCATGTCACAGTCTGTTTGCAATCTTGCAATCACATCACTTCGTTGTTCGTCTTTCCTTCGATGTGCACTTCTGACCGTTCAATTTGCGTACGTGCAATGCCTTCATCCGCACGTAAACATACACATCTGCATGCGTACGGTCACCTGGCTGGATTGCTGTTTGGAACATACTTCCCAATTCGACAGATGGCTATCGACAATAACATGTCATTTTGATGGTACCTGCATAAGAGTGCAGTACCGGTAGGTAAAGTTGCTGCGTTTTGTAATTGTCAAGAGCCCGATACTTTTTCGCGAGCGGCAGTGTCCACACAATCGCAGGCAATCGAGCAAAGAAGCACTTTGGTGTAGTTTCGGTTAGCGTGGCATAGACAGACCCAGGGAGGTAATGGTTTAGAAATGTCAGTTTGTGAATTGTTCACCGCAGGAGACCCTTGGACCGAAGCTTCAATTGATTCGGTAGCGGGTCGTGCCGCCTCCAGTGCTCCGTCGTACAGTCTTGTCATTCTGCTTCCTGACATTGGAAGCAGCAGAACCCCTGCGGTCATTGTAGGTCAGACCTCCGGATCTCTTGCCGCCAATCCGTGTAGCCCACATGAAGCGGGAATATGTTCGCGAAGATGGGATGGGCCGTTCACTCGCGAGGTTGCCAGTCGAAGGATGGTGGCTGGATGATGAGGTCTGATTTTAGCGCGGCTTTATGTCTTGGCGCTCTCGAGCCAATCGCTCTCGCTGTATCTGCCGGTCAATGACGGCAGCCCTCGAACGCTAGAACATCGCATATACCGCTCGTTGCGGTTGCGATTCCACTAGCTAAATGCCTCCAGCCAGTACTGCTTTCCGGTCTTTGTCGAGATGCAAGCTACCGGCCGTCCATCGACTGCCAGGGCTCAGTCAGAGCCTTCCCCCTGTCTGCTCACGTGCCTCGCTTTCTCCCTTGTCCGCCTACGCTACACTCGTTCCTGGCTCTCATAGGACTACATCGAGAATACCGTCCATACTGAGATGCCGGACACGATATGTAGGGAATAGAGTGGCCTTCACTACTTCATCTTCCTGGAGATCAAAACAGCATCGGTCAGATGGACCAGAAAAGGTCAGTCCAAACACACTCTTTCATCGACTTCTCACGTTGCCCTTGACAGTTGCTTTACAGTGGCTGACAATACTAGACACCGCTACTGGAAACCGCAAAGCTCACAGCAACGCTCAAAGCCAAGATTCCTACCCTGAAGCATGAGCAGGTATTGAATGTACCCAATCTACTCACCTTCTCTCGGCTGTTTGCAACACCTGTTATTGGATACCTGATCATCAACGACCATCATCTGTGGGCCTTCTCACTCTTCGTCTACGCCGGCTTTTCGGACCTACTCGATGGGTGGATAGCCCGCCGATGGAACCTGCAAACCGTTGTTGGGAGCGTGATTGACCCTATGGCGGACAAGTTTCTCATGACGACGCTCGTTTCTTGCCTTGCCATCAATGGGAGTCTCTCACTGCCGCTCGCTACGCTGATACTGGGACGAGACGTAAGCCTTGCGATTGCGGCCATCTACTTCCGATATGCCTCGTTACCCGCCCCGAAGACGTTTGCTCGATACTGGGACTTTAGTCTTCCCTCGGCTGAAGTCCACCCTACAACAATCTCCAAGCTGAACACGTTCCTGCAACTTGGACTCATTGGTACCACTATGTCTGTTGCTCTTCTTCACGACCCTTCGGCTGTTTCTTCGTCCGCTGGAGGTCTCCTCCTCTCTATGCAAGATGCTCTGGGCGGTCCTGAAGGCGTTGCACGAATGAAAGAGATTATGAGCGGAATAGTAGCTGCTACGACGACATATTCTGGGCTAAGCTACGCTTGGATGAAGAGCGCAGTCAAGATCCTGGGTGACGACGAAGCTCTAAAGCAAAAGCAGGGCTTCCGCGGTCGAATGATCATCGCGAGTACTTTCGGAAGCGTCATAGCGCTTGCGGCAGCACTTTGGTATCGTGAGCTACAAAAGAAAGATGAGGTTAGCCAGAAAGACGAGGCGTGATGGATGTACGGCAACCATATAACTCTACTGTATTATAGATTTGAGGTCAGCATCGGCTGGATTTCCTTAGCATAAGCAAACTGTATCCTATCAATCACTGAAAGCTTTTGTCATTGTATGATTGCAGTATGTCCCATCTCGTCCAGGAAGCTGTTGGAACCAACCAAAGGCAAACACAACCACACGTCTCATGCTATCGAGTTGAGTTGAGCAACAATCGTTCACCCGTGATATGCTCTATGACTATTGCGTGCTTCGTTCTGGACTATGTATTTTGCGCATACGACCCTGAAACCCTTTTAAACTATTCTTGTACATCATGAGCTCCTTCCACTCTGCTGAGCAATTGAACCTCTAATCGCGTCTGCTTATTCGATTTAGACAGAGGTTGTCGTAGTCTTGCACACTCAACCCAGCCTGGATCGGCAAAATTCTCCGATTTATGATCCAGCGTGTAGACAACCTCTAGTGAGTTTTTCACTATGCGAAATGTCTTTAAGAATGAACAAAAATAATCGTGGAACGCAGATGACGATAACCCATGAAAATTATCAGTACATATCACAGCTAATCACATAAGCATACACTTGCAAGCCAGCGTGCCCTCAGACTGTGACATCTGCGTTGATATTCACACCGAAGGTTCACTCATGTTCGTCACGCTAGGCTTAAATAGGCTCGAGTATACACCCACAGAATCGTCCTCGATGTCAACAAAATCAGTTCAATTTGAGATAGCGACTCTGTAGGATGAAAAACTTGGGAAGGATCGTAGGGGCGGTCTGTTCTGCAGTCATATCGACATTGATGCTATGGGCACTATTCTCGTGCCAATATTTTGAAACATCGAAGACTTTCATTCGTTCAACGTACAACGTGCTATGCACAGTAATCACCGCACGACTCTCGCTAAGGAGACAATGTCTACGATAGCACGTCCTTCGTGGCGAACCCGTGTTTCACATCCCGTTCGCTTGGAAATTCACTGACTAAGACCAAGCCTGTCTCACTAATTTTCCGACCCAATGTGACATCGGACGCAAGTCAGCCTCGCAAAGCCCTGTGCTACGCGGCTTCCTCCTTCTCTTGCTCTTCATTCCACTTCACACAATCTTCAAACTTGACACTCGATCCACCAAAGATATCCAACGCACTACCGATTGTTAGATCCACCTTGCCGTTGCTAAGCTTTTTCACCAACTCCAAGTCTTCGAGCGAACGGCCTCCTCCAGCATATGTAACAGGAATTCTGCACCACTCCGCGAGCTTGCTGACGAGCTCGTGGTCGATGCCGCGCTGGAGACCTTCAACGTCGGCAGCGTGTATTAAAAACTCTGAGCAGTATGGCTCCAGAAGGGATATCGAGTCTAGAGGATCTTAGTATATTCGATAGCAGAGTGATGAGGCCTGCGCATACCTTGCGTAAGTTCGAAATCTGTTATGGTCTGCCATTTGTTCGTAGCAACAAACCACTTGTCGTCCTTGCGCCGGCAAGAAAGATCGATAACGAGCTTGTTCTTGTCGTTGTCGAGAGCTTTCAAGATTGCTTGTAACCGCTCCTTGGAAAATCTGTTATCGGGAAACAAAGCAGATGTGATGATCACCTACTATAGGTTCGATAAGCTTGAGACAATGTAATAGACTGAAAGGTCACCCACTTTGTTTGCGCCGTTTCCAATCCACTCTTGAGCATTGCTCTCTTTGATGCCACCGCCGACTTGGATCTCACCCCTCCACTTGTCTTGTGCGCTTGCTACTGTCGCCTGCTTTTCTGCTTCTCTCCATGCAGCTAACGCGTTTTTAGCGGCCTTGTCGTTGTTCGGACCCAACATGATGATATGAGCGCCACTCAGGTGATATCGATGGTACAGTTCCGCATAATGCGCAGAAGGTTTGGTGGAAGTGAAGTTCGTCTTCAGCTCAGCTTCTGAGGTGCCCAAGGTACCACCGACAATCTGCTTCACATCCCCATTGTGCAGGTCTATGCACGGTCGAAAACGCGTCATTGTGTTTGGTGATGTACAAAAATGTGCATCGACGCGTCCCAAAGGTTTGAGAATGGTGGGGGAGGGGCAGCCGTGCCTTGGCAAGATTCTTGGTCCTAAAAATTTAGCGTGTCCGGAACTTTTAGCACGTTCAATTAAACAAACAACACCGAGTCTCCAGTCCACTTTCTACGATAGCCTTCACGCGGCCACGCACATTCAAGATGGCACCTACTATAGGGAAACGAAAGCGCATCACGCGCGAAGAGCTTGAGCAGTCATCACGTGCGTCATCGCCTTCCTCGACGTCACAGCATTCGGACGGAGAAGACATGCAAGCCCTCTTCCGCAAAGCCTTCGAAGCGAAATTCGCACCCTTGAATATCGAGCCCGTACAGAAAGCTCAGAAGATGGAAGCACCAGCAGATGACCTTGACGAAGAATCAGACTGGTCCGGCATCAGCTCCGAGGACGAAAATGAAACCTCAAACGGTATACAAGTCTTCGACCATAGCTCTGCCCACCAGCCGCGCACCAAAGCCCCCAAAACCGAGCTTCGCGCCTTCATGTCCGCCAAGCCGCCCTCGCTCTCCGTCTCGACCGCCGCAAAACCCGCACCGAAGCCGAAGAAGGAGGATGATTCCGTAGAGGCTGCGCACATGAAGAACGATCTTGAGCTCCAGAAGTTGCTGCGCGAGTCGCACATCCTATCTTCGAACGCGCCTACTTATTCGACGCGCACCGGCAACACCCGCGAAACCAACGATGCTCGACACAAGTTGACGGATCTGCATATTCAATCGCTAGGCGCGAAGAAGTCCATCTTCGCACAGAAGAGCATGCCCATGTCGCATCGCAAGGGTATAAATGCCAAGACCAAGATGCGCGATAACAAGAGACGGGCGGAGGCGAAGGAGAACGGTATCACACTAGAGAAGGAGCAGAAGGTCAGGAAGGCAGTCGGCAAGAGAGACAGAGGTGTTGGAGCTCCGAGTGTGGGCAAATTTAAGGGCGGAACGTTGACGTTGAGCAAGAAGGAACTGAGAGGTTTGACGAGCAGTGCAGGAGACAAGTCAAAGGGCAAGAAGGGAAGGCGGCGATGAAAGAAGACCTAACGTCTTTGTCACGGATTGCCACATGAATACCTTTGATCAAGTGGGAAATCCCCACATCAACATGGCGATTGTTACTTCTTGGCCTAGGACCTGTGCTTACCTCCTGTTGGCGGCCTCGCGGTGATAGAACAAGCACACCCACCACTACGCGAGGGCAAAAGGCATGCCTTGACTGGTCCACGAGATCACTTTGGCTGTACATCGTCTGGGCAGGATTTTTTACGAACCATTTGAGCGTTGAACGATCACTCCCGGCGGGAGTCGTGTTTGGATAAACTGCTGTGCAGCCGTCTGCATATTAAAGGTGGCCCAAACGGTATTCAGTTGGCTAGGCGGATGTGAACTGCAGCCCTGTGGCTGACTCCACGGATGCACACAATCGATTGCTGAAGAATCTCGACCTCTTTGACGTTGAAAGAGATCAGCAAGATCCATAAAACAAGCAACATTGTTGCAGTAGTATAGTGCGGCAAAACAGCGACTGGCCGTGCTCTCCTTGTTCGCACGCCGGCAGGGGTTGCAATGGTCACGCGAAAACTTTAATTTAATGGCCTTCACCACTCTCGCGGACCACCACTTAGCCTTCAATAGCCAAGATCTACAATATCATTCCCATCAATTGGAATAAGGTACAGTCAACCTTGCCGCGAACGATCCGAAGCTTTGCGGGTCTCTTGGTAGAGTGCTTGACGGGACGTACTGCTAATTTCGTGCTGGCAGCCCTTACGTGCAATTCGGAGGCGATGGCAAGGAAGCGAGATGTTGCCATGATCAAGGAGGGTATTACGGCAATGCCTCGACGGGCTTGCAAGCTGTCCGACCATACTTCAGCCTTGACGATAGCACGTTCCCAGGGAATATAGCACGAGCATCGATGCGATGCTCTTATACCGCCATCCGCGAATCGGTCCGTTCTTATACAACAACACTGAGCCTCCTCGAGCGCACTCTTTACCCCACCGCTTGGCAGATGCGGTCACAATCCTTCAAGCATGCCTGACAGCTCCCATTCACGCTCTTGGTCGTGGAACCCAACATTTCGATTATCGCGTCACATTCGCCATGAACCACTCACTCACAAGGATCAAATACGAAACTTGGCGGCTCAAGTCGGCTGCGTATAAGTAAGCACTTCAAATGCTACTGGACGGGTGTGGGGCAGGGCAAAGTAGCCTCATATTGCCAGAGCGTCCAGCCTTATGCTCAATATATCGTCAGCGGCTATCATGCGTTCCATGAGTTTCCAGAAGAGCTTGTATTTCTGGCATCGCCTCATTTCCCGGGCTATCGTCTACTTGTCGAAGGCTTGTAATAATCGGACCGCACTCGCAGCCGAGTATTATCTTGTAACCGTTGTCGCCATGCGTTTTCCTTTGCATCTGAGGATACGTCCATGCTAAAACCGCAGTAGACATTACCTCTGGCATAGAACGGTTTCAAGCTAGGGATTTTGAGAGGCGCTGCGCGAATGTAGTACACGATGGAATAGTTTCAGACATCAATCTATCTAGTGAGGCATCACTGAGTCACCCATGATGCACACTGCGAGAGTAAGCGTTCTCCTTGATTGAATTGCCTGGGACCGAAGATTGAGTCCGGTACCGGTAGACACAGCTTGCCACAGATTGACTAAGGTAACATCTTATCTGGAGTCGGTATGAAAAGTGAAGTCACTCTGATTATTGTCATCTCAGATCTGCCCGCAGGGATTCTGTGGGCGATATGGGAAGCGCGGGGTACGATGTATGCCGAGTGCGCAGTTGCTCCGCATATGCAGGGTATCTCAAGTTAATTCATTTACCCCCAAAGGACGAAGATTTCCCAGCCAAACAAGATGTTGGCTGTGAAGCTTCAGCAAAGTACTCTGGTAGCATGTCCATCCATTCGATCCAACCTGAAGCCTGGAATGCAGATGTTCGGCAGTGGAGGGCAGCTAGTACCGATTGACTTGCCATGCATCGAGACATCGAGACAGTTAAAAGCTATGGTAACCGGAGTTTGGATCTTGGATCTTCCGATGAAGCCGCTTCTGGATCGGTCTCCGCGAATCTCCATAACACCATCATCCGATTGTGGACCCTGCTATAGTGGGCAAGCATACTTCCGGTATTCGTTACTATCTAAGCCTCATCATGGCACGGGGTAACAAGCACGAGCCATTGAGCACATTGTATACCACAGATTACGGCCCTGCTTCCCGACAATATGGGCACCAGATGCAGCAAAGCGCCTCCAGACACCGTAGTATTTCGCCACCATGGCAGCAGCCGTCGATATAAGAAGCGATGGTGCCCCAAGTCTTGCTTTGACACCTCGCTGAAGTTGTATTCCGGTCGGCAATATGAAGGGTCTCTACTCTGCTGTATTGGCTTCGGCCATCGTGGGCGCTTTTGCTGCCCCCAGCCCTGTCGAGCAGGGTCCCGTTACTGCACGTGCTGCTATGGCTGCTTGTGCTACGCCCGTCACCCTCAGCGGCAACCCCTTCGCGTCTCGCTCCATCTATGCCAACAAAGAGTACTCCAAGGAGGTCATTGCTGCCGCTGCCTCTATGACCGACAGCGCTATGGCTGCCCAAGCCTCCAAGGTCGCTCAGGTCGGAACTTTCCTGTGGATGTAAGTTATCACGCTATGTCAACTCGAGACTGCGCTAATCAGTGGAACAGCGACACTCGTGCCCGCATCTCAGTCATCGAGGACAACCTCAAAGACGTTCCTTGCGACCAGCTCGCCGCTTTCGTCATCTACGACCTTCCCGGCCGTGATTGCGCAGCCAAGGCCTCCAACGGTGAACTCGCTGCGGGAGACCTTACCACCTACAAGAGCGAGTACATTGACCGTAAGTATTCTGGTGGGAGAGACATGAAGAGGTTAGAATACTAATGGCTGCTAGCTATCGTTACCATCTTCAAGAAGTACCCTAACACCGCCATCGCCCTTGTCATCGAGCCCGATTCGCTCCCCAACCTCGTCACCAATTCCGACAAGCAGGCTTGCAAAGATTCTGCCTCTGGCTATCGTGATGGTGTCGCCTATGCTCTCAAACAGCTCAACTTGCCCAACATCGCCATGTACATCGATGCAGGCCATGGCGGTTGGCTCGGCTGGAACGACAACCTCAGTAAGACCCTCTTTCTATCTCTACTTATGTAAGAATCACCCTAACAGCCCATCTAGAGCCCGGAGCCAAGGAGCTTGCCGCCGCCTACAAGGCTGCCGGCTCTCCCAAGCAAGTCCGCGGGATCAGCACCAACGTCGCCGGCTGGAACGCCTGGGACCTCTCTCCTGGAGAGTTCTCCAAGGCCACCGACGCGCAATGGAACAAGTGTCAGAATGAGAAGATCTACGTCGAGACCTTCGGCCCGCTTCTCAAGGACGCCGGCATGCCCGGACAGGCCATCATCGACACGGGCCGCAACGCCGTCACCGGCCTCCGCAAGGAGTGGGGTGACTGGTGCAACGTCAACGGTGCCGGCTTCGGTGTGCGCCCGACTAGCACCACGGGCTCGACCTACGCTGATGCGTTCGTATGGGTCAAGCCGGGTGGTGAGTCTGATGGTACGTCGGATACGTCTGCGACCCGCTATGACTCCTACTGTGGCAAGGACGATGCGTTCAAACCCGCACCTGAGGCTGGTCAATGGAACCAGGCCTACTTTGAGGCCCTCATCAAGAACGCTAAGCCTGCTTTCTAAGTTGCTCAAAGATAGGTAAGGGGAGTGTAGATAGAGGTGGAGGGTGACTGTGAGAGCCAAAAGCTATCGCTATTTTGTGCTTTCTTCTTGTCCATAGCTTTACAATATGACCTCTCGTTGCAGATCATAAAACCTTCGTGAGTGATGGTCATTTTGATGCTACCTATCTGCTTCTCTGAAGCTTCTCAAGAGGCATCGTAATGAGTCTATCTGCAAAGAAGTAAGTTCTTGCGTAGTTTAGCGTAAACTCGATGTGCAGCTCTTGAGTTCTCAGTTTACACCTCTGCATCCTCTGCATGCAAAACCTTCTGATCCTTCTCATCATGAGCAGCCGCTTGCGCCTCTTCCAATCCCAGACTTGTAGCAATGGTATACAACCTAGCTTTTTCCTCGTGCGCAGTAGTATCGCCAAAAACGGCGTCCATTTCCTCAAGCGATTTACCCTACACACGTTAGCCTAGTCCCTTTCATCAAACACTAAAGGATCACATACCTTCGTCTCCGGAATCAAAAACCACGTGAACACAAACGCAATCAGCGCGAATGCCGCAAAGAAGATATACGTCCCCCACCCAATTGTGTCCAGCATTTCCGGCGTCACCAGCCCAATGATGAAATTGCACATCCATGTGCTGGACGTTGTTAAGCTCATAGCCTTACTCCTATTCCCTATGTTGTAGATCTCGGAAGGCAGGACCCAGCCGATAGGCGCCCAGGAGTAGGAGAAGTTCACGTCGTAGATGTAGACGAAGGCGATGCCGGTCCAGCCTGCGGCGGGGTGGTCTTTTAGGGTGGAACCGTAGCCGCCAATCACGCCGCCGACGATTACGAGGGAGATGAATGTGCCGGCGGCGCCGCAGAGGAGGAGGGGTTTGCGCCCGATACGGTCGATGAGGAAAAGAGCGGGGAGGGTGGATAGTGTGTTGACGATTCCTGTTGGGTTTGTTTAGTAGGCAACAACTAGCAGTCGAGAAAGGTATGATCTACCATAGACGCCTGTGGCAAGAAGCCCACTCGTCTTGCCAGAAAGGCCAAGTTGTCCAAAAATTGTCGGAGCGTAGTAAATGATTGCGTTACCTGTGGCCTATAAGCTTTATTCTTTCAAGGAGATATGCATGCCTTACATCCGATGAATTGCTGAAAGAACATGACACAGCATCCAATCGCAGTCCTTCTAAACGAAGGCCAGGTAGAGAAGAGCGTGGTGTAACCGGCAAGGTACAATGGGAGCCCCTTCTTTCCCGGGAATTTGTCTCTATTGAAAGACTCTTCAAAGATGACTTCAGCCTTGATGGATAGGTATTCTTTATGGACCAATTCATCATCCAAACTAGTACGACGAACTCTCGCAAGAGCTTTGAGACCCGCTTCTTGATTGTCTCGCATGCAGTAGTACCGCGGTGACTCAGGGAAGCAGAGCATGCCAATTCCAAGAACGAGAGCAGGGACGATCTGCAGTGCAAACGGTACGCGCCACGCAGCATCGCTTTGGCCTGTGCAGCCATTCGGTCCTACGTCATTTATTGGGTCGAATGTGCGCTCGGTGGGTGTGCCGCCCGTGTACGGGATATCAGGCGCACATCGGAGACCACCAATGTACTGGGTGCCGTACTCTAACCAGTAGCTGACAAGAATTCCAAGCGTGATCGAAAGTTGCTGGAGTACAACGAGAGTTCCTCGAATACCAGCTGTGGAGACTTCGCTCATGTACATGGGCACAATCATGGTAAGCATACCGATGGCAAACCCAGCGATGGCTCGTCCTGTGACAACTATCAGCCAATATCGATTTTGCTGGCTCGCACCTACCAGCTAATGCCATGCCTATGCTTATGGCGCCTGCCTGAACCGCCGAGCCTATAGTGAAAATGACAACTGCAATCTCAATGGATCCTTTACGGCCGAACTTATCGGCAACAGGTCCGTTGACGAGCGAACCTGCCCATGCAAGTAACAACAGCGTGGAGACGAACCATCCCTTGAAATTGCTGTCTGTTGCGATGCGCGGGAACTTCGCGGCGAAGGACTCCATGGTTAGGACTCCGCTGATCACACCTTGATCGTAGCCAAAGAGGAAGCCACCCAGCGAGGCAAACTTGTGGAAATCAGAGCCTTTCAGCGAGGGTGTCGTACAGAATACTTACAGCTGAGAGACCCAAAAGGTAAGGATTTTGTCGCAATTCCTTGTACACGCCCTGTCTCGGCGCAGCCCCCAGGGCTACGCTCTCTAGCTCACTAGACATGCTGTGCTCAAAACCTCCGCGGGACAATAGGAGACGTTTGGAGGGGGCTGGGGGAGTTGTGGTGCGCGACTTGATTTCTGCAGGGAAGCCATATCTTTATATCCTCTTTTACCGTGGTGATCGGCAGCAACGAAGGACTACCAGGTCACTAGACCCGGCGTATTGTCGCCCTGTTCAATGTGCAAGCTCAGGCGATCACTGTGGGGATATGATGCGGGAAAAAGCAAGGTTTCCCCGCTTGGCATGGTACTGTCTTCGAGTCGAGCTCTGGGTCACGCGATTGGCTTAGCATCCTTGTGAACGTGTCTAGGACGGACATCTGTCGCCCCAAGACCCACAAAACACGGAGTACCGCGCTCAACATATACATGTACAGCGACATTCGACATGTTACAAATGCTAACAAATATTTTTCAGCCAATAAAAACCTACCCTGTCATTGGTCGTTAGTCGGCTTGCAGGACGCGAAGGTGCCAATGTCGTTATGCTCAACATGGCCAAAGCTGCAGCGGTTAACAGGAAGATGTCGAGAGAGTTATTACAATAAACAAAGGCTTGGGTATCATCTGTGCTCTCTAGAACTCCAACTCTTCGACCTCCATCCCGCACTCCTCACACCTTTTCTTACTCAATCCCGTCTCCTTGTCCATCACACTCCTCCCCCACTCATGCACATGCATGTCCCCCAGACCCCGGATCTTTTGACCAAATTGACCAATGGTAGCACCATCTCCGCCCTCCTGCCTCGCCCGCTTATACGCCTCCACTCGCGTCCTCTTCTTCAGCTCCTGCAGCTTCTTGTTGAACTTCTTCTCCTTCTTGGCCTTGCTGGTCTTCTGCCGCTTTTCGTACTCTTCGTCCAGCGCTTCGGTCGAGCCCCATTTTGCAGCCGAGAAGGCGTAGTGCTCAACCTGCATGCGCAAAAACAGCTGCATGTTTTGCCAATTCGATTTATGCGGGTTGGGGCGCTCGAGATGGGGCAGGATAGTTTCGTCTTTAAGTTCTGGGTCCGTGAGGAGATAGTCCTCCTTCGCCTCGGTTTTGGTGAGCAGACTGTATTTGTCGGGATACTTGTCTTTGCAGGCGTGACAGATGCCGATGCCGAATCCGTCTTGCCATTTCCAGTCGATTTCTAGAGAACCGCATTCACGGCATTTGCCCTTGATGTCGCGCTTGCCGTCGCCGTATGTGCCTTTATACTCCACTCCATCTACTTCCTGCGCGGCCTTGAGGATGGCGTCTTCTTCGTCGCGACCGTCGGCTTGGTTGAGGATAGAGAGGCCCGGCTCGTAGATGCCTGCGCGGTTTTCTCGCAATTTTCTGCGTATGCGCTCGCGTTCCCACTCAGCGAGGGTCATGTTTGGTGGCTTCTCTTCCTCCTTTTTGCCATTCCACATTGCGCGATTGTGTGGGTCGTCGTTGGTACTAAGGAAACCACCCTTTGTGTCGGTCATCTTACTGAAGTCATATTCGATGTATTCTGAGCGTCCGAAGTTCTTGGCCGGTTGAATGAGGTCGTTCGCTGGTGGCGGGATGAAACCATTCTGGTCGCGCTTCGGTGGCGATGCTGCGTTCGCATTGCGCAATTGTGCGGGAGTATTTGAGGAGTTGACGGCCGAATATGCGCGCTTGGTGCCTGCGACGGGCGGGGGTGTGGGGTTTGAGGCTTGCGCTTGTTGCGCTGCAGCTTTGGCTTTCAGACGAGCTTCTTCCTATATGTAAATGTTATGCGTCTGGTCTACGAGTAAAAGTACGTCGCTTACCATTCGCCGCACTTGCTCTGGAGTGGGAGGATATGGAGGCGGCTTGCCCGTCGAGCGCGTTGCCCGCGGGGGCGTCGAAGGTCTCTCCGACATGGTGAGTTTGCAAGAGACTACGTGAGGCGCGAGGGTCTCCCTGAGCGTCGTGTGGAAGTGCGTAACAATTTTCGAAAGAACTCTTGCGTTGGAGAGGGCTGATACAAGGGCGGCGAAATTCGAGAGGCAGTTCCTGAACGATGATGCACGCCAAGGAGCTGCCCTAGCATGCACATGTGGCGTTCACTGGCACCCGTGGGACATCAAGCGTCCACGGGTATCAAGAACGCCGGCACGGAGGTTAATGCTTTGCTCCCAGAATTACTCACATAACAGTCCCGTGAGGTGTGAAGCTACTTCGTGCTCCCCAAATCGATAAATATATCCCATCTGGCTGACGCACTTTCTTGGTCGCCAAATGCGCACGTGATCACGCGCCGGACCATGACGCGCTTCTACCCGCGAATACAGGCACAGAAACAATGACTATTGTTGATCACCACGCAGTGTTGTGCAACCAGCCATCAACTCGCACGCGTTTGTGTCTTCTCCGCGAGCGACTTCCCATCCTGCTTTTCTCCGCATCTTGCGTTGCCACCGTATGGGTTCTTGATCGATGATGCGGGCCCATAGATCCTATAAAATCAACCTTCACTTCAACTTCGAGTGTCTAATCGCTAGTAGAGTTCACGAATAAAATGCGACGTCACCCAGACGTCCTCTTTTGCGTTCTTCTGGAAGGGCGGCATCAACTGCGCAGAGCCACCAGCACCGCCCTTACAAATCAATATGACTCTTCAATGTGGCTATACCACAGCCTACAATGTCAGCTCGCACACGCCTGCTAAAAAATAAAGCACTCGTCCGAGTTATAAACCGTCACAGACCCCTGGCATACTGACTAGAAAGCTTTCTGACTTCTCTATCCGCAATTTCGTCGAAATGGGCAAAAACGCGCCCACGCGTGCGCACATGATCAGCCCTGCGCCGATCCCTGCATCTGCCGATCATCGTCCGAAAAATGTTGATGCGCCTGCAACCAGTAACGACAACGACAACACCAATTCCTCACAAACCAACTTCCTAGCTCCACTTACGAACCCAGGATCGCGAAAAGAAAGACGCAGCCAGAATAAACACGCCCTTTTTCCTACTCCGCCTTCTAGCGACACGATATCACGCACTAAACCCACACCCCCCAACAACCCAGCGCGCGGCGCCCACGAACCCAGCATCAGCCTCTCCACATCCTCCTCCATACCTGGTCCAATGTCCAAGAATGCCGCGCAAAAAGCCTACCCCCTCCTCGTCTGCTCCATGGGCAATCCTGGCTCTACCTACGCACACACCCTGCACTCCGCAGGTCACACCATAACCTCCCACATCTCGTCCGTAAAACACTATCGACCCTTTACAAAAGGGCTCTCCGGTCTCGTCGCCCGACCTGACAATACAACCTATTCCTTCGGTCCGATACAAGGGTTCAGAAGAACGCAGGACCCCGGTCCGCCCGCCGGAGACGATGACTGGACGTTGTGGCAGAGCACGTCGCTCATGAACGTCAGTGGGCGCGGCGTGGCGAGGGCGTGGCGCGAGTTTTCGCAAGAATTGGCAAGGCAAGGTCGTGGAGAGGGGAGACTGGTGATAGTGCATGACGAGCTGGAGAGCGCGCTGGGGAAGGTCAGTGTAAAGGATGGTTCCTCGAGTGCCAAGGGACACAATGGGATTAAGAGCGCGCAGGCAAGTTTGGGGGGTGTGAAGTGGTGGCGGGTAGGTGTGGGGATTGGGCGGCCGGATAGTCGGGAGCCGGACGTCGTGGCGAATTATGTGCTGAGGAAGATGCATGCTGGGGAGATGCGGGCGATGGAGAAGGCGTGTGGGAGTGTAGTTGCGGTATTGAGAGAGATTGCGGAGGGGAAGCGGTAGGAGACTCGCGAGACTGGATGTAAGATGGGAGAGGAAGACTTTGCATAGCGGGCGTTTTGCGCGGCATTGGCATAAGGATAGAAGTTGATACCCTGCTCGAGCAATCGCATAACACATAGACTTGTACAATACGACAGAAGCTTGAAGAAGATCATTCAATGGATATCAATGTCCTGGTATCAAGCAATACTCCAAACAATGCAGCCATACCTATACCGTGGCGAAGCCAGACAATACATGCCTGGGCCTGTGCAATAACCACCAACCGCAAACGCCTTCCAAACAAGATAAACCCATGTAAACCGTAATCCAATAAACAATACAAGTGTGTCCAACAGAATGGCTCTCTGAGCCGAATCACTTGGCCAGCAACTTCTTCTGCTTCCGCTCCGCTAATCTCCTCCTTGCCTCCTCTTTGCGATCGACCGGTAGTGTCTGCCAACGCTCTTTCTTCTCCTCCGAAGATCCCTCCGCATGGTGACCAGTAATCTTAGAGATGTCAAACTTCGGATCTGTAGGCGAGGTACTGGACGCCTTGATGTCCTCAATATTACGAGCGTTTGTCGTCAGCTTTTCACTAGCTTTGGCTGGAGCTTGTGTAGTCTCGGTGCTACTCGTGGCGACTCTGGGCTTCTCGGACTTGCTGGCCTTGACTATGAGTGCCTCTGGAATTGGTTTGAACAAGTCAGATTCTTCAGTTCTGTGGGATCGTCTCGGCCGCTCGGCCGTTGGAGCTTGGGATATGGATTTTGAAGGTTCGTGGCGGCGGGTGTGCATAGGTCTGGTAGGCCTGGAATGAGACCCACTACCTCCACCCACTGGAAGTGCCAGCCTATCGTATGGTGCAATCGAACTTTCGTCGGCGCCCATCATCCATGGATCGGGTGAAGGCTGCGGAAGCGGACTTGAAGGAGCGGCCGGAGCGGGTGATTTGGGTGGTGGATTCTGCTGGCTCACATTATGTTTGCGGATACTGAGGCTCGAGGTCGAGGCAGGTTCCGCAGACTTCAAAGCGGATGCCGATATTGCGGCAGGTGCGGCTTCGTGAGCTGCGATGCGTGGTGGTCTCCCTAATATTGTTGATACGTCTCCAGCTGCCACACCTAGCCGTGGTGTCACTGAGAGCGACGCTTGCGGCACGGATGATGATGGCTCTGGCATAGTCTGACGTCGGACATGACGAGGCTTAGGTGGAGAGTTTTCTTTGCCGATCGATACGACACGAACTTTCTGAGAAAGATACGAAGCATCCGCAAGTCTGTCCTGCTCAGCTCGTAAGGCTTCTGAGTTTTTGCCGGTATCTTCGAATATTTGGAACGAAGACGACGACTTGACTTCCTGCAAGTCAGACGACGTTGCAGTCAGCGACTTCTCCAAGGTCGCGATGCGGTTCTTGAGTGCTGTAATCTCGATGCCTGCAGACAGCTTCTCGGCCATGGCTTGGCGAAGTCGCTCTTGGTAATCCTTATTTTGCTGCTCCAGCTCTTGTTCGCGCCGCCGAAATCGTTTTCGTTCTTGCTCAAGCTTCGTGAACAGCTCCGTGACCTCACCGTCCTTCTTCATGGCATAGTTCTTAGCTAGCTGCTGTTTGGCAATCAGCTTCTTCACCTCTTTTTCGCTCCGCGCAGTGTATTCCTCATATTGCTCCTTCCAGTATTTGCCAGAGTCCGAGCGCGGTGCGCCAAGGTCCATTGTGATATCGCTGTCATCTCTTGCTTTCGGTTTCTGGCCGCTCCTCGGCTGGGTAGTAGTCCTTGCATCCATCAGTGCTGCCGTGAGCTTCGTGCGAGGTTTCTGTTCGCTATCTGCAGTCGGTTTTAGCTCTGTACCAGGAGTCCATGGGCTTGGGAATTTGCCCGGACAGTCACTAGGCATGCCGCTACGACCAGCATTGCCTCGCCTTCCTTCGTTGTCAACCACGTGTGCACCGAACTTGACCGACTTGCGTCCCTTGTTCGCGGTCCCCGGGGTCATCAAGATGCCTCCAGGCAACTTGGACGGCGAGACAGGCGGCGCATCTTCCTTTGGAGCGGCGATTACAGGTACTTTCGAAGTCGCGAGGTCTGGCGATTGCTTCTTTTGCAACCTCTTGCCTGCGTTATTCGTGTCGTCTACGGCCGGGGTTCCGAACACGGCGCGCTTGAGGGCCTTCACGGCGAACTGATGTGCGGGCGTCTCCGGCGCGTCGATAAAAGTGTTTTCGTACCCATGGTCTGAACAGTTAGCTTTGCATGCGCGGCGCGTGGAGGTGCGATCCGCGTACCTGGCTGCAGGTCTTCGATCGCATTGGTAATGCGCGGGCCTGTTATCCAGGAAAACATTGCGCCCACCTAGTGATGGCACGCGTAGACTGTCAGATTGGTGTCGAGAGGAATTAAGCGCCTAGTATTGCTCGTAGAGCCCTCGTAAATTCGATTGCGGGTTTGTTTGGCGGCTTGTTTACTATCTGAAGCGAAGGGCGGGCGGGGTGCTCACGTCACCAAAACGCGGCTTTTGTCGAGGGAAGAGTGACCAGATAGGCTTCCATGAATCGCGTAATCGATCTTCTGGCAAGTCGACGAGAAGAGAGAGAAGTGGCCTTCCAGCGCCGTTTGTTGTGTGTCGTGACCCACTCAAGCATGGAAGTCGCGTCGGGCACCCTAGCGTCAAAGCGGGATGGCGCGCATGCCGCATTGTGGGGTGCCACCGCTACTTTCCATGAGCTGGCGGCGAAGAAAGGTTGTCCAGCTCATCCCTCCACAGCAACAAAACCTGCAGCAGTGAAAAGCACCATGTCTGCAGTGTGAAGGGCGGCAGCTTCGGCTGCCCTGTCTCCCCTACGTCAACGCCCATGTTGACTCATTGTACCACTTACGACACAGCCAAAAATGGCCCCGCCAAAAACACCGCGAACCAAATCACAGTCAGATGTATCCACGCCGTATAGCATGGCTCCCACCGCCGGGCGCTCTGCAAGCGATGTCCAGGCCGCGCAGCCCTCGGAAGCACTTTCGCAGGCCCAAGAAGATGAACGCGAAGTCTTGAAAGCCATTTTCATGGACGACTACCAGGAAGTCGAGGCTAAAGGTTCATGGGGTGTAAGTACACAATCGCTCTAAATGCGCCATGCGTTCAGCGCGAATCGTTCGCAACCTCACGTGCAGACAGGTGCTAAATCGAGCCTAGAAAACTACCGACAGAGTACTTCGGTTGAAACTCCGAGCTTTCTCTAACGAGGACATATCCTGCACCTTATGTGCGAAGATCACAGCCACATATCCCAAGTCTTTGCCCATCCTCACTTTGGAAGACACGGGTCATCTGCGACTCAAGACTCTTCAAGCGTTGCAGGCTACGCTCAAAAAGCGGCCGAGAGAGCTGGTTGGTGAAGTAATGCTGCACGATATTGCCACATCAATTCAAGACATCTTAGAAGATGAGATCGCAGTTCGAGAGAACGATGGCACTTTCGCAAACTTAGAAGCCGAGCGAGCTGTGCAGGAAGCAGCTGCAGTTGAGCTCGCGAAACAGCACGAGGAAGAACTCCAGAAGAAGCGGAATGAAGCGAAGGCCGAAGAGGACCGCGCCCTGCAACAGATGGTCAATGACGAAATGAGACGGAAAGAGCTGATGGCGAAGCGCCGTAACCGCATATCGACCATCACACCCACCCCTTCTTTCCAAAACGCCCACAATGGAAGCCACGTATCTTTTGACAGGGTTATCGAGCTGCAGTATGATGGAAAGACCACCGAATGCACTGCGGTAGAAGGACTGCTGCCATTCCGCGAAGGCCCGGTCACTGAGCAGCTGCTCGTGAAACCCGTTGGAGACGGCGATGCGATCACTCTGGTTATGAAGCGCGTTCGAGTCGGCGCCGAGAAACCGTCAGATGCCGCCCAGCTAAAACGAGCTATAACCGATTTCGAAGAAGAGATGGAAGAGATAAAGAAGCTACGCCAGTCCACTATCTTAAGCGTCTTTGACTTCAAGATCGAGCAATTGCCTGAAGCTGTATGGGAGATCAATGTGCTCTTTGAATTCGGTGACAAAGGCTCGCTAGGTGAGAAGCTGGATGATGACGGTCAAATCGCTGTCGCAAGGGTGAGATCGTGGACCGTAGATCTCTTAGAGGCGCTCGATTACTACCATCGGAACGGCATCATACACAAACGAATTCATCCGCACAACATCTTACTACACAAATCATCGACCGGAGGCATAGCCGTGAAGCTAGCTGATGCCGGTTTCCAAGAGACGTTGCATAGCCTGAAAAACTTCGGTCGTACAGGTCAGCCTTTCGTCGCCTCTCGATCGGCATTCTGGATTCCGGCCGAATTAGCCCAAGAGGTACGGCGATCACGCAAGACTGACGTTTGGGATTTGGGAGTTGTGTTCCTCCAGATGCTTTTCGGCTTAGACGTTCCGCAGAAGTATAACTCCCCCAAGGATCTGTCCGATGCACTTGGTTGTTCTGAGCCTCTGCAAGAAATTCTTAGGAAGTTTTTCAAACCTGATCCGAAGAAGCGACCTTCTGCATTCGACTTAATCCCGTGCGAATTCCTGCGCGACGACGTGCCAGTATACGAACAGCCACCCACACCGATGCGATCTCGACATTCTTCGACTTCGTTAGCACATTATCATTTGCGTCGCGAATCTTCCACTGGAGTCGGAGGCATGACATATTCCCGCTACACGAGCGACTGGGTTGAACAAGATCGCTTAGGCAAAGGAGGCTATGGCGAAGTGGTCAAGGCTCGTAACAAAGTCGATGGACGAATCTACGCTATTAAAAAGATCCGGCAAAAGACGGCCTCAGCGCTCACCGAAGTCTTGTCTGAGGTCATGCTGTTATCCCGGCTGAATCACCCCTGTGTCGTTCGCTATTACACAGCCTGGCCCGAGGAGGAGACAATGACAATGTCCGATTCTGATGATGAGGGTGAATCTACTACATTCGATGCGGACGATTCCGGGTCAGAATCAGATATCTCACCTGGTGACACCGGCGCGAGTGGTTACGGGGCGAGCACCGGAGGTCTGGACTTTATCAGCTCAAGTGGGTACCCAAAGATCGAATTCGGTTCTGATGACGAGTATGCGAACAATGACGACGGTGCCATCGTATTCGGATCAGATACAGGCAAGCGACACATGTCCCTCATACGTTGAAAGCTAACACGGCCCAGAGGACGACGCTAGCGTGGCTGATGCTCACTCACCTATCGCAAAGAAACGAACTGCTTCGACTTCGATGCCTCAGCGGCCTGCGAGGACCATCTTGTACATTCAAATGGAACTTTGTGAGAAGCAGACATTACGAGACTTGATTCGCCGGGGCCTGTATGACGATCCTGATGAGGTCTGGCGACTGTTCCGTCAGATGTTGGAAGGTCTGGCCCATATCCACAGCCACGGTATCATTCACCGCGATTTGAAGCCCGATAATATCTTCATCGACATGGCCAAAGTCCCAAAGATTGGCGACTTCGGTCTTGCAACGAGCGGACAGTATCAGAGGTTAGACCGTAAGGCGTCAACTGGAATACTGCCCGAGAGCGACATGACACGCAGCATCGGTACGGCACTGTATGTTGCACCCGAGTTGAGATCGAGTGTAACCGGTAACTACAACGACAAGGTCGACATGTACTCGATGGGTATTATTTTCTTCGAAATGTGCTACCCTCTGAATACTGGCATGGAGCGAGACCAAGTCCTCCGGCAGTTGCGCGAACGAAAGCATACGCTCCCTCCAGAGTTCGAAACCCAGGAAAAGTCCTTACAAGGCAACATCATCACTTCGCTCATCAGTCATCGCCCCAGCGAACGACCGAGCTGTGCTGAGCTCCTGCGAAGTGGCAAGGTGCCTCTGCAGATTGAAGACGAAGCTGTCAAAGAAGCATTGAAAGCACTATCTGACCGGAATTCGCCTCACTATACAAAGATGATGGCAGCATTGTTCTCTCAAAAGCCTGACACTCAAGCGAAAGATTATGCCTGGGATATGGGCAACAGCGCTGGTGCGCAGAACATTCAGGCGAACGATATTCTTCTGCAGAATCTGGTCAAGAGCCGGCTTGGCTTGGTCTTCCGCGGCCACGGTGCAGTCGAAGTACAACGCCAATTACTCCTCCCATGGTCTGATCATTATGCGAACAAGCATGTCGTCAAGCTGTTCGATCCATCTGGTACGCTAGTACAGCTGCCATATGACTTGACATTGCCGTACGCCCGCAGCATAGGCCGTGGTGCTCCGTTCTTGGAGAAGACTTTCACCATTGGCTCCGTCTATCGCGACAACTACGGTGGAGCTCCTCGTAGCAGTGGAGAAGCCGATTTCGACATACTTTCGTACGATACATTAGACCTCGCTTTGAAAGAGTCTGAAGTGTTAAAGGTTGTCGACGAGATCATTGACGAATTTCCTTCTCTAGCTTCTGCCCAGATGTGTTTTCACATTAATCATGCTGACCTCTTGGACATAATCATGGATTTTTGCAGGATCAATGCCCCTCGACGTCCGGCGGTCAAAGAAGTTCTCAGCAAATTGAATATCGACAAGTTCAAGTGGCAGAATATCAAAAACGAACTGCGAGCCCCAGAAATCGGCGTATCGTCAACTTCGCTCGACGACCTTGCCCGGTTCGATTGGCGGGACACACCTGACAAGGCATTCGCCAAGTTGCGCAGGATCTTTGAGGGGACGAAGTATCTGGACCGGACGCGCGCAATCTTTTCTCATCTGTCTTCTGTGGTCAGCTATATGAAGCACTGGAACATCAAACGCAAGGTCTACATCAACGCTCTCAGCAGCTTCAACGAAAAATTCTATTCTGGGGGTGTTCTCTTCCAGTGCCTATTTGACGGAAAGAAGCGTGAAGTCCTTGCTGCTGGCGGTAGATATGACAAACTCATTCAAGAGTATCGCCCTAAAGGTCCTGGGCATGCTCACCCTGCCGCGGCATATCATGGTGTCGGTGTCAACATCGGGTGGGATCGTCTTGTCAACTCCATGATGCGATATTTGAAGAGACCAGAGAGATCTGCTTTTCTTAGGAAACAGGCTGAGGAGGATACGCCAGCAGTGTCATGGATGCCAAGACGATGCGACTGTCTCGTTGCCAGCTTTGACTCTGCAGTTCTCCGCTCTACGGGCGTGAAGATGGTCGCTGAGCTCATCGCTAACGGCTACACAGCGGAACTGGCAATAGATGCGCATTCGGTAGAGGACCTGCTTCGTCACTATAGAGATGATCGGCATAGCTGGCTCATCGTGATCAAGCACGGCATCGCACCGGACAAGCCTGATCTCAAAGTAAAGAGCATCGCAAAGAAGGAAGATACGGATCTCCGAAGCGCGGACCTACTCAACTACCTTCGCAACGAGCTACGTGATAGGGAGGCACGTGAAGGAACGGCTGCTCAACGTCTCACAAAAGCATTACCTACGACATCTTCCTCCACCACGGCGGCTAAAGCTAGCGTAGATGTGCTCATGTCACACCATCGGTCCAAGAAGAGTAACAAATGGAGTATCGTAGAAGCTGCACAATCTCGTTCGGCGGAGCTCCTGACGGCTTTCCAGGGCGCACCAATCGCGGCGATCGAGACGAAAGATGAAGTGATGAACTCGATCCACGAGACTCGATTGAGCGATCCAGATAGTTGGCGAAGGGTCATCCAGAATCTGCCCCTTGCAGAAAGGAAGTATCTCCAGGAGCTGCATGACTTATTGCTCAAGTACGCGGCAAGATGGAAGGAGATGGTCAACGAAGGATCTGCGAGGAGTGGAGAGGGTGGGAAGGCTTTTGTATACAACTTCAGGACGGGTGGGTGTTTGCTGTATGACTTGGAGAGCTAAGTCAGGGGGTAAGATTTGATTGTGTATTGGCGATGACGTGATGGTTATATGAATGACGACTATACGAGCATGACCGTCTTCGGCTGGGTCATCAGCAATTGGCATGTTCTCTTCTGCGGTTATGCATGCCCTGAAACACCATATATGCATGTTAGACGACCTGGAGCATACCGAATTGTCTCTCATGGTCAATTCCCAGGCCCGCGGAAGTGAAGCACGTGCTTACCGTGCCTGTGATCCAGCTGCATGGGAGATTGCCTCGAGCAGGGTAAGACGGAACCCAAGGAATTGGGTTTGAGAGGATGACCCAGATATGCGTTGTCCTTAGGGCTCCTGACGTCTGGCCAGAGCTATTAATTCACACTTGGGGTGCTGTTTCTCGTGCAGCTCGCTTACTCTACCCGTTCAGGAAAGAGCGACACTGATGGATGAAAAGCACAATTGTCCGAACAAGTGCGCATTTGACGCGTCGCATCACGCGAGGTCCTCTCCCATCAGCCTCATTCAGATGCACATCGATCTGTGTATAGAGCCGCCTCACGGGATCGGCAAACGACGTCTGGAAGGGCTTTGCAGGGCTTGCAACTGATCGCGATGCGCTGGCCACGAGAACATTTGCGACACGTTCCTACCTGGGATGCTACGGCAAGCACCTGGATTCGCCCAGAAATGACCGGCTATGCTGCATTTCTGCCCGACACTAGGTAACCGTGCTGGTGATGCCCAATACGGCCCAGGCTGGACATTCCCCGCACCCAATCAGCTGCGCCCCAGCCCGGCTACGTGTCGATGGCCCTCGAACACGCAACTTCCACCAGGCCAATGCCCCGTTATACATAGTTTATCCCAGTCTGTGTATCCTCGTGTTCCAGTCGTGAAGCGGTCGGTGCGTGAACGTACCGCGCTCCATCTATCCATCTGACACTGACCCTTGCACCAAGCCTGCCGCTACCCATCTGCTTCGGGACGCCGTGCCCATGCACGGTGTTTCTGATGTGTTCTCCGTTCACATACATATGGTTGCCTATTCGTCTTGAGGCCGCTACTCCGCCCCAGCGGTGACCTCGTCTCATCTGTTCCTTACACCCCTCGTATTCTGCAGTCGGGTCTTCCTATTCGTAGCATCGTTTTTCGGATGAATAGGCACTCAAAACAGCCAAGCCCACTTGACATCAGATTTGAGACGTTCCTTCCGTCTTCATAAAAGCGTTCGGTAGGAACATGACCAGCCGATCATTGCCTCCAACTAACATTGGGAGGGCTTAGTATGATCTTCCCGCAAGTTCCTAATTTTCGAGCCTATCGCGACCTCTTTAATTGCTCCGACGAAACTCGACATGGACTTCATAATACGCCAACAGCTCACAAGCGACGAACTTCCGCCATGGGCCGGCATCGTTTTCAAGTATCCGGTATGTGATCCCGTACCTATGCTAAACTCTGTTGAGCGTTTCTAACAAATGTGTATTTACAGGTCGACTCCGATACACTCTCTGAAAAGCTAAGGCATGCCTATCCCGAGTGCAAAACTCTTCGGGAACGGAAACATCGAGCTGCTATTGATTTTCTGATTGCAGAGCTTTCTCGAATGCAGTCGGGAAACTCGACTACGGATTCCATCTCCTTGAACAATTTCAGATTTCCTGCACAAGAGCATGCACTGGATGCTTCCAATGTACATGTGAATGTGTTGTCTGAGGGCAGCGAAGTTTTGAGCGCTTCCGGATGCACATCCCCTTCAATAGTTGAATCCATGCTCTCTCCAAAGCTGGCAGAGCGGACGAGGAAAGAGTCTCGAGCTACCGTAGATTCGGAACACTCGCAACCCAAAACATCCCCCACTAGCGCACAGCAATTCGTTTGGAGCGCGCATGACGGCCGATCCATGCGCCCAAAAACGAAGAGAAAGATGACTGTCGAAGAACGAAGCGCGTACAAAGAGACAAGGAAACGAGGTGCATGCGACAAGTGCAGGAGGCAGAAAGGAAGAGTAGGTCTCTCTCTCGTCATTAACTTCTTTTAGAAGATCGCCCTGACCCTAGCTAGTGTACCCACATTACTGATGACAGTCACTGGCAACCAATAAGAAGGTGAGCAGCCAGTGCTACAGAATTTCGATTTGTCTTTTGACTGATGCCGACATTATCAGATCCACTGAGCTTGATGGTCCCACCCGAGAGGGCTCGAAGTCAGTCAAGTTGGAACACACTTCCGACGTCCACCACGAAACATTGAACAGGCGTGTTATCGAATGCCAGCCAGCAATTTCGAACAATCCAGTGTCACCTTATCAAAATGTTGGGCCACTTCTCAATGAGCAGCATAATGATGAACGAGCAAATGAGTACGTACAATCTCAAAATCTAATCAGCTCTTTTGCAATCCAGATGGCCAAAGATCAGGGGCCGTGGTCCACTTATGCTACCAGGAACCCCTCGGAAACTGCTTTACCTGACTATGTGCTGGATCCTAACGTCACGCATTCGCTATCTTCGCCCCAGACGCCCGTGTATGGCTTCCAGCCCGACTTGGCATTCTATGAAGGTCAATGGGATCCGAGACAGAATCAACCAAGTGAATATCCTCCACCCGGGTAAAGCTGCTGGCAGTATCACTGTGCAGGCACGTCAATTATCAGGCCCACTCCATGAGGGAAACATGTGTCCGGTCCAGAGGCTCCTGATAGATCTCAAGCCGCCCCAGGAAAGGTTGTCCTTCACAAGTGAGGTTTCGAACCATGTCAATGGTGTTTCGGCATGCCTTACTGCTCGGAACAGCGCCGGCTTCCGGTTGCATGATCCCTTCTAATTTCAGACAACAGCCGTGCTCTCACACTCGAGAGCGCCTTGAGCTGGCCATTTAAGACCTAACCAACCGAAGGTAACTGGAGGCCACAATGGACACCTTTCCGAGTTTCTATCGATGGCCGCTACTCCATGATCCGTGAGGAAATGGTTACTAACATCGCAAACATTCAACCCACCTTATGGAGAAATCTGAAGGCCACTGAAACCGCCAGGGATCGCTAAATATTAATCCGGGGATTTGCTTTCATTCTACTGCAACATACTGTGACAGACTATTTCCGTAGTTTCGCACCCCGGCCAGTTTTCCTATAATGTATCTGCACCATTTGGAGCCCAAGATCCAAAGACCGACGGAATAACACCAGGATATTTGAAGGCTTACCAAGAGCTCTGCGAAATATTTCCATATAGACCATATGGCCATTTCCCGGAAAATCCGACTCAGGCACAAGAGATATCAGTGCGCTAATATGTATAACACCCATAATGAGAACTCAATCTGGACTACCATTCCTGAGTGACAGGTCTGCGTGAGTAGGAGCTCCTTCTTTTCCTTTTTCAGGCCCTTTCTATGCACCCACTAATCCAGGTTTCGTTGCTCCTCTTTTACTACGCAGGACAGCGTACATCAGCCTATCCCTTGCGTCTGTATGCATACCCAAGGTTCTCGCTCTGCCACAACCGCTTCTTCCTTCGGTGCGGACAGCATCTTTTCAATCTTTTAACCTCTTCTACTCATCATACACCCCGTCTGTTCCACAGGGACAACATCCGGATCCCAAAAGATGCCAGTGAGCAAATGCTTCTTCTCGCACTCTTCGTTTCGCACTTTCTTTGTTGTACATCCGGCCAACACAGCCTTGTGGATCTCTTATCCGAAAATTTTCCATTTAGTCACCTGAATTCATACTGACTTTACCACAGTGAATCTCTGCCGTCATCTGCGTCGCCGCGCTCCTGTAACAGTATAAACTCCGAATGTCGGGCTCCTACCAGTACGCGCGCGAAGTCTCCGACGAACCCTAGCAGGGAAGGCTGAGGAATCAAGAGCCCGCTTTGAGCATTTCGTGGTCAGCATTTAAGTAACATTATTAATATGATGAAATAGACGGCCTGGATACACGTTGTAAGATTTTTGTTTTCGAGCGGCATTTTACATGAGGGAAAGAATGGAATTTACTAGTTCACTGATGTTGAAACGGTTTCTGCAGCTACGACTGAAAGATGATCATCGTTAACATGATTTTTGTTCAGATAAAACAGGTGATCTCTACGGACGTCTATTGTTGAGCCGTTCAACTCGACCCAGCTTCTCCAGTCTGCAGTGCTTCTGTGCCCACCTTGTTCTCCTCATCCGGAACTGTCCACATGTGCCGTGGCCGACCATATAACACCCGGGTCATCTGAGCCAACAGCCAGAAATGCGGGCCCTCCTCGCCATCTCCCAACCCACCCTGGTCGAGCCGATCGCTCATCTGATACTTTGATACCGCGCCATTTCCCGTCAAGGTGGTCAAGCGATGAGCCCAACCGTATAAGAAACTGCTCCGAGTGGCAGGAGCGCTACTCTTCGTGGCAGGGCTGTAGTAGTAGAGTTCCAAGTCTACCATCTTCTTTGCCATTGCGGGAAGCTTTGCTAGGTTTTCGTCGAGCTGACTCGACACCACGCGGATAGGCAAGTGAAGGTGGTCGGGTGCGGCATGGATGGAGAGTTTGCGCCATTCGTCGATCAAGTCTTCCGCTTTTGCGTTCGCGTGGCTTCCTCGGGCGAAAAGAACATCTGCCCGCTGTTGTTCTGTGGAGGACCCTCTCAGATCAAGAATCCTACGGGGCTGCATTAGCATCTGAATTTACCCGTAGTCTGCGTTCCATGACTTACTGATACAGTTGTTCGACAGTGTCTGTGGTACAAACCATAGGGTACGAGGCAACCGTTGGGTAGAAAACAGCTGGGAGAAACTTCTCAGCCATCTCTATCTCTATGCTCTCCCGAACCTGTCTGACTTGGTCATCTTGCAAGGTACACTCGCAATGAGAGATGTCGCTGACAAGCCCACGCAGAATTGTGTAATCCACGTTGAGGACTTGCGAGATGGATGGGATCGGTCCAGGCAGCATCCTTGGAAGCTCTACGTCCAAATCGACTGCCTCCGGTAGCTCATCAACGCATTGAAGTATTGCTCCTGTAGCACGAATTTTGTCCAAGATTGCATCGATCTCCTTCACCCGGCCAGACGCAACGCGAGTCATGACGAAGCGTATCCTTGGTGTCTGGCCTCGTATAGGGTTTGCTTTAGCGGCGCGGGCGAGCTTGTGAGCGTCTCTCAAGATCTCTAGCGCATCGTCACCATTGGTGATATTGGTGATATTCGAAGCACGTGCGACGGAATTGCAATTGTCCGAACCTTCCTCAACGTCAGAATCAGAATCATTTTGCCAGCCTAACTTTGCGAGGTCGAACAATAGCTTCTTCTCCGTAGCCGAGCATACACGAACCCACTCCAATCCATCTTGAGCAACAATGTCGACTTTAATCGCGTGATCGAAGTGCTTTGAGAAGCTGTTCTGATTTATGCCTGTCATAAGGGCCCCTTTTCTGGCTGCGGTAGAGTCACGTGATTAGTCCGGCTTTGGGAAAAGGTTCGAAGCAGGAGATATTTCCCGAACTCACTCACCCCATTTACCAAAGTGCGAAAGCCCTCCTCTTGTCTTGTACTGAAGCATACTAGATCGGTCCCAGAAGAACAGTTTTTGAAAGGCAAGTATTCCTGATGAGAGCTTCGCAACCTTCCAGAAGTTCTCTAGCTGTGCGACGTCGGGTGCAAGGTTGTCTAGTTTTGGTCCAGGCTTTTGCTTTCGTCTAGATTTATTCGAGGCGCTGACATGCTTGTTGTATGCCGCGAGCCGTTGGTTGGCAACGTTCTGTATGGTGTCATATTCGGCTGGAGGTCGCTCCAAGACCGCGGAAAGGTCTGCATGCCTTGCATGAGCTCCAGCAAGATATTTCGCGAACTCATCACGCAGAGCAGAGATACGTTGTGTCAACTCATGGTCGAGTGGTCCTTGGTTTTCTGTACCCAGAGTCGGCTCCGGCTCCGCTTCGAACATTATATACTAGGAGCACACTCGTTTCGAAAGGTCGTCATTGTAGTCGCAAGCTCGACAGTTCTGTGTCCTCGTATCTTCAGTCGGGAACCGTACTTCCCAGTCCAAAAGCGCGATGTGGGGGTGTTGAGAGTGATGTAAAGCGCCTTCGTGCGGGAGAACGCGTTCATGATAAACTAGCTGAATGCAGCCTAGCGTCATTGACAGCGATCCACTATGAGCACATACGCATCTTTACATCTCACAGCAGCCCAAGGTATAAGTCGACCTTTTGGCAGTAGCATATCCTGAGAATGGATACTAAGGATACAGTATTACATTAGCATTCAAGAAACTCATTGTAAACTGAGTTACCCTCAGGCATTTAATCCTATATAGCACTTGCTGATCTTTCTTGTTGACGAGCTGATCTTCAACTCTTAGAGGAAGTCCGAGTTGCTCCGTCGGTCTCTATATCTGGTCCCTATGAGTGGTGAAAATATGCTTAGCTGGCTGCGAACCTCGGACTAAGTCCCAATGAGACAGCCAAATCTACAGTGCATGCAGCCAACATATGGGTCGATGTTTAATAAAGTTTCCAGGATGTCATGAAGTATCAACTTTCCCTGCTACCTTATTGCGCACATATTGCCCAACCTACCCTGAAGCGATCACTCTCTCAAAGATACGACAAACATTAGACGACCTCGAAAGGGAGCCAATGCCCTTCCCCGTAGATAATTGCAGCATTCCTACGAATAGCTTTTTGCTGCCGGGGATGGGACAGCGCTACTCCCAGGGCTTTTGGCTAACCATTTAGACGACATGAGGGTGAGACATGAAATTGTGTTTGCGAACTTGGATTGGGTTTTGGGCTGGAGAAGTTTCATAGATAACGCGATTGAAGAGGGAACCAGGGCTGCGATCGAGGTGAGGAAGGAGCTGGATACATCTCAGAAGAGTAAACCCAGTCATTCATCTTCGTATAGCTTGTCATGTGCAAGTACTGTATGGTTGAACGGGAAAAGTCTTGTGCGCTTGATCGGCGACTATTATCCTTTTGCTATGCCGCTACTCTATTCATGTCTCATTGCTCGTCATCCGTAGAGCCGCTGCAACTCTTTCCATATCCCCACTCTGTCTCCAGCCACTATAGCTCGTCTTGTTCGTCCAGCTCCACTCGCCTTCTGGGTCCTTGACCTCTCTGCGCGGCGTCTACGGCTTGTATGGTCCGATCGACCACTTCGGCGTTGGCTGGACGAATGGGCATCCCTTGAGTGAACCATTCTCCAAGCAGATCCTCCTGCATTAGCTGTGTTACAATTAGCATAAAGCGTCCGCTCATTTGCCAACAATTGACATTACCTCTTCGATCCGTGATCCAAGCATCCTCTCAGCGTTTTCACGTCCATTGTTGCCATTGGCTTGCTCCTTGAGACGTCTCAGCTCCAGCCTCCTGATTGTTGTCACCTCGGGAAATGTCGTGCTCGAATCTTCCGCTTGAGGAGTCTGCGGACGTTGAGCTACTTGCTCGAATTGGGCTGGCGAAGCAGGTTGCGCAGTCTGATGGGATTGGGCTGGATGATCGGGTTGGACGGGTTTATCGGTTTCAGCTTTGTGTTCGGTGTGGACTGACTTTGCCGGTTTGTACAGGAGCCAGGTTATGAGACGGAGCAACTTGGAATAGAGCCAGCGTACCAGCCAGGCCACAAGCAGAAACATGCAAAGGAGTTCCAAGAAACCTTTGGGGCTGGTGACGATGTGGGTCTCTACAATATCGAGAGAGATACCGGATTGCGCGTGAAACCAAGGACTCCATTCGTCATGAGCGGTTGAGGAGTCTGGGGCATCGATGGCTAAGACAGGAGGGATTTGCTTCCCCGACAGGCTCGCCATTTCTGCTGCTCGAAGCCACGTCTCCTTCGATTTCGAATCGAGTTGGTTTAGTTTGTGGAGGCTATCGCAATTTCGCTCCAGGTTTTTGAAGAATTGAGCCGGGTTGATGTCATTGGGACAGAAATTGTAGAACGGAATGTTGTTGTTGATGTTGTTCGTGATGAAAGTCCGCTGGTCGACGTACACAGGTGGTGCTTCGCCTCTCATCTTCCACAACGTAGCATTGTTGGTCAACTCGGCTTGGTGCTTCTTATCCTGCACCTCTCGCAACTGAACTTGATGCATCTCATCAAGTAGCTTTTGTCGCTCACACTCCTGGTACTCGCGCAGCGCGTTCTGACTTGCTTGCAGACATGCGAGGGTGGGATGAGGGCAATTGGCAAGACGCTTTCCGAGGTGGGCGACGTGAGGGGACTCGAGATACCAAGAGAGTAGACTGATAGTCTTGAAGATGTGGAAAAAGGCATGGAGGAGCTGCATTGCTGCGGCGTGTTGAGAATGCGAGCTTTACAAGGGGGATATGTGGAAAGTGTGCGCAAAGTGGGGGTCTGGGCCAGCTTTGGGTAGAAGGTGGTTGCGAAAGTGAGGTTGAAGACTCGAAATTCAAGGCCGCGACTCGAAATATATCCACTGCGTTTGTACGGCTAGCAAAGAGTTCTTGGCATGCAATTAGGACTAGTGTACCTGGCGGTGAGAGTGACTGCGTTCGAGTGAAAGTGAATGGTGAAGACGAATTGGTCTCACGAAGGACTAAGGATCGATGACTGCTAGAACGGAGGGCTTCTGACAAAGAGATGTACTGTAACAGAATTGACTTATATTATGCATGTTGTTTGCACAACCATAACGTATCTCTGAGCCGACAAAGATGACATCACGTGATTATGCTTTCACTGCCAAGTGAGTAGCTTCCATGGCCGTACTAAGGCTCTGTGTGCTGCAAAACATTGCACAGAGAAAGCTGATATCACAAAACTGTACTCCGACCATCATATTCCCGCGGTTGTCTCATTGCTCACTTCACAAAATCATCCACAACACCCAAGGACAGCTTCACCACCTCGCCGTATCCACCCGTTTGCTCGTGTACTGCACCTAGCGTCGGTGACACGCTGCCCGCACGATTCTTCTACTGGCTAATCTCAGCACCAACAAACATTGCCTGGACGTCGGCGTGGCATCAGGCATTGGCATTGTTCTATATACCGTGGATGGTTATCTTATTTGATCCTCCACGTCGAGATATTCGCGCCTATAATGCTGTTTGAGGTTGCGAATGGTCCTTTCTTGTCTTCTTCCACGCTTCACCAGCCACACACTAGCGTCGTGAAGTTAGTCATGTCTAATGGTAGAACGCCCAATGCTGTTTATCAAGAAGAAAAGGTAATCAAGAACGTGAAATTAGTACGCCGAGCATGCCGCGGTGCGAAACAGGACGAAAAAAGCGCAAAGCTCGGCGTGGTGATCAGGCTGCGGTTGATTGGATGGGGCGGACTGGTGCTGCAATTAAACGATGTTCCGAGAGTGGGAAAGGGACAGAAGGAAACAAGTGTTTCAAGAAGCAGCAGCGAAGGGAAACGAAAGGGCAGTAGGAGATTGATAAGGGACAAGAAACAGAGATGGGTATCTCCATACACTGACGCGGAGAATAACACCATGTATACGCTATACGCCGGGCCGCAAAACGCACTAGAAACACCGCTCCGGGAATCAAGTGGGCTTTGTACAACCCAGGAGGACCCATTGGACCCATCTCTCCGCGCACCCTCGGCAATCTCCCGCGCAGAAGAAGCACAAGAAAAGTAAGAGTTTCAACAATACCCATGGACGGCTTGGCGACGCGTGGTAATATGTGGACGCCTCCCTGTCTTAACAGAAGCGAGATGACGGGTCGGCAAGCGAGGGTGAATGAGCGCGTGGGCGAACAGCACCGCGTCGCGGAGCGGGACCCGCTTCTTCGGTCGCCTCGGCTCGGGAGGCGTGGGACATGGTTTCTGGATTCGTAGGGCTCTGTCTCAAAGTCGTGGTCAACATGTCGGTGTTGGGTTCGCAGCGCCTGCAATGTCGCGTGCTGCCGGCGGCCTGACAGATGACATGCACGACACACAACATCGGCAGGTACGAGGGAAACGTTGGACGAAACTCGGGACAGGCGAGGCGCGCAACGAAACGGCGGAAATTTCGAAACGGGGTGCGATGAGGCAACTCGTGTGGTGTGAGGGGCATGTCGCCCGGTTAGACTTGCTACGGGAGAGGCGCACGGATGCGTAGAGCCATAGCAGCGCCGTTACACGACTGCGTAATACGCCGCGGCCGCCAGACGGCACAGTGTGCAGCCTGAGACAAGACGACGTTGCGCTTTGCGTTGCCTGCGCCATGCTGGACATATATTAGGTTGAGAGCAATCTCACTCGCGGGTGTACTGCTCTCAGCTAGGCCCCGCTTTACCTTCCCCCGTGCATCCTGCTCTGTTGTCCCGCATTCGTAGCATAGTTTAAGGCGTCCTTTCCTTTATTCTGTATCATACCATTCAGATATACCCCCCGACTGTACAATACACGCTACGCCGCACACGATGCTCGACGCACTCCCGTCGCCGACACGGTCGCTCGACGATCTGAGCAGGGAGGAACGCGCCTTCACATTCGCCCACTTCACGTGCGAACACGCCTGGGTCATTGGGAATATCCTGCGCAATGCCTTGAGGACCGCAGACTGCCCCGCCATCATCCACATCTCGCTATCGTCGTCGCAGACCCTGTTCCACTCGCCTTCCATGCCCGGCTGTATGCCCGACGACGAAGCCCAGACACGCCGGAAAGCTGCCACCGTTCTGCGCTGGGGCCACTCGACGTGGTATCTGCACTGCAAGTTTAACGGGGACGAGAGGAGATTTGGAGAGAACTCTGGCCTCGCAGTCGACGAGAGAGCTAAATATAGCTTGGAAGGGGGCGGCTACCCTGTCTTCGTAAAAGGTTTCGAGGGTGTGGCTGCTGCGGTAGTGATAGCCGGTTTGGACGGCGAACAGGCGCATATGGTGCTGCTGAAGGCGCTCGAGGAGTACAGGGAGCTGAGGAACGATTTCCGAAGCCCGATGAGGAGCATGACTGTCAAGTGACTCCATGGCGGCGCAGAGAAAGAGCATGGGATGGGCTTGGGCATCCAGGCGCCGGCGCAACCTCCGAAAACGAGAAACAGGAGTGCGAGTGGGAACGTCCTGAACGGTATCGCAGAAAGGCTATTCACTGTTGCGGCAAGGCTGGACGAGAATGATGACAGGGAGCGAGGGAGGAAAGAGCACAAGCAGAGGTGGAAGACATGAGACATGGCACGAGTTGGGACTTCAAATCATGGACTGAATTGTCTGCACAGGACGGAATCCCAAGCGACCATCCACCGCGTCAAAGGCAATTGAGTAGCCTTTGAGGAAGTTGCGCCCGGTGTTCACGTATGGCGGGGGCTCTTGCTTTCCCGGCACGACGTAGGAAGGCGCCATCAATGAGCTTTGCCCGACCTCAAATGAGTACGATGCTTTCGTCTCGCCAAGCTCTCCTTTTACAGATGAGCCGAAGTCGATGGCGATCCGAGTGCCGTTCTTCACGCGATGAACTGTCGGCGAACCCCCTTCCTTCGGGTTCTTGATGATGACCTCAGGAAGCGGCATGCTATCCTCCGCTCTTATATACATCTGCGGAATTCCGGTGTCAATCAGAGCACTGCCAGGAATGCTCTCACGCCCATTCACTCGGAATTGCATAAGGGGCATCGCCCAATCTCGTGGGTCTACCGCATGCGTTACACCTGGCCCCAACACCATGAAATTAAACTCTTGTGTGTTTTCTCTCGTCAGACCGAGCTGTATCCCCTTCGTTGAGACGATATAGCCTGCCTTCAACTCCTGTGGCCCCAGTCGAGTCCCATTGATCGAGTCGATATTCAAGAAGGGATTACCCCACGAGGTGGCGGTGCGCTGTCCTACAGCGTTCTTATTCCGACCGAATCCCACCCCCATATACGTGATCCTGCTCACGTCACGTTCCATCGGCTCCTCGCCCTCGGGCCCTAATGGGCACTCAAAACCATGCTTCGTCGGATCATACCACGGACATACCCAGCTCTTGTCGACAATCAGCACTGGCACCCTCGTCTCGGCCGTCACGCCCTTGACTCCGTGGAATGTCAGATTGAGATCCAGGTACCGCCCCACGTACACGATCCTGCTGCTGGAGAGGTATTGGCAACCGCGCGTTCCAGCATTGCGATCGATACCTGGGAGTAGCGGCGCGCCGATCAATAGGCCTGTCGAACCCGTATCGATGGGCATATCAATGAGTACATCCTTCTCTCCAGTGTGAACAGTTACCCAAACCAAGGGCACGCTCTCGGTTCTGAATTGGTGGACGTAGGGTAGGAATACGGACTTCGTGTAGTTCGATTGAGATGATGCTGGCAGTTCCGTGGCATTTGGAGGAGTGATAGAAGAGGAGAAGTACATATCGTGTTGATGATGGTGTTTACTATGCCTGCTAGCATACTCGCGATAGATACCCGAAATCTGGTAGTAGAGTCCGTACAAAGACGCAATAAATGCCACTACCACCAAATGGTACTGATAAGTCTGGTATGTCTGCGAATATGCCCGCGTGATAGCTCTGCTTGCCGTATCTTTGGAGTCGAGTGCTTGGTGTTGATGTACAGCCATGTTGAACGCTGCGAACCGTGTTGAATGTTCGCAACCAATTTCGCAACCACGATGGAGCTGTTGAAGCTCTAAAGTACGCACGTCAAGACTGGCGGTCAGGAGGTGTCGAGCAGAAGAGGGAAATGTAGGATTATTGAGGTATGCCGAGCTATGTCTCTATTGTACGTCATCTGGATCCTCATTCGCCGATGCGCGTCGCGGCTTCAGCCGCGTGTGCTGGCACGCCCAGTTCATGAACACGATACTGAGTCTCCACCTTCCTGATTCTTCCTCGTTCCTGTTTACGAAGCATCTCGGCCTTCGCGCCTTGGGTAGCCACCATGTGCGGGGAACCGGCAAATGCGTAGTGCATGTGGAGGGTGGAGATGCGGCTGAGTACACGTGATGATGTGCTGATCTTCGATATGCACGCCTGGCTTGGCGGTTCACTGCAAGGATGGAGCTACGCGGTGAGCGCAGGCATCTGGGGACCTCAGCTTCAATGCGCAGTGGTTGCACGACGCGCAGAACGCACGTTGGGAGAAGAACTCCAGCGCGACATCCGTCCTTGAAGCTGGATGTGATTACATTCGCGCCGACCACCGCGACCTCACCGCCCTCGACCGTCTTCCCGAACACAGCAGCGAGCATGAACGCCTCGAATGTCTGGGTACCCTGCCCTACTCCAGGATAGAGGATAAGGCCTTTAGTACCCATATACTGCATCATGGCGCGCCCGCCATCGCTCCAAAGCGACGGCGCATCTTCGACACACCACGTCCGCACCGAACCACGCCTCCTCAAGGCCATCGAAGAGCGCCACAATGACGCCGCCATCGCCATTATCGAAGACGCGAAAATTCATTCAAAGCCCATCGAGCACCTCCTTCGCATCGGACTCATGCGCGCCTCGGAAAGAGGAAACATCCAGATAGCAGAATATCTCTTGAAGAACGGCGCTAAAGCGAACGGCGCACCAGGAGGCAGAGTCAGTCCGCTGCTTCGCGCAGTCGAGAAAAACGATGTAGGGATTGTGCGAATTCTTCTTCGTTTCGGTGGCGACGTTGATGTATGCGACAAGCAAGGGCGCACCGCGCTAATGACGGCCGCTTGGAAGAATCATTGGCATGTTCTGGATGAGCTCCTGAAACGGGGCGCGGACGTCAACAGGAAGGATAACAAAGGGCGGAACGTGCTCCACAATCTGGCTGCGGACAAACATTGCAATTGGGGCAGTAGTGTGATTGAGCTGCTGCTGAGGACGGGCGTTATCATCGACGGGGAGAAGGGACAGGATGAGACGAAGAGGACACCGCTGCATTGGGCGGCGAGCACGGGGAAGAAGGAACTTTGCGAGATGCTTTTGACAAGGCAGAAGGGGCCGCGAGCGGACATCAATGCGGTGGAGGGGAAAGAGAAGACAGCATTGCATTTGGCGGTTGCGCATGGGAGGGATGACATTGTGGAGTTGCTGGTACACTATGGCGCGAACGTCAAAGCGAGAAGTGATGGCAAGTGGACGCCCTTACACAATGCGTGTCAGCAAGGCAGTGTTAAAATAATACGGATACTACTGGGTGCAGGTGCAGAGATCAACGCCAGGCTTTTGAACGGCATGACGTCCCTTCACATCGCGGCGCAGAATGACCACCTTGACGTCGTTCAGTGCCTTCTCGAGCGCGAGGACTGTAAGCGCACGGCTCGTGATGCGTTCGGCATAACCCCCTTCATCCTCGCGGCAAAGCAGAAGAACAAGGACATCGTCAATAAGCTAGCTCCCTTCAACCAGCTGGAAACACTGAGCAAAGACGCTTTGTGCGCCTGTCAGGGATTCAGCGGGACGATTGTCGACTTTGGCAACTTCCACAACGAAAATCGCGTCACGAAGCGAAGCGTCTTCGAGATCCTCTACGGCAAGGATCCAAATAATCCGCGCAAACCAGCTTTTACAGTGCTACCTAAGCAGGACAAGGCGGTCGATTTCCGTTGGATTCATCTACCTGCCAACAATCTAGCATGGGTAGAAGCGCTCCTGACGAAAGCGTTCGTGGAGGAAGGCGCGCACGATGTGCCGGGTTACATTGCCCTGGAGAGCAGTTTTGCTCAACAGCATCGCGGACAGCAGGTCCATTCACATTTCATGCGACCCTTATGTCAGAGCATACCGCGACAGACTAAGCTGCAAGACGATTCTGATTTGTCGGACAGCGCAGACCATGGGCCACCAGCGATCGTTGTCAGTCAGGGTAGTGAGAGTGGTTTAGGTATTGATACCGCGTCTGGGTTCCAAGAGCACCATCCACCGCCAATACCAAAGTCGCCGGTCCGAACCGGCACCGTGAGTACGGACCAAACAGATTGGACAGTCGGCACAATGGGATCAGGGTCAGGGAAGGAATACAAGCCGCATCAAAAGAAGGAGAAGCAGAAAAAGACACCAAAATGGAGTGGTAACAGGCAAGCTGGAGGTCGGTCGGGCGGTACCGACACACCGTCGCGACGTGGCGATAACCAGCGACCCAGACAAGCTAGCACACCATTAAGCGGCAGTCGTGGCAGTCTGCTCCGGTCACCAGGTAGCCCTGGCCGAAAGGAAACTTTGCTGACAGCAAAGGGAAACATCTTTACCTTCATGCCTTACCTGCATTTCGAGACTAACACTAATAGACAAGAAATGCAGGATGCAATTGCGCGCGCACAGTGGCTAAAAGAGAAGGAGAAGGAGAAGAATGAGGGCTTGATGATCAAGCCTAGATTGAAGAAAGCGGAGACTTACGATGAGATGCTGTTGAGGGCACATCTAGGGAGCTCGACCGTGAGCCTGCACGTCAGGAGGACCCTTGATCAGTTCTTCTACCACAACATCGATACGCGATCGAGAGATCAGGATCAAGTGGTCTATCGCTATCAAACCAGGAGAATGACATCTGAGGATAGCGAGGTCGATCCAAAAGTTTTCATGGTAGACCAGCTATGGATGTGGATTTTAGGCAAGGATTTGATAGTGACTGCCTTTCCACAACGGTGGCAGCAGCCGAGGAACGATCCTCTGAACGTTTTGGATGGGATCATCGAGAACATCAATAGCAATACCCGCGAACCAGTCCAGTCGGTGTACGATCTGGCTATGGTAATTACGAATAGATGCTCTGGTGTCTTTGACCGCCACCGCATGGGCGACGAGGACTATCAGTTCTTGGACATGTTCGAATCGTCCATTGGCGAAGCGACCGAAACGGAGACGCGTCTCTTCGAAGACTTTAACGCCGCTTCCAAGAAAGCATCAGCTTGGCTCCAACACCACCGCCGACCAAACCGCTTTTCGCGTCACCTCGAAGCCGAAATTCGGCACCTTGAGCACAAGAACAGGCGCGGTACACACTCGCACTCACACCGACATGCTCTTGCCGACCCGCCAATCCCAGAGGAAGATTTCCACGATGATGACATGGGGCCAACACATTCTCCCCTCTTCGTCGATGAGCTCCTCGATATCGGTGCCGAAACCGACCTCCTCACTGAGATCAAAGACATTCGGGACGAAATCGCCATGATCACCAAAGTTCTCGAAGACCAGCGCACCGTACACGAAGCCATGGAACCCTGCATCATCGAGATCTACCAGAAAGAGCACCGCCGTCAGCAAGACCTCAAGCGCCGCTTCAAAGAGCAGGGCACTTTGCTGAAGAACCACGTCAGCGACCTTGAGCGAATGGACAAACAAGCTAGCCGTATCTACGAGAGCATCACGGATCTGTTGGATCTGAAGCAGAAACACGCCAACGCGTTCGAGGCACGGTTTGCCCGTGACCAGGCTGCCGGTACAGCCCGCCAGAGCCAAACCATCATGGTCTTCACCATCGTCACCATTATATTCCTCCCACTCAGTTTCATCGCCGCACTCTTCACCATCAACGTCCGCGAGTTTCCGCACCTACCCGGTGGCGACCAGCCCAGTCTGCCGCTCACCTACGTCGGCAAATTCATGTTTGGGATCGGATTCGCGATCTCTATTCCTATGATATTTATCGCGCTGTCGCTCGATGCGATTAGCGATTTCTTCCGGGAGGTGAAGAGGCGCTGGACAGAGTGGCGAGCACCCAGGCCGCCGCCTAGTGAGATACACGGCGGCAGCAGCAGCAACGAGAAATTTGACGGGTTTACAGTCGATGTGCATGCTCTTGAGGCCGCACTCAGCACGCGCGGTAGACCAAGCATCGAGAGCTATCTCGATGGCGGTGGGAGTCTGACGCTGCTGCCTGTTACGAGTCGAGGCACTGCGCCATCGAGTCCGGGGAAGAAGCCTATAATTGTGAGTAATGGCACGAATGGGAGTGCCGCTAGGAGGGGAAGCTCGGCGGGACGTTCGGCGGCAAGGAGGCCTGGATTCGCGGAGAGGATGAGTACGGGTTTCAAGATTAGGGGGAGTTTGGATGTTGAACGGGGAACGTGACATGACTTTGACATCACTGTCACCTCGTTGGTTAGGACATGGGAGGTGTAACTCCTCGCTACGAATCAGTGACGGCTACGGCGTTTACGGGTATTTGAAAAGAGGAGGGGTGGACAAGTAAGCTTTGCGAATACCCCTTGTTTCCACAATTTAGCGTGCACAGCATAGTGGAACACAGCAATGCGTACCCATTTTTGATGATAACCTAATGAATGAATGATATTACTACGTTAAATAGCTGTTGGGTATGACATAGGAACAACCTATAATGCATGCTCAGAGAGTCTACAAAAGTAGCTCTAACCTGTCCACAATAGGGAAAATAGTCCATTCTCCTGGAATAGGCAACCGTGTATTTCGCTGCACTTCGCTGCACTTCTACTTAGGAGGAACTTGCATCTATGAACGGTTCAATTCTCTTTGCATTGACCATAGTAGATATGCCAGCAAGACCAGCCTCTTGCGTCATTTTTCCCGAGCCAGCATCGCGGTGTGGAGACAAGTGTGCGCCAATGCTCCCCATCCAGTATGTCGACAACCACGCTCAAACGTTCATTCCGGCAAAAGGGTGCTCAACTCCATATGGTTTTTGTAATTTCGGGATGCGTGAAAGCTTCGTAACGATCATTCCTTCGACGCGATCGAAGCTACTATGGAGGCCAAGTAGGACTGACATGTAATCAAGCATTGCCGCACGTATCACTTAGGGAAACAATTTGTGGGGACTTTGGTAAGTGCATGGCCAATGTTCACTCTTTTGCGAGATGAAACATGCGTTCCAATGTATCGAAGACATTTTCGTATGATCATGAGTGTAGATATCTTCTACAACAAACAAAGCAAATGCCAATAAGACATGACCTGACCGCAACACCAATATCGCTCTCCTTCAACATGTCCATTCACCCTACTACGATCATTCTTCATCCACATCCGTCATCTTAGAATCGCCCTCCCAGTCCTCTGGCACATGTGTATTCGGGAGACTCTCCTCTTCCACAGTTGGCAATTGTCGCCCAGGGAACCTCTCAGCCCAAGCCCGCTCAGTGGCTGTCAAGGTCTGCCGGCGGTGCTCCCCACGCGACATACCATTTGGGCGCATCCGCGTCTGTCCTTCGAAGAAAGAGTGGGCGCTTGACGGCTTTTCGTCACGTCGGAATAATCCTTGCGGAACGTGCGCCACTGTAGAGTTCGGCAAGTTCTCGAACGAGCGGTTGTCCATGGCTCGGACGGCCGAGGGGTACCGGAGGAACGCGGGATCATAGGAACCGACTGCCACACCAGATTGAGGAAGAAATGAGGGCAAGTCATTCAGATTGCCAACAAGGTTCCTTGAATCGTCCGAAATGCTGTTTGCGTTGCCAAGGACGGTGTCGGGCGCCATCTTCTGGTCCACCGAGGCGTCGTCTACCTCTGTGGGCTCGGCTCGAAGGCGGGCGTCTGCGAATACCAGTTCGCGACGAACGGAGGAATCCAGTGACACCCCGTCGTCTGAAGCTTCAGCCCAAAGGGGATGCCGCACAAGACCCGCTCCACCCTCCCACGTTTCGTTCTTGTCTAGTGTCAACTCCCAGCGTTGTCGCATACCTTTAACCTCCTGATTATCCTCCCTTACGGACCGATCGAATTGAACGGGGTAGAAGGGTTGGGTTGGGTCGTCCAGGTACCCATGCGGCTTGCGCAGGATATTGGGGTTCTTCTGTAGGAACGAGTTTGTCACGCCTTTGGACTGTGCCGCATTGTTTGCGCGTCGTTGGAGTTGTGCAATAGCACTGTCTGGATTCGTGTCTTCTACTGGGCGTTCGAAAGGGATGCTGGCCTGGGCAATGGCGTTGGCTCTATTACGGATTGCCTGGGCCAGGTGGCATGGTGCTCCTGGGTCGCGGTCCATTAAAACAGAAAGTGGTGGTAAACTTCCGGATGAATATGAGCTCCCGGGAGACTCTGGTGACACAGGTATTGACTTCAGTGAATTGTGCTTGCTGGCTTCCACCCCTGCTTGCAGTTCCTCGGCTGTCTTATACTTAGCCCAATGGGCGGGTCGCGGATACTCGTGCATACCATCAGAAGCCTTTGGAAATACCTTCATATCGCCAAAGTACGTGTGCAGGAACTTCTCTGACCGTTGGAAGTCTTCTTCATCTTTAGGGCAGTGCGAGACTTGGTCCTGCGTCTGTGACATTGAAGCGAACGCAACCAGGCCTTGGTGCGCCAAAATTATACGCGATGACATGCGACTGAAGTCAGAAGGATCGTGCATAGAATTACCGTGGCGAGGCTCTGGTTGATGGCCGATCGTGTACCGAAACGCTTCCGCGAACATGGGAAGCATGGGAAGAGGTACGAAGTTACCTTCGAGGTTGGGTTGTCCGCGAACCTCGACGAAGTTATCGCACCGGATCCGGGTGTCATTTAGACCTGAATTCAATTGGCTGAGGGTGGCAGTCCGATGCATTTGGGTAATGTTGAACATCTGCGACGGCCTATGGTAGCAAATGTCGTAGCTTTCGGGGACGGCGAGTACCCCTTCGGCATTGACGTTCCCAAGAGCTTCCAATGTCGAGTTGATGTTGGATGGAAGTCGTATGCGCTTTTTCAGCCGCTCATGGAAGGCTTCCACAAATTCTGGGAGAAGCCAAGCACCGTTTGGTACAATTTCCAGGTCGTACTGCCTCAAAGCCTCGTTCCGTAAAGAGGGGTACGTCTCAAGGCAGGCTGCAAGATAGTCTGCCAAAGATCGACTCTCGATCTGCACGACCTTAGACTTCCTACCGATGGACTGTACGTTGAACTCCTGCGTTTGATGAACACGGAACATTTGCCAGGGCTCGCGATCTTCGCCCTCAAGAAATCGCAACCTGCTGCAGATCTCATGTGGCAAAGGCAGCTGTGGGTAGACCTTGGCGCTGCATATAGAATTCGCCAATTCATCTAGGTATGCATGACCTAGTGTCAGGATCATTGCATAGTCCTCGTTGTCAGGCTGGCCCGCGGTCGTCTCGCCCATGTTGTAAGATCGATTGGCCTTGAACCGCTTCCATTCTAGCATAATCTTTTGCAAATCGGCTCGCGTCAATGCACTAACCTGCAATAATCTAGAATTGCGGACCTGGGCTTCTCTAGCTTGCTCCCACTTCCTTTCCTTGAGAGCAAGCATTTCCAACATCTTCGCTCGAGCTTTGTTCTGCCACGACTCTGGTTTCCGGTAGTAGAAATCATCGCAAGCTTGCTTGACCATGGCGAAATGGTGTTCAGCCTGGCTAGCCAGTTGTGCCATAATCGGCTCAGGTTTCCATTCTGGTAGTGGCTTTTGACGAAGAGTCCAGATATTGCTGCAGGTTTCGATGATATCCATTGCCTGGGTGCTTTCATGACGCATCAATTCCTGTGGCATGTTCTCTCCCATGTCAACCAGGTAGGCATATGAGTAGTCGACGAGCAACAGCTTCGACAATCGACCGCCCACCACTTGTAATAGAACACTGGCCGGCGTCACGGATCCATGAACGATTCGGTTGTAGTGCAACCATTCTAGAGCGGAGAAGAGCGGTCTAAAAATAGCTGCAGCGAGCTTGAATCGGGCTCCGGGATGCATTGAAGGCAGGTCACGCTGCATCGCTGCGAAGGAAATCATAGATTCGTGTGTGTCGGTGATGGCAACAGGTACACCATGAAGCTCCGCTGCCAGTTGATAGTGTACGATCGAGTGATGCGTGTTCTGTTTGCTAAACATAAGCATCTCCCGGTCTCTATCACCTATTCCATTGGCATGTTTGTAAATCTTCGCTGTCGCCACCGTTTCAGTAAATCGTTGGGTCACCCGCCACGAGTTAAATGAAACCTGTTTCTTGCGGAGATCCCAAATGTACGCGTCCTTTGCCCAGTCCTAAAGTCCGCTATTTACGTTCTGCGATTCTTTCTGAAGGTTGTTTGCCTTGAAGTCACGGTCTGACCGTAACACCTCAACTGGGCTCTGAATAAGCCACAAGTTGATCGTTATGTTCCCAAACGTGATCACGGACATCACCGATGCGTCTAAGTATAATGCGTGAGGTAAAGACCGTAGTGACTTCGACTTCTTCTTCTTCGTGGTCGTTCGGGGTTGTGGCTTCTGAATCTCCACGCCAGCGACTGTCACAACAGCCATGGAAGTCGCTTCTATCCGCCAGCAGCCAGCTGGGCCGTCGGGCATCAGTTCGAACAGTTGCTTTACGGCAGAGCGGATTGGGAGGTAGACGTCGTAAATAGGAATCGGCCGCGCTTGATCGACTTCTTCTCCGGATTCCGACTCTAAAGATGAATCTAAATCTGTTTCCGATTTAGACTTAGACTTGCAATCAGACTCGAGCTGTGGCTCCGGCTCCTGCTCCGGTAGATAGCCTTTCCCGAAGCTGTATTTAGGTTGACTGGCAAGGCGATGCAAGTATATCTGTGCCGCACAGGACTGATTCCGGCCTGTAATAGAATTCTTCTCGAATAATTCGCGGCGTTCGTATGCCGAGTTGTGATTAACATCGTAAGCATCATCGTGCTTCACAACGACAACAGCAACGAGATCGTTTCGCGACACGCTGTCTGGGATCCTAGGACATCCCGTGGGGAGGTTGAGCGACATGTTGCTCAGTAGGCCAGAAAATCGCAAGGGAGCGGACGGTAAAGGTGACTTTCGTTGAGGCTGTGTTGAAACACCCGGGTTATGGGAATAGAGTTCAGGGTGAGTTGCTGTGCTCCGGTGCTTGAATTTCCCTTGCTGAGGCGAAAGCTACGCGCGTATCCATGTGGGCCTTTCAAACGCGATAGAGGTTTATATGGGACTGGAAGTGAGCAGTGCGCGCCTTGGCCTCTTTCCGCACTTTCAAAGTTTCTACCTCGTGATCAAGCTATGTCCACGCGCCTTTCCGTGACATGGGCCAGTTGAATGAATATTAGTTTCCGAAGTTTCACAGCAGCTGGGTAGGAGCCAGTGAAACTTTGCAAACACCATTCACGAGCCGCATCCGACCACTGCTAAATCTTTTGGCGGGTCCGAGTCGCCCTGTAACAGAACGTTCCTTTGAATATCTTCTTGAGAGATATAACACATACCCTCTTGCAACCGGCTGAGGCAGCGAGAGTTGATATATCGATCAATTGGAAGACATCCGTGAAACAGGCGGAGGAGAATTAGACCTGCTACCCTAGGCCCAAGTTGCAGCCTTGTAAAGGCGCAGTCTGATGCAGCAAACAGTTTGTATGTCTCACAAAGGCTGGGCAAGAATTGAACGCGGGAACAGAGAAGCATTTTGAAGACACTAATCTGGTTTCTGGTCCTCTTGATGGTGGGATCCACTAGCCACCATGGGGCCGGTGCGATTGCGTTGTTAGATGGTTGTGTTGTAAGATGTCGTTCACATACGACGTAGGAAGCGCACGTACTTGCGCTTTCCTTGCAGACACGCTAACTAGATCCATATTAGCGTTGACTCCGTGAGGAAGCCGCATACAAAAAATAAGGCTCAAGCTGTTGAGGATCGTCAAAACATGATACATACCCTCAAATCTTGTGGAATGGGTTTTTCTTCTTGGTTTCCGAAACGCAGGTATGTCTGTAGCCGCACTCTTGACCATGATTCTTCGCTTGAAACACTGTAACGAACACAGGGTTTAACGTCTTGAAATCCTTATCGAGAGTATGACAACAGAGCGACATGTGTTGAACGATTGATACTCACGTATACATCACTGTTCACACGCATCAAGGTACAGAGACAGATTGATCAAAGCCGCAGAGAGATTGTTCTATCTAGAGTGAGATATCCAAACACAAAAACCAATATGTTTTCCACACTACTGTGCGATCTTCAGATACTCACGAGCGAGCTGCTCTAATACCCTAGCACCTCACCGTACCAAGCCGCGGCCACAGAAGCAGCAGTCGCATAGGAGTTCGCCAATGAGTATTTGAGAAACCTCAGTAGCCAAGGAAAGGGTGAGAGAGACCCAAGATGACCGTATTGCTATCCAACGCAGCAAGCAAATGAGATAAGGGGAGGCTGGGATGTCCGGATATCGTTTCGAAGGAAGGATCTTGTTCGTGACCCGTAAAGAAGTGGCGAGTGATAGTATCCTACATCTTGGGTATCGATATTCCAGTGCTTGGACCGGCCGCAGGTGCAATCAGTGTACAGAAAGGGCTAGAATATGCAAGAAAAGATTCGTTTCATTTGGTTCACCCATTTTCGTTGAGCCATAAAGCGTGGGGCAGGGACCGGTGAAATCGAGTACTCAATTGCTGCTGGCGTTGCATGTAGAATATGCAAGTGGATGTGAACGTGGGTATAACCGGTACCGATGAACGATTTCGGGCGTATACGTCATGCACCAGTCTGCATGAAAGTCGAGAGCCATGAGATAGCGACGAAATGCGAAATAGACGCCGGAGCTGAGCGTATGATACCTTAACGGTGACCGAAGCCCGTGCCAGCGTCGATGCTGGTCGAACGACCGAATACATCGTCAATACTACCACCAGGGAGATAAGTAGGACTGAAAGGATTTCCGAAAGCATCGTCAAAAGAGCCACCGAAGGGGTTGCTCAGAGTATTCAGACCCACGGAGAGCTGCTGGCGGGGCTGCTGACGCGAGTGGTGCGCTCGTATGGTTCGAGAAGGCATCGAGGTGGCGGTCCGCTCGGCAGCTGCAGCTGCCAAACTAGCCTGGAACTTGTTGTGCGCCGCTCGAGCAGAGTGATCCATGGAGCCAACTGAAGCCTGGCTCGAATTGGTGGACTGTGTGCCTGAAGAAGCTCCCGAATCCTTCCTTGGCGGGGAGAAGGAAGTGTCGAATCCGGTAGACGGGCCTTCCATAGGCGTCATGCCTTGGAAGCCGCCTAGATCCTGCGAGGTAGTATCAGGGTAAAAGCGAGCGTTGATCGGGGATGGAGACAGCATAACGTCGGTCGGGAAAGCAGCGTTGCGCGACATGCTGGTATCGACACGTAGATTTGACGAAGATGACGGCTGTGCAAGGCTCGAAGCGTTACGCTGCTCGAAGTCAGCGTTGAAAGCTGCCAGCAGTCCCAGCTGAGTGTCGTTGGCCCAGCGTTGCTGCAAGCGCCTATCTCGAAGATCTGCAGGGGCATCCGGGTCATGCTGCTGGTTGTGGCCGGAAGTGCGTTGTTGAGTAAGGGCTGGAAGGGATGATGGCACGTTGTTCGGGAAAAAGCGCTGCTCGAGCGTCGTGGCACCGGCTGAGAGATGGCCATGTGCACGACGCGCCGCCATAGGGCGATGAGGGGGCGACGGGCATACGGGAGAGCGATGAGGCCGCACAGGCGTAGACGGCGGCAGGTCTGAGATGTGACGCGACGGAGACAAGAATTCACTCACGCCCTCATGGTCGAAACGAGCAGAATCAGAAGCAGCAGATTGGCCGCAGTGCGAATTGCTCATAGAGAGACCTTGAGAATCAGGAGTATTCGCTTGAGTGGATGAGCTTGCGACTTGAGTCGTAGTTGTAGCTGCCTGGGACATTGCCGGCCTGTGTGGTAGCTGCGCATACTGAATCTGTACGTCTACGATATTGTTCGGACCGCGGAGGAAATCATCAAGCTCCGCTTCGGTTTTGGGACCTTCGTACAAGGAGGGCCCGTTGCGCGGCAGGGCCCGAAGGCTGGTGATATTGCACTGGGTGGCCTGAGTCAAGGTAGGCTTCTTGCGAGGAACCTTGCCGTTGTCGCGGACAACAGTCTTGGTACCAGTGAAACTGTCGCGCTTCTTAGGCCAGTTCATCTTGATACGGGGTATCTGCTCGCCATCCTTGTTTAACTTGGTCTGGATCTTGAGAATGGCCTGCTGGAGAGCGCCTGCTGTGCAGGTTTGATCCACTAGTTTGGCAGCTTGATCGAAAGGGATCTGCACGCCATTCTCCCCGCAAGCCCAGACAATGCCCATCAGAGCTCGCGAGACGTCATTCTCGTCCCAACGGCGCAGATTACCCCGGGGCTGGCGAACTTTGCGCATCCGACCATTTTTGTTGATTTTCCGCTTCTTGCCCAGCTGTTCAGAGTAAGCCTCATCGTTGATGTCCTCGTCGGCTGCAAGGTCGCTATCAACATAGTCGCCATCGTCATGCTCGCGCTTGATGTGGATGTCTGAGCTAGCTGGAGACTGATCGTTCGAGTACCCATCGAAAGTAGGGTTGTTGTAGCTTGGATATGGGTTTGAGCCGGAGTCGACCGCGTGTTGGTTGTCCATCTGCGGGTGAGGTGAGGGTCCCTGACCGAAAGCGGGGATTGGGTTCGCGCCAGAGACGACATATTGACCTCCCATCTGCGCATCAGGAGAGGGGCTGTTGTAGTTCGAGAAAGGGTTTCTGACTGGGGCTGCGGCATATGGATTATGCATCTGCGCACCGCGATTTGCGTCCGAGGTCATGGCATATTGGTCATCCATCTGCGGGTCGGGAGCAGGTCGCTGATGGTAAGCAGCGAACAGGTTTGCGCCCGAGGCCATGGCATATCGACCGTTGTTTGGCGCGTCGGGGGAAGGATGCTGAGGGTAAGGGGCCGGGTTGTGGAACGCTCCAGTCGTAAACTGATTATCTGTTTGAAACATGTCTAATTAGTGAACATCTGTAGAAGTGAGGGTCCTGACTTACGGGGGAGACCATGGCCGACCTGCGCCATCATAGACGTACCGCCCGGCGAATCAGCCCACGGGTTGTACTGTTCGCCGAAGCTGTCCATGGCGTCGTCACCTCCGTTAGACATACCAGTCATGTCAGATATAGAGGGGTTACGCCCGCGATTGATGTCTGGACACGGGCAAACTTAGAGCTTCTGAAGTCGTAGACGCCGAACACTTGATTGAGAGCGCAGGTAGCGGCGCAGAAAGGCCAATAGCTGAAAATCGGTCAGCCCGTGCTGTTTGATCAGCGTATTTGTCAAACGTACCCTGAATTTAAACTTCGTATCGAGCTCGAAGTCAAGAAGGATGGAGACCGCGTCGGAGGAACGGGAGGTAGAGAATTGAACGACGACACTTTTCTATTGTCGAGTTAAGATGCGATAGAGAAAATCGGCTGGCGGAGTAGCGTGGGGAGGGGCAGAGGAGTCGACGAAATAGGCAGTAACCCAATGCGTGTTGCGACTATGCGAAGGCAGAAGCACTTGTACCCAATAGTCCAAGGAGCCACTAGCCGAACATACTCTTCCTGACGTACCAGAGGAGTTGAAGCTTTTGAGATCTATAAGGTCAGGACGAGGGGCCAGGGGCAGTCGAATCTATATTCATACCTGAGGCGCTAGGCCGTCTTGAGATTCCCGGCGTGACCTTGAGTTCCAGCTTCAGATAGTCGGTGCTACTGCAAACGCCTCGAGCAGGCGACCTGGCTCGCGTAGCCGAGAGGTGCCAAATCTAGGTGAAGGATAGTTGGGCTACCCGGGAGAGGCCTGAGGTATCGTAATGAGGCACCGGGCGATCGTGTCTCTGTCACCGTGCTTGGTGGAGGAGGGATGGGTTCAGCAGCACTAGCGGTGGTCGGCAGCCAAGGTGAAGGTAAAGGTGTCTCGAGCAGGTCACATGAAGCTGCGGAGCTTCCTTGCGAAAGCGGGCATGGTAGGTCGAATACTACCACGTCTAGCTGTAGCTGTTGAGCGCAGGTTGTCGACGTTGTCAAGGCCCTTTGAGCAAGTGATAGAGTACAGTTGTTCCGGCGCACAAGGAGTGGATGATGCGTTTAGAATCAAAATCCCGCCCGGATGTCTTCAAAGCGCTTGTAGTGCAATGCAGCGCACGGAACTAGTATCTGCAACGCATGGAGGTAGCATCTGCAGCCGAAAAGCAGCAACGCTCCCGATCTCGGCAAATTGAGGTCTGAGAATAGTGTACGCACCCACCGGTGCAGGGTGCCTGCCATTCGTGATCAAAAGCAGAGGCTGAGTAGGGCTTTTCCGGTCCACATTGCTTGGGGTAACATTTCGAAAATTGTGCATTGAAGTCTTCATCGGTGAAGGCGAGGCTTGGTGTTTGTGCACTTCTATTCACTCGGTGGGCGAAGAATGATGGAATCGACTGCAAGAACTAGTGCGTCGGTATGCTGATGGTAGCCTTTTGATCTTGGCTGACTGAGCCTAATGTTAGATAGCTGCAAAACCTTAGCGTCCGACTCCTGTCCCTCGTATGGATAAATCAATGCCAGCCCACCCGCATGCTATATAAAGACAGCGTTGAAATGGGAAACTTGTATCAACGGCAGGCGAAGGTGGGCTGGGAACTGCTTGTGCTGATGATAGTATAAAGGCACGTTCCGCTCGAACAAGCTATAGTTCCTTTCCTGCATGCTCAACACGGCGGTCAAGGGCGAGGTGAGCGCAGACTAGCTCCTTCGCATGACCTCATCTCCTGTCTGTGGGTAGGGATGTCCATGTGCATGTATGTGTGCCGGGTCAGCTTTGAGGTCGAGTGTTGGATTGTTATACCTGGAGGTCGTGACTGGATGAGTTGGTAGTATGGATATGACGGAGGGAAAGATCGAGAGTTGCAGTACAAAGGTGTAACGAAACAGAAGTCGTAGCCAGTGGAATATTTGGCAAGGCGAGACTCGGATGAGTGAAAGTGACTGTGAGAGGAGGCCTCCAATCAGTGAAAGGGTCGTTATCGTAACATGTACAAGCAAGAAATTGTAGAGAATGAGAAATTGTCAGGCCAACAAGTGACCTAGACTGTCACCAAGTACCGAAGGTAGAGCATAGGATGGTTCACCATTGGAACTCCCCATCAAATCTCCCTGCAGGCAATTGGAGCACCAATACCACTGATGCTGCCTTTACTGCAAACCGGCCGGGAAAAAGAGGAGCTGTGCTTGCGCAATAATCCTTTCTGACATGCGATGGAGGTAATCTTGGCTGCAGTAAGAATCCTCTTATGCTTGACGCGACTTCACAAAGTCGTTGTTCAAGTAAGGGCTCGATGTCCTGGAACACATGGTGAATTTTCTGTAAGGTCTTACACGTCGTAATGCGATAAGAAACTGCCCCGGCTCCGGTCCGGATATCAGCATGATGAAGCTTTCTTAGACTGTCACTAGTCCAGTTGTGTGCTGCCTTATCAGCACTTACTGTATCTTCTGGCTTCGTTTTAGCTGAGGGGTGACTGAGAGATACCAGGGAAGCACCGTCTCCTAGGGAACCTTTGATAGCCTCTTGTTGTTGGGAGAAACGCTTTGACAAAAGCCACTCTAACACCAAGATTCGTATAGCTGGGGCTTGTGTACGGGAAGATCCCGGGTCTTAGTACTTGTCTTTCTGTTCGAGCATTAAGAGTACTCCAAGTCTGCCCAAACCACCGAGTGCCTTCAAAATCACTTCCCAGGACTATCTCTTTCGTGTACAAGATTTATGGGTTGGGTAAGAGAAGCACTTGATTCAACCCAGGAATTGTGAAGTGATAAGCCAGCTCCATTGAGTCTGTCGCACGTTGTATGGTCTGCTCTTTGGCCTCCGGTTCCGATCGTGGATACGGGATAGTTGTTTTTAGCCCGTTAGGCTCTCAAAAAGGAGGCCAGGTTAGAGTTATAGATTCCGAGCAGGCCAGGAAGGTAGGTGATGATGAAATCGATCTCTCAAATTAGAAAAGGGAGTCGAATCACCCTGAAATTATACCAGTAGCTTGTGGCACCAAAATCCTTGGCCGAAGGCAATGTAACCTGAACCATCCTGGTAAGCTTCAGTACGCGTAGGAATGGAATTCGTGCGCATGTTATGAGCAGCTTCCGCTCGCGCAAATGGTCTGAAATCAGTAGCAGATGCGAGAGCATGGCTCTATGAGACTGTTAGTGTATGAGCATGGCCGTCACGTGTGCGTAAGTGTCGGACCAGATCATTGTTACCATTGCCACGGCCTTCGCTGGTGCCAAATGACCGCTATTCGCACCGCTGGGTTACCCGTAGGTGTAGAAGTGGCCATGTAGAAGGAAGAGGGTGTTTCGTGAGAGGAGACAAGGCGCGTGAATCGACTGCGACGTCAAGCGACCATGGAACCTTGGAAGTGCCACTCGCACAGGTATTTTCGGGGCTTTTGGATGCGCCGGACGTCAGCGAAGTAGGAAAGAGGATAGGATAAGAGCCATGTGAAGGCAATTTCGAATTCCTCGTAGGTTGGATCTGTTCTCGATGAGTCTGCACACGTACATGTTAGGCTGTCACGTCTGATTAGCATGGTTGAGGTGCCCAGGGGCGGACACGAGGGAACCGCGAATGGAGGAGCGCATAGGTGCGAACAGCGCAACCCCGATCCTTGGAATTCGAAAGCAAAGATTTGACGATGGTAACACGTAGAGTTGAGTCGTAGACATGAATGGGGAAGCGATGGCAGTGCTGCGTTATTTGTTGGGTGGTTGAGGAGAAAGAGGGTGGTCGTGAAAATAAAGTTGGCAAGGGGATAAGCACGGTGCGGAAGGCAACAGGGGCCTAGTGAATTTCAATGGCAGAGACACGTTTGGACCAATTGGGGGCTTTGTGTAAACGGGGTGAACGAATCATTGCTATTTGGAGGCCAACTATTGGCTCTCCTTGCGTATCTACGTGGGAATTCTGTTTGCATCGATTAGCTGCGTGTTTCGCGGGGGACACTTGGGCGCATACCTATCTGACTCTCGAACCCAGAGCGAGGACTGATGCTCTGATCGCTCAGCAGTATGATCTCTGACGCTGTAGAGTTTGGTTCAGAAAGTAGAGAACATAGCACGAGTTTATAGGCGTGTTGGTGCTGCTCGAAGGGTCCGTTGGGTGCGGGCATCTCCGTCCTGTGCGGGACTCGGTCCGAATGAATCCCTGCACCGTTGATCCTCCTGCAGGTACCCCTCGTACCCTCTTGAAACTCCTCTCCATCGTTACAGCCCACCGAACGTAGAGGAGGAACTTTGTGAAGAGCTGTGCGTCGGGAAGATGGTGTGCTTGTTGGTCCGGGCGCCTCCAGCGGCAGGTGTGGGTGAGGCCAGGGAGGGCTCAATTTTCCGCACGTTCTGTCTCCACTCTCCGACATCGTCACCCATCCTGTCAACCCCACAATCTTTCTACGCACATATTCGACGCGCTCTTGCTAGAACGCGGGACCAGAGAGTGCGGATAGGTCATGCGCAGCTTCTGTTTCCTTGAAGCCGCCCTTACTCATCCAATAGCTGCGATTTCCTCTCCTATCCGCACTTTCTCTCACACCAACAAGTGCCAGCTACAGCGCGTCGTTCCGACGTTTGATCACTGCATGGCATGATCCGATACTCTCCGAGCAGATCAGGAAATACCAGCAGCAGCACGTGCAGCACACGAATAGCCGCCGCTGATGGCAACACCCCCGTGCGACCGCGACCGCGACCACGACTACAACCGCAACGGCAATGCTATCACAGCGATAGCCGCGACGCGCCCCGCCCCCTCGAACGAACCGAATCGCGAGACTGATAGTAAGGTCAACGGAACCCGAAGCTTGTGTTCCATGACATGCATGCACCGGGAGAAGTCCAGAGCGACTTAGCACGTCGAAGCGGATAATGACACCAGGTTGAAAAACCCGTGGTGGTAGGTCTCCATTCGAGTACACTGTATCCTCAACTTGGAGGACGCGCCAGCTTCGGGTGGGTACTTCGGGGAACGGTCGGGTTTTCTCTTGGTAGCTTTGCAGAACCTCCGGCATCACACACTTCTTGAAGGCGGTCGAAGGCGGTCGCCAGTAGTGACAGCGTCCGCCATTCTTCGGTGAGTGTGTCTCCGCTTCGAACTGG